TCTCACCCTCTATTTACATAGTCAGTATTAGAATAAAATGCAGCTGTGATGTCAACTTAATGAGCGGTGTTCTGGCATGACTCAATTGGTACTAGAGGGGTGCAGATGGCAGCAGCCAGAAACAACCCAGCAATAAGTAGTCGGAGGTAGAACATGGTGTATAGGAAAGCTTCAGGGCATGATGTGTGTTGTATAGTCTCCACCTACAGACTGGGGGTTAGCTCAGATATATCAGATTATTTATATAGTGGAGACTCCTGTGATGCACAATGCTGATGTCTGACAGAAAGTGTTGATTATCATTCTGAATACTCTGGCAACTTCTTCAGATGTTCAGGGATGTACGAAGAACTGCCTCTTCAAGGAATTATACTCTCATAAGTCACGTGCAAGATGTTATAGCGTACAGGGCCACAGACTCAGAGAATCATTGCCGATATGTCAAGCAGCGAGATCTCACTTGTGGCGAGCAGCATGCAAACAAAAACACCTAGAGAATAGCATCTATGTGGCTATAGATGGAGATGATCTACCACACAAAATGTCAAAGTTTTGAACCTAGTGTTCAGTCATCACTGACAGAAACATATTGTGGAGGGGACACTGGCATTGAATTGCATTGTTTAGATGTCATGATTCAGGAGATATCTGGGGGTTAGCCAATAATCAGCCAATATTCTCTCTCGAGACAATGATGTCGCCAAGAATTAGAATCATCAATCTGCACGACAACCTGAGAATGTCCTATATACCTCACCGCATTGTATTCTGCCAATTATCCCTTTCCTACTCCATGAGAATATTATGACCATGTAAACTTTTCTTTCAGTAGGGTCAGGCTTGTGTCTGCAAAAGGCACATCTTGTGAGCCTGCAGGGATTATTCCGCAAAGTGTCAGAGACTGGCGCTATCTCCAATTACAATTGCTGAAAACTATCAGAAGAATTACAAGTGACAACAGGCTTCGCTGGTGACTAACTTACCGGCTTTATATGTATCCCGTTCAGTGCCTAAAAACTATGAATGTACCCTATACCTAACCCTGAGAAGGAAGGGAATAGAATGAAGTAGAAGCAACAATGTGACATTAAGAAATAGCAACATACCTATATGCTCAACTAATCAGTTTCGCGAAAGGAGGAGGGACAAGAACTAGAAAATGATCCCGGTGAAGAAGTGGAAATCTGGGTAAAGTTCAGATTTCTGTTACATGCACAGTTTCCAATGAGTGTCATGCCCTCCTCCTCAACTTTTTGAATACTCTCTGTAGAGGTCAAGGCGAACTTTTCTGCATAACTCAGGTAGCTGATCTTTGTATATTAACTATATATTTACACTATCTAGGCATCTGATCTGCAATATCTGACTGAAATCACTCAGAATCTTTTCATCTGATGTTCTTTTAGGAGGTGTACTATTCCTGCAAATGTGCAAAATGGTTCAGAGAACTATATATTCTGATATATCTTTATATATTACAATGGCCACAGACCTCACAGATAAGCGTGGAATGAGAAACGGGTAGAGTTCAAAGCATTCCTGAAATTCGAGCTCCCTGCATATATTGGTAGCATATGCTCCAAGTCGGTGCTGACAAAAATGTACCAGGGACAGAGCAAAGTCAGTCAGCATTATACCATATGATACTCCGATGATCTTTGGCTGCAAACTGCGTGAAGAACAGCTCGAGCTTAATTTGACAATTTAAATACCTATCAATAACACCTGCACACTTCAAATGTTGAGCTCGAACTAGACAAAATGGGCTAGATATTCTCCTTAGCTGTACATAAGAGGAGTAGTATGTTTGTTGACCAACAGACGGCCACTTCTAACTGCATTGTTCTCCAGTTTCACTGCTTATAAAGACAACACATATCAAAAGTGCTCGAAGTCATGTCACTCTCGAAGGAGAATTTGCCCTTATCTTCAAAACTCCAGAACTTGTAGAGCTCCGTCTGAAAAATACAAATTTATCAGTACCTTCCAAGCAGTTTGGACATTAGACTAACATTCTTCGCAACCTCAGACTCGAGACACATGGCTTGTCTGACACCTTTGGCGATAATCTAAGGCAGAAGTCAGGATCAACAACACGGTTCAAAGCTCTAGGCATACCTCTTTCTCCTTCACATTGACTAATGCATGTTTGATGCCACGCCTCTGAAATTTGGACAAAACACACAATGTCTGAAGATGCCAGCTATCTTTCTTTGTGTTTGGTCTGAATGCCTTAGTCGTAGCCTCTTCGTACTTTGGTAAAAACTGCGAATGCGAATATCTTGATGCGTATTCACCAAAATAGATATATGTTACTTACATACTCCATCCACCACTTGCCCAGTTCAGGAGTCAACAACTCCATGAACTTGCTCCACCCAGCCTCCGCCTGGTCAGGTCTATGAATGAATCTCAGCACGTGCATTGACATGAAAAGGGTGGACTAATGAATCCAGGAGTAGATGACCAGGAGGGAACCAGCCAGTGACACTGACAATTTTATCTCCCACGGTGGTGACCCAGTTCTCTCCAGCAACATCTGAAGCCCCGATAGTGTCATGCCAGAATGGGAACAGAAGGTCCCAATTGCCACCCACGCATGCTTTGTTGAATTTATCTGGCACGCATTGGGTGAGATGCGTTGCTTAAGCATGGGATATAGCAAAGAATGTGTACCACCTTTGAAAGCGGCTTTGGCAATGCGCGAAGCTTTATCAAGTTCCTCAGCTAGGGGAGCGTATTGTTCAATTTTGCATAAGATATACCTATATATGACTTACGGCTAGCTTTAGTGAGTTTGCGCAGTGTCCATTCAGTTGCAGATGTCATCATTTGTATTGCTTTTAGATAGAGCATTGAATGTTGATGGGTGTAGATAGCTCATAGCCTAGGGCGGCAGATCAACGCAGGACTATAAATATGGAGGACGCGTATCCCTCTAGAATTGCTTCATTCCATCTTTCTAACTGCATGGTCTGCTTCCAGGTCATGGTAGCAGACCCTGGACATGAGTCAGGGTTCAAAATTCGTTGTTCAGATCTTGTGAGTCGTTCGACTTCCAGCCTCATTCAGACATCCCCATGATGTGTGCAGTTTTCTTGAAATTGGAACTGAGTGTCATTGACCGCCACGTCTAATCAGTGCCCACAGCCGAAGTATCAGATACCCTGGAACATATGCTGCATGAAAAGATCTTAGAATTTGCACGTCAATACAGTCACATCGCATCTTCCATTCTCACCCTTGATGTACTTGGAAAAGATGCAGTCATACACATGCCAGGATTACATATATCTGTCAAGGCCAATACACAAGAGACTGAGTGTAGATAGTCCTCGAGGGGTGTCTTGCATAGCCAAGGAGTGTGGCCTTCTAATCCTGAACCCTTGATGCCGCAATTGCCGCAATCACCACTCTCATGCCACCCAAAAGATGACTCCACTATATACCATAGTTAGATGTACATATCTTTATCTTCTTCAGTATATCTATTTCAAAAGCATCTATGACTCTCGATCATCATTCAGCGGCGGACTATCATACACACACCATATGAACCCGCCACATTCTGTCAGCTCGCATCCCAAATACATTTCCAAGAGTACCGATCTGTACAAAGAATTGAATTACACCTCGATCAAAGACTTTGTATGAGAGTTGCATATTGACAGAAATGAATGTCCTGAATGAGCGTCTATGATATTCTCTCTTCATTTGAGGTGAACTTGGGGAGCCTCTGAGATCTGATCATCGGGTGAAGAGGTCGGCACAGGAAGATCGCCGGACTCCACTTCAGCCTTCCCCAGGCTCGAACGAGATGCGAGACCCAGTATAGAGCTGCGGGTCAGAGGAAGATGACTCATGACAATTGCCTCGGTCATAGTATCCTTCGTGATCGCCCGACCTTGCGACAAGTGGAGAACAATGAGTAGAGGAGCAATGGACTGGCACACTTCAGGATTAGACGGTATCAAACAAAAAGAAGCGCACAAAATAACGCACCTGGACTTGTCCGAGTGGGCCGAAGAGAAGGTAATTGACACTGCTTCCCTCCTCCAGATGCAGATAACAACAAACACGGTAGTATGCCCAAAGAACCGTTCTGATGACGATAGCAAACGCTTCGCCAGCAGTCTGGCCTCGTCCGTTTGATACGTTGATACTGTTTTACTTGATGCACGAAATACCGTTGAGCCATCAAGCGCGTTTTGCGGTGTCGGTCGCCCGAATTAGTGGTAATCGTCCAGTTTCAGCCCATCCTGTAAATACATACCAAACGCGTTCAGCTACATCTCCATGCAGTACAGAGGAAACTCTGGTACATTTCATCTCTCAGCATGAGCGTAGGTCTATTTGAGTAGTTCGCAGCACGCCTATGCATGAGGTCGCCTGCTGCCGTTGTCGTATTCAGGATGACAACGGTTTGACCGAAGAGTGAAAGATACACGATATCACCTGACAATACAGAGGAAAAGGTGGCAGGTCAGTATATCAGATGCGCGACATGTGCAACAAACAACGCGCAACTGCAGTACTTACCGTACAGCTTTTTCCAACTGGTGAAAACATCCCGAATGCTAGATGAAGGAAAGCCAAAAGCATTGCCAACGATAGACAAACGCTTCGGTCCAGGGGCAAGAAATGACTGGTCACGACCTTTCGCTCGGCGATAGAGAAGCAGAACGCCGACCAGTAAGATGCTGTAGTGTGCCCAGAAGAAAGTTGCAATGAACGAAGCTTTGAAGAGCTATGCATGCATATGAGAACTACATGCAGGAAAAGCGGGGTATTTCAAGCTGCTCCAGCCCCGACGAGCACGAAGTTCGTAGCTTTACGGATATATTATGTGTGACGAAACCAACGCCGGTACAAACCGAAAGGGTCTATCTGTCAGACGCAGGCCAGAATACGGAAAGATCATCCCCAGAAGCTCGAAGGAAGTCTCCGTTAGCAGAATATCAATCAAGAACGTGTCACGATAGTCATCGACGTACAGCGTTCGAGGGTGGCACTCAGTACTCGGTACTCAGGCCTCAGGGGGTGGTTTTAAAAGAGTGCAAGCATTTCTGCACGCTCCACAATCATTCCAAGTCGTAACCGACCTGAAGTCCAACATGATCACTTTTCGGAGATTGAACCTTTCCCAAAAAGGTAGCCAATCGTTCCGCAAATAGCTGAAACTTCGTTCAGTCGGGATGATTGTAGGATCCCGCAACACCCCAGAACAAGCCCCAGAATCCTGTCATACCTACTCACAGGACGAGGATTACTGTAAGCTGGCCAGCGACGGTAAGTACTCAGCTCCGATTCTACAAGCCGCAGTGGTCATGGGGGTAACCGAATGAGCCTCGACGTTGGACGATAAATAATAGCCGACTCGGAACAATCAATAACAACTCACGCTCAGGGTTTCTTGCATACCACGATGTGGAAGCAGGTCATGCGGTTAGAAATCTGGACGCCGTCGTACAGAGAGTGTGTATCCTCTATACTTATAGCTTAGCGGTCGATCTGCCGCCTCAAACTGACCACTACCACCGTCCTCCGAACACTGGCCGTACAACCCTCTACTAAGTAGCGATACAAAAAATGACATCAGCAACAGAATGGACTCTTCGCAAACTCACCAAGGCCACCCGTAAGTCATATATAGGAGGCATCTCTAATGCGCCACATTGAAGCAGACACTCTTTCAGCTGAGGAGCTGGATGAAGCTGCACGCGTCGCCGAAGCCGCCTTCAAAGGTGGTAAGCATTCCTCGTTATATCCAGCGCTCGAATTACATGTCTCACCCGAAGTGTGCCAGACGAATTCAACAAGGCATGCGTGGGTGGCAATTGGGACCTTCTGTTCCCATTCTGGCGTGGCACTCTCGGAGCTTCAGATGTTGCTGGAGAGAACTGGGTCGCCACCGTGGGGGACAAAATTGTCGGTGTCGCTGGCTGGTTCCCTGCTGGTCGTCTGCTCTTGGATTCGTTAGTCTGCTTCTTTCATGTCAACGCACGTACTGAGATTTGTTCGTAGACCGGATCAAGCAAAGGCCGGGTGGAACAAGTTCACGGAGTTGTTGACTCCTGAGCTGGGCAAATGGTGGATGGAGTATGTAAGTAACTTATGCTCGTACTGGTTGAATACAATGCACATTGAGACGCTCGCATTCCTAGTTCTTACCAAAGTACGAAGAGGCTACGACTAAAGCATTCGGACCCAACACAAAGAAAGATAGCTGGCATCTTCAGACATTGTGCATTCTACCCGAATTCCAGAGACGCGGTATTGGACATGGATTAGTCAATGTGAAGAAGAATGAGGTTCGCCCAATGCCATTGAAGCTGCTACGAATGTTGAGTCCGCCTTTAGATCATTGCAGAAGGTGCAGGTCAGGCAATGTGTCTCGAGTCCGAGGTTGCGAAGAATGTTGGTCCAATTGTCCAAACTGCTTGGAAAGTACTGATGAGTTTGCCTTCTGCAGACGGAGCTCTATAAGTCCTGGGGCTTCGAAGACAAGGGCAAATTCTCGTTCGAGAGCGACGTGACTTCGAGCAGGTTCGATATGTGGTGCCTCTACAAGAAGTAAAATCAGAGGATGCCGCACATTGAGACGAGCTTACGATAGTCTATGAATATATCATCCGACATATGTTACCCCAACCAGGCACATTCCAAGCACCTTTGAGCTCGGTTTCGTAGTGGGTGCCGTCAGTGGGTCCGAGTCGACACACTGTCAATATTTTGAACTATCGTAACGCCACCAACGCAGTCATACATAACAAGATTCTGAGTAGATGGACATTGTATTGATAACCTGGTAACAACCACGGCTAGGAGTCACCGTCACTCCTAGGACACTAAAAGTACACGCGAACGAACAATCAAGACATAGAGGCTAACATTTCACTGCTGGGTGGACGCATGCACGAACGAGCCATTCACCATTAGACCAGCTTACTTCTTCCCCCTCTTCTTCGTTTCCGCTGCCTGACGTTTTCTCTCCTCCGTCTCCCTACGTTTGCTCTCCTCCTCCGCCTCCCGACGTTTCTTCTCCTTCTCCGCCTCCTGACGTTTCTTCTCCTCATCCGCCTTAATCCTAGCGGATCGTCGAGATCCAGAAGTGCTGCGTTCCGAGTCAAGATTCGCTTCGGTGGTGCCTGCGCCTCTGTCACCCCCTCCAACTTGCGCCTGAGCTCGCCCCCTTCCCCGTGCACGCCCTCGACCTCGACCTCGTCCCCGAACCGGTGTCTCTGTATCTGCACCATTAGGCAATTGAGGAATATTCGTGAGATAATCATCAGGAAAGGGAATATCGTTTGGCGTAATGGAACCCGTATCGATGGTCTCGCGAATGAACTGGAGTAGGTTGACATAAACCTCCACTGGGGTGTTGTCCTCCTGCGGGGTGCCTTGCCCCCGTTGCTTTAGTCCGCGCTGAAAGTCTTCAGAGACACGGTACATAAGATCTCTTACAATGGGCCAGATCTTCATCCACTGCGAAGGGATACGCTGCTCTTCGATTAACTCACCCATGGTCGCGAAAAAGTCAGTCTTCTCTTTTCGACACTGCCGGTAGTTTCCTGTCTGCCACGATCTGATCGGGTCCTGGGGTTCCTTTCGTTCGCAATCCTCGTAACAGAGCACCGCCCAGGGTAGCATCCAGATAAACGATTCCAAATCATGGCCATATTCTCGTCGAATGCGACCAAGCCAGAATTTACGGTTGAGCAGGTCCAAAGACATGAATGGAACAGTACCGGTGCGCTCCAGTCCCTTATGGTCACTTAGACCATCGACTGAGCTCAAATCCCAATCATTCAGTACCCCGTGATTCTTGTTTCCCTTCTCGCGGTATAACATGTTGCCTTCGCTGGGATCGCAGTGTTTGACACCAGCGATCCACATCGCAAAGTGGCCTGTCAGAGTCATCAGTCCCAACATTCAGAGATGACAGAGTGAATGACACACATCTAACAATATCATACCATGCAAGCATAAAGTTGTACGGGGGCAGTTTCCACAAAGGCTGCAACCACTCCGATATTGTGATGTTAAGCGTTCGGGAATGGTATACACGCTTCTGAGTTTCGCTATCAAGATCCCAGAGTTCAAGGAATTTCCGGATGCGACCTGTCTCATACTTGCTCAACGTGCAGGCGCCATAGACCTCCGGCAGGTTGTCCAACAGGCCAGGGTCAATCCTTTCAGCCGCCTCACGAGCCTTCTGAACCACCGTCTGCTCCGATGGCCTTGAACTGTCCGGCCAGTATATCTTTATAGCCGCGTGTCTCGCCCTCTCGTTCATGAGAACTTCAGGATTATCTGGGTCGCGAAATAGTATCCCCTCAGACCCTTGGAACACACGTGTGCCACGCCCAACCAGGGTGTGTCGGCTGTACTCATTCTCCTTCGGGTCCAAGTTAACCTTGATCTTGCCACCTTCGACAGGGATCTCAAGGTCGAACGGCTCTTGTGAGACGTTTCCCATCTGATTCAAAGGTAGCTGCCCACTGTGATACTGCACAACAACGGGATCCAGTTCGGGATTGAATCCCCAAAGGTCCATGGTCGAAAATCTTTGGAGGACGAGGAGGAGGGCGAGGAAGCGTGGAAGATCGTCGAGGAAGTTGATTCCAGTGCATTGGATAGCCCCCTGCCTGTCATACCACCACAGCCAGGCCACATCATCTAAACAAACAGTTGTCATCATGCGTCCATCTGCATAATAGCAAGATACGAACCGACAACAAGGACGTTTATGCAGTGATTCACTGCAGGAGCTCGGCATAGCATCTCGGCCGCATATGACGCCAGTTGCACGAGCGGCGGTTCCTCCGTCCGAGGTGCTTGATTGGGCTTCGCTAAATAGATAAAATTGACGAGGATGAGATTTAATAGATGAGGCAGTAAAATGGAAATTCGTACGTTGCGGGCTTGGAACGTCAGGTTTCGTGGGGGGATCCATGGTGCCGACGTCATTCACACATGAAATGTTCCGATACAGTTTGGTGCCGTACTTGCGAGAGGGCAACGAAATTACTTTCTTCGTCCGCTTGAACTCCCATGAGCACAACACATCGTGCCATTGGAGGTCTACGGGCTTCTCATGACAGTGTTTGATCGCAGCGTTCCATTTTATATTCGTCCCTTCACCCCAGATGCGCCGAGCGCAGGCAAGGCTGGTGATAACAATGTCGGGTTTGCGTTTCGACTTGAGATTACCATGAACGCCGTCGAGCACATTTGGATCATTGCGTTGAAAGAGGATCTCGAACGGTGAGCCTTTACCGAGATGCGGTACGTCCACTTCTTCCAAGAGCGATAATGCGCGGTTGCATGCATTCGTGAAGGGTGCGTATCTGGCCGTTTCTCCTCCCTCAACCTCACAACTGATGAGACGTTAGCGAGACGGCAATCAAGACTCCGGATCGATAACTTACTATGACTGTAAATGATTGAGCAAATCTTGGTCGTTACAGATGGGCAACACTTTATGGAGGCATTGATCAAAGAGATGGTAGGGATCCACGGAGTCTCTCAAGTCGGTAGGAAGAGAGAAATGCAACATCCAGGCCATCATTGGGTCAAATGTGGTCTGCCTGTGTTTGGATATGTCCGCAAACAGCCATGGATGCACTGTACGCTGGCTAAGCGGTTCAAAAATACTGTCAACCATGATACGTAGACTACTACAGGATACGACGCACTATAAGTCATGGAAGCCGTCCGACGATGCGTGAGTCGAACTGCCGCGACCGAGTGGAGTAGCTTGCAGCTCAGGAGCCAAGTTAGTAGGGTCAGTTTTGCGAGTAGGGGTTTGAGGTATCGACATGGGTACGAAGAGAACTGCTGAGAGAAAGGGACAGAGGGAGAGAGACACCCACAGAAAACAGAGCAATCGATGGTATATAAGACATAAACCTATGATATCAGATAGGCGGAGTATAATGTGCAGACCATGCGTTTGCAACGCGTTTGTTGAACTCGGGTTGAACTTAGGTTGAATTTCTCAAGATCTTCTTGTCCAACATTGCGCGCCTAACCTAACAGGTCATGGGCGTTAGCGACACAAAGCCAAAAAAGGACTTGAATGCTCAAAACTTCGATCGCTAAACGAAGGGATGCATACTTATCCTCGTTTCGGACGACTATCGATTAACCTTTCCCAACATCAAAAGACGGTACGTAACCGTTCATCATGCGACAAGCCGATAGGTCTTCTCGCCATATTCATATATACTTATTGGCAAGACAAAGTTGTCCAGGGCAACATCCACCGTGACATACTAACATGATTCAAGATCATGGCGACATTCTAGTTGAAGCAAATCACTACGATAGATTCGACACTGAGGAGTTTCATAGCCATGAATGGAACAATAACGGTGGTATATACCGATGGGGAGGGTACTTAGTATTAATATTACGCAGGCCGGGTGTGTGAAATGCAGATCACATTGACTTTGGCATAACGTTGCGCATCTATCACTAATTAGCGTCGAACATCCAGTGCGCAGTTACATGCGGTATCGATTCAGAGTGACACCTCAGAGATCTCATCAGAAGCGTGTTGCGGCCATAGAAACACTACTTTCTTCACAGACAAGAATATACAAAGAGTGCTAGTCCAATATTACAAGCACTCACTGGTGGACAGGTCGGAGTATCAAGATGAAGCAAATACAGAATGTCGGACGGTGGGACCAGTAAAGGCAGGCTTATAGATTCCTGATATGCGAAAGCTCGGACGGTGCTATTACAGATGACTGGTCGTGGACGACAATGGCATGCTCTACATCCGTAGATGGACATGAGCCTGCCAGCTCCCGGCAGAAACGTGCTGGAGTCCAACAAGATCCAGCCTATCGATAGTGATGTGTCCAGGATCAACACGCCAACGGACATCGGCCCCGTCCTCCATAGGCCTGTCAGCCATGTCCTAGATAGCAAGTTCAAACTTATCATACGGCGGATATGTCTCTGTGACTTTGAAATACTTGCATTGATGAATCGTTGTACGGTCTTTGCAACATTCTTCGCCAGCTTGGCACGAGTGATAGGTGCTGGAGGAATTCGGAAGTCCGGAGTAGGAATTTGCCGACTCCAGGGAGCATAACCAGGCCACTAAAGAGATGAGAAAATCAGTTATAATTCATTGGACAAAGCGTGTGCTCCAGAAACGCTGCACAAAGCCGCTCCTGAGTACAGCTCACGGGGACCCACGCCTATTGGTACCATGAGGCCTCCACCGAATTACGCTTCACAGTCAAGTTTAGACGGTTGCTCTGAGAAGCATGATAACAGCAGGGGCCGTAGCCAATCTCCCACTTCTCTTCCTTCGCTCGCTTCCTTCCCTTCACATTTTCCACTGCCACCTGTGTCTACGTCGCTTTCTTTGAATGAATCAGTACCTAACGGTACGAGAGAAAGTTGACCTAACCATGATACCCCTGCTGAGTCGAATATTCCTTATGAACCTTCAAAAACTATACTTTCTCATCCCATACCTTCAGAACAACGCACCCATCCGATCTCTTCTCAAGCTTCAGCGGAGTTGACATCCGCTCGCACCACAACTAAGGATGCTTCAGATGATCATCAACCACCTACAGACCTTGTGGCTTCGCAACAGGGTTCTCGCCAATCGTCGTCCTCAAATGTGATGCCATCCTATGGTGCTTAAATTGCAGAGCCCAGTTCCGGGCGTTCTCGACGCTATTCAAAGCCGACCATTATGCGTACCACAGAGCACGCTGAACCTATGGTTGCGTCACTGCATATAGGACTTCGTGTTTCCTCATTGGTATTGTCTAGAGCCCTTGTATAGCTATGTGTCGAGTTTCCACAAGAGTGAGATATCAAGTCACCTAGGCAGACAGACTCCATCAGTCTCTGGTCAGTTTTCTTCCTCGCTGCTCCTCTTCTTCCAAGCTATTGTCAGTATAGCTCCAGCAATCCGACCCGCACTCGGAAGGACTCTCATCGTCTTCCGATGCTAACTCTGGAAAAAGCAGTTGGCCCAGACCAAGGTCATGACATCTCGTCATCTTGAGCAACATGCCAAGACCCATATCGTTCGTCGGACGTGAGCTAGGACTATCTAGCAGGGCCCATGTTTCATCTGAGAGCTCTTCAGCCATACGGCCAAACGTTGAGCTAATCGCCGCAGGATAGTGAAACGCGGCGAGGATAAAGCACATTGGAGAACCTAGATCCATAGGTAGGTTACACTTGAGTAAAAAGACGGAACGAGGGCTTACAGATTCCACTGATGCTCTGTTCGCGGTATAGGGATTGTGACATTGGTTGAGTCCCTGGTGGAGACTCGTCTTCACCGGTTGGTATGTGCTCAGGCAAGATATCACCCAGGCGATACAGTCGTTGACACGCTGGACATATTCGTGCGTTTAAGCGACTCTTGTTATACCAGAGAATCTGACCATGCTGTCAGTATTGGCTTAAGTCTTTCTGCAAGTGAAAAGACACGCACTAGTGCAGTCTCTTCTGGTAATACATTACACAACATGTCGATCAAATCCTCCTGTGCGAACTCTGCGCAGAGGGGATCGTCGAGTGAAGGTGGTGTCGCGAAGGAAGACGCAAGGAACGCGTTGATATCTTTAACACGAGGACCATTTCCTGGATCCTGAATGAATGGCTCTTTGGGTAGAGAGTACCCGTAGCTATAGTACTCGTCATCAGTTGCATTAACATCGTAATAGTCGTCATCGTGAAAGTCATGATAAAGTGGCTCAGGCGTGCGAGCTTGGGTATAAATTAGACATGGTGGCGTGAGCGGGTGTGATGGTGTCGAGATATGAAGACTTGGTGCTACGGACTCGACGAAAGCAAGTTGTTCATGGCGCTGGCATTCTACAGATGATGATACGGGTAGCGAATGGGCAGATAACGGTGGACTCGACACTTGTCGAGCTGTCTTCGATTTCTTTTCCTTCTTGGATTGTAGTTTCTTCTGTTTCTTCGCGTTACGAGGGCCTGGCATGACGGTAAGGAAGGAATCTCTTCAATTGATGCCTTTGAACGCGTTGTCAACGACGCGACCGGCCTTCCCGCGCTGTCACTTTGGAGAGATCCTCACGTGGGCGCGTTTGTCACGTGCTGGTAGGACGCACTTCTGAACTTGAACTTGTTCAAGATAAATCTTAGCCATCCTCTCATCGATTCACCGCCAGACGTAGCGAAGTGCCAATATTTTGAAGCTTGGTGCTGGCCCGCGCGAACACACACTGTTTCTGCGTATCTTGATTCAAATAGCAACTAGGAGTAAGTTGCAAGTGAGTATTTCCAAACTCACTGAGCCGCCCGAAGTCTTGCTGAGCTGGACCTTGGTATAACCGTCGCGTCTTCGGAAACGTATGGATAAACCGATGATTGTGGTAGGTTGTCGTCAATTGATCGCGTCTACTTGTTTCTAGCTGTAACGAATCACTTGAAAGGAGAGACATACATGTCTTCGGATTCTAGTTCGGTGACTCTATCTCTTGCTTTCTGGTCATCAGAATGATTGCAAGAAGGGATAAGGCTGAACCCGAGCAGTGCGGAGGACAAGGTCAAGGCGAAGTGAGCCTCTGCAATATGCTATTATCATCGATTACTGACGGTTTTCCTTCGTTCGACCGGATCTCTTAGGTGGAAGGGACAAACGATGATGTCATACCCTTCACACTTCATCATGTGGATGTGCCCTTTGCAGATAATATTCCCGCTTTGTCGACGTGGGATTGACAGCCCTACCATATCTAGTGAAAACAGGAATGTTTTACGAATATGGTCGCTACGGTGGTAAACCTGCAGATTATGCATGGCAGGCGGCTGGGTTCACCGAAAACATGGACGTGAAGCAGGTCGAAAGGAGATTGAACGTCGCGCGGGCAATTTGTATTCTTCTAGCTCCTGATCATCTCTCGGAACTTATATTCGGGCCCGTTCTCCGGTACGCGTGGAGACATCGAGAAGGGTGGTTCCCTTCTATCATCCGTTGCTTGCGGTGAAGATGGGTAGTCTATGCTCCGCCTTCACCGCCCTTGCTTCTACGAAAGATGCCTCCCACGACAGGCTGTACGTGTCCCAGCAGCCCAGCAGGTTGTCTCTAGTTCTTCACAGCGATCGTCGCTATGAACCTTGGTCGAAACACATACCACCGACAGTTTTTGGAGAACCACTCAAGCCATATACCTAGTTCTTGCATCACTGAGGTCGACCCTGAGCGTTTGGAACCTTCTTGTCGTGTGAGCGTACTCGTTTATATTATGGGGATTCCTTGCTGACTGTAAGCCTCCGTGTCATCGAACATAAAGCTCAACCTCGATGAAAGAGCCTGTTGCTCTCAATCACGATGTTCTTCACAGCATAATGCTGCAGCTCAGCGTTCAATATCGTCCGGAGAAGGCGTTACTGCCTATGATGCAGACCTGCAAGGCTTTGCATGAATCTGGTCTGCCTATCCTCCTCGGCATACCCATTGAACTTTCCAACGCGAATGCTGAAGCTTTTTGTCGCTTTGTCTTGAGCGACAAGGTCAAGCTCGGAGGCTTCCTCAGGGATCTCACTTTGTATGATTGTGGTTCCGCCGTCGTCCCCGAACCACAGGTCTTCCGTATTGCGGACGATCTGACAGAATTGTTCAAGTATACGCCCGGCATTCGCAAACTCAGAGTCAAGCATACTCAGAACCTCTGGACCTGGGCGAAACCTCTCTTTCTCGCCATAGTCGCCTTACCCAATGTCGAATGGCTGCAGCTTGAGAAGCTCAGTTTGGAGTCGGAGGCCCAACTAAAGACTATGACCGTGTCTGCAAAGAGCCTTTCCCTGTCTTTCGGATGGAAATTGCATCCTTATGACGTTGATCTTGCATCGCTAATCCCCTTCCGCTCTTCCCTCAAAGACCTTTGTTCGACGGTCGTTTCCTTCGTGCATGTCAACACTCAGTTTGCAGCTATGCAGACATTGGCCTTTGACTGGCTTCCTCCAGCATTTATCGACGCGCCAGCCTTAGCGCGTTTGTTTCCTAACCTCCGATCGCTCACTGTTCACCAATCTGAGACCGCAAACGTCCTCTACATGGAGGAGGATTTGAGCCTTATGCAGCAAAGGAATAAGGAGAGATCGGGGGACATGGCATGGCAACAGCTGGATCACCTTGGTGGCTCCCCAGCAGCTTTGTTCACGCTTGGTATATCCTGCCCAGTTCAACATCTGGAGCCGGAGTGGGACTTCGAGGACCACGGTATGCTGGACAAACTGGTTCACATCGTAGAAGACTGTGGTCCGCGTTCAATCGCGTTCACAGCGGCCCCAAGGGACGTCGAAACAATTCAAGGGATGCTTGCTTTATTCCAAGCGTGCATAGTTCACCCAGATTCAGTGATGTTCATGCTCGATCTGCATGATGAATCCGTGGACATCCTAGACCCCATCATAATGGTAGATATAACCATTGTTTATGCGTAGTACCGAATCTGACTCACGAGATACAGGATGACTTCTTTAAACTTCTACAGGTACTCAGAGCATCCCATATCGAAATTCACTTGATACCCCGTTCCGACTTTTCCGGTCCATTGACTACATCCTGGTGCTCTGCAGGTATACGACGTCTCCATTTGTTTGCCTATCGTATCTTGCAGAGCATGAATGCTGTTCAACATATCCTGATTGAAATACCTGGAATCGAGGCGCTACGCTGGGAGGTTGTCTGTTCAGGAGTGGGTGGCCGCGAGAACTCGTTGCGCGGCATGTCAAGTTTCACAGCTCGCACTTTACACTTCATCCCGACCTAGATATGTCATCCCCGAACGAAATCTGTACGAACGCGGCTTTTGCTCATCGTGTTGTTCTTTGCACGAATGAAACCCCTTAGATGACTGCCTACGTCATGGCGATATACTAACTCGGGAATCTTGTATGGTCCATATCGTATTTATCTAGCTGCTCTGATGCTAAACGGAATGACGTTAGTCCATGTTACGACTTTCTGGTGGATCGTGATCGTATAGGAACCCGGCGTTCCTCATTGAGACCGGGGCTGGTGCTCTATACGTATAGGCCCGCCTGTCTTTCCATTTCATGTCTTCAATATACCCCAGCTAAATGTTAGGTCGGAGAACCCGAGAGACGCGCTTCCCCAACTTTACGTCTCTGCGTCCGGCAAATGTTGGCGAACGTAACGATTGCGATTCAGACTAACCTCTTCATTCGGGCAACGTCATCCACATTCGGTCAGTCTATGTCTGTCAGCCTCCTTGTCAGTCTCAACAACAGGTCATTACTCGCGATCCCAGCCTTACTGTGTCACTAACCATCATTTCCACGTTATATACTCAAGCATGGAACACGTGTTAGCACTACTCTACCTCTTGTCATCTCCCGTTGCTCTTCAGGAGTTCAGGCAACGCAATCCAACAAACCTGGGATCTGACTTCGACAATCTTTTCTCTCAATCGAAGCAGAAGAAGGGGCGCACGAGCTTTCAACCTCTCAATTCTTCTAGGCTTCCTAATCGTGGTGACTCACTTGCATGTTCTGCTTCTCAGTCCGTCATGAAGGCTCTTCTCCCTACCCCTCCTGCGTCGCCCTGTCTTGAGGAGAGCTTTTTGCAATCTCTCGCTCTTTGCCACGCGTCGTCTTCTACCCCAGTTCGCCAATCTTGCGACAGCGCCGGTTATCTTGATTCCAACGACAGCGATTTCTCGATGACTAGTGCAAATTCTAGCTCGTCCACACTATTCGAAGATATGCCCGGACATTTCTCGGCGAAATGGTGTGCTTTGAAGTCTACTTCAGCTTGCACATCAAGTTCGAAGGATCCAGCGTCGCCACTTTTCCAAGACTCTTCTAGCCACACCTCTACCCCTCAAGCAAAAATCTATTGTGATCAGGCTATCCAATGCGGTGTTTTGGATTCGTGCCATCGTCCAGCCCACGTCCACCTCTACCAATGCTCCACTCGAGGCTGATCAGGTTCTTCAAGCCCTCATCAATCCTGGCATTTATTCTCCTCCTCCGAAGGCCTTTAGTGAACGACCATCCAAAAAGAAAGTTGATGCTTGGCGGTTCACTCAGCAGAATGAGTTCATGGACTTGAAGCTTCTCGTGATCAGCGAGTTGAACCTACGTCAAGACCAGAAAAAGGTTGAAATGGCCAGCTCTTTGAATGAGACACCCAAGCGTGCCGTCCACAGGCTCAAGGTGACTTCATCCATCTTCAATATGGCATATGATTCTCAGACATTTTTAAACAGGAGAAGAGATACAGTCTTCCTGTTTCAAGCGAGTTCAGACGCACTGTTATCGAACGAGAACGGCTCAATGAACTGAGAAACGCCAGGGCTACTGGGGAAGAAATCCTGGGTAAGAAAAGAGTAGGCTTGGGCTTGGCGCCGTTACCTGATGAGGAGAAGGAACGAGTGAGCTCTTGTGGATGGTACAAGGAACTTGTGAGGGCGAGACGAGCCCCGAACCATCGATATTCTATATGACTCAGTTATGGTCTTTTCTGCCTCTCATATCCACTGAGTCCCATAAGGAGATCTTAGCTTCACCTAATTTGAGAAGCATATATGGACATGCTCACAGTCACAGTCTATCATGACGGCGTTCTCAGATGCTTCAAGCTCCTCAACCCGGTTGGAGTTGTCCAGAAGTGGATATATCTGCCTGAATAAGGCAACTACTCTGGATCCTAACATGCGCAAATATCAGCTCACCATGTACCAGAGCCTTGATACGGCTTATCTTCAGCCCAGCCGCAGTCCTTGTATTCTCACTCTTTCAGCTTGCGGTTACACGCATCCTCCATTCGGTGTCTAAAAAGTGCGCTTGGCGACAACGTGCTGCGGTTGTCGCAAGAAGAAGTGCCCCAGAAACGGCCGGAGATGGCCGACTGAGTCAATGCGCCTCTGGGTGAGTTTAGTCTGGAGTTGGGCGCGCCTGTGTGTAGCGACTCCAAAGGGCACTCCACTTCCAGCACCGTTGTTCGCATCTCCACAGAAAACCACCCCAACATCACGATGACGTTTATGAACACCGGTTTCGGTTATACAATGAAGCTTCTCTCGGATTGGGGCCCCTCACAGAACATATATAAACCTGCCACTCTCCATTGACCTTCCTTTACACTTCTTTCGCTCCGCTCTCGAACTTGACGAATCCGCCCTTTACTTCAGTCCCATCGAAACAAGATGTCCATGAACGGTACTGCTATCCTTACCGCCGCTCACGATGACGCAGCGCGTTTTGGTGCACGCATCGACTTGAAGAACATCAGTGAAGGTACGTCGATTTCTCGTAAGGGTTTATTCGTCGCCGGCGCCTCGAGGAAACATATAATATTTGGATATCACCTGCTGCAATTCTCGATGATGAGCCGGAGAGATGGCTTTACATGAGAGCGTATTTGAAGTATCTTTCCCGTCAGATTCCGTGCTGCTCTACGGTGATAGTTTGGACCTAGACCCTTGTGCCGCCGGCGAACACACTCCTTTGTGCAATATCAGAGTGCATTGAGACTTATGCCATGTTGTATAGCTGATGCTAGGAAATTAATGTCCGCCGAACACAAAGCTCTTGGTTTCCGTCCACCTCCAGGTTCACTTGCCGCAGAAGCCCAGGCCGAGGCAGCAAGACACCCAAAGACTGACGCTCAAATATCCTTGGAAGCGTTGCGAAAGGCCGCACTTGAGGATGCAGAACGTATCAAAGGTCTGAGATCTAGTACGGGCGAAGTGAATTTGAACGTTGTCGGCCAAGGTGAGCTCAGATATAACAGTGTCATGTTCTTGTTTAAGATTGATACTCACGTCCATGGATTATAGCTGAGGCTCGCAAGTTGATGTCCGATGAACACAAAGCTTTAGGGTACCGACCAACACCCGGTTCTCTCGCCGCTGAAGCCCAGTCTGCTGCTGCTAAACACCCCGAGGGTGTTCCCGATGCACATCCGGAGATTTATGAGTTACATCGCGCGGCTTTAGAAGACGCAGCGAAGATCGAGAGTTCTGCAGCTGCCGCCATCAACCTGGACGCGATTGGTGAAGGTAAAGTACCCAATTGCTACTTTGTCCTATCTCTTGCTGATGAACTTCATAGCTGAAGCTCGGAAACTAATGTCAGAGGAGCACAAGGTGCTCGGATACCGCCCTCCACCAGGTTCTCTCGCCGCTGAGGCCCAGTCCGCCGCCGCCAAACACCCCACTTCCAGCGCAGGCGTCGATGCTGCGACGCTTGCCAAAGCGGCTCTGGAGGACGCTAAGAAGATCGAGTAGGTGTCACTCGACGTTCATATACGAGCGTTCTCTGACACCTCCACTTCTCATTCAACAGAAGCATCCGTCGTTCCTCAAACGGTACTGCCACAGCAGAAAAAATGAATGGTTTCGGGCGTCGAAGCTCTGGTGGTTCATCATCTTCTGAGAAGATGTCTCCGGAGAGACGTGCTGGTGGTGGATCTGTTGCTGCGGAGAAGATCAACCCGGAGATAATCACTGCTGCTGAGGCTCATCAGTTGCAAAGCGAGGAACAGAAGACGTTGGGGTATAGGCCTCCTTCGGATTCACTCGCTGCACAGGTGCAGAGTGCCGTTGATAAGCGGGATCGGCAGCCCGTACGTGTGGCCCACCCTCGCTCTGACATGACGCTTGACTCCGCTGATGTTGGGTTTGTGTTCTATGCAGGTGACGAAAGACATAGCGGCCTCACTCGAGTCGCAGGAACACAAGGCTGTGGGTCATCTTCCAGAGAAAGGAAGTATAGCTGCTGTTGCTCAAAGTCTTGCGGATCAGAACGAGAATGACGGTGGTGAGAGGACCTTAGCTGATGCTGGCATGTAAATGCTTTCAGGTGTTCTCGTTTCCCTTATCGGATCTTGATGGTTGTGCTGCTGGCAGACGACTCAGATTCTTGGATCTTGCCTACGGACGAGCTGGATGATTGGCTTGGTCATGTTCAGCTGGAGCCTGAGATGATCAACAACTGTGTTTATAGAGGATTCTGTTTTTTTTTTGTATTTGTACGATACCCCGCTCGTAAGTATTGCAAAGTATTATAGTGTATCAACAAATTTTCAATCGATTCTTGCATCCAAATGTCTCGGGGGAGGTGTTTTGAGCACGGCAGTAGTCATGATGGAAAGTGATCGGTCCCGATCATCAAGGCTGCATAACTCTCAGGTTCTGGTCTCAACTTTCTCTTGAACTTCAACGTCTTTCGAGCAACTTTTACAATTGAAGATCATTTTGTGTTTCTAGGTCATTCTCGATGTTCAAGAAACCCCTCGCCGACCTGAAGACGTCGGGTATGATTTTCATCTTGCATGTCTTTTGTTGACTCTTCTCCGACCTTTTCACCTTTGCTACCCTACAGCTCCTCTCCGAAGTTCAGATCGACGAAAGCTCAAACAACGTGTCGTCGAAACGTATTCACTCTCACCTGAAGTGGGAGACTTACTTGTTCCTGAAGGACTCTTGACGCAAAAGTTTAGTACGCATGTGAACGAACATGGTGTACGTCTTACTTCCATCTCCTCAAAAGCTTCAGGACACATGCTTATTCCTACCAATGCGTTCATTTCTCGGCTTGTTAGGTAGCTTACTTATCATCTGAAAGCGACCCTCTTTGGTTTACACTTGGGAAGGGATCAGACGAGTTGATTCCGACTGGTGAGCTGCGTAGACCTCGATCGCATGTACTGTCGTTCATGGACATATACTTCGCGTTGCAGTCTATACACTCTGGAAGTATCCAGAGCTCCTCCCGTTTCTTTCAACACCTTCAGCAGTTGTACCCAAGTTGATCGGTGGTGCAGACCTCATGATCCCCGGAGGTCAGTTCTTCCCCCAACCCCCTCCATACATAGTCACCTTCTAACCCTCTACCTCTGCTCCCAAGAAAGTCGTCCAACACTCGCCTTTTCTGCACCCTAACCAACTCGTCTCAATCACGCAGTACCATTCTTACCCCAAACTCGGACCTCCATTAGCCGTAGGACGCATGGCCGTCTCAAATGATGTATTGAATAGGTCGGATAGAGGAGATGATGTGAAAGGAAAGGCCGTACATGTGTTGCATACTTGGAAAGACCACCTTTGGGACATGGGAAATGGGAGGAAGATGGACGTTCCGGCACCAAGGGAGGTTGTTGAGCGGGAGCAGGCGGAGGGAGCAACAGAGAATGATGCGAAGCAACAGCCTGTAGGCGGTATACAGGAACAGATAGAAGATGGAACTGGCGCAGAGGACATTCTGGGTGGTACTCAACCTGAAGCCAGTGGAAGTGGAACTCAGACCCAGCCAGCGACTGATGCCGCAAGACCTGTCATGACGACGCTGACACCTGAAGGTAACCCATCTTATATACTGCAAGTATATGACGACTCATTTCTATCTCTAGACGTTTCGCATTGTCTGCGTAGCGCGTTACTCCAAGCGCTCCAAACAACTCTCAAGTCACTTCCACCGCCGTCTTTCCCAATACCTGCATCCACGTTCTGGTCGACATATATCCTCCCTTCCAGGCCTGCTTATGCCTTGGGTACAAATGGACTTTCAGGTATACTTATACTCATCAGTAATCATGAAGTTGTAAGGTTGAGTACTGATCTCGCGTAGATTCTAATCAAATTGATATCAAGCACTCTACTCACAAGACTGTCAAAACCTTCTTGAAAGCCATGGCCAAGGAGGGTCTTCTGAAGTTGAAGGAAAGTAAGGGAGACGTCCTCGTTACCGGTAGGTCCCAAATCATTCCGCTAGGTCCTTGTTTTTGATCGTTTGGGAAGCTGTATATCCCGCCCACCCTGCTGTTGGTTCTCACCGGCCTCACAGAACGGTACAAAGCGTTGGCGCTCAACGGGAAAAGGCCGAAGAGCGGGAACGCAAGGAGAAGGAAGCCGAGGAAAAGAAAAAGGGAGAGATCCAAGTAATTGAGTTGTGGAAACCCCATGGGTCTACGGTTGCTTGGTTCGTCGCTGCCGGGAAAGAGTGAGAACCATCTTTACCCTGATTTTGTATCTCCGGCGTTATTTTCTAATGGGCCTTTTGCAACAGCACGTCGAGTCTGTACACAATGCCAGATATCAGGGAGATCTTCAACACCTATGTATCGTCTAAGAAATTGATCAATGTTCAAGAACAACAATACATCAATGTCGGCGAAGATCCTGCCCTCGCTTCTGCTGTCTCAGCAAAGAACGAAGACATTCCTGAGTTTATGAAACGCGAAGAAACTCTCAAACGGATACGCGATCACATGCAGCCTTGGCATGAGACTAGGGTGGTGGGTAGCGATGCAGTCCGGAAGTTCGTAACTAATTCTGCGCTTAAGTTCGATATTGGAAGTGGTCGTGCTGACCTCCATTCGTTTCGCTATAGGAAGGGACATGTGAGACCTATATTTGTAACGGTAAAGATTCGACAAGGACGAAAAGCTGCAACACTCATCAGTGGTTTCGAGCCGTACCTACTACAAGCAGAAGAGTTGGCAGAAGAGCTGAGGAAGCTGTGTGCGAGCGCTACTTCGGGTACGTCGCTCAACCTCCATTATCTTTGCTCTCATTAAGTTTCGAGAACTCAATTGCATTCCTCCGCGGGTTTAGTCACGCCGCTTCCAGGAAAGTCGTCAGACTTAGAAGTGATGGTCCAAGGCAAGCAAATCAAAGCTGTCACGGACCTGCTGATATCGAAGGGAGTGCCGAAGAAGTGGATTGAAGTTGCAGATCTTAGTGACGCAAAGAAGAAATAGGCGAATAATGCAGTGAAATGAAATGTATGTACAGTACTCGAGGTGATTCTCATTATCGCATCTCCGATCGCAGAAGCAATCTTTCGAAACGGTGTGTTTTCCTGCCCACATGTAATGTCTCCTCACAGTACTCTGCGAGATGTTTTGATGTCCCGTGAGACGGCCGTTGCACGACACTCTCCAGCAAGATCAACTAGTTCTCTATGGACCGCTGTTTTTAATGACACTTGACACGTTCAACCACACATAATCGTCTCAACCACGATACATACATCTCTTCGTTTTGCGATTCCAATTGTCTAGGCCGTGTTCCGTTCAATCAGGCCAGCTCACAAGCGTTGTTTACGCATTCAACTTGTGGAGGAGACTGGGCGTACATATTTCATAATTTCATGATTTTGAAAGGTTTTCAGAGATGAATTGAAGTGGCATTGCATAAATTGGCGAGTAACACTAAGTTGATGACGGCAACTACCAGTAAAGACGATGCCTTTTATGGATATGTCTATCTTGCCCACAACATGAGCGCTTTCTTGTTCCCCTCTTACCTTGGAAGCCTGATTACTACTAGCGTCACCTTTAGTCTTCAACATCATGCCTTCATTTTCTGGTTAGTATGCACGTCTAAAGCCCTTTTTATGTCTTGCTTATGTTCTTCTAGTGGGCGATCTCAAGGATCGCGCTACGAAGATGAAAGATGCTTCCGTAACCAAGGTCAAAGACACTCGGGACCGGTACTCGAGTACATCCAGCAAGAATTTGGACTGGGATCCAAATCATAAACCCTCTCCACCACCACCTATGTCTAGATCTGCCTCAGTTGCGACCTATGGACGAACATCCAATGCCTACTCTCCACCACCCCCACCCCAACGTCAGGGCGGTCCTCCGCCCATTATACGCAGAGATACCCGTCCAGACCATACTCCTTCTCCTCATTCTGCACCGTCACCTCCTCTGCGAACTTTATCGTCTGCTAGTCATTCCGCGCCTTCGGCCGGGATCGATTGGTCGAATCTGTCTCGTCAAGATAAGGAGACATTGTTCAGCTGGTTAGACGAGTACTTTGCACAGCGGTTCAATGTCTCTCCTCAATCCACGGCGTCTTATATTTCGCAGCCTGCGGCGAAGCCAGCAACTGCACCCAGGCCTGTGAGCAACATCCGGTGATTGTGCTGCATATGTGTGTAATCGTAAACCTTTGCTTGCCTACTCGCAGCCCATATTGCCTTCTAGGGCCAGATCCCTGGCGCCTTCTGTTTCTCCAACTTCGAACGGTGGGTATACTTTACTACTATACTTATTCTAGATTCTGACTTTACATGCAGAATCATTTACGACATCCTATCCTCCACCTACACAACATGGCTCTCAGGCCCTCGATCTCGCATACTACTTCCACACTTCAACACAGTGGGATTCAGCATGGTACACCTTTGACCATCCCCTTCCACCTCCAATCCAAGAGCACAGACCACCCATTTTTCAATACGCATGGGAATTTCAAGGTCCATACAAATCGCTCTTCGGCGTTGGACTCTTTGAAGATCTTTCTGTTTGTTGGTACACCGTCAAGTGGAACTCATCCATTAATTCAAATCCAAATGATACTCGTGATGTGCAACGATCCGCACAATACCTACCTCGACCCAAAGTGATGGACAAAGCCGCATTATTAGAAGCGCACGAGACATATGGCGAGACTGTTGCTGGGTTTGCGGAGAGCTTTGAAGGGACGGGACAGTATTGTGCATCTGGAGAGTGTTGGGACTTGGCAAACGAGGGATTAAAGTATTTCGATCAATTCGACTACGTTCCCAAGCCATTACCAAGTACTTCGCGAACTCATGGTCATCTTATCTTCGAGGGCAAGGCCACTGGACCCGGACTAACCAATCAGATTGGCAGGTGGAGAGGTGGAGATGACCGTGTCCGACGAGGCGATGTTGTGCAATGGGTCACTGCCAGACTTGGCATGCCTAACGGTGGTGAGGCGATCATGGGTGCACCCGACCATACCGCCGTCATCGTCAGCGACTCGATTCCAAGCGTCTCAGTGTCGGATGGTGCGATTGTGAAACCGGGTTCAATTGGCGTTTTGGAGGTCGTCGAGCAAAGTCGAGGTACACCACCAAAGAGGGAGAAATATGATTTGAATAAGTTGAAAGTGGGCGAGCTTTGGATATACCGCCCGGTAGGGATGACCGATTACTTAGGGACGACGATTGAAGCTAAGTGCCCTGATCGTGTAAATGCGTTGTTCATCTGAATCGCTCCATCGTTTTCTTGCACACTCATGTAGCCGTATATCTAAGTCACTCCGGAGTATACCGTTGATACGCGTGATAATTGGAAAACGTTCGAACAAAAACATTCAGATGTTGGACAGACGAGTAAGACGCAATGCGATTGTAGAAGGTACTGCATTAGTTGATAGCCATCACCTTCATCGGGAACTCTGCGTGGTTCGAGGTGCCCCCAATCGTAGGATATCTGATTCCAGCCATGTTCCAAATCACCTCCTTTGCGCAGTCAGGCATAGAGAATTTGAAGGATTCCAGCAGGACGGAGAGGACAACCTCTGTACAAAACGGTCAGTTAAGTTGGTGAAAGATATGTGACTGGAGATAACTTACTCATCTCCAACTGCGAGAACTTGAAGCCACTGGGAGTTGGTTAGCAATGACACCTAAGCTTAAACACATGATTCAGCTTACATGCAGGCCCTTCCACCACCGTTGAAAGTCATGCTAGAATAGTGACGTTAGTTAAGACAGTATTGACAGACTAAACCAAGAGCTAGACGCACAGATTAGAGTAAACGCCAGGGATGTGGGCATCTGCGACGGTGTCCGGCAGTGGCTTCAGCCAGCGCTCTGGCTTCCATTCTTTAGCGTCCTCTCCCCAGACTCCCTTGCTAACGTTCGAGGCCCGGATCCCGACGACGATGGGCGTGTCCTTGGGAACATGAATCTCCTGCATCATCTGGCCGTTGACACCACGAATAGGTTGAGAGAGGGGCAAGACAGCGTCTCGTCGAGCGCTACAATCATGTGTCCAGTTTACATCAGAATGTTGAGTACAAGGCGAGTTTTGCTTACTCTCGAGAAATGAAAGTGACAGGAGAATACCTAATGTGCCATGGAAAGAAACGTCAGTTTAGTATACCTGAACTTGGCGGGACGTCTTACAATCTCAAAGTCTCACGACAAACGGCATCGAGGTACGGGAGAGCCATGAGCTCATCATGCGGGATGTCACCGCCCGCTTTCATACGAGCGTTCGCAACCTCGGCTCGAAGCTTCTCCTGGACATCCGAATGTTCAGCCAACAGATGGAAGATCTGAGCAAGTGCGCTCGTAGTTGTATCCGTGGCGGCAAAGACCAAGGTTCTAGGTGACACAGTTTGTCATATGATCGTCGCAGCTTAAGAGGCAAGAACATGAACTTACGACATTTGTCCAAGGAGTTCCTCTTCCGAAAGTCTATCCTCTTCAGAAGCATCGATATTTGCTTTCACTTAGTTATCGATCGGTCAGTTGAGTTTGTGCGGACCGATGAATTGGAATTGCCAACTCACACAGGATGCTCATGATATCCTTGCCGTTACCAACCTGCTCTACCACCGCGGCGTCTCCCGCCTCTAGAGCGGCTTTCTTCTGGTAGAAGATACGTCTGGTGTTCTCGTCCATAATGTTGACGATCTGCGTGACATGCTTTACCCGCTCAAATGGCGCATTCTCCGCTAGCCAACGCCGGAACCATTTAGGACCCAATTTGACAAAGTATGGGATCAACATCCGGTAGAACGCCATGTTAAACATAGTAGCCCTGTGACATCGATTTCAAATAAGCCTTCATTAGGAACAGCGAACAAAAGGAAGAGGTTGGGAAGAGGCGCACGATAGCTCTTTCATAGCTTTAGCGTAAGCTGTGTATGGAACGTCCTCCTTCAAAGAGTCGAATGAATAACCAAGCCCGCCTTGTCCGACTAACTCAAGAGCAGTACGATGGATCCAGTGGAGTATATCGATATCTTTAGAGGAACTTCCGATTTCATTCTTGATTCCCTCGCAGAGCTGCGAAGACAAGTCTGAAGCGTGAAGAGACGTGCTGATGTAGAATTTGTGCACTCACGTTATGACTGACCCGATAGAAAATAGGCGTCATATGCCTCATGTGTTTGATTGAGAAGACTGGGTTGAGCATCTTACGTTGCTTGCGATGGTGTTCACCTGGGTCACAGGGGTGAGCGTTGTGCAGATTAGACATGGTAAGTCACGAACCGTAAGTCGCCAAGAGGCCAGGGCCCATGATAATGGCCATCGAACTGGACACTGCTGGTCAGACAGACTGAGAAAGATCAAAATAAACAAACACAACTGACGTCGTTGCCCAGTCACTAGGTTCAAACACATATTGGTCTTTAATGATGATGGTATGGAGGGCCCTCGGATCGAACACAAAGAGGGCCTTGCGCTAACGACGGAATGAGATACTTAAGTGATATAAAATCACAAATTGAATCTTACGCCGAAAATACTGTGGATCTTGACTACGGATTCGTATTTCTCTCCAAGCTCGTCCTGGAAGTTCCACCCGTGGCGATCATAGAGTTGAGGGAGATTGCCTATATAGAGGGAAACGAGTCGGTATCAGTAGGCGCTAGGACATGAATCACTGTAGACCTTTCAACCAAGAGGTGGGTTCGGGTCCGGGAATGTTATCCAGCGGCGACTTCATAACCAGATTCCGAACTATACGCCATAGAAGCCAAGCTGCTGATAAAGCAACGAAACTCTGAATGATGGGAAGACTCATCAATGCGGATATTAACCAACTGGAGTGACTGGAGTGGCTTGAGAATATCAACGGAGAGGTGCACGAGTTAGAAGCCAGAGGAAGATGGCCTATATATACAAAGCCAAAGATTGCGCTCAGACGTCCTTACTTTCCAGCGTTGACTAAATTCCGATGGCCAAGGAGAACCGAAGAAACCCTGCGCAGCCTAAAGAGGTCGTTCTTTTTCCTGCGATCCTGCAAAGAGGGACTTGAGTCAATGAGGGATAGTCAAACCGTCGCTCCATCAGAAGAACCGATGCTTCGTCGGGAAATAAAGGCAATCGTCTCTCATACAGGACGAGACGTGCGCGAATTACGGCCGGAGGGGTCTGTTTCGTACTCCAAGGAGTCGGTCCGGGAACCCAGCATGTGAAGCGAGCATTCAGATACCAGGTATACTGGGCTTCAGACTGACACTTCTGACGTCTAGAATCCCCCTGAGCGTTCCCATGACTGCTGAGGAGAATGCAGAGACATGAGTAACTGACGCGCGCAAAGGGCACCGTACATTGAGGATGACAGGCTCAATCTCCGCTGGTTTGTTACTGCCATGCTCGGTAATGTGAAGTATCATCCGTCTTTTAGGTACCGCATTGAAAAAGCATTGAACTTCCACATTCATAGGAATTCAGTTACCAACATCGTTCAGCAGAGAAGCTATGAGCGTCAAGGTGAGATAGAACCTCGGTCTTGTGTACGTCTTGTGTACGGCCACGGTCTGACTGTCAATACCAGTCAAGCATACGTTTGACAATTGACGTTCTCATGGAAGCGCTCCATGGTCTCCTGGGCAGGACACCTCGTCAGTATCTGAAGAAAGTAGTCCCACGGCTCACACGGCACAAAACAACGAAGCGAATCCTGGAAGCAAGCGTGGTGGGCATAAGAAGCAATCATCGGATCACCTTTGACATGTAATATGCACGCACCCATCGCCCTATGTGGCATCGTCATCGTCGTGCGACGTCAGCGATACGTTGAAGTAAACTGTGCCGTAAATGTGTTTTCTTGTGATGGAAGGTCGTGAGAACACTGTAGAATAAATAGCTACATTACAGGAAAAATTTCACTGGCTGCGGGCCTTGTTTCGACAACAATGTGTACGGTTCTTTCAAAGCGGACGATGTCAGCATGAATTTAGGTATAAGTAGTAATAGAACGAGTGATGAAGCCAACCTTACGTTGCATTTTCTCGCCCAAAGAGATAGCCTATAACACAACCACAGAAGTTCCGCAGTATCATTTAGAATCAGACGGGCCAAGCATGTACATGGATTTCTCAATGTGTTTGTAAACAATGTAACGCATACGTGACTGCTGAGAGACATACAGGCTGCACTAAAGTTGCTCAGGCCGAAACTTTTGAACGCCCGAATAGCCGCCCAATCATAATACTCTTCCTTGAGTTATCTTATCAGATAGGCTGCTTTCGTCCACTCATCATCCTCGAATTTCCGTCTCGAGCATGCCCGTCTCTCTCTCAGACCTCGAGGCTGCCATTCGAAATGCAATCCCTGTCGCACATCTAGAGATTGACGACCAGTCGAGTGGCTGTGGAGAGAACTATGCGGTTCTGATCGTGAGCGAGGTATGGTAATCACACAGATTGAGTGACCTCTTACACTCAACCGTCTTGTGCAGGCATTCGAGGGCAAATCCACCCTTGCAAGACATCGGTTCAGTGAGTTCTATCATGTGCTATTCTTGCATTCCACAGAGCGTTGATTGATAATTTTTTTCTACAGTTAATGAGGTCCTAAAGGCTCAGATTGCACAGATGCATGCTTTCTCTCAGGTTTGATTTCTTTCTATTGCATCAGTGGGTGAAAGAAGCAGACATATGTCTCCTTACAGAAGACGTTCACGCCAAAGCAGTATGAAGCATATCTACAAAAATCCTCATGACAGAATATTAGAGATGGCGATCATGATACCTTTTGTGTCCATAACGAATCGAAGGGTGTAGCTTCAAGGCAGAATAGAAGTGTGTAAATGTATCTATAATGTACAATCATGGAGTACAGGTCCAAAACCGAAAATGGATGTCATGCGAAGTGGATACCAACGTCGTGGAATGATGACAGTAATCTGAGACGCATCCCATGTCAACAGGATATACTTTATTTCAAACTCTGGACTCACTTTAGAAGATCATCGACGTCCATTTTTGCTGCGCGATGTTCTGAGAAACCAGAATCCTCAAGGACCAGTTCGACTTTCTTCTTGATGTCAAAGTCATCCTCGACCATCTAGCAAGAACCAGTCAGTTATGTTAGGCCAGGTCAAACCTTCTAAACTTACAACATCGTTTGCAGCCGCCCATGTCTTCCAATTGCCCTCCAACATTTCCATTACACCCTTTGCCATGAAGCCCGCATGAATTGTTTTGTTCCGTCTGCTGAAAATAATACGACCAAGCCCATCGAATTCATTGAACTCAACGGGTGGTGGCGGGTCTCGTGGTACGAGTCGAATAACACTGCTCTCCACTTTCGGCGGTGGCCTGAAGTTGTTTTTGCCAACGTTCATAACCAAGTCAACTTTTGCATAAAGCTGAACATTTGCTGATAAGCGTGACCAGAGCTCTGTTCCTGGTCGTGCAACAAGACGCAGGGCAAATTCCCGTTGGAACATGAGGATGGCGGTGCGGAATAGAGGTCGGTGTGAGAGCAGACGGAAGATGAGTGGAGAAGAGATTTGATAGGGTGTGTTTGAAATGCAGACATCGAAGTATGGTAATGTCGCTTTGACGAAATCTCCAATCATGATTTCGAGTTTGCGTTGTTCTGGTCTATGAAACACGACTAAGAATCAATCAGTAGTAAGACGACGTCCATACTCACTTTCCCTGCACACGCTTCGTCAATTCAGCAGCCATACGAGGATCCATCTCCACGGCTGTGACATGCTTGGCCTTTTCCAATATCCTCACTGTAAGATTACCAGTACCTGGACCAACTTCTAGGACTTTGTCCGTAGGTCTTAAACTGGCCTAGCAAAGGGTGTTCACAAGACGGTATGAAGGCTCAGCATCCCTAACTGATCGCACCTTATCTACAATCCTAATTTATCAATGAGCTACTCGTCATGTAGGAAGTTTCGTCCACCTACGTTTGCGCTACTTGCGGATTTTTGAGAATATGTTGACCGAATCGTTCGGTATTGAATATCGGATTTCGGGCTCCTGATGACGACGATTCTGCCTTGTCATTGGATTTTGCTTTTACAGAAGGCTGATGTGCACGATTGAAACGATCTGTTGTTGCCCTAGGCATGACGAAAGTAGTAAAGCAGACAAGACAAGTGCCGCGGTGAGAGGAGGATAGGTCGAGACGGAAGAAATAAATTTGCCGATCGGGCCATCAAATCTCCTGATCAATGTCACGATCATACGTACGGCACTTGCCGATCTGTACTTTTATGTCAGAGTTGGTCAGGCTTCAGGGAGTGAGAGTGCCTTGATTCTGGAAATCACTGTAGCTCCTGCGGAGGTTAAAAGTCATTGGCGTCAGGGAATCGCTCTGTGAGTCTCACAGACCCGCGCTCTGACACCTACGCTATGTCCCTCGCATTATATCCCGAACCGAAAGAGGTTAGACGATTCAGGAAATGGCTCCTTAAAAACGGTGCTCAGGTGCATGAAGCCGTTCATTTCCAAAAGAGTAAGAGAAGCGTGCTTCTCATTTATGCCACACGGCTCTGACACTAATTACCAGCCCATGCTTGACAACAGACTCTTCCGGGTTTTCCATCGTTGCGCGCAAAGACGTGCCCGAGGACTCTACGATCGTGTCGGTACCATTCGGTCTCGCGATTACACCTGCATCAGCCCTCAAGGCTTTATCAGAGATTCTGCCAAATGAGGCGCGAGCGTTGATAAATTCTCTACAGAAATGGTCTGAAAGGCAACTTATCTGCTCCTACATTTGTGCCCACCGGTTTTTTGACGAGAAAAGGTGCCGTAGACAGCTCCTTACCCCTATCACAAAACTCTGAATTTTCCTTGTGGGAAAATAGCACCCCGACATCTCTTAAACATGGACCATACATCGATAGCCTACCGCCACCGGAAAAGCTTCGAACAGCTCTACACTTTACGCCTGCCGAGTTAGAGCTCTTTCGCGGCACCAACCTCTACGGCGCCACCAATGATAGACGGAACGCCTGGCAATTGGAGTGGCAACAGTGCCGTTCCGTCTTCTCTGCAGCGAATCCCAAGTGGGGTCCGCTGCTCACTTGGGAATGTTACCTGACAGCCGCGACATACCTCTCTTCTCGAGCATTCCCCTCCTCGTTGTTGACTGACCAACCTTCGCTATATCCCACCCCAGATTCACATCCAATCCTCTTGCCAGGGATTGACGCTCTAAACCATGCCCGTGGACACCCGGTGTCTTGGGTTGTAACCGATCCCTCATCGTCGACTTCCAATCCTGTGATATCCTTGGTTTTACATAAGCCAACCGAGAAAAGCACTGAGCTCTTTAACAACTACGGCCTCAAGCCAAACGCCGAGCTAATTCTCGGCTATGGCTTCTCGCTGCTTCACAATCCCGATGATACCATTGTCCTGAAAATTGGCGGTGCACAACAGTTGGATAAGACAGGGAACGGATGGGAGGTAGGTCGAAACGCCAGAGGTATCGAGCCTGTGTGGCAAGCCGTCTTGAACGCTGTTTCTGCGGGCAAAGAGGAAGATGAAGATCAAGGTGTAAGCGTGGTGGATGAATTATACGCCGCAGATATGCTTGGTGAGATGGCTCAGGGTCTACATAGTCGTTTACCTTCAGGCGAGACCCCTGCGGACCAAGAGATCAGACCGGACGTGGCGACAATGTTCGACAACTATCTTGAAGGTAAGGAGGCACGCGCTGTTTGGCCAGAATTCAATGCTGAACCGTTCGATATTCAGGCCAGCGTGATATTCTGCAGTCAATCATTGAGTTTGCCCGTGACAAGGAGAAACGTGCGATGGAGATTGCTCAAGAGCAGGGTCTAGAGATGGTCGAAGAAGGAGACGAGGAAGAAGCTGAGCCTGAAGCCTAAATCATAGTTGTTAAGGTTGCATTTGAAGGTCATCAATTGTGTACAACAGAACGAAATCAAGCAGAGTATACCATATGATATGCATTTAACTTCTTCGCAATCGAGCGTTCAGCAGAACATTTAATACCGTCGTATTCTGTCCGTCCCAGAAAAAGTGAAAACCACGTTGAGTCGATAGTCCATCAACCAGAGTAGTATGGTTGTAGATTTAGGTTATACAGTTTGTTAGCGTTCTCGAAGAGAGCACGTTTGATGATTGCGATAGCATGCGATTCACTCATTTCACGTCGGTTGATCGATTCGGAAAGAACCTAATGATAAAACGGGTTTGTGAGTTAGATTGTTGTGTCGCCTGAAGCACGTACTTCGAACAAGGTTTGTCGAGCTTGAATCGATCCAAGATAGTACGACTCTGGCCACCAGTGTCCATCGGCTGAGATGTGGGTTCAGTACTTTATCCAAGAGGATCCACTGCACTGAATACTTACTTGACCATAGTATCTTATTTGTAGGGCAGAGCTCTAGCACCTGTTTGACGGTCGATCTCTGACCATCCGCGCTCAGAAATGGGAAAATCTCGCCAAAGTCAAGATAGACATTGGGATAGACTGCCGTCAGATACCCTGCTTCCCGTGTGTAGGGGTAACCTGAGTGCAGCAAGAGAATCTTCGTGTTGGGGTACGCCTTGATAATGGGTTGCATGAGAGCCGGGGAAGCTAAGGACAGTGTGATATCGTTATCCCCCAGTCCCGTATGAAACTGCACTATAACCATAAATGAATGCCAATTCATGGAGAACGGCCTCGTTGAAGTTTACCAGGTTTCCCACATTCCCCCGCGACCCGTAGAGTCATGTTCACCACAACATCATTGATCGCCTTGTCCGATAATCGTAGAGTCTTCGTAACCTCGTATCTCAATAAGGTCATGACGAGATTCCTATCCAAAGCACCCAAGTCGGGGTTGGGGTCGATATCTAACCCAGCACGATAGCATGCAATCGACTTGAAGCCTACCACCTCTGGATCTGTTGCGGCTTGCGATAAAGCCCCATGTAGGTGCTGCTTGAATCTTCCAACAAGTGCAGGCCCATCGACAGCAGAACCGGTTCTGATGATATCGTCCATGACTCCCTTTAGAATACCCTGGTAGCCCTGTGAGGCCCAATGATAGGCTTGTGAGAATAGGTGCATACCTCAGCTAATACCTCTACTCTGACGATTCGCTTTGTCGGGCTTTGAGTAAACTGGTCATGCCATTTGTATCCCGCCGCATACTCTGCGACACCTCCCAGCCCATCGTCGAGTAACAAACACTGGATCCTGGTAGGTTCCATGCATATGCGACACAATGTCAACCAGTCCACTGATTGTCGAATCTGTTTAATATCCTCCCAATGTTCTGTATTCGTACCAAACAACTTCCCAAGCTGAAGTGTTGCTCGATAACATGCAAGTGTGTTAGTCGCGTCTTGCGTAAGGCCAGGACCGGGAGAAGCCTCTGATATCAGTCCCTCGAATACGAACGAGTTTCGGTATTGCTCTCGAAGTAGAGGATGCGCATGATTGTCGATGGCTGGATACGTCAAAGCGACGCGAGCCAGTTCGGGATTGTTCATACTCATCGTCTCTAGAACTGAAGCAGATATGATGAAGGTTTCAATCAAGCCTAATAGAGTTTAGACGACATTATATAGCTTCTAAGGCTTCGCGCGCACCTGACGTGAGATACGGTTAAGTCGCATGATATTCATGTTTGTACCAGCTCAACAGACTGGCCAAGTAATGTAAAATACAGAAGCTCTCACCAAGGTCACGAATTGTCACGTAGACGCGTACGCGACATAACGCTCACTGTCAAGACTGCAAGCGTCTTCAAAGGATAACATTCAGAGGAAAATTCACAGCGAAGGTGTCGCACAGCTGTGTTGGAGACAATAACTGCATAACGATGAATGCCCGTCGAGGCCAGGAGCAACAGAGTGATCACGTAGCGCTGACGAGAGATACGTATTCCTTCGTTTATAAAGACTCAACTGCCGATTGTATTACAGTAGTCTGAGAAGCCATGCGTAGTAATCATGACAGGTACATCATTTGTATAAGTCATCTATCACCTCAAGGGTTCTCTCTAAAGCCCATAAGGAACTGCATAATTTGGAAGGCAGCCTGTGAAAGAGTTGAACGAAGTCCAGTAAGCCAATCCTCAGTATTAGCGGTACCTTCTAACTCACCTTCGGAGAGAATTGAGGGATCCTGGGAAATACTCGTGTCAGCATGATTCGTAAGAATGAATTTGGCATAGACGCACATGTGCCCACTAAGCTCGACCTCGAAGTATGTCAAGCCACGCTCTGTGTGGGTCGTGCCTAGGGCACCAACACCGTCAACGATGAAACTGTCTGGTTCAATGGGCGTCTGGAATCCTTGCTGGCCATTCCCTGCAGAAGGAGATTGAAGAGTGTACATTAGAAGAACGTGCAAACTTCACTCACAGGTCATACTAACAGCGGAAGCGAATACAGTCGATGTAAGTCGCGTACAGTCTCGGGAGGCAGTGTTTAGAGCACATACTTTTGGATGACAACCCTCGTTCTAAAGCGGCGAAGTTGTATGAATGAGTTTCAACTTATAAGCCATTAGAAATAACGACGTACCCTTCCGCAATCAAGATGAAGTCAGCTAATCCATGAACAATCACAACTCTTTCACTCTTTTCGATCACACTCGGCAATACGGTGAACGCAGGAGGTAAGCTCCCGTCGCCACGCGGGAACACGTTTCTTTCAGAGCATTCTGCCCACTTGACACTGGCAGGAGCGTGAATGGCATTCTTCACATCTTCTCGGTCGAAATAGATAGGCGAGAGTTGAATTTGCTCGAAAGAACCACTATCAACCAAGCATTGTCAATGATTTTATTACAGTGAGAGAGAGGCTAGTACTCACGGGAAACCAAGGACGTCCCACAGAATAGGGAACTGAAGAGAGCATCTGTTAGGGTCGGCAGGAAATATGTGGCGAGTGACGTACAGTATCGAAGATACGATAGATGTTGAAAGCAGGGTTAACAAGGAAAGCGGCGTCGAAAATCTCGTCCCAAAGATCACACCCCCGAGGGCCATTGCGAGAGTTCCCAGGTAAAGGAAGCAAACCTTTGGGCGGAAATGTAACATGGATGTCAGAATAATTTGCATAGCCGCACGCCTCGTTCTGAGCATCCAGGTGTGCCAGGAATGATTGGCTAGGAGTGAATAAGATCAGGTCGTGCCAGAGTCAGAACAAAATGGCAGTCTCGTACTTGAATGAGAAAACGTTCTCGAATCTGTGAACGAAATTGACTGCTGGAATCTGCTCTTGAACAACGTCGAACGAGAGCGAAGCTGGTATCGTATGAGGGTCAGCTTAAGCTATGGAAAACGGTGTTGTTTGAACGTACGATCCGAAATCCAGAAACCCTTCAAATTGAGGTCCAGTTGGTCTGGATTCTCATAAATGAAGTTGGCGATGTCTATAGATAACCCAGGGTTCATAATATGCAAACCAAGAACGAGATATTGAGCTTACACGGGACATAGGTGCCGGCATACTGAGGGACATGATATCAGAAGGAGTTCGAGGCAGATACACTCAAGACCCACGCTTTCTCCGGTTAGCCAGAAGTTCTTGCCTTTGAGTTCGGAGAAAACTTCCAGGAACTGTTGGAAGAAACCGACAAGTTGAGCAGCAACATCGTTCTCGTCCTATAGACACATACTCGTCAGATTTGGGGTTTGATCTTTAATAAGTTGCATACCCTAGCAGTAGGCGTTCCTTGCGAAAATCCAGTACCGACTGGTTGCTCAACAAAGAGGATACTAGAAAGGTTCGTCCAACTGAACTCGTTGGGAGTTGGTTTCGCCTGACCCCATGACCAGCTGAACGGCTTTAAACTGCAGGTTCAGTGATTCTGCAGCCCTTTCGTTGTAAACGAGCCAAAAACCTACACCATTTTCCTGCAACAATCCCTCTAACGAAGAACATCCGGGACCTCCATTCGTCCTGTGATTGGATTATGTTGATTGCAAGACACCGATGAAATTGAATTCCAGGGTCTTACCAGAAAATCAGATCGTCCAGACTTCCCTGAGGACCTGGAGGGAAGAACCAGAAGAAAAGCTATGAACACGTTACAATAAGTTGTCAGGATGTATTTTATGTTCATTCATGCCATTAAAATGAACCTTTCGCGTCTCATTCTGTGCGCTACTGATGGGCAGCAGTCCGGACCAACTCGGGCCAATGTCAAAGTCAACTTCAGGAATGGCAGTCCCATTCACCCAGAATTCTGTAATGTGACAGCGTTCAACGCACAAGTGATAAATGAAATGTTCAGTATGTACCTGATGCCCGAGGATTATGGAATGTAATGTTCTTAAGCTCGGCACGTTTCTCCAGAGTAGGTGGAAGTGCCCAACGTTTCGCTGCCTCAGCTTGCCTTGCTCGAAGGTGGGCCTTATTCATTTGTCTGGCATTGACTGCAAGCAAAAACAAGAAAACTGAGACAGCTAGTTTTGTCAAGCTAACAACCATGTTGAGGGCTCAGAGCGGGAAGAGCGCTGCTAGTCAAGCATAAAGCAGCATGCAAATATCTAGCCCCGACAACCCGCTATAATTGGATAACGACCATATGCACGAGATGGCGGCCCACCTATTCGGTTCTACATTCCGGCGGAACAGCGTGATGATGTGTCGTCCGGACTTCGGTCAGCCATTGTGATCCCAGCAGTCCATATGGTCCATGGAGAAATTCCCCGCGTTTATGCCGTGAGTGAGCAAGAACTATCAGAAGACACTTAACAGAGAAGATCTTGACTCATGTAAAAGTTACCCAGGACTGCAAAATTAGGACTCCAGCGTGACTACATCGGACTCGGATATCCTGCGATTTCATGACAAACATCACGAGTTCAATATCAACTGTAGCTGGCGAGAAAAGCACGAGCAGAAGGGTCAATCCTTCATATACCTGTCGGGGTGTTCAAGATCGAGTATTCATCCTTTACTCCGAGTTGAATGGACTGCACTGTAGAGTTTTCGCATGATCGTGAGAGAGCAAGATTACCACATCAATGCACGTAAGTTAGTCGCTCAATGGAGCATTGCTACTCTCTGAGTTGGCCGCCACTATAGGCTAAAAGTACTCCTCGCTACTCGGATGATACAGTATTGAATCAGCTCGCGAAATACTTACCAGCGACCGACTGTCTTCATCAGTCCTGCACAGAAGTTGGCTTTAGCAATCATGGAGGCACTTCAGCTTGTACATGGTCTAGACGTCTGCAGGGAACGGTCATGATGTGCGTGCGATAGGACGCTCTAAGTTCTGGCACTCCGATAAGGTGTGTTCTGATGACAGCTCGTTCAAAGCAATAATCTATCCGTTCACAGTTAACATTCAGATATCATATAGCCATTTACGTTGACAACGAGAATGAAGCAACGAGGAAGAAACTTCTTATGTACATGATTCTGATTTCATTGGATGCAAAGACGTCCCCGTTGACCGTGATTGACATCGGAGCGCTGCAGGATTACAAGCTGTGAACCATCATTTCTGGTAATGCAATTATCGGGAATGCGTGTCTCTTGAGCTTATCTATCTCACACGGTATCTCACCATGGGTCCATATTTTCTTCTCTAAGAGGTTTGATTTTCTGCCTTGTTGTCCATTGTCGTATCTGGAATGGTTCGCTTTGCCTGTGGGTTATTATGTCTACCCTTTCTTCTAGCTATCTTGGAAGGTGCGGAGTCCAAGAATGCTACTGTGCTCATTCTTGGAGGCGGCGTAGCAGGCGTTATCGCTGCCCGTACCCTCCATGAGCAAGGGATAAACAACTTCAAGATCGTCGAGGCTCGAGATGAACTCGGTGGTCGTTTGATGACATTCAAGTTCGGGGTTATCGGCAACCAGCACGCACTTGAACTTGGTCCGAATTGGGTCCAAGGCACTGAGACAACAGACGGTCCAAAGAACCCTATCTGGAGTTTGGTTCAGAAGCATGGGGTCAAGACACAGGAAAGCGACTGGACTGGGAGCGTCAGTACGCGTCCGTTTTTCTGCTTTCACTCAAGCGTCTGGTGCTGAATTGTTTTAGCAACTTATGACGCAACAGGAGCAGTAGACTACCTTGACCAATTCGATGCCTCGAGCGACGACTTTACTAATCTTACTATCGTTGCTGGTGCCCGTGTGGATAAAAAGTTGGTGGACCTTTCGTCTCGAACCGGGTATTCTTTGATTGGCTCCAAACCTAAAACGCCTCAAGCTATGGCTTGCGAATACTATCAGTTGGATTGGGAATCAGGTTAGCACATCTGCTTACTACGAAACTGTCTTTGATGACACTAAATGGGATCCTGTAGCCGGTACGCCAGAAGAGTCTTCCATGATCACGACCTCATGGGTAAGTTAACTCAACTTAGTCCTAGCATCCTGACGTTCTCAGTCTGGCGGCGTAAAATTCAGGCGGCCAACTTTACGTATGATCCTGATTTTGGTGGCTTCGGTGACTCAAACGCAATGTCGATAGACCAACGCGGGTTTAAAAGGTTCATTCAAGCTGAAGCTGCGACGTTCTTGAAAGCCAACCAAATCTTGCTGAATTCCACTGTCAAGAATATCACATACTCGACCTCCGGTGTCGAAGTGAGCTTGGCCACGGGGGAGAAACTGTCCGCGGACTACGCTTTGACCACCTTCAGTGTAGGCGTATTGCAAAACGATGATGTGCTGTTCCATCCGCCACTGCCTGACTGGAAACGGGAAGCTATACATCGAATGACCATGGTATGCTCTCTTTCGATCATTCTCGAAAGCTACGATGTAATGTCTTGCTCAGGCAACGTATACAAAGATTTTCCTTCAGTTTCCTCGAAAGTTCTGGTTTGATACCGAGGTTCGATTGTCCTCTCTCACTGTGATCAGGCTCTGAACATGTGTCGCTAGATGGGTCTCTATGCTGACCCAGAACGAGGGCGTTATCCAGTTTGGCAAAGCTTGGATCACAAGAACTTCTTCTCTGGCTCTGGTATATTCTTCGTAACGGTCACAGTCAGTTCGCTTTCTCATTAGTGTCTCCTGAATCATTTAAAGCCTATACTATTCCCAGGGGGACTATTCAGTTCGAGTCGAAGCACTGCCTGACTCCCAAATCCAAGACGAAGTAATGGGCGTTTTACGAACAATGTTCCCGAATGTCACCGTACCGGACCCCATTGCCTTCCACTTTCCCCGCTGGCACAACAACCCTTTATTCCGCGGTTCATACTCTAACTGGCCTCCGTCGTTCTTCAGTGGACATCATCAAAACCTTCGAGCTGCAGTTGAAGACAGGCTGTGGTTTGCGGGAGAGGCGACCAGTCAGAAATACTTTGGTCTGTAGATGTTCTGGTCCTTCACTACCATTAGCTCATGAGACTTTCGCCAGGTTTCTTACACGGAGCATTCTTCGAAGGTCAAGACACAGGGTTGGCAATAGCAAAGTGTGTTCACGGTGCGGGCTGTGTGCATCCGAGCTATGTTGAGGATGTGGTGAACGCGCGCCCTTATGACATTTAAATATACCTAACGTCACATATGGTGTTGATATGACGTGTGTTGTATCTGGAAAGAACGTGCAAGATAACATGGATCGACAATGAGTCAATAGATATACATAACAGTACAAGCGCACAAAAACAGCAGCAGTTCGTAGCCCACTATCGAGGCATGGTACGGAACTTGTGATCCTTCTGCATGTCAACCAAATAAATGGGTGGACGTTTGATATCCATGAAATCCCAATTTGTGTCAACACTGAGAGAGAACTGTGTCCTCGGTGACGCCGACCTGGAATCACGTAGACCATGTCCATGTCCACTCTCGCTACCCAATTCATTGGCAAACATTTCGGGTTCGAAGTCGGTTTCGGCGAGAGCATTTTCTGCGTGCACTAATGATGGAAAACGAGTTAGGTCATAAAGAAGGTTCAAAGTCCAGTGTGTAAAGAGATCAGGTCAAAGAGTGGCGACCCAGTGTTGGCCCGTAGAGAAAGGATGCAGGATGACTCACGGTATTGAGCGAGTCCTTTGTCGAAGTTGAGCCAGCAGATGATTCCTAATATACCGCAACCGATCAGGACAAGAAGTGAAGTCAATGTCATCGATGCAAAGAAAGGCCATTGTATCCAGGTCCACCGGTACACTTCACTTAAAGTAAGTACAATGAGATGTATGGGGAATTTGAGAGTACGGACCTTGAGAATAAAACATGATAGACCAGCAAGCGATATAAATGAAGCAGGTAGTCAGGACCAGGACCATCAAGCCTCTGTGCTCCCGGCGCACGGCGCGAGAAGTCTATACATCACAGGATAATCAACCCTTGAAGTCATGAACGAAGACTATGAGCAGAAACGTACCAATAAGATCCATGGAATCAACGTCTATGAGGACGATTAGCATTGGCTCTACGCAGAGAACTCTAGAAGACTCACAATGATCGTGGCAAGTAACAAAGTATAATAGATTGCCGTGTGTGTCGAAATAGCCGCAATTGCTCCGTTAATAAGTTGGTCCGCCCAGAGAGCCATTGCAGCAATGACAAGAAAAACTGATAGATGAAGACAGACAAAAATAGCCAAGTAGGACTACCCCCACGACATTAGAACAGTGCAAAAGGAGACACTCGTCGCGACTCACTCGATACATCTGCACAATGAAGTCCGGTGGTCCAACGCGCTTGAAGGTATGTGCTTTATAAATCTTTTTGGTGTAATGGAGAAAAACTTCAGTGTCGGCTGCAAGATATAGGAGCAGTCCAGAGTACCTTCATGAGGCGCCAACCGAAGTACGTGGTAAACATTGAAGCAGAACAAGCCAGAACGAGTTCGGGGATCTACACCAAATGAAGGTGAATCGAAGATCTTATAATGGATCTCAAAATGAAGCATTCACCTGAAATGACAGGCGTGTCCTGAAATACGTTGGGAAGAAGTCGTAATGACATGGAGAATCCGGGTTCACAAGAAGGTTGAGAAACCTCCGCTGGATATCTTTAGTTCTCCACAATGTGTATGCAGACCAGCTGGTCGAAAGGATACGCATGCAAAACACCGCCAGCCTGAAAAGTAGGAATGATTATGTTACATATAATATCCACCATGGAGGGAAGGCGGTGCACGTACAGGTGAGGGATCGAGCCACAAAGGATCTGATTCATTGAAGGAGAACAGTTCAGACGCTTTCGTCTTATATAGAGATAACACTTACACTGAAGATAGAGATCCCTAGCAGCCAGAACTGAGATGCCAAGAGCACCACATCTTCCCTTTTAGCATTATTTAGTCTAAGAGTGGCAGAATGCAAGAATCAAACAAACTGCTTCGCAGAAGAGGGGTGATGAGAATGTACGTACATTTGCATCGGATACAGTAAGACGCGAGTGCATTGTTCATCAAGAAAAGTCATCCCGGAGCTAGTTCCATCGCCCACGAATACACCATTGATATTTCCGCCTTCATTTCTTGACACTTCTATTGTAAGAGCGACCACACCATGAACCGACGGGGGCGACCGAGAGTGTTCCTGTTCGTAAGTCAACAAATCAATAAGCCATTCTCAACTCAGATGATTTGTAGATGCTGTCACCATGCGACGAAAAGGTCCTGGTACTGTCCAATTGGCCGAGCTGGATATGGCGTCTCCAAAAACAGTGATACAAGGATCGTAGGAGACAGTTCCCGGTATTTGGCTGCAAAGCTTTAGAGTGTCTTGTCCATTTTTGCGGTGATGCCATGGAAGAATCGTGCGAGGGACTTCGGCAGTTTGTAATATTCCAGTGACCAAGTCGGTCGCTGCTCGATCGATCCGGAATGTGAAGGCTAAGAGGAGACCTTGTGCTAGACAATGGATGAGGCAAAGGGTGAAGAACGTCAGAGCGAACCGGGTGTTAATGATTCGCTTGTACTAATCACTAATTTAGCTCGAAGAATGCGTGGACAAAGGTTGGTGATCTGCTACGTACCGCTGCTTTTACATTTTTCCCTATCGGCGTGCAGAGAAAACGTGTCATGGATTGGAGAAAGGAGGGTGAACACTAAGGAGTGTGTGAGTAGTAAGAATGGTTCGTTTTATAGCTAATAAGAAGCAAATTCCAGCATTCCAAAGCAACCCCCACAGGTCACAACGGGAGACCGCGACCACAATAGCAGATATAGGAGACTTGATGACGATCCGTTAGAGCTGCTGTTGACTGGGAGTCCTGTAGGAACCAGTGCGGTTGGAATCAAGGAAATTCTGAGGACTGGAAATTCGGAGCTTCGTAAAATATAGGGAGTCAACGGCCTCTCCCAGGATGGGATTGGCCAAGTATAGTCGTGTGAGAGCAGGTGCTCGACTCGGCGAGTTGCGTTGCGTTAATTGAAATGCGGCGAAAGTGTGCCTCACAGGCATGACAGATTACGGTAAATCCAATCAGAAGAATGACTTAATAGGCAGGTTGAGGAATTCAGACTGAAGACTGTGCGTACGATGCACGTATCATAGAAGTCAGTCCGTCACTGATCCCTCTGTGATTGGAAGTATGTCGCTCTCTTCCGGCCCTATGGGAAAGGGTGTTCGAGTCGATTACAGCCAATCCTACTCGACAAAGATATCAGCTACGAGTACAAAACTCTGCAACGTACTGATAACGCCGACTCGTAAATTGGGAACGGATCAGGTCGTGCTGACTCAGTATTATAGCGTAGTACTCAAGTCTCATAAACCTGAAAGCTTGAAACTGAGAAACCGCCGAACAGCAGTTTTTCCGGATGAGTATGAACCAAGGGCAAAACTTGAAAAGTCAAGCTTCAAGGAAAGCTTAGACACAGAAGTCCTGGAAACCAGACTTTCAAATCGAAAGAAGTAGACATTACCTTGCTAGTCGGTTCCAACCATCTACAACCCAATCACAAACTTGAAACAGTGACCGGATACCGAAGAAGTTAGTTTTGTCGAGGCTTTGGAGGAAGCGCTGATACTTCCCACAGCCAAGTGGACCCCCTTGGAAATTCCACACGTCCATCCGGGTTGCGAAGTTCTTGACGTCAAAGCTCCTTGGTTCCATTACAAGTCAGTGCCATCACCAACAGAATGGAGCACAATCGAAGCTGAGGTCTAAGTCAGGAGCTATTACAGTTGACCTTTCATGGCTCTCCACAGCAAGCGGAAGCACAATATGACGACCTGGAAAGACGTGCATGACGGATACGCCAGATGGGTTGGTAGACAGCGACGTACCAAAGTTAGTTTTTCAAATTAGCCTTGTCGATCTAGACTCAGGTTATCGCGGCGTGTTTTCACCGCAGAGGATTGGAAGGTGTACGTGCTGGGAGAAGCACAATGCAATATCCGTTCCTGGATGCACATGTAATCAACTGTATCCTGTGATCATGGCCGAAGTGAATCGAAGGCTCGAAAGCGACATTGTCTTCCTTTTCGCAGTACTTGAAGGGCAACCTTATATCCCGCAAATATCCACTGTATATCGAGACACTTGTGGGCGACTTCTTACTGTTTGCATTCCAACACCCAAGACACGAAATCGAAACATCCAGCAAAAAGGCAGTAAGATCCGAGCTCTAAGGGGCTGGACAGCCACTCCGAGAGTTCGTGTTCTTCGTTGCAAAGATTTTTGTCAACCCCCCACCAGTGTTGTGCCAGTGATTATCCAGTGATTGAGTTATCACAGTAACTTTGTAACCAAGTTATCACTGGTTGCATCGAGGCCGAATGTCCGAACTCGAAGGAGTTTCGGAGTCCCAGTATCCCAGCACATGAGAACGCGTTCACGTGATTAATCAAATTTTGTTAAATTTGTTACAACACGAGTTTTGCTCTTGTTATTGTCAATTCCAAGCTGCGTGTGTTCTGATTGGTTAGTGCTCATGCACATGACTTGGACCCCGGAAATTGTGGAACCAGCCCGAGTTGAGTTCTTGTTGGGTTATGCAGTAACTCAGTAGTAACTAAATCACTTGATGCAACTGGTCGCTAACCGGCACAACGCTGCCCCCCACAACATCGTGCATAATCATATGATGCAGCCGCAAGCTGTGAGAGTTTTTGCCATACATCTCGGAAATTGTATTTCCGAGTACAGCCCGACAGAACTGATTGGTCAGAAAATGAGTAAGATCCACGCACATTATAGGGAGAGCAATAGGACTTACATGGAAAGGAGATGCCGGGAAGGGTTCGCGGCATTGCAGGGGTCGAGGTCCCCTGGAAGGGAGCTTGAAAAGAAATAGAGGGCACGATGGGACCGGAAATTAACACAAGCTTCGGAGACTTCACATGCAAGGACATAATAAGGTCTAGATTCGACGCGTCCGGGTGCGACAAGATATCAGCAAAGAATACAAATTGTCCATATCCAAAGTTCCACGGGTATCTGTTCAGCGACATCTAGTCATCGCTCTCTGGCAACTCGAAACCGGCTGAATGGAGTAGCGTAGCGAACTACACGATGCATCGTATCAGTGGTTCATTTGCAACGTACATTATTACTCACCTGAACCTTCGCGATGGACTTGACCTGTTCAAGATCGTATCCAGGACGGTCGCTCAAATCACCTTCGTGTTCAGTCGATCAACTACAGGTGATGACAAGCGACCATCATGTTGAGAGCTTACCGCTGTTGTGATACATGGGATCCGCGATTGGTCCTGCACGTTCGAACACTTGACTGGCGGGGAAACCTTGCTCATGGAAGCTCTATTATAGTCATAGAATCAGCAGTCAAGCTTATGGTTGTGAATAACGCCCGCGCAAACCTGATGATCACTGCAGCAAGCCTAAAAATGCAGCATAGTGAGTAAAAGCAAAGATAGAATCATGTCATGCCATGCGAAGCGATACTAACTGGAGTGAAGCCAACTTTGAGCTCTGGGCTGTAGATTGCAGAAAGGTTTGCTACCAGTTGCGTGACCTCGGTAGTACCAATACTGCCGCGACACAATGAGCAATGGATATAAGGAAGATAATCAGGCTTACAGATCAGGCAAGCCGAGCTGAGGAGGTTCACCAGGAACATGGTAAGCCAGCATATCGGCTTGTATCATCAGTGTGAGGTTCGCATTCTGCGCACGCAGTTCACCTATGGCCCAGATGTATATTTTGCTTTGTTGATCATTATAAACACTTACGAGCATAGGCACGTGAGCCATAGAGACCTTGCTCTTCCCCAGCGAACAAGCAGAGTTGCACATTCTTCTTGAAAGATACACCTTTGCGAGCGACGGTGCGAGCGATAGCAATAATAGCGGTCGTCCCACTACCATCGTCGTCCCCTCCGGGTGCACGGACATTGCCAAATGACCCACGGCTATCGTAATGAGCGCTCAGCAAGATTGTCTCATTGGTCTCCACGGTAGGTGTATAAGAGCTAGAAATGCATGTGTCAGTCCACACACGTCATCAACCAGAAATATAAATTCATTCGCACCAAACAATATTAGGTCCAAAGCCAGGAAGAAAAGGCTTTAGTTCGCAACTGGCACCTGTACCGTCAATGACACCTTTGATCCAGTTGGCAGCGATCTTAATGCCGTCAGAAAAGGAGTGCCGAGTAACGATCTCGGACTTCGGGTCTTCACCAGTGAGAAAACGGATGTCTTGCTGCATCTGCGGGACGGAAATGTTGTTTACGAGCGACGCAACGACGGGATTGAATTTGACAGAGTCAAGAATTTTCCTAACACGGTCAACCGCAGGCTCCGGCACCGGAATCATGGAGAACGGTGTCTCGGGAAGGATAGTGTACTTCCAGAACCTGGGAAGTATCTCCTCGAACTTGGGAAGAAGGCGCGGGCTGAGCTTAAGGAATGCATTGTTAGGTTTCATGTATGGACTATCCACAACTATATCAGGATGGGCCTCTTCTACTCCAAAGACCTGCTGTCCAGCAGCTTCCTGTGATTCAGCAGACGCGACGAGTCCTCCGAAAAAGTCTGTCAATTCTGCGTGATCGAATTGAGACGCAATACTGTTATCGACAGCAACGCGGTTGAGCCAGATGAGGAGGGAATCGTCCCATGGTCGCGGTCCTAAGGGTAAGACTGTAGGACGCGTCGACGAGAGGTCGAGTTGGTTAAAACAACCTTGACTTGCGATGAAGACGTTCTCCTGTCCATATGTACCGTAGTAAAAGTCAGAAAGACAACTGTGGCGTGCAGTATTGAACAAGTCGCCTCCCCCAACGATGAGGTACACGAGTGAGGCTGCAGGTAAGATGAGCATTGGCCTCGAATAAATCGTATGTTCGTTCAACAGGCCCGACAACGGAAGTCTTCAGAGTATACGAAGCTCACGACGGTCCTCAACGTTGAGTTGTTGGTCAACGTTCGACTACAGACCGGTTGTCCACAATTTGAACCTGCGTGTACGCAGTGCGTTGTTGGTACGTAAATATTAGTAAATTATAGCTTATGAGCATATTTGCCTTAGATTACTGTAATTAGATAACTAAGTTATTAGGCTTGAAGCCTATAGATCATATTGCAAGCGATTATGTACAAAAAGCAAGCAGCAAATTACATACTTCGGTCTGTTCGGTTGCAAGAAATGGAAAGGATCTATGAATTCAGTCTCGTACGAGACTCTACAAAGTACAGACGAAGTGTTGAGCTGACGCACAATACCCGGATTAATTGCACCCAACCGTCACTTGGCTTCGTTATCTAGTAGGTATATTCATCGGTAGTGTCGATACGTCAACTAATCGTCTATGGTTACGACCCTTCTATCCATCGCTGCATGCTGTTTTCCACTTCACGTTCTGGGAACAAACGATACCAGCGCGTACCTTTCCATAAATATCAGTATTAGTCCATCGAATCATACCAGCGAAAATTCCTCACTTTCCGTTTACCCTCCACTTCTCACCAGCCACATCAAGCTTGTCTGCAATCTCTTGGGAAATACCAACTACTACGTCTGCTTTGTTCGTACGTAAACTGAGGATAGGGAATGATCCAGCCAGGGGACCTGTGCAATTGTCTGTGTTATGTATGATAGATTTCGTGCGAGCATTGGTCAGAGAACGCACCGATGGCGGTTTCGAAAGGCGTTGATACTGGCCATTTGATGTCGCCAGTCAACCTGAGTCAGGTGACGGTTTATTAGACCAAATGAATGGGCTAAACTTAATTGTCAGACGTACTTGCGATAACTATGTCGAAACGGAGGACATTAAGATAGAATCGAAACAGACCGAAAGAATGTGCTTACTTCAAATCGCCCTAAACAATCATCCTAAGTGAACGTCAAGGCACTACAAAAATTTGACAAACCTTGAATATCACTAGACCGCTCTTCGAGAGCCCATTAAACACTAAAGGCGCTTTCTCTTTCAGGTCCCAGTACGGCCGGGATGAAGTCCAAAAGTCCGCCTGTACTCGTTTCGTTAACAGCACATCACAAAACAACTACAAAGAGCTCATACCTTGCTATTTGGAGCACCCAAAGGAGTATCCAGAGGAACACTCAACGAAAAGACTCCCGAATCGATATACGACTGCCATCTGGTGACCATGTTCCTCAAGTACTCGTGTTCTTCGGGCCGACTTGGTGGAAGAGCCTTGACCTCGTCTACGCCTGGAGTTTCAGTCCCACCAACAGGTTTTGGGGGAGGGAAGAAAGTGTCGGAGAGAAGGTTGGGGATGGTTGAGGAAAAGTCGGCTGGTGTTACGTCTGAGACAAACCAAGGGATAAGCTTCGGACTGAGGTGGATATTAGTTCGACATGGAAACAGATAAGGCTGAAAAGCAAAATACATACTGGAAGACGACTCTAGATACATGTGGAGTGTAGGTCACCAAGAAGTCCGCGAAGACGAAGTCCGTGAATAGCTTGGAAACGTGCAAATTCAGTCAGATTCACAGTCTTGTCTGTGTTCTCGGACGCACCTCAAATCCAGCTAGATAAAAGGGAAGAAAATGAGATTCTGTTTCAAAAAAACAGAGGCATCTGGAGAACGAACCATTGTCGAGGACGAAATCCACAGTAACATCGTTGTCCTGCAGGCTTGTCAGATGGGACCAAACATTATCTTGATCATCCTTCAAAATGAACTCTTTGCGGGCTTGTTGTGCCTCTTTCCCAACCGTTTGTAGATGCGCAATGTCGTCATGAGAGAGGTGGGTAAGCAACGATAGGTCCTACGACCACTATTAAGTATGATGCATGCCGAATGCAAGAATTTTATTACTGTTGCGTTTCCCCTGCAGACGGTTGATTGAGCAATTGCAATGTTGAAAAAATCAGGGGAAAGTCGAAGCGCACCACAAGCACATTTGAATCATTTCCTTGAAGAGCACTCCCAGCTTCTCGGAGTCGCCGATAAGCTCCTGTTTATCTACTTGAAGTTCATGCATCATCTTTGCGAGCTCTGTTACATGAAGAGAACACGTGAGGTTAGATCGCCACGGGAAAAGCGGTCGACAGAGCATTACGATAGATTGCTTTTCCGCTCGACCGGAAGGTCTCTTCCTTCTGAAACGAGAAAGGATCAAACGTACACCAATGCGTTGTCTGACAGAAATATGACCGCAATAGACGATATCTGAGACTAATTCATATATCGTTCGCACAGTATGGTGAAATACGTACAGATAGCACCTGAGAGTGTAATCGCCTTAGACATCAAGAACTAAGACAGTAGGATAGTACACTTACTCGGCGAATAGCCAAGGCGCGGTAAACCATGTATGGTTCTTGTCTTGTTCTAAACGTTTGAGCTCAGCATTGTACACATCAATAAACGCCTCGCCGTCATCGGGAATCGGCCTATAGTATATCGTCACAGGTGAATGCATGTGCGAACACAACTTCGTAAAACGCACTCTAGAGGCCTGTCTCTCGCCATTTCATACTTGAGCTTCCCAATCTTTTCAATAATGCCTTTTCCTTCGGCAATCTTTTCTTGTCCTTTTGTGACATCTTCACTCGTCGCATCCGAAGTTTCGAGAGATACACCAAGATGATGATCGATCCGGTATATGGTATCAATGATGCCAGTTAATATTACGGGCCATCGTTTCACGACAGTCTCGTAGCTAAATATTGAAGTTCACAAGATCTACGAGGACTCCAGATAGCGTGAAGTGACCATACCTGAAGCTGTGAAGCGAGAGTCAGTATTGGAAGCCACGTAAAACTGTAGACACTATCATACCCAGACTTGTCTTTTGGATCATACGGAGGATATGGCGGCTCAAACATCTTGAAAACGCCAACGTAGACAGTGAAGCTTTAAAGATGGGATAAACCACACGGACATTTATACTTACGTGCCTGAGCTGCTACCGTTACTCGGACCGGTGTTGTTTACTTGCTGTTAGTTTCAGAAGGAGTTGCCTTATTTGATCCTTGCCTTTTTCGTTCTGTCCTTGGAGTTTTGCTTTGCAACTTGTTCATGACTCACAGTAAGCCCAGGCAACCAGTGTTCAGAAATGTATGACACATATAACTCTCGGAGAAACAAGTTGCTCTATTCTCGGGTGCACTCGGTGGTAAGACCAACGTTCGAAACGGAAGAACTTCGGGAGAGTGTCAACCAAGACAAATGGTCCAAGAACGGATTGCGCGCATCCGTCTCTTACGTGAAACGTTCCTCACTAGCTTTATGGCGGTTTAGTCTTTAAATTCCCTGTGATGATAAATGTCGCTTGTCCGGATTGTCTCGGGCACGAGATCATGATCACATGATCTTACATCATAGATCAGCATTCCTTTTCCTGGAGCGCAAGCTTGTATTTTAGCTTGTCTTGCCCCATCTAACTCTTCACAATACCTACCCTGCTTGCCGTCCAGAAGATGAGCTCGCTAAGAAACCATAGGGTGGTCATTGCTTCCCTCTTTCTTCCAAATACCGCCGTCTTGGGCGACTCGACCCCTCCGACCCCTGACCATGTCGGGACTCCTTTGCTCAAGGGTGGCCCTCCTGCTCGATCGTCGCTGATGGCGGGAAAGCCAGCTCCTTTGAAGAGTATTGTAGAGGATCTTAAGGACAAGGTATGTTTGATACCTAGGCTCAGAAGGGAACGCTTCGTGTATGGACACATTCGTCCTAAATAGAGGCTGAGCGATTTCAAACATTGCTGGCGTTTTCCTAGAATACAGTGGGGTAGTTTTCCACCTTTGGGATGGTTACAACTCTTGGCATAGATCTCTGACGAGCTTGCCGATGCTTGATGAAGCGTCCGCTTTGATCCTTCGAGCAGCTCAGCTCCATTTGATTAGGGAAGGCTCATGGAAATGATCTCAAGCAATGTAGACCCGTCAATGGAGACGCTTGTGAACTCGTCGGATCGCTCTTTGATCTACTTGGGGCAAGTCGATCAGAGCTGCCCAGTATTGAGCAGCTCTTGTCGATTTACCGGCGGAGTTCGTTTGGTGCACTCGAGTATCTCTCTAACAGAGACACTACCTTCTACACTGAGGCTGAAACCCGGCCTACGACGCTATCAGGCTTCCTTGTAAGCTGTGCTTACTTTGACTCTATATAGTCTAGGGCTGTTAGTCCGGCTACCACTCCTCGCGCAGAGAGTGCAAATCCATTCGGAAGCGGATTTCCTGGACTGTCTGGAAGCGCGGTCGTTAATGGTGCCGCCTCCGCCACACAATCTCTTATAGGTGCCGTTAGTGATACTCTCAACGGTGCTCGCAAACACCAAACGACACATAACAATATCGCGCCATCTCGCGTTCAGCGCCGATCATCTCGCTCTGCTGTCAGCAGAAATCAGTCTCGCTCACTTTCCGAATCTCGTCAAGACACATTTACGCACTCACAACCTTGGCACGTGGAGAGTAACTCGCACTGTAACGGCGGCCTTAAGAATGCCATAGACAGTGCGCACGACCGTCTGCGCAAGAAGCTCTGGGTCGGTACGCTTGGTACAAACACGGACAAGTTCAAAGAGAGCTTGAAGCGTACCATGGAGTGGAAGCTACGAGAGGAATACGACTCTCTTCCTGTTTGGATTCCAGATTCAGAGTTTGCAAGCTGCTACGACGAGTTCTGTCACCAAGTCCTCTGGCCATGCCTCCATTATGCAATCCCTGACGCCCCCAAGACAAAATACTTCTATGAATCTGCTTCCTTCAAACAGTACGTGGCTGTCAACCAACGTTTCGCCGACACTATCGTCGCAGCGTATCAAGACGGGGACATTATCTGGGTCAATGATTACCATCTGATGCTCCTGCCTAAACTTCTTCGTGAAAAGCTGCCAAATGCTACCATCGGCTTCTTTATGCACGTTGCTTTTCCTTCTTCGGAGATCTTCCGTTGTCTCTCTGTGCGGGAGGATTTGCTATATGGCGTCCTTGGCGCGGACCTTATTGGGTTCCAGACGGCGAATTTTGCACGGCACTTCAGACAGACAGTTAGTCGTATCTTATCTGCCGAGGCTTTGCCGAAGGGTATTCAGTTGGAAGATCGCTTTGTCGACGTCGGTGTATTTCCTATGGGTATTGACGTTATAGCGCTAACAGAGAAAAGGTATGTTACTGTCTGCTTTGTTGCAAATCTGCGCTCAGACACGCATTCATTTCCAGAGCCAACCCCGAGGTCGCTGAATGGGTCAAAGTTCTCCGACAAAGGTATGCCGGAATGAAACTCATCGTCGGGCGTGACAAGCTCGACGAGATTCAAGTAAGCCCCTTTCCCAACTGCTTTATGGATGACTATTCTGAGGAGGAACTCGCTTTTAGGGTGTTCGCAACAAGATCCGAGCGTTCGAAGTCTTCTTGGACAGATATCCTGAGTACCAAGGCAAAGTAAATTAATCTCTTAGAACTCGGATACACAATGCGCTGATGTCATTTCTTTATAGATCGTCCTTATTCAGGTCGCGCTCCAAACCACAGAAGAAAACGAGGTTCAGGGCGGTGTCGCCGACATTGTCTCACATATCAATTCCCGTTTCTCCACTCTCACCTACCAACCTGTCGTCTTCTTGCACACGCAGGATTTGACGTTTAACCAATATCTTGCTCTGTTAACCGTCGCGGATGCATTCATGGTGACCAGTCTGCGTGAAGGTATGGCTTTGCGGTGAGTGTCCCTTTGTTTTACAAGTGTGTTATCCAACTCATCCAACCATGCTAGTACGCACGAGTTCGTTGAATGTCAGGCGGATCGTCACCGTCCACTCATCCTCAGCGAGGTATGTCAGGTCAATACTTTCTGACGTTTCAAGCTACTGAGTATCTTGTGCAGTTCACCGGTTCGTACAGCTATAGCGGCTTCCGATCATGTATCTCCATCAACCCATGGGATAAGCGAACGACCGCCAACGCTATCTATCAGGTTCGTATTCTAGATCTTTTCTGGTTTCAACTGCATTCTGACAACGGTCCCTCATAGGCGCTCAACATGAGCGACGAAGAATGTCTCTCTCGATGGGAAGACCTCCACAACCACGTCGTCACCCAAAGTGCACAAGCCTTCGTCACTTCTTTCCTGATCCGCAACCTCCGAGCCAGTCTTGAACATCAAGGCGATTCTCTGACTGTCGCGGAGTTGGATGTCACTCGAATCATACCGAGGTACCGGCACAGTGAGAAACGTTTGATCCTCGTCGATTTCGAGGGTACGATGTGGCCTCGGGATCCAAGGATGCTTGTGAAAGGGACCTTCGATCCTCCGGAAGAAGCTTTAAAGGTCTTGAACAAGCTTGCAGAAGATCCTAAAAACGAGGTTTGGCTCTTGAGTGGCCTCCCTGTGAAAGGTGCGTTGGAGGAAATTGCGAAACTGTGCCCTAAGGTTGGCGTTGTGTATGTATTTCTTTTATATTTGTTCACAAGGCCGTTGACGATGATGTTGCTACTTGCAGGGCCGAGAATGGTTGCTTTATCAAGACTCGTGCTACCAGAAACGGCGAGGGCACCTGGATTAACATGGTTGCGAATTTCAACCTAACTTGGAAGGCACCGTGTCTAGAGATCCTGCAATACGTGAGCACACCTTTCCATCTCAATTGTTTGTCGCTGCAGACGCTCATTATGACTTTACCAGTTCACCGAGCGTACTCCTGGATCTTTCATCGAGGAGCGGGAAGCATCAATTGTGTGGCGGTTCTGGACCGGTCCATCAGATAATTCGTCTGATAGGCAATGGGCACGCAGGCAAGCTGCCGAAGCTCAGAACCATATATTCGATAGGTAGGTCTCATTCTCCATCCCTCTTAAGCTCTCAGACTGATTATTATTGTTAAAAGTTTGGGTGAACGATACGGCCTCCGTATCATACCTGGAGCAAACAGCTTCCTCGTTCTCCCTAACAACATCTCGCGCTCTACAGCCGTCGGTGCCATCCTCCACCCCGGTGGACCCGCACACTCTCCTCTCGGACGCGCAGCGTGGCTTTCACCAGAGGCCATCGAAGCAGAGCATGATCCAGAGGTCGACTTTGTCCTGGCCATCGGCAAAGATGAGAAGCTGATGAGACGGTTGAACGAGTTGGAGAATTCTGAGACGATCTCTACGGGTACGAACATGGGCGTGAAAGGTACTGATGCGAAGTGGAAGCTCAAACCTGAGGAAGTCATGGAAGTTCTTCGTCGGTTCGCGGAAACGAAGTGAAAGGTTGTCCAGAGATGAAATATAAGTGCAGCTGCTCATTATGAACGAAGAATATAGAACCGGTCTCTTTGTATAACAATGCTTCTGTAGACATACGCATGTATCTTGGTATCTCTGGTCGTTGTGGAATAAATACACACACGTTTATACACTCAGGACTGTTAGTACCTAGATCCTTGCAACAATACAATCTGTGCCACTACCCTTTCTATGGTATCCTTGATACGTGGGTAGATGTACGTTGTCATCGTGATCTGACGTGCAATCCAACTCGGAACGGTGAATCGATAGCCTCGAATCTCATCAGTCTGTCAGACTCGACTATGCCAAAGGTGACAAATCTGTAGTTTGACTTGTCTTCATTGCTGGGTCACGGTTTTGGTTTGTCTGCAAGTCGACTGTTGTCGGAGAAACAGCAGACATCTCTGGTGCACCAAATTGTATCCCTGTGGTCACCATAGTGGTCTCAGCCAATGCCGCTTTGCTGGCAGCACGTCCTTCAGCAACACGCCGGATGATAATGAGAGGTGCAATTGACTATACAACCACGTCAATACTAACCCTTTTGTTCCAGAGAAGGCAATGCGTACCGGTGCTTGTCCTAGAAAACCGTAGATCAAGTAACTGACAGTGCTTCCCGTCGCGTAGGTTATCATGAACGTGAGAGCGCATACGACATAGAGCAAGGCGGATTCTGCAATCATCGCAGAGACCGTGAGGTAAGGTGCTAGTTCGACAGAGCCCATGATCTTGCTTAGTTTGTAACGCGTATAGAGGAGGCGGGAAACGATGAGAGTACTGAGCAGCAAAGTAGTCGCAACAGTAGTTGAACCGAATCCCACAGCAAAGACAGTGTTTGAAGGTGCCCACATCGTGCTTCCCGGTTGTTCAAGTTCGGAAAGCAGTAGGCAAGACATGACTGTGAAATCAATGCCTGAGCATGTTACAGCGTATAGGAAAGAAAAGAAACGGCGTACTGATCGAGGATAGAAAAAGAAGGGTGGGAAGGATCATTGCCAATAGGGACCCGCCCCATATGACGTAGAAACGATACAGCTAAAAAGAGGTCAGATTTCATATCAATCCCGCAAGACGTAGGGCCTGACCAACAGTCCATCTTGGAGCCAAGAAGCGGCCATATAGCCACCAGGGCCGAGGACATTGAGAGAGTTGAAGCTCAAAAGCCCGTATTGGGCTGGTCCACCCGGAAAGTTACGGTTGTTCACAAAGGCTTGTTGGTTTATTCTGAAGGAGGCCGCGCCAATGGCAGAACAAATGGACAGCGCCGAAATGTAGACCAAGAACGTGTACGCAAACTTGGGCTGTTTGCGCCTCACGCTCCATAACAGCTCGAAGCATTGAAAGAAGAGAGTGAGATGAGCACCTGCACCGTTGGCCTTAGCGCAGCTAACACGCATAATCGCTTGGGACCGCTCACCATAACCCACCGCCTCAATGGTGACGCCGTCGATAGTCGCCTCCTCAATCCAAATTTGAGATGTAGTTTCGTTGAGCGGCGCCCATGATGCGTTGGACATTGGAGGCTCGTTCCAAATTGCGGACACCTGAGTGATCTGGGTGCGATTGGGCTGAATCAGAGCAAGGGCATCTTCCTACAACTCGTTCCTTTATAAATTCGGCTTCATCTCGACAAGAATACCTGCCTCGGTGGCAGATCACTCACATGTCGCTGTCACGGTATTGAGCGTGATTTCGAAGTGTTCATCAAACAGGCAACCTCTTGTCTCCGCAATGTAATCCGACAGATGTACTGATCCTTACGAAGTCTAATTGTCCCACGAGAGTCCGGAAGTGGACAAAGCACCTCAAAGCACCTTAGCACCTGAGATAAATGTGGACAGTAGCAACATCTGATGTGGAGTATTGGAAAGAGCCCTCTTGAACTAACTCTCAAAAGAAGGAATAAATCAAAAAAGACATATATGATGCTTGCACAATCAAGATGATTCCGATAATCCAAAGTGACTTCAGCAGACAGCCTTTTGTCGACTGGGGATCGGAAGACAAGCGTCGGAAAGCGGGGTGAAGCTATCCAGCCTCGCCGGCTTATGCGAGGTCCTGCGTTGAACTGTATTATTTCAGCGATTGCTCTCTTGCCAGTAAAAAGGTCTATTTGTGCCGCGGGAGTGGTGTCGGCGGATCTGTGGCCGACCAGGATACAGGGAGATCCGACGCTCGGTCAATACTCTCAGGTTAGGCGAAGGCCTGGGTAGATAGAATTGAGGTTCACTTAGCATTGTAACTTGATATAAATAGAGGGTGCTTCCCAAGTGCTACAATGCTGCGGCAGTTAGTTTGAGGTTGATCAACCATCAGACAAAGATATCCTGAGGCACGCAGGTTGAACGTTGAACCTCTATCTACACTGCCTGTGGGAGGCTGGATCAACCTGAATCAGTAACCACACAGTGCTCACATCGTTACTACAAATAGCATGGTAGGGCCCCTGCAGTGTACGTACCTAGAGTATACTTCTCGGAGTGACGCTAGTCAGTAGGCTTATTTCCAGTTTCTGGTATACTATAGGAAGACAATCATTTCTTCGTGTATGGAGCTGGTCGATACGTTCGTGGTGATGCACACCGGTGATGTCGAAGTGACGAGGAGCGCTATGACGCACAACGACGGTGAGTTTCTAATCATTATTTACTGCAAGCTTCAACGGAAATAAATCTCTTATAAGTCTATAACTTAGAGTCTACTGAGTCGAACTAAGCAGCCAAAAAGTAACCTATATATGGCTGATGCATTCGTCAAATCTTACTGCTAATTTTCGACACACTTTGACTTCATTCTCTTCTGCATGAAGGAGATAATCTATATACAGGCGGGAAACCTCTCGAACCATATCGGGTCTCATTTTTGGAATACTCAAGAAAGTTACTTTACCTACGGCGAAGAAGACTCTGTCGTGGATCATGACATATCGTTCAGAGAAGGGCGGAATCTGAAAGTAAGTAGATCTTGTATATACTGTGCGCTATGTACTTGAACTTTGACTGAAGGGAGAACCCACGTTTTGTCCTAGGCTACTGCTCTTCGACCGTAAAGGTGAGCGGTGGCGGCTTTGGAAGTGTTCACAAGCTAAAGCTATGCATATAATTAGCGAATTTTGGAGCTCTCACGTCGGGTCTGTACGGTGAAGGAGAGGACACTGGTGAAGGAGAGGACACTGATGAAGCTCCCGGGAAATGGTCAGTAGTGTCCAATATCTATATGTCGTGCAATAATGTTCCATGCAACAGGAATGGTGATGTCGTTGAATATCGCCAAGAACGTATACCAAAAAGCTCTTATCAGGAACGTCTTGATGAAGAAGCAGAATTAATGGACTCAGAACCTACTGCTGATGCCGGTAGAAATAGGGCCAAGAATAACCATAACATTCGGTACTGGTCCGATTACGACCGGGTATTCTACCATCCACGCTCCCTGCATCGACTCCCGGACGTCCCAGACTACGAGAATACAGAGGGAGACTGGATGGGTGGACAAGAAACATTCACCAGATACAATGAAGTATGTGTCTTGCGACATGTCTGTTGTTGCACTCTTTAAACGTTGCTTTGTCAGGAACATGATGTCATGGAAGAATCGTTTAGGCTGTTTGTCGAGGAGTGCGACTATCTACAGGTAAGAACGGCCCTTCAGTTTAAAGGCAGATCCTGAGTAATGACGGTATGACCACGTATTCTGCCAGGGAATTCAAGTCACAAACGAAAGCAGCTCTTTCGGCGGCTTTACCCATGCGTTTCTACTTGCTTTCCGTGAAGAATTTCCAAAATTACCCAGTATCACATTCTCCCTGCTTTCGTCTGCAACGCCTTCTTCAATCGAGGCAGATGATGTGCGTAGATATCTAGATTTGCGTGAAAAAGAATGAACTTAGACTAACGCACTGGCCTGTAGGATTTTGGATTACGGAGAGTTCTCGGCGACGCACTGGGGCTCCAAGGATTGAAAGAACTTTCGACAATGACGATTCCGATCCAGTCCCCTTCTTCTTGGTCTCCAGGTCCTTGGCTGGAGGACCTGGCACTTGATGTTGGTGACTTCAATTCGACGAAATATGAGGTACTCATTTGACTCTCTCCTATCACCTAGCGTCACAGCTATTACCATACATCAGCCCTTTTCTCTTCACATATCGAGACAGCAACCCTTCCTCTCAGGTACGCTCGCCAATCCGATTCCGGGACATTGATTAAATTGTGGAATAGATTGAAAGAAGGGCAGGAGGACACTAGCAAACTATGCTCTATCTTGAGCTGGGAAACTGACGCGCGATTTGCTCACCTGGGCGGCATCTTCCCGCTCTCCGATTCTTTTGACTTCCGGCGGGATGTAGGAAAGAATTTGTATGACTTCTCAGCATTGCCTCAGGCAACCGTGACCGATGTGAGTGCATTCTCAGCATTCACCGTCCGCACCTGATGATGACCCTATTTCGTAGAGCGATCGGGATGTCTTTTCTCGAATTGATGTCTCACGAGGGTTCTCACCATCTCATACTTCGTCTTATCAGTCATGGCTTGAGACGCAAAGGCTGCAAATTCGCAGGTCCGTACTTGACATTTTCAGAATGATGATATATTCAACAGCAGTCTGCAGCTTTCAAGCACCCGCGATACCACTCCCTTCGTCATTCCCCTCCTTCTTTACATCTTTGCCCACTCGACCACCATCATGCACGGCATTGTCGTCACTTTCGACTACAAAACGAACTTCGATCCTATTCTCCCGGTATGCATCGCAAGTGGATGAATGCATCAAGCGACGCCGAGATATGATTCAGCGTATGGGACTGGAAATAGATGATGTCAAGTCGCTGAGGGACGAGCTATGGGTTCTAGAAGATGAGTTCAAAGGTGGTGAAAGTGTGCTTAATGTCGAGATGGATGAGGACGAGAATTAACACATTCTCGGGAGTCCATGCAAGGCGGTATCGTGCATTGATCATTGACCTTCGAGCCCTGATGCACGCTTCTTTCAAGGTAACACAATGCCATAGGAATTATGTCTGCAATAACGGTATCATTTTGTCACAATATAACAGCAGGATCCGTATATTTCATACTCCGTGAAGCAAGTAGAAGAATCCGATCGTGAGCCAAAAGACAGTGCAAGAGTGGCCTAGAAGAAGAATAATCGAGGCGGAGCATTCATCTTGATCTCTACCTGAGACCCAGCCACAACCGTCAGGTTCTCATCATGCTCCGCAAGCTTCTCATTCCACCATCGTATGTTCTCCTTAGCCTCGATATCATTAGCGGCGAGAGGAGGAAAGTCCATGAAACGTTTCCCGTCGCTCGAAGGGATGGACCATGACTGAACCATGTTCGCTGGGCGCGCGGGTCGCACAAAGTTGAGGCTATCATGATGAAAATTACAACTCAACTCAGCAGAAGTGAACGGAGTTGAGGTTTGAACTTACAAATCAGTACCCATCTCCTTCGCATCGTTCCCCTTGCAGACATACAACTGAGTCGTCAATGTTTCCCACTTCTTTTCTTCCTCGTCAGCGATGGTGAAGTGGAAATGACCTGCTCTCTCGTATCCCTCAGGCCCATACTTTCCAGGTGCAACTGTCAAGACTTCGATTCTGCCTTGAGCATCTGTGGTCATCTTTCCACGCAGACGATACGTCGTGAGAGAATAGGAGCCTGCGGTATCAGCTTGCCACCAATCAAGGACAGCATGAGGTACAGGTTCGCCTTTCGGCGAAGTGACAGTGATCGTTACCAGGTAGGGTCCGAAAGCTGAACCTTGAATGAGCATCATAGAATACAGCATGGTGAGCAATTGCCGTACCTTTGAGGACATCCAGTGACGCCAACAGAGCTTTACCCTCCTCCAAACGTCTATCAGGAGCGCCTACAACATAGTACGGGCCTAACCAGGATATGCGAAATAAAAATCTGAATGACACGTAAAATGGTACAATTCCATACCCTCAACTTCTGCTTGAGGATTCCTGCGACCTTGCAAGAAACGAGACCAAAGTAACACGTTCTCGCTCACCAGAAATACGAAAAGGGAACGTATGAGGGAGAATACGCGCACTGGCAAGGAGATTGGTTCATGATTGGAACCAAATTTCAAGGTCGTCGTGACTACAGTCGACGACGTCATGGGAACGAAGAGCAGAAAGGATAACGACCAGAACTGTACGTTGGTTGGGCTTTATATATAGGTCTTTGTTAGTGTTAACTTTATGTTGACGGCGGCCTCCGACCCCTGGGAACTGGTGGGAACCAGTGGGAACCGTGATGCATCAGCTTCGCTCAATGTGACCTCCGAAACGGATGGGTGGGTCAATTGCGCCTTGTCTCGACTTCAGCAAATAGAGGAGAATGAGGTAGTAATCCGTAATATCGACTCTAATGCTGTCCTATCATGCAACATGTTTTACTACGAGACTGTAGTTACTGGCAGTGCCGCGATGCCGGAAGAGTAGAAGCGCTTGACTTATATGGTAATATTGAGCATCATGTAGCAACGCTTAACGTTCAACCACGGACGCTTCCTCTGAATAGCTAGCAAATCTATGAGAACAGTCGACGCAAGATAGTAAATTGGCATATAAGTTGTAAGAATTCATGACTAAAATAATGAGGAAGCCGACAGAACCAGAGATTTTCTTTGCAGGAAGATACACTACTCAAACAACTTTTCGAAATAGAGGAATGACGACTCCTCCAAACGATCGTCAAGAATAGGCGAAATGGGTTCAATATCGTTAAAACCATTTGGTAGCGCGAGCCCCTTTATTCTCCCATCTCCGTCCTCAACAAAGGCCGCCGGATATTGTATGTCTAGAACTGAAGGGAAGGCGAACGGCGAAGTATCTTTACCGTAACCATTCGGGAACAGCGTGAGGGGGTCAAGATATACAGCATGGCGGTTTTGGGACGAATAATGGAACTTCACCCGCAAATGCGAGAACCATACACGAGGCCATGCTGCGTGAAGATATTCCGCAGGCTGCGATGGGAAGACAGTCGTGTAGTTGGAGAAGAGTTCCTTACAAGTACTGGTTTTGGTGGATGGAGCGCACAGGGTGAATGATCCATAACCAGGATGGCTGTAAGTTCCCGCATATGCCTCCAACGGCAGGGGTGGGGTTTGCTCCCCACAATGGTCTCCGACGGGTCGCGGCGTCTGACCGAAATTCGGTGAATTACCTTGCTCCGTTGTTGCGGAAGACCTAAAAGTTGGAGGGGTAGGCGCCACGATGTTGGCACCCTCTCTCAGCCCCAATACATCTGTAACTATCCTATTCAGAACCAGGGTGTTCACTTCTAGTGCATTTTGGTTGATGAAGGAAACGACTCCTAAACCATCGTCAGGGAAGTAACCAATTTCGCTCAAAAATCCGGGGAGACCTCCGCCATGTACGATCACCTTGAATATGTATGGATTGTGAGAACTCATAGAAGGTAGTAAGTACTGACCAACCTCATGACCTTGAGCAGAATACCTCATCCATCCCAGACCATACCCGAGCATGGATAACGAAGGCATTAGAGCTCTTCCCAGAACTAAGGCATGCGCCGTTGTGACTGTATCATATACGCTCGTAGGCAGAATGGTGACATTGGAGGTGGGATCCACACCGTTGTTGAGTAACATAGCTAGCCATTTGTTCTAGGATGATCCGTCAAAGGTGTGTCTAGCGGAATTGAAAATATGACAAACCATATCAATCGTGTTTGAGACGATACCGCCTGCTGCCGCTAACAACGCCTCCGAGCTTGGACCCATCCAGAGAGGGATGCGCCTAGCGGTTCCATTGCCACGTGCAAACGATTGGCTTAGGCATCCTGATTCCTCTTCAACGGCAGCATCGTACGACGTATCATTCATACCCAATGGTTTGAAGATCCGAGAGGTGACAAAAGACGTGAGCGACTGCTTAGAGTACGTCTCCACAATGAGACCGCCCAGCACAAACATCTAGGGATTCGCATATTGGCATCAATCTGACAAAGATACTTTGACATCTTACCTGATTATTATACATCCACCGTTCTCGTAATTCGAAGGCAGGGGGAAGAAATTTGAGACGACTAGCTAAATCAGCGGGGGTATCCGACAGTCCATACGAAAAGTCATGCCTACGCATACGATTTGAGTCGCATAAGTGTAGTGTATTCCAAGAACAGTTGAACGGACCTCGGGAAGCCGGATACATGAGACAGGATGTCCTTGACATTAGCCTTCTCGGTGATCCAGCGATCAGTAAAATTCCAGTACTCAGGCAGCAAATCACGGATTTTGGTGTCCCAGGTGAATCGAAGGACGTTCAGAGGGAGCGGCGTAACATTCCGACCCTGCGCGAAGTCATCCATGAGGATGCCTACAGCGCTGGCAGTAAATGCCTTAGAGATGGATCCGATCACAAATAGCGTCTACACAAACGCGTCAGTTCACAAAATCAAAACAACTGTCAAGTTCAGATCAAACCTCGTTAGTAGCCTTGGCTCCATCTTCGGTTTTGTTTCCCCAGAAACCATACTCGGTTTCTACCTTGCCGGTACCTTTGTCAAAGTGCACGACACCAATCGAGAGTCCAGGTGTCTGATACTCATCCATCACCTTCTGAGCATACGCGGATAATTCAGGTGTGATTGCACGTTTCGGTGGTCTGATTGCATCGTCGGTGAGTGAGACTTGACTAGGGCTCGCTGTGACGATCCCTGAGAACAGTATCAATGCGAATAATACAAAAGACATGGGTGACATGGCATGGGTCTCTGGGGAAAGTACGTGGGCATTGACTCCGCTGCCTGAGCGGTATTTAAGAAATCCACTTGGACGCATTTTGAAACGATACTATGATAGCAAGTATCGAAGTATCAAACTCAGTATGAGATAGACAGATTGACGATTGAACTCAACCGCAAGTCAGCCAATAAACTTTGATACATATAATCACATGTTCAGCAGGTATATCGAATTCATACCTAGTCATAAATCCCATGGGAAGTAGTTGCAACTGAGCGATAAGAAGGAACGATTGTCTTCTGAGATTATACTAGAGGCTGGGAGCGAGCCTACCACTGGACGTCGCGACACAAATTAAGTTGCTTAAATGAAGACTTGTCACGGGCGAGTTAACATCGAGATTCTCACGCCGTTCGTAGAGGAGGGCAGTAAAATAAAATTGGTATCAAGGGGAACACATTATCAAAGGGAACACGGTATCAAAGGGAAACATGGTAATAACAATAAAGACTAAACTAAAACACAATGGACACCTCGAGTCATTGGGAAAACTTAGGGCAGAATGAAGCAAGGGCCAAGAGGATTACGAGATCGTAATCTTCTTGGGTGCCTGCTCAGGGGTCGTCTTAGGGAAAGTAACAGTGAGAATGCCGTTGTCCAACGAAGCCTTGACATCTTCGCCCTGTTAGAAGAATAGTAAGTACTACATTCAAATCAGGAGTAAGAGAGGTAAACAAACCTTGATACCCTGCGGAAGAGGGATCGACCGCGAGAACCTTCCATACCGACGTTCACGGACGGCATAGCCATGCTCGTCGCGCTCAGAGGAGACCTTGGATTCGCCAGAGACACTGAGAACATTGTTGTGAATGTCGATGTTGACATCCTCCTTCTTCAGGCCGGGAAGTTCGAACGTCGCGGTGACGATGTTCCGCTTCTCATCTTCGTAAATATCCATCTGCAAAAGAAAAATCAATAATTGGCTGTGATGAAGAATTGGATTAAGATAAAATAACTCACCTTGGTCTCAATGTCCCTGATCCCCGGTCCTGCCTCTGAAGCTGTCTCTGGTTATTACTGTTGTTGGTACGAGCAGAGAATGCTTCGTCAAACAAGCGATCGAACTCTGAGAGAGAGTAGAAGGGCTCGTAGAAGAAGTGTGAGAGGGACATGATGTTGAGAAGCGATTAGAGTGGGGAAGTCGTTAAAGTCGTATAGCTGCGTGTATATCGTTTGTTTCTGAGGAGATGAAAGCATTCAAGCGCCACTTTATATACCTTCATGGCGATGGTATCAATGGATACATCGATGATGCTTTGGAATGACCACGAAAGCTCGAGAAAGATTCTAGTACAGTCTCTTGCGTCACGGACCTGTGTGGGCGCCCAGGGACGGCGTTGAGTTCCATTTCAGGCAAGCACATCGCAGCAATAAAGTCGAGAACATTCGTTGTATCAATGAGGCCTCTGAGAGCGAAGTCATTCGAATGCCATACCTACGTCGCGGAATATCATGGACTAATGACAACAGATGACCCTAGAGATATAAAAACTGGACAATGAACGATGGGTGAGTCTCAAGGGCTATTCAGCATCGTAATTCGGACTCACATTTGTCACAACTTTCACAACTTTCACGACTCTTCCCTTTAGACTTCCTTGAACCTTCAATGGCTCTCTCTCGCTTCTTCTACGAGCCTTTCTTCTCCCTCTCCGGCTTCGACCATCTCTTCGATGAGGCGTTCTCCGCTCGTGAAGCTGGTAGGGGCAGCAACACCCAGGTCCAGCATCGCAGAGGCGATACACTGAGATCTAGGTAAGTGCAACGAAGTCACAACTACGCATGTAGATATTCATGAGTTTTTGATAGTCTGGACTTGCATGTCGACGATAAGTCGAATACCGTAACCGCGACGTTCGAGTTGCCTGGTCTCAAGAAGGAGGATGTCAATCTTGAAGTAACCAATGGCGTGCTCACCGTCTCCGGCGAATCCGAGCAGGAGGCGTCGCGCGATGAGAATGGATACGCTGTGAAGGAGAGGCGCTATGGCAAATTCACAAAGGCACTTCAGCTTCCACAGGGGGTCAAGGTATGTCGAGTTCCACCTTGAGTTGTCTGGTAACATGGATGACTTATCACTAACACATTTTCAGGACACTGATATCAAGGCGTCCTTGGAGAACGGTGTATTGTATGTCTCGTTCCCGAATACATCAGCGGAGCAGGCACCAAAGAAGATCACAGTCTCGTGAAGTGTCCGCATCTTTACAAATGCTTGGATACCTTCCGTTGTACTTCCAGTTAGTACTTTACAATTCAACGCCTACTTGACGTCCGCTAAAACATAAATGGTCTGAGTAGCCGTCAACGACATTATGAATTATCTTCCCACAACTTCAGTTATGCATGGTCACATTCCAACTTCTTCATGACATGCATATACTGCAGAAAGCCCTGCGAGACTAATGGAGCCGAATGATGATTGAAGCTTGAAGACAAAAGATTTGAGGAAGCCTTGCCAAAGTCACGCAGTCACAACGGTGTCACAATGAGTATATTTTGGCGGCTTTGGCTCAAGCTCTTGCGACGACGGAACTCGATGACACGATCAACAATTGAATGAATGGGCAAGTATCGTACTTCACTGTGTACTTACTTATCCAACCAAATCAGAGGTGGGTGCTCAGTTGACAACTACTTGACATTTAGGCTTCCTTTCCTATTGTACCTTATAGGATATTTTATGCATGGTTTTGATTCGAAGTATGCATCATTTATGGTGATCTGAGAAGGAGGGCTAGTTTGTTCTTTGGCGAATTCAGCAAAAGTGGACGTCACTGGCAGGACCTCTCGTACGTCAATGATTTAGTTGACAACGGAGTGTATTCCGTCTGTCTCTTGCGAAGTCAGCGTTGTTGGCCGCCTTTGCCTTGCGAGAGCCGTTGACGTCCTCAATGGGGCCGAACTGTGCAACTAATATCCATACATTTAGCTGTAGTGTCACGGTAAAGAGGCCAGGTTTGGTGACGCTTGCTCTGGTTAAACACATTGACGAGCTTAGCCTTACCGTTTTACTGTGTACAGGGTATAATCATTAGGGGTACTTGGACAGCCCCACCCTCCAAATCTAACAGCAGAGATGCCGGTCAACCACTCATTCAAACTGCGCTCATCAACTCGTAGCATGTACCTCGCACTGCTTCGTGAAGTACTTCGGCTTAATCGATCCTTCGCCGCATCTTTAGGTGCACGGATTTCATCTGCTTGTGAATTGCCGCGCAGGTTGGCACGTTCGCAGACATGTCGTAAATATGTCATGCGACATCTGGCTCAACCTCGCGGTGTCCTCGTGCTTTCAAGGTTATAACCATCCAAGTAATACTGCATCGATTCCTCGCTGCACATCAATCATGCAATCCGACACTGACAAACCCCTAGGCTCCCCTGTTCTCGAGATGGTGACCCCTCCGTCGACATTACTCCCGTTGCCTACGAGCAACGTGCCGCAGGTTAAAGAGACGATCGCCCAGTATCCTTTTGATGATGCGTCTGCAGACATCATCCTTCGTACCTCCGACCGAATTGTTTTCAACGTTCACAAAGTCATCCTTTCATACGCGTCTGGTTTCTTTCGAGATATGTTTAGCCTAAACCAATCAGCGCTCACATGTTCTCAGGGCTCTGGCAGCTCACAAGAATCACCGCCTGTCGTCGACGTGGCCGAAAATGGAGAGATTCTATACGAAGTGTTGCATTGGTGCTACCCCCTCCCACACACCGAGCCAAAGGCGCCTGAAAAAATCAACATGATCCTAGATGCTGCCGTAAAGTATGATATGGCAGGCGTGATCTCCTCCATGTTCCGCCCCCTGCGCGATCTTCGCGAAACACATACTCTTCAGGTCTTTGCCATCGCATGTCGTTTTGGATTTGAGGATTTAGCTGGAGACGCAGCATCAGTGCTGAGGACCCGATGGGAAAAAGAGTGTTCTGGTGACAAGTGGGACACTCCTTGGGGGAGCACAACAGCGGGCGGAAACTATGCTTCGGAGATGGCCCATATTCGCGCGGCATCGTACTTACGACTTGTGCGATTTGTCCGTACAGGTGAACGGACCGCCTTCTGCGAGCCGGCAGACCAAGAAGCCTCGCCTTCAGGACCCTACTCAATAAAATATATCTTACATCCCGATGCGGATCTCACTATTCGATCTCAGCTCAACGACGGGTTTGATTTTAAAGTTCACCGACAGATCATATCTTTCTCTTCATCCACCCTAAAGGAGAAGATACTGTCACTGCAAGATGCGCCTGACTCGGATGATTCTCAAAGGCCACCGGTTCTGGAGCTTCCAGAGAGTAGTGCAATTATCAGTACGCTGCTGGCGTTGTGCTACCCTTCGGATGACCAGGATGCTCCATACTTCGACCCTTCTGATATTCCCGCTCTGGTTGTCGCTACTCAGAAGTATCAATTGAAGAGGGCAATTCCCTTTTTCAAAAGGCACTTGCAGAAACACACAGCTGCAGATCCGTTCAAGGCTTATTGCATTGCCGTCCGATGCAATTGGAGAGATGAAGCGCGGCATGCAGCTATTCATATCGCGCGGCTTCAGGTCGAAGAACGGTATCACTCCATGATGGAGAGCTTTGACGCAAGGCACTACTACCCTCTCCTAAAATTCTGTCACGAATATCGCAGAGAGGTCACTAACGTTGCATCTAAATCCAACCCTCCGACAGTATCGAATGGGCCGGGAGTCCCTGAGGCTAGGGCTTGGTCGAGCTTAGATTGGATGTGGAAGCTGGTGGGCTCGGATATCCGAGATGCCACTTGGGCTCTCTCGTTTTATGCATCCTATCGTTCTAGCTTGAATTACTATAACCGTGACCGAGAAGACATGCTTTCACGACTCAACGTCCTTCATAGTGACATATCCGAAAGGTTGAATAAGGTTAGAATTCTGTTTGGTTGGTCATTCATGAAACATCCTGACGAATTGCACACAGTTAGTTCTGGAAATTCCTGGGGACGACGAATTGGGACAATGGCGATCCTCAATGAAAAGCCCGGGAACAGGAAAGGGAAAGGGAAAGGGACGGAAAGGCAACGGGAAGGGAAAGATGATCGCAGCTAATCCGCCTCCTTGAGTCTGTCTGCGACGGAGTCGACGGAGGCGCAACTTGCGTAGCTGTCGAGTGTGGATTACCACTAGATTACCACGTGAACGAACGAACGAAATCCGTGAAGGCGTGAACGACAGTGGAGCGTGCTCAGCACACCTCACATTTACATCAACCTCTCGTGGTCTTGCAGTGTCAGTCTTAGTATCATACGTTCATGACCCTTATGGTCAATGTTGAACACCGGATATGTTTTGAAAAAACAATTTATGCGTATGAGGAAAGTCATCGAAAGACTACTACATATATAAGACCCTCGATCGGCTTACTGAGGTTCGAGTCAACAGCTCAACGTTGCCTCGACTCGGTTTCAACGTTCAACCTTCACAAGCTAGGAGTCCAGTATCCTCAATTCGAAAGTTATGTCTCGCTACCCTTTCAACGCCGCAGATGCGGATGTGATCTTACGCTCTTGTGACTCGAGAGTCTTTCGCGTCCACAAGTTGATGCTATCGTACGCATCGCCTGTGTTTCGGGATATGTTCGAACTCGGACAGACTCTAGCACTCACGACGATTATGAGTCACTACCTGTGATAGGTACCACTGAAACGGAGTCCGTGCTCTACCAGCTCTTACATCACTGCTACCCTATACCTCACAATCCCCCAAACGAACTTTCCGATCTCGCACCCATCTTGAGTGCCGCCGTGAAATACGATATGCAGGGTGTAATCGCAATGCTCAAATACCCCCTGCGGCCTCTACGCAAAAATCAGCCTTTACAGGTTTTCGCGATCGCCTGTCGTTTTGGTTTTGAAGAATTGGCTCGCGAAGCGGCCTCCATTTGGAGAACTCAAGTCGCTCCTCGCGGCTCTGTAAACCAGCATCCATCCGTCGAGTGGCCAGCAACGACATTGGGCGTCAGCTACGTTGACGAAATGGCACCAATGCGGTCGTCTCTCCCTCCCTCAAAAGACCCGTCATTGGTCTGCGTACCGGAGACTAACCAATGCGTGCTGGATCGTATCTTCGCTTCCTCAAGTTCCTTCGGTCAGGGCAGTATTCTACGTTCTGCGAGCTGAGGCTGATTCGGACGACATATCTCCTCTGCTCAGCGATGGCCGCTCTATAAAGGGCATATATTTTCCTAGTGCGGACATAGTAGTTCGTTCCTGTCAAGAGGATGGTGTCCGGTTCAAGGTACACCAATTGATCTTGTCGCTTTCATCTCCTCTGCTGGAGAAAGAGATTTCTGGTCTCGACCGGAAGTCTGGAGATTTACCGGTGCTCTTCCTTCCAGAGAAGAGCAGTATCCTGAATATCATTATCGGATCTTGTTATCCTTCTGTTGTGTCGGATTTGACAGACATGAGCATTCACGATATCTCGGCCCTTATTACCTCTGCAGCCAAATACCAATTGAAAACCGTACTGGCCTGCTGCAGACGTCAAACGCAGAAAATGACAGTCGCTGATCCTTTCCATGCCTACTCTATTGCCGTTCAGCATGGCTGGCGGGAAGAAGCACGATATGCTGCCATCCGTATTGCCCGCCTTCAACAAGAGGAAAACTATTCATCAACCATGGAATGCCTGGACACGAGATTCTACTATCCATTGCTGAAATTCTGCCATCAATACCGCAAGATACTGTCTTATCTTGCGGCGGATCACGAGCCCACTTATTGGAGCCAGGCCAACTGGCTGTGGGATGACGACGATGATGCAAAAGACTTGGCATGGGTAATGACGATACAAGCGGCGAAATCGACCGTCAGATGCTTAGGCAATAGTAGTTACAGGGGGACATCAGCTAGGGAGGCAATAGATATCTTGCAGTCTTTGAAAGATAACATACGTTCTGCCTTGATACAGGTATGCCATGCGCTTTCATGCTCCATCTTGTGTTCTAATCAGCCCATGTACTAGCTGCAATTGGAGGTACCCTGGGCTGAGGATCCGACCGCGGTGATACCTGAGTAGTGAATGTTCCAACCCAACCCAACCCCACAACTCCCCCTTTCAACGAACGCACGGTAAATGAAACTTGTTGACGCATGGGTAGCGGATGGCAAATCATAGCAAGACAATTGATAGTGATCCAAAAAAGCATGCTAACGATAGAACGACGAACGACTTCAAACGATCATCTAATGTCCTTAATGCCTAAGAACAACAACCCTCTCTTCGCCCTCACAACTTCTTCCTCCAACGCCCTTGCGTCTGCCGTCGACCAATACTTCTCTCTCGGGATCTCATCCAAACTCCTACCCATTCTCACTGCAGTCTCAAACGCACTCTTCCGTGCATTCAGTTCTGCCATCTTTCTCGGATCTGAATGTCCCGAGAAAATAACGACCGCAGTGCGAGAAGGGAGAGCGGAGTAGAGTTCGGTGAGTTGGGTATTGAGGTTGGTTAAGACTTCTTCAACGTCTGCAGGCGATCGTTCCGTTGGGGTGCTTTCAGGTTGAGGTTCATTTGATGAACGGTTTACGATCCCTGATAGGGGATAAAGATTAGCATACCAGTCAACAACGGGATTAAATGATCACTTACACCCCAAAGCATCTGCAAGGGCAGTAAAGCGGCCGAAGGTGAATGTGTGATTTTGCACTACGTCCAATAGTCCCGATAGAACTTCGTCGTCCGATTTGCAACCAACAGTAGTGGTAGCCTTCCCACCATGCCAAGTCGAAGGATTTCCTCTATCGACCACAGCTGAGTGCACAGTGCCGCCTCGAGCTCTTGACATCCGCTCGAAAATCGACTCATAATCGGTCTTGAACTCTCCAAAGCCAGGTCCATTCTCCACCTTTTTCTTTAGCAAATCCAAACATGCCCTGGCGTCCTCTTCAGGGTCATGTCCACCTTCACCGCGGTTCTGTATTTCTCTTCCACACCATTTTTTTGTCAGCCAAGCAAGACCAGGCTTCAACGGTCGTCCTCGTGGATGATGGTATATGATGGCGGTATCGATACACAGAGGATGACAGATTTTTAGTGCTTTAAGGTCGGATTCTAGTGAGTGACCTAGAAGGATGGGTGTAGGTTTCGAAGAAAGAACGGAGAGGACGTGAGATTGGACCTCTTCGAAGGAGGTGGTCGCAGTTGCAAGAGCTTCTGCGGTTATGCCTGACCATCTACATGCGATGCGTTAGCAAACAGGCGGATGGTGGCATGGAAAAAAGAACGTGCCTTGTCAGGTAGTCGACGATGGGCTTGCTTGGCTTTACGAGCTTGTCGTAAACCACAATTCCCGAGGTATAGTCAATCAAGCAAACGCGGGCCAACTCCTTGTCATCTGCTGTTTGACACTGTAAAAGACAAAATGAGTGGGACAACAAATCCATGCAAATTCCTTCGGCGTACCATCTCGCAATCTATCGAGAGTATTCTACGTGATCTTGTGGGACCGTCCTCATCCACAGGCTCGGGCGTTTCCACCCATGCTGGTGGTTTTTGGAAGATGTCGGCGATATACGACGGTAAAGGGTATTCGTTCTCAATCATTTGCGCCGCGGAGAGAACATATCGCAATGGTGTCTTTTCTTGAGCACGTTCTGCTATAGACGAAATCTCGGTTAGTCACCTGTCAATACTTTGATGACAGGAAAGACATTACAAGCAACCCTCTCAAGTATACGCCTCTTCTTTTCTTCGCCCGAGAGTGGCGACTGGAAGAACGCGCTCAAGACCGAATGCATACGACTTTGGTCCCCCGGAGCTTGAGTAGGACACGCATGGCTGAATGTTGAAGATATAAAGTGCAGGCCCTTGGAAGAACCTTCTTGTTTGTCAGGCAGTGGTATTTGTAAAGGCTGGTTCGGGTTGGAAGTAGCGGATGTAGGAAGTGGCGGGAGGGAAAGGATCTCTGGTGTCAGACCTGGAATGAGAAGAGTGACAACTTTTCTTATCGAGCGAGGGTTCTAAGGGAGGATCAATTCATGAAACAATGAAGTTCAAATCATACTACGCACCTCAACCCTTATCCAGCTAGACGGAGGAGCATCCGCCGACAAATGTAGGACAAGGTCACGTATATCCTGTCAACGCTAGAGTCAGATCCAAAATCAGTCATGAGGGCGTATGTACTCACATCGATACCGACAGCCTCGCGTCGTTTCGTGATTTCTCCCTTAGCATACAAGAAGCGAGGTGGTTGTGACTGCTACCAATCCCAGCTGTGAGTAACTATCCTCATTTCCTGTAGAAAGCGAAACACACACGTCTAGTCTACTCTCCGTCTTCCGCAGCTTCCTCGCAACTCGCTTCTCTACTTTAGTCCATCCATCCGCCTCAACTTCTGTCTCTTGAACGCTGATTCCATAAGAGACACGGGGTGATACTTTGAGCTTCTTTTGAGCAGGAAGAGGAGAGGTTTCTGGGGATGTAACAGGAAGGAATTCTTGCGACCGCTTCATTGTGCAAGTCTAACGGAAATTAGACAGTCTCGCCCTTAATGTGGGTAGGCAAAGTCCTAAGATGATCCTTGGGTGAAGGACGGAAGATGATCTTCAAGAATATGTAAGCTGTCGTGAGGTTGAAGTAAAGCCCAGTTTCTCTCCAGAATGACTTTACTAAGTAAAATTTAAAAAAGTCTGAGAAAGTATTTCACGGGCTGCTTATGGAGATCGTTGTCTAAATTAGGTAAATTACCGCTGGTAGAATACGAGAATAGAAAATGTAACCTACTAGCAATTTCTAGTCTAAGTTACCTATTACATTGAGTAAGGGCGCATTCGCGCTTACTCAATCCTGCCAACCATTACTTAAGTCCAGTCAAAACAGCACTAGCGGCTTCAACAAGCTTCAAGTCTATGGCATGTACTAGTAGAGCATATCTTATGCTTACCGTTTGGTCAAGTGCTCGAATAATACTTCCTTGAGCTACTGCCTCTTGTCGAGTCGCAAATACCATGGTCGGAATCCCCGACTTACCCGACGAACTTCTCATATGTGTCCTGAATGCGCCCCGGCGTTTCAATGATCTGCTGAAGTGTAGACAGGTACGAGATCGTTGACACTGTCTGCGAATACTGACTGTGTGAGGGATTATGTTTAGCTTTGGAAACGGTTCGACACAATAATACTGAATGAGACGATACTGCAATACAAGGTGCAGCTAGCTATCAATGGCATGAAGGACAACCCCACCATCGCCATGCCACTTATTGATCGAATGGGTCTGATGCAGAGCTCCTTGTCATAGACTTAAGGAGGGCTTCGCCTGAATTGACACCCATGGAAGAAATGGAATACAAATGTAGCTTTCATCTTCCTGGAGTCAGGAAGTGAAGTCTATCAGGCCAAACTGCGAGCCTACCCTGCGCCATGGTCACTCCATCCTGCTCTCGATGCTCCATTTCAAGTTGATCGAGATCAACGAGGCTTCATATTAGCCTTCGCCACCCATCATGGCCAACAGGTTGACAGGCCAATACACTTTTTGATTTGTGGTGGCCCGCTCTTGCGTCACTTCGACACCACACCCGCTGCATGCAGCAAGCTTCGAATTGATTGGAGCAAATGGGGACCTGGAGCTTCTTCCGTTGTGCGATATATGGCTGGCTATAAATCGGTCTGGCTCTGTAATACTTACGGCACTTTGATCGTGAAAGGATCATATCCTGGGCCGCATATCTACATGTTAGACCTGAATCAGGCTGCGATCAGGAAACTCCAAGCAGAAAGAAGCGATGCGATGAATGAATCACTGACGATTAATTCGTCTACCTGGATCGTGCAAAGCGAAAAATGTATGGTCGAACACGGTACCTTCCCGGAGAAGTCATTCTTGGGCATGATGAAATCTACGAGGCCGCGATGATCAGCGAAGATTGTGTTGTACTCGTTGACACGGTAAGATTCCTCTGTTGATCGTCATTCACTCAACTAATCGTCGTTCACAGTCCAACGTGACTAGAACACGATATCGCATATTGAGCATGTAATCTTCACAATTGGATTGACGTGCCTATGAATGATACATTCATTTCCCAAAATTCTACGAGAGGTATATTACAGCCTTTTCGCTGTCTGTCCGTGTTCCGCCATGGTGGTTCTTCGATTTCCTCCATGCTCTGATGCCGGCCGGGCGGTGTTCACAACTTCAAGTGCTTTTGAACTGACAAGTCCTGGCCACACATCTCGTTATTGATTTCCATGCATTTGAACCTGCCAATGGATATGATATTGTTGGCACTTATCTTGGTGAGGGTGAGTAAGCACTGTCCTCTTCGTGCCATACATACCAGTTGGAATGCTTGTTGCAGTCAACACGGTACCGCATTTTCTCCAACTGATTTTCACTGCCTCGACACTTTTGACAAATTACGTCGCGAGTCTCTTATTAATAGTCCTTTGGGTTCTATAGATCTTTGTAGTTTATGCGTCCCTCTGCGATATCAGCTTTATGTATTCTCCGTCTTGTCGATGCGCGACTAGCACGATGTCGTACTTAGCTTCCAACCACTAGTATGTCTTTCTACGACAAAACATAAGGATGTTTATGTCATTTTTGGTGATCGCCAGGAGGTGCAACTATGTTGATGAATGAACATGTCTTAGTTCGTACAACATTGACAACCGAATCAACTTTTGTCACGGGGACAAGCCCTTCTTGAGGGTGTCCGTGCTGTTTGATCGCACCTCGAAGGATGATTTCTGAGGGTCTCCCAGGCTCCCGACAATCATTGCAAGGTTCAGAGGATCACGACACTTTCAGGTCAGTGTAAGATTGTCCAAGTTGCACTGATAGAAGGGTATTCAGCACGCCATGAACCCAAATAAACAGTGACACCATAGCCTATGGTGGTGGAGTTGGCCATAATAGAGCATGAGTGAGCTACGGCCGAGTGATCATTGACAGGCAGTTGAGAGAAACTGCTCTGCCAAATAATAGCGGCGTGTCCTGTAAATAATTGAGTTCGGTCGCATTCGAATCCCATAATCAACGCACACCGCGTTTCGTATGTCGGCCAAGTCAATAGAGATACGTATAGTACGTACGCAGGTAATCAGAGCGTTTCGACGAACTCCATTGACGTTGACCAAGGGTATCTATCTTCGTCAAGAACCGAGTACGCGGGCTTCCGCGCCCATAAAGCTCGAACGAGGTAAACGAATATCCTATTGCAACGATCCACAGGGTCTTGACGTGAAGGAGAACGTGACCATCGAAGTCGTACCGTGATCTCAAACCTGTCATGGATGGTTGCATGCTCCGAAGCTTGCACACCCCGCCGGGATGCGACTTCTATGTTCGTTCTAGTATCTGATAGTATCGAAGATTATGGTATGTCGAGTACGCATTCCATTGCAAGCTGATACATGCTCCGGGTCCTTGGGGTGGGAAGCATCCTCTGAACTCTGCAAACATTATCCACGAAAGCGACTAAATGACTCAGCTTTTGTCGATTTATGACAGGTCCTCGCGGTCGCGCCTTCAAAGCTTCACATGGTACCGTGTAGTGTTCGCGTCCGAAAATTACAGTAAGGGGCAGGCTCACCTCTGGCCTCTTGAAAACCAACGGAAAACAACCAATCCATCATGCGTGGACATATTGTGCATCTCCAGCAGGAGTGCCCACGAACTTGGAAAGCAGCATTGCCATATACTTGGCGAAAGAAAACAGTAGAAACAAACCATGTGAGTTAGCATCTAAACAGCTGTCCAAAAGTCGGGTGGCGTATGTAGGCATGTCAAATGTTCAAGACATTCATATGCAAGATCAGGAAAACACGATACCGGTCCAGAGTCCAGACTTAGATATTTAGGAGTTGATCGAGCGTCGTCGCCAAAATTCGACCGTCTGAAACGGTCCACAGATTGCTCCGGCTGTAAATTCCGATACCCTTTCTCTGCGCTGTGGCGTGGATTCCTTTCCTCATCATCAATGAAATGTTCATAAAGCATCCTCTCCAGTCCTCTGCCCGTACTCTGCCTTTTACCAACCAAGCATGTCTACTCCTAGTTCCAAGTCGGACGAAGCATTCGGTGCTTCATCTTCAGATGATGTGGCGTTAGATTCTACAACAAACGAGTCATGGATAGCTATTGAGCCTCCAATGCCACCCCGAAATATCCAAGGTGCGCTGCCGAATAAAATTCGAGATTTAGAAGACCGACTATTTGACCCCAATGACAGTTATATCGGATCTTTGCAGTGAGCCGCCATCGTTCTCCGCCGCACAGTTCGATATCGTGTTGAGACGGCAACATCAGCGTTCTCGAGACGGCGGTGGAGTTAAGAAAGCTGCCATACCCTCCCGGTTTTTAAACCTTTCTGATACCTTCGAATTCTCCGGCTGGGGAACACTCTCTCGCATCGAACTCGATCCGTCGGATATCTCATATGGCGAAAAATGTATACAGGATGGCCGCAGAGCCAAGACTTTGGGTCAATTTACAGCGAGTGCATTGGCGGGAAATGCGGTCCTTGGAAGTGTGTTCTATGCTTTGCCAGCCGTGGTCATTGCATCGGGTGTGTAGTAAGTCGCAACTCTTCTCCCGAGCTTCCTGCGACTTACTATCGTCAGCTCTCCTATTTCTCTATTCATCGCCACACTTGTATTATTCCTATGGAGGCCAATCATGGAGGAGTTGGCATCGGCTTTACCCTTTGGCGGAGCACCGTATACATATTTGTCAGTGCCCATTTGTAAAACTCCATTCATGTGGTCATACTTGCTCTGTTCCAGATTGAACGTTTCGTCAAAGTGGCTTGCACTGTTAGGTGCCGCCATGCTTCTCCTCGATTACGCGTCAACCTCTGTTGTTTCGGCTGCAACTGCAGCGGCTTATCTGTCGGGAGAAGTTTCACTTCCATTTCCTGCCTATGTCGGGGCCCTTCTTGTAGTCGTAGTCTTCACTATTGTAAGCCTGAGTGGACTCCGAGAAAGCGCTCGCATTGCTCTAGTCGTTCTCAGCCTACATGTAAGAATGACACCTGTGTAATTTGATGGTAAAGCTGATGTTTAATACAGATCCTCACCATGCTAGCTTTGTTTGTTGCCTCAGTTGTGGCGTGGGCACGTACAGGGAACTCGCTGATACACGAGAATTGGGTTATGGGAAGAGGGCCTCTCCGAGCGGGACACATTGTTGGTGAAGTCTTCAATGGTGTTTGTATCGGCGTACTTGGTCTTACCGGCTTTGAATGTACAGTGAATACCATTTTCCTGAAGGAACTTGACTTACAGATGTTATAGGTACCCCTTCCTATGTGTCAAGCATTAAGCCGGGACGGTTTCCGCGTGTTCTGCGCAATCTCCACTATCCGGCCATCTTCCTGAATTGTTTGTCAATGCTTTTCCTGTTGGCTCTCGTGCCGCTCGAGACTATCTTAAGTGGGGCAAACGTATTGAGTGCACTTGCCAGTGTCGTATGAAATGTTTCATCCATAAACCAGATACACATACTGACATCGCACTGTTCCTCAGGCTGCGGGCAAGTGGCTAAGGATCTGGGTGGTAGTAGATGCTGTGGTAGTGCTTTGCGGAGGTGTGCTCACCGGTGAGTAACCAGTCCCGGGTCATCTGGAAGTTTAGGTTCAATCTTGGGTTAATATTACTGATAGGGATTTTGGGTGCATGTGAGCTGTCAGATAGGTTAGCCCGAGACCGATTGCTCCCGCGGTTTTTCCTCCGGAGGCTTACCTGGACCCATGCGCCGTTCGTGTCTATCGTATTCTTTGCGCTGTTCTGTTGTGTGCTCTATGCCGCCTCTGGCGCTAGCTTGTCTATAGTCTCCAAGATGTGAGTTCCCCTTGTCGGGAATTCCTTCACCCCGTTTCATGCTGAAACCGGTGCTTGCCCACAGGTTCTCCCTGATATGGCTCGCCGTAATGACTCTGTTCCCCATCGCTGTGCTGTTACTCAAGTTCAATAGAGGCCGGCTACCTAGGCAACCGCGTACTTCCTTGACAATCGTGTTTTCGACATTAATTATTGCCTTCGTCATTATCGGTGGTAATATTGCCATTGACCCCACAATAGTCGGGTAGGTGTCGCAGTGCAAAACAGTTGCACTAGCTGATTTACTCGCCTTACCAGGTATGCTGCAGCCTACTTGGTAGCTCTAGCTACTATTTTCTATGTCACCATGAAGAAGGGGCGCTTCGTGCGTTGGTTCCTATGGATCTATGACCAATCTTCTTCCTTGAACGCCTTCCTTTGGACCAAAAACTGGGGTCACAGGATGGCTAAAATGATGATGCATATGCGTCGGCAGCCGGTATGTCTATTGGTGAAGACCGATGAGGTATGTTGTTCTTTATCTTAGCAGTTTCATAGCGCTTACTTTGAAGCGCTTAGATCAACCGACTTTTCCACAAGTTGCTGTATGTCTGTGAGAACGAGGAGACCTCACGTCTGAAGTTAGTACATTTTTACGACGAGGAAGGCGGGATACCGTCGGAAATGGAAGCGAATTGGAAGAGTGAGTTTCATGATTAGGTTCAGTCTACTGTGCCGATGTACTGATATGCCGTAGTCCTCGATGAAGCATTCCCAGAGATCACCGTGGACCTGGTAAGCTTCTGAGCTTCTAATTCGATCACAGATTCATGCTCCTGACCGATGTTTCTCCTCAGGTCCTTGTTCGTGGTCCGTTTAATCCTCTCAATGTTGCTGCACTTGCAAATAGGTTGCAAGTACCTACGACCCTCATGTTCATGTCATGTCCTGGCCAGAACTTTTCCTACCCTGTTGCTGACTTCGGAACACGCATAATCAGCCTCTGAATCTAGTCTACATATATTCAAAGCGCTCAATTTGTATATTACAGATCCTAAGGGATTACGACGGTCCAGATGACCAGTATCAGCTACATGTGATAACTTTCTAGAGTATAATAGCACTCCCTCATCTGTCATTTGGACTATGCTCGGGTCTAAGACATTTCATATCAGACCCTAGCAAATACACTGCGAGCATGGACGAATCTCGCAGCTGTGAACGTTGCCGCGCCGGCGAGGATGAGAGTTCCCGTGAAGATGATGAGCCATTCAAAATGCTTTTGGTCTATTTCTTTAAGGAAAGCGCCAGCTGTCGGCGTTCCAACGAGGTTCGCTATTGCGATAACGAAGTATATAGAACCTTCGCAATTGAGATGGATTAGTAGACCCCTGGCGGAGCTTGCGTGGATTACATACCAAGTCTGGCACCAAATTTCTCGACTGGCGTGATGCTAGCTATATACGAAGGCAAGAGTGAAACAAATCCGCCTGGAGTTCAATCAGTTCAAGAAGGTCAGATGGATGTTTGAGACGTAAAACGCACCGGAAAATAGACCATAGAGCGCTGCAAACGCCGTTACAGACGCTGCACCACGAGAGGGGAGCCATATGGCGAAGCACCAGACGCCAGACAAGAACATAGTGGGAATGAGAACATTCAACCTTATTTCATTTGATACTTGAGCGAACTTTCCGAAAGAGGGCCAGGTGCACTCACGATCCAACTTTATCTGCCAATAACCCGGGCAGAATACGCGCCGGGATGCCAAGGCCATTCATGATGACAAGGAGGTATTTCGCCAAAGTCGGATCTACGTCTTGGAAAAGCCCGTAGGATTCTATGTAGAAGAACGGGATGAAGAGGGCGTAGAAGCCACTGTAAGCAACAGTTAGTAGCGTTCAAATGCGATTATCAGAGCTTCACGCACAGGAATGCACCAATTGCAGACAATGTGTACTTCACGTCCAAAAATCCGCTGAAATCGACCGCTCCCGCAAGAGAAAACTCCTTCTTCAGAGGGAGGTTCGTGCGTATGGTCAATGACGAAATGCACAGACACGCCATTGTCACAAACGCGGCCACCCTAACAGCCCAACCAAACCCAAGACTGGAAATAAGCCGCTGCAATAGAATCGGATAGACGATGCCGCCGAGTGCGCTACCCGAAGCTATAATACCTATAACATAAGCCCTCTTCCGCTTGAACCAATGACCCGCAATAGCGAGGGCCGGCGTGAAACTGACAGAAAACAGTCATGAGAACAATTAAAATGAAGGCGCAACGCAGGTTTACTCACATTAATGCGTTGCCAATGCCGAACAGAACACCTTGACACAAATAAAACTGATATGTCTCGCCCGCTTGACATATGGAAAGAAGCATCATAGAGGCCACGATGATGAGAGAACCTAGTGGAAGCAGAATCTGCGCATTCTAATTTAGTCGAGCGGATCTGTAGCAAAGATGGTGGCTCACATTTGGTCCATAGGTATCAAATAGCTTGCCTATCAATGGCGATAGACCGTAAAGAATAAATAATTGTAACGAGCCAATAAGGGATATAACGGATGGTGATGCGTTGGGCAGAAGGGTTGTCGTGTAATATTCCTGAAAAACTCCCTAGAAGCATAAAGCATGTTTCGTGAAATGACACTTCAAGCCGAGGAGCCAGAGGCGGACTTACATAGGCATTTACTACACCGAAAGATGAAAACAAAGCCAGGTATGCACCGACAACTACAAGCCACGCCTTCAGTCCGCCGTCCGGAACATCTGTTATGGGAGCATCTTCGGATTGGTTAGGTCTAATTGACACCTCATTGAATATTATTGAGGGCGCAGCCGACCCATAGCTCTTTGGTTCTGATTCTTGGTTGGCAGTAGGATGAGCGCCGAAGGAGTTGACATGACTGGCGCTTTGTGGCGCAAACAGATCGCCGCTGGCAGCGTAGTTCATGCTTTCACCTACAAGAGTTGGTGAATAGTATAGTCAGAGCGAGATAGGTGGTGTGTACGGACCTCAAGGCTTTAACTTAGCACACACAAACCAGACGTTTGTATTGCTAAGCACACCTCCGACCCGGTTGAGAGTCAAAGGTGAAAATGCTTTACAATTACAACACATTGGTAAGTATATGTGCAAGCGAGGTGATGCTTGCAAATATTGCATTCCGAAGTCGCAATCATGGGGGTTGCAACCAGTGATCGGATATCATTCGCGCCTTTCTCGGTCACGGGCGAATCTGATTATTAGTAGTTAGTCATCAGTACAGAAATACTTATAAGCTAACGGCCAGTTCATACTATGCTGGTAAGTACTCTTCGTGCAACCAGTGTATAGACATGTCGTCGAAATCTCTAGGCGAGTTATTATTTTCCTCCCAATCCCAGCCACCAACGTCAATCATGGTCAAAGGAATTTGATCGAGTCGGAAGACGCCGGGCCCGGACTTTGTATAGATGTCCAGAAATTCAGAAGGATTACCGTAGGTTCTCTTTACCTCAGTCTGGTGAGAATGCTTACTTGAGCTACCGTCTTCTAATCCTTATCCACAGGCAGATGAAAGAGGTGAAGTCAAGGTCTGTGTATGATGGCTTCAGAGCTTCACACGTCAGTGAAGACAGAGCGGATGAAGTCATTCGAGACGCTCTGTTGCATTCTTCTGTCGCAGCGATCATATCACCGGACGTTGTGGAAAGGGTATCGAAATGTCTGATCGATGCCTTCTTGATGAGCCATGACGAGCGACTCGTCGGCCTGAAGCCGCAGAACTCAGAACTCAGAACTCATCGTGTGAGCCCAAACCTTTCTGAGCGATTGCAGTTGCATCCAAGCCATTCAATGTAGTCTCTCAGGTAAATTTATTACTGGACAGCTTCGCCTTCTGCTCTATAATGAAACCTTATGCCTTAAGATGTTCCAGGGGGGAATCATAGTGCCTTTCAAGTCAGGTACTCATGGCGTTTTCCAACGGCCGAGGCAGCCTGCCAGTTTAACGCCTACTCAAGCGCGGGCCGTTTCCCTGCGCTACGTACTCAGTTAGTCTGCGAAGCGATCCGCAAATGCGTTGTCTAGCGGCTCAGCCAAGCTCAAGGTGAACCTTGATGCCCCTTAACGGAAGTGGCTAGTAATAAGTCCTTGTTTTGCTGCGATTACTATATGCGCTTCGAGGTTGTTACTTACTTGCCCTGATACAGGATTCCAGCAACGTTCACAATGCTGGATCATCGTGAAACGGGTGTCGAACACACGCTCGAAACGAGGTGTATGAACACAGAATGGTTCTTATGCAGTGCATCTCGGGTAGGCTATCCGTTCACGATGAAAACATGCTTCCCTCGTTCCCAAGCATGCCGCGAGGGCTATCATTGGCAGCGTCTATAATGGACAGCGTCTCTCGAGCAAGCGCTTTGGGCGGCTAGCTGTGATGATTCGCAGATTGCAGGTGCCTTGCACTCACGGATGCCATCCGCTCCTACCCCGGAGCTAATGCTCTTTGGGTACGAGATGCCGTCTATATTTCATTATCGTTTACCTTATTGGTGCAAGTCTGGTTCTTTCTCTTCATCACTCCTCGCGGCGATTCTTGCATGCCGCATCCCTTTGCCTGGAACATGGCAGTACAAACATGTCTGTACACACTTCGTACAAATACCTCGAAGGTTTAGCCTTAGGTCAGGTCGAAGACCAGCCACTTGCTTATCTTATTCACTCGCATACCACCTCTGTACCCTATTGTCAATGCAACGACGCGTCGCTACCCGCGCCCACTCCACTAATGCCTCGCTCTCTGATCCTCACAGTGCCGTCAACGTCATTCTTGCTCATCGCAAATGCTGGAGAATCATGAAGGGCAAGAACGAGCCTGTCTGGCCACGCGAACTTGAGGCCGCGCTCATCGAAGGTAAACTACCTAAGTATCTCCGGCCTGTCGGCACATGCTCAAACCTTATTTGGCTAGGTATGGAGAGGTACAAACCAACAGGCTCGCGTTCTACGAAGGCCTTGGGACGCTTGCCCATGCGCAACAAGTTCATTGCCGACTACATCTTTGAAGTCACAGGCAAGCGGCGAACACCTAAGCAAGTTGGAAGTCGTATCCAACAACTTCGTGACACGAACTCTGGAAAGCACAGTCAGTATTCCTACCGTAACGCAGACTACTCCAACTCAATCATCGCTGTGCAGTTGTCAAGACACTCTCTGACCGCCATTACGAGATGTTACAGCCTACACGTTCGCCATACGACACTGCAGATGAGGGTGCCTCCGATCTCGCCCAATGGTCGGCTCAACCGGTTGAGCCGCCCTCGCCTAAGCACGTCTACATCGAAATCTCACATCCTCACGATACCACGTTCCTTGACATCCTTCCGTTCTCTACATCCTCGTCCGTTGACGTCCGCTTCGTCGGTCGGACCCTTCGTGACATCGATCCAACGATCACATTCGTATCAGCGACAAAGTTTAACTGCTATTCTTCCTTCCAAGTCATACAGCACGACTCTGTGGTGACCTCGGAAATCACAAATTTTGAGTCTCATCCCACTTCCACGCCTCTGGGAACGCCGGGATACCTTTATAGCACCACGCTTGTACCTAGGTTCTGGCCCCGACTATGTAGTAGTTCAGGTCAGTACATGTCTGGAACTTGTTTCGCTTCCTTCATTGCTCACGGCATAGCGCGTAGATCCCACCTCCTACACGATTGTTCAGGAGATCATACGTGCTGAGGGACATCCTGATGTCCTGTCCTCGGTCGTCTATCACATCGTATTCGCTTCCGCACCCTCGCGATCCGTTTCGCCATCCTCCGTCGACGATGGAAGCAGCATTGGTGATTACTCTTTCTCTTCGGAATCCAGTGTAAGTGACAGGACATATTGTATCATTGAGTGACATTCCTAACTGATCATCACAGCCCAACCTCAGAACTGATTTCGAACAGTACCTGGCTTCCATGCAGGCGTCGCCTACACAAGGTTCTTCGATGCAGATGGCTCCCGTGGAGTCGGAGAGCGCGTTGTTTGTCCCTGAGCTTGTTTACCACGGTGAAGAGGGCTACGCCAGCTCACTGGCCAGTCCTCTCGACCCCCCGACGAATACCAACGTCATGATACCCTGGTCAGATGATACCCTTATGCCTGCTCGAATTCCCGCCGCACCAACTGCGACTTTCATTGCGCCGGGTACAGTATGTGATAGCTACTTTGCTGCCGAGCAGGCGACTATGTCGTCCTCGTGCTTTGATAACCACGTATCATTTTCAGACGTTGTGGGTAGGCTTCTTTTGTCGTATTTGTGTTCCTAACTAAAGTCACCTTATGTTTTCGCAGGTCTTCTGATATCCGCCCTTTAACGCTCTCATTGTCATGTCTGGCGCCGGCGCCGTACCCTTACGCTTTGTATCATAACTCTGTATAATTTCTGGAAGAGTCTTCTGTCATATCTCAGTCATGGGGTCCTCTGGTTGTAAAAATCTTCTATCTTATATCTCACATTTGTAATGAGGCTAGTAATGATTTTCTTCTGCCGCCCATGTACTGTACGGAATGGCGTAATAAAAACATCTTGCATCTCGTCATGCGTCAATCCATCGACTCCTCCCGCGCGACCAAAAACGTGCGACGTCGATAATGTGAACTAATCAAGTCGAGACGAATCAGTGGACTTATGATGCGAAGGCAACTGTAAGTTGCCGATTTCACTGCAAAACAAACGCCTGCGTCTGTTGATATTCTTGTCTTCGTGAGTTCACCGGCACTCCTGAATCGCGAGATCTTCTCAAAAGGAGCGCCGACTGAAGTGCTAGAACCGTTCCGAAAGGGCGATCCTTGTCCAATCGTAATTACAGCGCCTGACTCCTTAAAAGGACACTGCTGGTAAGTTAGCCGCAGCCTACATAGAAAAATGGTACCCTCTGAGGAGAATAGAAAGGTTGAATCAAGAAGAGCATAATTCAGAACACCCACAAAACTTCTGAGAAAAGAATATAACCGATAGAATGGCCACCATAATTCGTGCAATACAGCGTAGACAGTTGAACAGCGTGTTGTCGCCGCCCTTCGTCGAGTAGCTTCGGCGTAGTATCCCACACACGCTCCAATGCTCACTGTTTGGGTTAACGATGGCAAGTCCCGCGGATCCATTTTCAAACACGTCTAGCCCTGGGGCGTCTGCAGTGTATTAGTTACAGCTCAACGTTTAGGTCTCCGACATCCCGCACATGCTCAAGCTTTCTGTTCTGATACGACTGCAACCAGATGAAGACGCGCCCGTGCGATAGATATGGGGGCCATACATGGCTACATTGCCGAAGCACGTAGGTTCATCGCAAGAATCAGAGAACAAGGAGCCTTGTGGACGCGAATAGAGCTTCAGTGAATGACGAGAGCGCCTGCCTCCTGGACTCTCATACAAAGCGGACCCGGAGGCAATAGAACATGATGAATACGCCACAGCGCAACTCCCAAGGATAGCAGCGTAGCGCCGAATTCGAAGGGTATGAGAATATCGATTGCAGGCCTAGCACCTAGGTAAACGATCAAGATTGAGAATCAGTGGGGAAGGAAAGCGCTTGATTCGGCTCCTGTCTGGAAGCGTCTGTTTGGGCTGACATACCAACTATAGAGTTGAAAACGGTGGCTTGAGTTTGATTCGCTCGAGATTCTATACCAATGGGTGGTCGGTCCCTTTGATCTGCGCGTGCCAGAATGGGAGAAGACCAAAGTCAGAGATGCAATCTTAAATTCAAAGGTGCCAGTCATAGCAATTAGCCCAACGTTATCCTCGCTACTGCGCGTCTTATATTCGGCCATGAGGGTTTCGCGATGTAAGTATCCCGTACATGTCGTCGGCGCGCGTTTGAGCATGAGGTCGTGACACGAGGTATTGTCAAAGTAACCCTCGCGTCTACACACTCCACATTTCATGGCACACCAAGACAGTGGTCTGACGTCGGTTACGCTGCATCTGCGTCTCAACGTGTGCAGATACAACTAGACGGAGTCATTATGTCTGAAACAGAACTTCGGGGAAAGACAATAGGATGCGGAACGAACCACATCACCCTTAGAGTTGCGATATGCAGAGGTTTCCTGAAGGTGAATAGCATCCTGAAAGCATAGCCCGCATATGTGCGACATACAGATACTGTCAGGCCTGTGCGCCGCTGCCGCTGTGCACCTTGCTGCGAGGGCCAACAGACCTATGCAGTGACTGCTGAATCTGAGATTGTGAGGTTCACGGGAATCGATAAATCAGATATGCTGCACTGCAATCCGCATCAAGCATAAGGGCATAAGCAAGAGACATGGGAACACGAAATCACTTCACCTTCAACGTTGGGGAGATCGCCGGCACGAAGGGGAGTCCGGGAAGATCGATTTCGTTAAGTTCAACCAGCGCTGAAAGGCATGAGGGCGCCTTTACCGGCGCTGAGACGACATTCCTTTCATGGATCCTTGCATAACTTCCCACAAAGAGCGTCTGGTCGAATGCCCGAACGCCCCAGGATGGTTGTAAGCACCCAAGCTGCGGCCCAACTGACCTTCTCAACCTCTCAGTGGCGTACGAAGACAACACCCTGGATCGGGGTCATCGAAACTGCGGCCAACCAAAGACTCGGTTCGGCATCTGCGGTACATGGCACAGTGAGCGAAGTCCCGAAGTCGAATCCCAATTTCTTGCATTAGAACAAGAAGCCGCCAGAGTCCCAGGAAGAAGGTCGGAAACAGAACGGGGACTGGTATTCTTGACTGCAAAACGAAAGGTGATGGTGAAACAAATCGAGTCCGTATGAGTAAGTAGTAGCCACAAATAGATACATGAATTAGGGGAGTTAGTGTATCAAATCAAAAGAGATGTCCTTCATGAGAATGCGACAAGCAGCGACAACACGATGGCCAACGAGCTGCCAAGAACCTGCACAGTAAGTGACCGTGCGGACGAGGCTTGCGCACCCGTAGCAGCGTCGGGACAAACACTTCCGCCTTTGGCCAACGCGGACGTGGGCAACAACACTTGAGGGTTGCCACCAGACCCTTTGATGCTCACCCCACCGTTGGCGTCGGCGTTGACCTTGGTGCATGTCAATACGTCAATGAGTTCCTGGTTGGCACTGTAACCCGCGTTGGGAACGTTCCATTGAGGCGTAGAGGTGCTGCCTTCGTTGGTGAGCAGGGTGAGCATCGGTGGCTTCGAGATGGCCAAGTTGTTCGTCGAATCCACGAGGAACTTCAGCTAGAGATTCAACATGTGGGAGATCAGAATGTACAGCGAGAGAAACATGTAGAGCACTCACGCTACTGGTGTAGAAGTCCTTGTTCGTGGATGCAGCGGCTTTGCGAGCCGCATTGAGTGTCTTGACGTGCTGTACCAGTGGCTTGTCTTCGCCGTAGCCAGAAAGCCAGAGTCTAAAATGATGTCTGATTTTCCAGAAAGTAATTCGAATAGACCCTACACTTACGCTTCACGGTTAGCAGGGTCGTTGCCACCGGTGTAGCCTTGTTCCTGGCCTAGAAGACCAGTGAGTCTGTGACATGCAAGATTCGCAGACTAAGCTTACCGTAATAAAGAACGGGAATGCCGTCTTGAACGAAGGGCCAAGTCATGGCATTTTTGACAAGCTGTGGAGACGGTAATTATAATTTGGCGCTTGAAAACGCTTCGCGAATACTTACAGCCTGGTCCTGAGTGAGCGACTGGAATCGCGGGTTGTCATGGTTTTCGAGGAACGAGCCCATGTAGTGTTCGCCATTGTCGTACACACTCTGACCAGACTGCACCACGGCGGCAAGCGTCGAGAGGTTGCCGTTCGTCGTCTGGAAGCCAGTGGTGAGAGCAAAATAGGCAGGATAGTCGAGCGCAGCAGACAACGATTCTACAAACGAACGTTAGCGAAAGGGCGTTGTCGTGTTGAAGGCTTCAAACCTACGAGTGTAAGGAGCGACGTAGTTGGTGTCATTGTGAAGAACCTCGCCGACAGTGTACACACCGGCAGACTTCGCAAATTCGGGCCAGAAATCCTTGCGAACGTGCTTCACGGTATCAATACGAACGCCGTCGAAGGTGTAGTTTTTGACGAGACCACTAATCCAAGAGTTCCAGGTGCTGACAATGTTCGGGTCCTCAGTGTTGATATCTGCAAGCGGCAAGTTCTCGTCACCAAGCCAGCATTGCTCGACAGCTGTCTGATTATTGTCGTAGTCCGAGGCCTGGATGAAGCAGAAGCTGTGATAGTCGGATTGTTGGTTAAATGGCTCGAAACTGCCGAAGTTGGGCGGATTTGACGTTGCCACCATGTGGTTCACGACAACGTCGACCATAAGATACATATTGCGCTTGTGCACGGCATCGGAAAGGGACTTCAGGTCGTCGGCAGAACCAAAGTGGTCGTTCAGCTTGTTGATGTCCTGTGTCCAGTATCTACAAGATCATTGTCAGTGAAACTTGTTTGAAAGGGACCACCTCTGTATCCTAGTGAATAGACCGATGCATGCAACATGCATCATCAATTCACATCTCAAAGTTTTAGCTTCTCTCGACTGTCACCTCAACAGTGCCTCAAACCAGGCAAAGTCGCGGTGCCAACTGGCATTGTAGATATGCAAGGTATTCTAGCGATTTCCGCGGGCAGTGACAATCTCCAACAGGCCCCGCTGATGCATCGGTGAGAATGTTGGGTCATGTCAGAGGCCCGTCGAAACACAGAACCAGGCGCATCTATGTCTGCTGAAACCTTTCGACGTGACATTGAGAACATCTTTAACAGCACAAGTTTGTTTGCGAATAATGCGGGCGAATGACAAAAATTCAAACTCGCCATCGTGGCCACCAAAGTGCGCTACACTTGCGCTTGTATAAGTGAATGGTCATCAAGAGACAACGCAGATGGCCTCTGCGCGCCTGCGAGACTTCTCATAGGGCACGGCACTGTATTCGGCTCCCACACGCTGGTTCGACAGCCCTAGACCTTCCAACCGGAGCAATGTCGTGTGGACTATCCTCGCTATTTCCTCTGTGACACAGATGGCATCTCAACTTCGCGTGACGACAGCAAGTACTCAACCTTTTGCATACGCCAAGCTGATTCGACGCTTGAGATCGTCTTATGCCAACTCTATAGACATCCTCTTCAACAGTGCTTGCCCTCCAATAGTATGCCAATACCGCACGTGCAACACCGAGGGAACGCGATAAATTCGACAACACTCACCCATGGAATGCTTCACCATAAGCTGTGTTCCCTTCTACGTTTGCAACTACAGGGGAAATCCAGATAGCGTCGAAACCCATGCTCTGGATATAGTCGAGCTTGTTAATGACACCCTTGTAGTTTCCACCGCAATAGCGGCGGTCATCTGTGTTACATGTCGGACTCGAACCGTCCGGGGTTGCAAATCTATCGGTCACCAGCTGCAGAAGGAGTCAGTAGGCAGAGACCTGAACGAGCCTTTAATCTATGCACCTGATAGATTGACCTCGTACGCCAGTCGTCCGGAGAGGCCGCCAGTGCCGTTAGAGCCACAAAAGAGGGAAAGAGAATGCTGGCCAGCATGGTGGGGGTAAGCGAAGAGCAATGAGCGTGCGGGGAAGGCCTGAAGTATATATGTCGTAAAAAAGAGCGGCTTCGGTGACTTATGATCTAGAGTCTAAAGTGTCGTCTAGTGTATAAAAAGGAATGATGAAGGGCTGTACGGATCAGTCAGGCAACTGTCGCTGTCGTGGTCGTCCGAGATGAAGGAGCGGGGGACAAGAACGAAGAAGTCAACCAAGATGCTTTATTTTATATACCGATGACCGCTGAGATTTCTGCACACTCTGGGTCACGGCTGAGATCGTAATTCGAGCATGCTGCCGACGGCCGAGTCCTTAAATGGAAAGGTACCTGCCTAAACAGGCACGCGAAAGCGGAGATCGACGCCCGTGCCCTGGATATCACTAAATGGACCCTCGGATTTGGAACACCCTTGCACCCCGAACGTCTCCAGAAACGTTTTTCTCTTTCTCGATATCTCGGCGACATGGAAACAAATCCACTCCCGTTCTAGCATCACTGCCATTTCAATGTTGTTAATTCCTATCAGGCTTTGAACTGAAAACGATGAAGCATGCCGCTACGAGGCGAGTACCATCGTGATGTTGCGGTACATCGTACACCAATAAGTACAAGAAATTCAGAAATACATGGTTAGAACACGGATTAGAGGGCTGTAGAATACCGCTTGCACTTGGAATGAATTAACAAACGTGTCCATGGGCGAGCCCCACTGGAACGACAATCTAGCTCAAAGAAACGAGAAAACCCCGAGGCCGCCATGCCGATGAGAGCACCACACTAGGGCGCGGACCTATAACAAATCACGCAAGCTGTCCTTGCTGCATATACTGAACTTGGGCGTTGATGGTTCATAGTCACCTAGTACCCGGCCTTGCAGCCCTCCTCGCTCGGACAGGCGCCGCAACTGGAGGTACAGGCGCAACGGCACGATGAAGTTGAGCACGATTCGCACGCGCATGAGCCAACACGTTTGCGGCAGCCATATTCTGTGCTGCTCGTGTAGCCTGAAGATCAGGCGGCCCTGCCATGAAGTGTGCTTGAAAATTTGCAGGAACAGGTCCGTTCATCCTAACAGCAGGATTCAAGTTCATGACATTTCCGACGACTGGTCTTTGTCGTGGTGGGGCTACGTTGACATGCTGCGGTGGAGGCGGAACGGGATGTTGTCGGATTCCCTGCTGAAAATGCATTTGAGGGAAGCCTTGGGGATTGATACCTGCTGGCGCGAAGGGGTGGAATTGAGGAAGGGCCATGGGTACTTGTGGTACAGGACCAGGCATACGAACAGGAGCAGCCAAAGGCGGGAAAGGCGGCAAGTGCGCAGGAAGTGGTACGGGCGGTGCACGTATATGGACGTTAGGGTGCCCAGGAATTGCAGGTGCGGATGCAGGTGCAGGTGCCTTCGGTATGTCGATACGGATATCTTTCTCGTCTACATCTGGGTGTTCGCGCTTGTACTGTTCTAGTGCCTTTCTCGCCGCCTCCGCAACCTATAATCAAAGAAAGCTTTTTGAGAGACGTGGCTATCAGATATACTGAAGTAGGTTTTATACCTCGTCTGAATGACGCTGCTCAACGGAGTCCCACAAAGGACACTTTGTCTTGTCAGCAGGAACGTTATACGGCGGTGGCTTCGCATAATAAATCAGGACATACGAAGCGGCTTTATCAGATGCGTAGCTTACCTGGTTGAAATGTTCGTAACTGGTGATGACCTGCCTGCAGATATAACAAGACAGTGTGCGACAATTGGGACAAGTCATCTTGTTACACTGTTATGAGGAACTATTAGCGAAAAAGGCATTAGTAGAGACATGTCATGTACACGCACCCCCATTTCTTTGACAAAAGCTAAGTCAAAAAGTTGAACGTTATGTTCTAACGATACTTAAACAAGATAATTCAGGAAGACCCACCTTTCTTGCACTTTGGGCAATTCCGCATGAGGGCACGAGCTAAGACAGCATGAGTATTGGTCTAACAATAGATATACTCGAGTAAGCTCACTCATGGCTTCTTCGATAGTGTGCTGAGCATCGAGCTTTTTGTCCTCCTCAACCTCTGCATACCAATAAGAAGAGGTATATAGTAGAGAACAAAGTGCAACTCACCTTTACAAGTCCTTGGCAGATGATCCTACATAGTTTTACCTCACGTCAGCTTCGAGTAACCAAACAAGGGCCGTTTCCTACTCACCAGTTTCTTACATGACCTACAGCTGACCGCGCCACAATCCTCATTCTGACAGTGGAACAGCCTTTCCTGCTCATTCTCAATTACCACCTTGTACTCACAAAACGGACACTCCTCTAGCCCCTCCAAACCCGCCGCTTCGATTTCCTTCCGTTGTTTCACACGTTCGTACAGTGACAATAACTTTGGCGAGAGGAATCGACGCAATTCGGATTCAGGGAAAGGAAGCTTGCAGCCAGATTGATCCATACAAATGATGTTGGGATCGTGTGACCCGAGCAGCGTTTCGGCGTAGGTGCACATGCAGGTTTTGCAAAACAAGTGAGCGTCGGGACATTGTACCATATGATCCTGGGACTTCATGAGAAAGACGTAAGATATAGAAAAATGGACAATGACGCACGAAAGGATAATCAGTGAAACAGCATCCGCATTCAATGCCAGGCTCGGCATCCTCTTGCTCTTTTTCGCTCAGCTGTGTCGCCACCGCTGACTCCTTCTCCGCATTCCGTTCTCGAAGCTTACGCAGAAACCACTGCCGCTCTTTCTCAAACTCAGGATCTGTGCGTTGTACTTCTTTACCCTTGCTTTTCTTGTGCGCATGCAAACGAGCTGCAGAGTTCGGTCTATATGGCAGAGGTGTAACGCTCTGGTCCTTTTCCAAGACGAAGTAGGCCAACGAGTAAAAACCTTCCTCCTCATACAGCCGTTTGCGCACGTGGCTCTTCGGCATTCGAGGAAAATCTGTCATGAGTTGTTGCTGGAGGAAAATGGTTGATTTAACGAACAGACGAAAGGGACAAGAGACATACCAGTGCCGCTTCAATATAATGCTGCCCCGCTATTCTATTGAAATCTTTCTTCAAATAGTCCACTTCCTCTTTGTTCGACTGCCGCTGTTTGACAGACAGCCTCTCGTCCCCTCCATCATCACTACGTTCCCTCTTTCGCTTTCCTTTTCCCTTGTCGACCTTCTTTGGGTATGTAGAATCTTCGAAAAGCGCGTGCAAGACTGGTTCAACCACTTTCTCCTTGTAATTAGCATGATGTCGGATTATGAGTTCTACGACATGTGCCGGGTCGACATCAGGGATAATCTCCAGCACTTGCGCAACATATCGATCGTAGGGTCCATCCTCTTGAGGAACAGCTGAAGTTTCAGGAATAGGTTCCAGTAAAGAGCCGGACTGTGAAGGTGGTAGTGGCATGAAGAGTGGGTCATGGTCCTCGTTGTGAGCAAGGGGCGCCGGCTGAGGAGATGACATTCGGTTAGACGGGCCTGGAAATGACTCCTCCGGATCCGGGAGAAAGAGTGGATATGGCTTTTCCTTCACGGGCTGTGGTTTAGACGGCCCAGCACGAGGTTGTGATCGTAAAGGTGTTGGTTTCCTGCTTCGTGTTCGAGAGCGCGTGACTCGAATTGCGAACTCGTCCTCCGAGTCAGTGATCTCGATGATGTCTCCCTGAGGGATAGGGCGACGGGATCTTCTTTGTTTACGAACAGAAGCTTTTATACATGAAGGTCTCGGTTCCGGAGACGAGGGTATCTCTATCACATCTAGGTCCATGTTGCCGAGACTAACCTCCTGAAGTCTGAGGTAAGGAATTGTGAAGAATATTTGGAGTACTCACATCGTACCCAGATTTGCCCGGTCTATCAAGCACGGTCTCCACACAAAAAGCCAGTATAAACGTAAGGAAGCCGCTGCAAAGAAATCCGGAGCTTGCTAACTCCAGTTATAAGGCGTCACCGCCACTGGCAAGTAACCCGTTGTCAGCCAGCACACCGTCCGGATTTTGCTGCTGAATCGTGAGAGCTATCTATTGGTGTCTGATTTCAAACTAATTGCAAAGCAGCAGAATCAGCCTCCTGCTATGAGATTTGAAGAGCAAGCTATGGTACTGTAGTTACGAGTCGCAAGGCTGGGAGAATATAGAAAGGAATAGACGTAGCGCTCAGTGTCACAGACGCGAAATCCGCGTGACGTAACGTGATTCGTGACGACCCGCGAAATACAATCACAAAGGGTCTTGAGTCAAGCTGAGTTGTGCAACGGAACTACTACTGCTGTACAGAGGCTATTGTCAACAGGTTCGTACGACACATATGATAAATGGCTCCAGCTGTATTTCACATCATAGGACCGAGAAAATCGCTCAGAAACATGTACAGTATCTCGCCCGAGTTGCCGTTGCTGGGAGTCTCCAAGTGACGGTCGACGTGGTACTAAAAAGGTGTCACTCGCGCTTCAATTGTTGGAACCACCAACCTCGACAATTTGAAGAGAGAACATTGGTGAGCTTGATATGAAACTGCCATTAATTCTGGATGCTAGTTGGTATCAATCATGCGTGGGTGGTACTACCCACATGAAGCGTTATTATTAATGCTAAGGTCGAAATCCATCTCCGAGAGGAGCCTTAAGTCCCTCTCTGTCATACCTGGTGACCTACCGGCAACGCATCCGCAGTCTGCGCGACGAGGGCTTTGCTGTCAGGCCTATTCTGAATGACAGAATGCCCACTCCACTGTTACAAACCCCTTTACTTATGTTGGTTAATTATAGACGATAGTAAACCCCGAATCGCCGAATCCGAAAAGCCGCACACTACAGTCTCTCGGAGGAGTCAAGGGTAATGACGTTGTAACATCGGCATGACCCTACGTCTAGGCAAATCGAAATCCATCTAATATACAGGTCAGAATTCCTACGTCCTGCGGAAATCATATAAATAGGCCCAGTTTCTTTGGTATGCACTCATCGTGGTATCCTCTGCTTCAGGTGGACCCCCCTACTAATCCCTAAAGCCGCTTCACTATGTCTAGACTGACCTTGAACCTAAACGACGGTAACAAGATCCCATGGCTGGGATTCGGCACTGGTACTGCATTGTTAAGGAAGGAGGTTAAGGACGAAGTCCTCGAAGCCATCGCCCATGGTATCACACATCTCGACGGTGCTCAGATCTACGGCAATGAAGAATCTATTGGGGATGCCGTAGTTGAATCTGGGGTACCTCGTTCTTCGCTCTTCATCACTACGAAGCTATGGGAAGTACCGGCAGGCAAGACCGTACGAGATACGTTGGTGGAATCACTTCGAAAGCTTAAAGTCGACTACGTCGACCTATTCCTTATTCACACCGCTCGACAACACCCGGATCTGAAGTCCGTGTGGAAACAGCTCGAGGACTTGAAGAAAGAGGGCCTCGCGAAGAGCATTGGCGTATCGAATTTCCGCATCAAAGATCTCGAGGCCATTCTTCCTGACGCGGAGATCTTGCCTTCCGTCAACCAGGTACGCCGACCAGCGTCCTTGATAATGTTGAATACAATATCTCACGTCAGACTTTTCTCCCAAAATACCCAGATCGAGTACCACCCCTACGTTATCAAGGCTACCAAGCTTCTCCTTGAATTCCTTAAGAAGCACGATATCATGCCGACCTCTTATGGAGGCATTACCCCTCTCAATCGATTTAAAGGAGGCCCAGTGGACCCTGTCCTAGATAAAATAGCAAAGAGATTGGGCGAGACGCGAGGCAGACCTGTTACTCCCGGGCAGGTCCTACAGGTCTGGCTCCGTCAGCAAGGTATACCCGCGATTACGTATGTTGTCTGCCATTTCTTCGCTGTTAGATTGTTGAGAGGTTTTATCCCGTAGAACGACTTCTAAAGCCGAGCGACTTCTTGAATACCTGGATGTCGAGACCATCCCCGATCTCACCCCGGAAGAAATCAAAGAGATTGAGGAAGAAGGTTCGAAGGTGCACCACCAAGTATTTGTACGTTCTACTTCACTTTTGCTTCCTTTTGTGTTTGCAATTGATTCGTGAATGTCATGCTCCCAGGCGCAGTGGCTCAGTGAAGATAATTAGATTTCTGGTACATGTAGCGGGTGTGTAACGGATGAACCTTAGGTGTACTACTAGTCTGTAACAATCATGGGGTGGAAAGTTTCCAAGCATGCAATCAATATTATGTTCATGGAACCAGGGGAGCGTAGCAAGAGCAGCAGCAAAAAAGGTGTTTTGCTGGTGGAAATCAATCAGTGTGCAGAGGAAAGGCAAACACCGGCAGGTAGAACTGGTGTAAGCCGTACCATATTGTGCGCGAAACTTCCGCAAACAAAGACCGTTAGAATAACCGTTCTGTGACCATCAGTGTTGCTGTATCCCACTGTAGTGTGGCAGGTAATCCAAGATACCACCCGCCGAACGTCGCAACAAAGATTAACCCGAATGTTTGCTGGCCATGTTAGAGACCATGTGGCACAGTGAACATTTGGCGAGAACAGGATTAAGTTCGCCAATCTTTCAGATCCCCAATAATCGACCACCGTACGAGGCAAGGGCAGGAATAGTACGAAGAGGATGAGATACGAAGGAAGCATTCCAATATACATCTCATGTGAAACGCAGGCGTACGGAAGGAATGCAGAAGTAGCAGCGTCTGGCATTGGAGGTAATCCGATCGATGCAAACTTGAAGTTTCGCCAGTGTCGTAGATTGAAACGTATTGGAGACTGCCTGCTGAACACAGCTGCAGTGAGGAGATGGTGCCCAGAATTTTGAGTTTCGTGTCGCCAGCAGCGACTGAGCTCTATTGGCCGATAGCCTGTGTGACAGGCTCAAGTTGGGTCTGGCCACAACCTTCTATTGTACAGAACCTGTCGCAGTATCAAGTCAATCGTAGTTCTGATTTTCACTGTGGAAAGTTAGTCATAAGCTAGAGATTCGGGTCACAATTCGCTCACTGATGAGTATACCAGAGATTCTGGCTGATTGAAGTAAATAAGATAAACTCTGTTGTAGCAGCGGTGTCATTCATTTTCTAGTCAGACTAACGACGACCTCGTCGTCGACCTTGCCAAAAGTGCTAAGAGGTGGCACAGAGATGAAACTGCTCCGAACTGGATCGGGACAGAGCAGCCCTGCTTCCGAAAGGGTTTCATAGCATCTCGGGCAATATCGTGGAGGAGACTTCTTGCATTTGATTTGAAAGGCTGTACGAGCGTAGAGACTAAGGAAGTAGACGGGGGCCATGAAGCTTGCGCCACCGATCAAATGAGCATAGGACGGCAACAGGATCTGAAAGTAAAACTGATCCGTAGGACGGTGACGAAGATTAGTGAACATATAGTTCATGAATCTCTCATCTTTCCGGAGGTGAACTGGTAAATGTAGAGCCAATGTGTACCTGCGGGCTTCCATCTGACGTGGCGAGGATTTAAGATATTTGATTTGACAGTCGATAATATGTCGTACAAATAGACGACACTCTACCCAACAATCTGTGCATGAAAGTCACTTCATAACAAATAGTCACCCACGCTGCCGGGAAAGGAATTGATAGATGCATGAGAAACACACATGACAAAGATCCTTATATCCTTGCCAGGTAAGCAAGGAGACGTAAAACATATGATGAATCTTCGCATGTTTTGAGAATACCATGCGTATCTAGAAACAAAAGGGCAAAAGAGCTTAGGATAGGATCGTGGGCAATAAAATATTCAGAAATAAAGCAAGTACGTACTTAGAAGTTCAATGGTAACCTATCAAGGAAAAGACTTCAATTTGCCATTCTTGCGACAGTCCTAGGGATGATGATTCAAGTTTGATGAAATGCATATGTTGCATATTTCTAAGATGCCACGGCTGTATAACTATTGTCAGAACATCTCCTGAAAAAGCTCATGACTTCGCAACGTCTGGTCGTCGTTCAACTACTGTATTATTTGGACGTTCACTCACATAAGGCTGGAGCTTACTAGCTAGTAGCAGCGGGCAATAGTCACTAAACTATATAGACTCCGACTGATGGACCTATAATTGTGCATGTGCTGAGATTAATCGGACTTTGTATGTTAGTGGCTGATGTTTGACAACATTTGACGGAACAAACACACTGCTTTCTTGAACGATGACGAAAAGCAGGGTCGTTAGGTACCCGTCTTGAAAAAATCTTTGTGCCTACATACCTATAACCAAGAGTACTTGTCAAGAGGATTCGTTCCAACTGGAAAGCTTCTATCTCTGTGACATCAAAAAATTCCACTTGATTTGTCCGGTTTCACATTGACGAGTGGCCTGTGCGCATTTTTCCATCTTCTGTCGGTTGGGGCTGATGTCTGTTGCAGGTAGAGTCTGAGAACATAGCGTGGAATTACTCCCGCAGTACTGTAAGGAGGCCGAGTCTGATGAACGCACTCACGAGGGACGTCAGCGGCCTGCGAAATCACACATGAATGGGTAATCCGGATCAGTGGAATGTATCATGTCCATACGATGACATTGGCCTCCCAAAGTTTCTACAGCATGTAACGCCCGATACTTTGGCGACTTTGATGAGATGGACCTATCTGTTCCTTGCCAGTGCCTGGACCCGCTCTTGGAATGCTAGGCAACCCGACCTAACACTTATCCAGAATTCCCCCTTCGAGTTTAGCACTCATTCTCTGTCCTGACGCATATTGCGACACTCACCCGGCGATCTGTTATAGCTCGCATTTTCTGTCGCTTGTGCAATCTCTCGGACTCCGCTCCGTACCCATCAAGAACCCCGGTGCTTCTTGAACCTCAACATATTTCCTCTTCACCTCTCTCCCCTGTCCCGCATATTTCCCGCATCTGCCTTCATTCCTCATAAGTTCACATCAGGGCTGCCATCACAAGACGATGGCCTCTTCTATGCACTGCCAATCCTATGTTTTCGATCCGCGTCCACGGTACCCTCTTCAGCTGACTGCAAAGCGCTATTGGATTCCATCTGAAAATGCGCTCTTGAGCAATGACTCTGATGCTCTCACTCTCATCTTCACGCATGGAACTGGTTTCCACAAGGAGATTTGGGAGCCTACTATCGAACACCTTTTTGATGTGATTGCAAATGAGAACAATAATGGACGATCTGGTCAGCGCGTGAAGATTCGTGAAGTCTGGAGCGTCGATGCACCGGACCATGGCGATGCTGCCATTTTAAATGAGAAGGTTCTGCAATGGGGTTATTCGGAAGTCGGTACGTCTCGATGATCATTCAATTAATAATGAAGTCACTGAATTTCGCTTTGTACTATAGTAAGTTGGGAAGAGCACGCTCGCAGTCTTCATGCCTTCCTCACCGGATTGGGGACTGGCGTCGATGTTGATTTCAGCACCCACAACCTTGTTGGCGTCGGACATTCCATGGGAGCCGTCTCTCTGTGAGTTGCATTTTCTGCCACGTCAGTCGGTGGCGTTGACAGTCGATTAGAATCCTGTCAGAGACGTACATGCCCGAATTGCGGTTCTCATCCATGATTCTCGTCGAACCTATGATCGTTCCCGAACCGCCCAAGGCCTTCAAGGAACGTCTGTCAGCTGGATTCCTGATCTCAGCGGCGCAGCGACGACGTGATGTTTTCCCGAGCCGGGAGGAAGCAACGAAATACGTTCAGAATAGCGGCGTATCGAAACACTGGGACCCACGTGTCCAAAAAGTATTCGTTGTACGCCTTGTCAACTTTATACTCCTGAACCGGATACTGAGCTTTATTTGATATGACATGTAGAAACACGGTTTGAGGCAGCTCCCCACGGCGGAGTACCCCAAGCTTACTGAGGGTGTAACCCTGAAGTGTAGTAAAGTGATGGAGATCGTATGAAGCTTTCTCATTCTGTCTTCCTCTCCGCTTAGCGATTATCAAACTGTGCAGGCCTGTTACAAGGATGCCCTTGGTCGAACCCGCGCTTTCCAGCGGCTTCACTTACTCTGCAGTCAGATTCCAGTGCATTTTGTCTATGGCGTAATAAACGATCAAGTGTAAGCCGTTATATCGTTTCTTTTTCCTGAATCCTAACCACGTACCATACCACAGCCCAGGCGTTGTGAAAGAGAACTTCCTTACTGTAGGCGCCAAGGGCAGGCATGCTTCCGTAACGCGTATCGACGGTGCAGGCCATCTGGTAAGAAGTTGCAATTAACTTGTCAGTTACCGTTGCTAACGAAAAGATGTTCAGGTACCACATATGCAACCTCAACGACTCGGAAGGGCTCTCATGGAGATCCTGCAGTGCCGTCCTGCGAGCAAAGTTGCCGAGGCAACCGAAGCACCCGAGAACACCAAGCTGCCACACGGACACGAAAAGCAATTCGAAGCTCAGGCGCAAGCTTCATTGCGTGGACACTTGCGGTCATTCCTGTGGTGTGTACTCTACGTACACCTCGCCGCTGAGATGCGCTAGAAGTCACTCATAATGCTCTTCTGGCCCAGAATTAAGACAAACTGAAGACGATGACGTCTGAAGCCCCGAAAGTCGTTTAGTACCGCCGACATTGGCCTGTAATCTTAGCCTATTGCCTTCTCGCTTAGATTCTCTTGGATGCTGTTTTCCACGTTCGTCTTCGTCGTCCTCCTTGTTATCGCTGTGCGTGCAGTCTGTCATGTTTTCTTCCTTGACATTTTCAAGCTTCATTTTCTTTCGTGTCGTCCTTGAACACTTGGGTTTGATTGAACAATGTACTATACGCTATCACCTTCTACTTGTCTTGCTGATCTGGGTCGAGGTCGTAGTCCAGATGCCAACCGCGTAATAGATGTTATCAGCAGACCTAAAAGTTCCGATCTTTATAAGAAACTATATATGTCAAGTAAGTCCGTAACTGTAGTCAAGCGTACTTAGTATACACCGTCGCCTTCTCTTTGATGAATCAGCTTGATCTTCCAGAAGTCTTTTCTGTACAATCGTAAAGCAGCATGCGATCCTTCTTTTCTTCTGAATGGACAAGTTGTACACGATAGGTCGCATCTGCAACGAAAAGCTCTCTCCCATGTGACGAAGTGAACGGGCTCACTTTTGAACCGTCCTCCTCTCTCTTAGCATTGCTGGCAATTGATGCAGGACTCGTTACAGCCTGTGCACATTAATCGAGAGTTTCCAGTGCCAAGATTATCCTGCCGACATCGCGCCATACTGAGCCCCATGCTCAGTACTATAAACGCGAAATCAGGATCAAGTGCCACATTCGATGGCAGATTATTCTCATGGGAAGCAGTTTTATCGGGGGATTTGGAGTTGCTTATGAGAATGATAGATCTGATGACCATGGTAAGGATGAATGACCGTATAGGCCCTATCAATATATCAAGGCTGACACAAGATTGTAAGGTAGTGGCGATAGTGACTTGTCAGGTACGAGCGCAGCTCAAGGTGCCTTGCGTGTTTGAAATCGTGAGCGACAAGTGGGAACCAGTACTAAAGCATTAAGGCATCTGAGAAAACGTTGATTGAACGTGTCGTTTGAGCGGAACCTGCTGACAATATAATCGCAGCCAGTAGGTCTGTCAAAGCCTGGTCAACACGAGGCCAAAGCTTCTTCACCTTCTGGACGAAGATGAGTTCTATCAGCACTAGAGAAGGAGAAATGCTACAACATAAATCCATTGAACTGGTCCCCAAGTTGTACATCTACACATACAGGGGGACTCACCCAAAGAAGCAATGCGTCAAACATCACAACCAACCCGATTAATGTACATTACTGTAAACGTCCGCAAAGAAAGCAGGCCCCGTCAAAACCTCCAACCTTCAGCTCCCTTCACGTCCACCCGACATACGCAAGGGACACTGCATAAATAGCTTGATACAGGCAATGGACCCCACGAGTCGGCTTTTAGAGTGATAGGTAGTATGAGGTATCGCAGCGGGTGCGTCGAGGGTCGAGATCATAGAAAGGAGACTGAGTGGAGGTCATTTTGTATCTATATCGACACGGGTCTCCATCTCGATGATCCCTGGTGGGGATTCCCAGATGTGTAGTGATTGTCGGTTGTGTTTGAGAGCTTCGATACGCAGGATGAGTCGTGAAAGTGTGACGGACACCATTGCCCAGGAGAAGCTGTAAGGAGTTCGAGTCAACCTGTGTGAGATATTCAACAATGGTATTCCCGTCGCGACGTACAATGATCCGATAAGAATTTGCGAGGTGTCCTGTGGGTGAATTGTTAGGCGCATACGGGGGCAGTGAATGATGTTACGAACCGCGATAATACCCAAGATGAAGTTCATAACACGTAATGCTGCAGCAATAAATGAGCAAAGTCACAGTTTCACCCGAACAGACGTTACGTACAAAGTAAAGCCTTTAAATCCAAACATGAGTACAATTTTCCTCAGTAGAATGAAGTCAAAGTCGACTCACTGTGAAGAAAATCGCTCCATCACGATACAGCGTACTAAGCACGCCAATATGCTGCCTATGGGGTCGATCCAAGCTATTACCCAACGTCAAGAGGAGAATGAAAACGTCAAAGGCGGTCTGTAAATCATGGTATTAACATTTGTCCAAGTACCACAAGATAGAAATAAACGTACCATCCCTGCCCATACGCCAATCAAGAATGGTGGCTTCTTGCTCAGCCCACATGTATTCATACCAGCAATTGGTAAGTGAACAATGGTTGCTATATAGCCGACAACTTCAACTCCTGACGATGACGGTCACTGAATATCAGGCCGCTTACCATGTACTTCCTGCAGCGTCAGAGCAGCGCAAATGACAGTTGCGGTGTAGCTGAAGGCGAATGCGACGATGAGAGCTATCATGGCATTGCGATTGCGGTCCCAAAGAGAGTACATCTGTATCACCATCACGACTGGTCGAGGCATGAGCGAGATTGTGGGTACATATGAGAGCGAGTAGTCCTGGACTCACAATTTGAAAATGCCATCGAGACAACAGCGACTATAAAAATCCCCATAATCAACCCACGACAACTGGAGGATGTGGTTCGTTATTTCCTCGTTATTCATCAGATAGATCTAACGGTACCTCTGTTTCATCCAATAAGGTAAGCATATGGCTAATACTACGTAGACTCGTCCAACTCACCAAGTCGCTAAGAGATGGGGCAAATCCAGCTTGAACTGAGAGAGTAAATCCATCAGTAATTGAGCCATTCATGCAGCCCCAGAGGACTCACCATAAGCTGCAAGAATTAAACTGATCTCCACAACATAACGGTTATACAAGAAAGCCCATTTGATGACCCCCCATGAAGGCGAGAACCATATTAGCTGGATCTCATCTTTGAGAGTTAAGAAATGATCGTAGAGAAGGGCCACCAAGCCAACGACTGCGTCGCGACTCGTTACTAACGTTCAGCGGGCAGGTGGGAGAAACGGCTTACCTGAAAGATAACGGGCCGCCCAGAGGGAATGAACGATGACAGCAATCGCCTTGGGATCGATTGGAAAGCTACTGGGAGGGTCCATTGAGAAGGACTCTGGGCGAAAAGAATAACAGTACCCGATAATCTGAAGGTCTTATAGAAAAGAGTCTTGCTCGTGTCGGACCCGGCCAGGCATCAAGCATCAAGGCTAAGTGAGGGAGGATACTGTTCAGCAGGATCAGCCGCGCAGTGCATCACAGGTTTTGAGTCCTCCATTGGGAGTTCTGTTACACGGCATCAATCATGAACATAGGACCGTGGTATGGGTCTAACTCTGATAGACACTGTGATGGCCCAGAATGACTCTGACGCTCTCAGGAACCCAAGAAGCCAGCCTATTCGGGAGGTTTGAGCGATACTGGAAATCCATGTGTGACAGATGGAACGATTGATTGCGCCTTGCTGAATCAAATCTCCGGACTGAGATGATTAAGTCTCCCGGCGATTCGCATCTACTAGAGTTGATTATTGTTAGAGATGAATGAGTCACCTGGCCAAAGCTAACACTTTGAAGTGGTCAATTGAAGTCAGTACTCGATGTATAATTGAGAGTCGCTTGAGAGATACCGATTACCGGCGGCTACGAGTCTCCGGTAAAATCGGCGAAAGAATCTCACCGATCAAGGGATCGCAGATCTGATTTAATTTTTATGTGACCGATGTCACGCTCTGCCACAAAGGTCGCTTATTTCGGAAAAGGAAATCCAACACATGTAGCAAGGAGGAGAGGGTTTGATACTTCTGATTTCCATCATTCTGGATATCACTACGATAAAGCCACCTTTCGGGTATAGCGAATAGGACCAATGCTTACTCCTCTTCTAGCTCGGAAGTATCGTCCTTAAACTGGCAGCGAAGCCACCACCACGACTTCTCTGGCTGACTGACGTGTGGTGGGAAGAACAGTAGAAAGATCATATCCAGCCCAGCAACCGTCGGTACTCTGTGTCAAGTAAGACAATGGAGCTCTTACAGCCTTGACCGGGTGCCGTCGGATCTTTGTCGCCAAGACAGTAGGTATGAATATTGAACCTTCTTTCACCGCTCTACCATTTTGTGATCGATATCTGAGTCTTCTAGGTGCTTTTATGCTCTTTCGCCGCACCTCAGTAGCTCCAACAAGACTCGTCCATGAAGGAAAAACATTTCAAGGATAGAAGGGAGTCGAAGGCTTGTACATCCGTCGTCCTTGAATATCTGAATCTTGATGCATCGATGTCTCCATATTTCCTCACTCCATTCACATGATCGCTTGTCCGGTTTCGTGCGTGGCAAGATCAGAAAAGAAGCGTATACATACCCGCGACGTCGTCTAATTCATGAGGCACATTCTCTTCGGCCTCGCCGCCGCTAGTCCTTTCTTTCCCCTCAACCATTCTACTTACTAGGTCTCCTTTGTAATAATGTCTTCCTCCACAGATTCCGATATTGCGCTGGAGCAGAAAGGTGCTTTAAAGACACCTACTTCAACGACTGTCTCGGAGAGTGTAGATCCACCTCCTGAAGGCGGAGCGAAGGCATGGATGACTATCGTCGGAGGGTGAGTCTTCTAGACTTGTCGGGGTACACATCCTTGTCATTGAGCGGCGCCGTCACCTTTCTCCCGCAGATGGCTTGCCGTCTTCGCGACGTTTGGTTACATGAATGCCTTCGGTGTGTACCAGGATTTGTACACCCGTGAGGGGGCGGCCTCAGCGTCGCGAATTAGTTGGATCGGCTCGACCCAGCTATTCTTCTTGATCGCCATGGGCTTGCCTGCAGGGAAGCTGTTCGACATGGGCTACTTCAGGTCGACAGTTATCGTCGGCACGGTTCTCTACGTCTTCTCGTGAGTTCTCAGCTCCTGTCGCGAATAGAACAGAACCTTACCCGTTTGTCAGGATGTTCATGTTATCTTTGGCACACCCTGACAAGTATTACCAACTTTTCTTGTCACAAGGTGTCGGAATGGGTATTGGTTCGGGATTGCTGTACATGCCTGCCATGGCCGTTCAATCGCACCATTGGCAAAAACGGCGTCCTCTTGCAATGGGTATCGTCATTTCCGGTAAGTGGCCCCACGGAGTTCTGGTTAGGGCATCCGGATATACTCAGATGTTTCTGGTCCCTTTGTAGGTTCGTCAGCGGGGGGAATCGCGTACCCCATCATGCTCAACCAGTTGCTGCACCATAGCGACATCGGGTTTGGATGGAGTGTTCGCGCCTCCGCTTTCTTGACACTGGGTGTTTTGGTTCTCGCATGTATTTTGATGATTCCCGGACCTCCTAAACCGAAGACTCAAGTACCGAGCTTGAAGACTCTTGTCACGGACACACCGTACATTTTGACCGTGGTTGGGTACGTCCGTTTCTCACTTCTCGGTGGCTTACATTCTTCTCACATTCTCATCTTTAGCGTGTTGTGTTGCATGCTGGGATTGTTCTTCCCATGTAATAGCTTTCAAATTCATACCCGAATAGTCCGTTCACTTACCTCACGCTCGTCAGACTTCTATTTGCAACTCTACGCTATCCTGCATGGGGTCAATTCCACACTCGCGTTCTACACGGTCAGTGGCGGCAATTCTTATCAACGGAATTTCGCTATGGTTACTGACTGGATGACACATAGCTCGCGATTCTGAACGGCGCATCTGTGTTCGGTCGCACACTTCCAAACATGCTTGCAGAGAAGATAGGGCTCTTCAATACGCTTGTGCCTATCACCGCAGGGACTGGCGTTCTGATCATCGCCATGTTCGGTGTAAAGGATGCCGCAGGCACCGTAGTCCTGGCAGTCCTTTACGGGTTCTTTTCTGGAGCGTGTAAGTCATTCGTTTCGCCTCACATCCTCGTATTCTCCTTCTTTCACCGCCTTCCTATCCAAAATGTTGATTCTCTTCTGTTCCGATCAGTCCTGTCTTTGCTCGGCCCCACTGCGGCTGCCCTCTCGAACGATGCAAGTGAGATCGGGTGAGTGATGTTTTCTATTGGAAAGGCAATCTCTGTTAGGATCAACCCTTCTGATGGCCTCTTGTTTGCTTCCCTGCAACCTATCGCTTTTTAGTGTGCGAATGGGCTTCGCGTTCTTCGTTGCGGCATTTGGGGCACTTGTAGGGACACCTGTTGACGGAAGGCTTCTCGGGTCAACGTTTGACTGGTCGAAGGCCATCGTCTTCAGTGCGGTACGTATCAAAGAAAGCCGCCTCTTGTGGTCAGGGTCTTGACCTTCTGACATTTCTTTACTTTCAGGTGACCACCTTTGGTGGCGCAGCGTTGATCGGCGCTGGCAGGATGTTCTTCGCGAAGCGCAAGGCGTCCCAAGTTGTGTAAACCTGGCGGAAGAAGCATTCGATGACCTCACGCACTACGCACAACTGCATATGACCCCCCTGCACGTGAAGAAGATGTGCAATGACCCTACCCTCGGTTAACTTATTACTTATTGGTTCCGAAAAGTACGATTTTGTCGGTGTTGCACGTTGACTACGACGGCGACGCTTTGTATTACCATATCTCTGTAGACCAACGACGGATAACAACTTACTTACTCTTTACTGAATACCCTGGATATCTGCCCATGTCTCTGTGATTTGCGATTTTGTCTCTGGCGTCCCATATGTACACTGGTACAGGGACCGTGCCGAGAAACGTCGATGTCATTCTTTGTAGTGAAGTTGCCAGTTATCCGTCTATACGTTCTTTCTATTTATTTGGACAATACATACGCTTTTGCTGAGTACCTGCACCGTAATGCCTTGATGTGAAGCCTGTAGCTGTCGGCAGCGACCACCAAATTGAACAGTCGGGATCACACTAGTTTCTCTTCAACCACCACGTCCAAACCTCCCGTTCTCGCTTCCCTTCCAGATTTCTCTGTATCATCATCTTTGCAACCCTTATCGTACTTGAACATTTGATTGCTGTTTCTACCGACCCGGATCCGAGCCCCCTCATCCCGAATAACAACATCGAAATTCGAACTGTTACAGCGACTTTCGCTCCCCTTAGACTCCACCTTTATACACCATGACAGTGACCAATCCCGACAGATGGATAGATCAACTTATGCGCTGCGAACATCTCTCAGAACCCGATATGAAAGCTCTCTGTGAACAAGTCCGATGTATACTCATGGAAGAGTCCAATATCCAACCCGTTTCAAGTCCAGTGACCATCTGCGGCGATATTCATGGACAGTTCTGGGACTTGCTAGAGTTACTAAGGAAAGGAGGGAAGGTACCGGAGACGAGCTATATATTTATGGCACGTATGTTGTCCCTTGCTTCGGAGGAGGTGACGGGATTGAGTGCTTGTGGACTGTAGGGTGATTTTGTTGATCGAGGCCATTATAGTCTAGAGACTGTATCATTGTTGCTTGCGCTGAAAGCAAGGTGCGTTCTTCCATGTTTGTGTGGGCAGTCAGGAGCTCAAGGTCGTCACTATGGATTCAGATATCCGGACAAGGTCACCCTATTGAGGGGTAATCATGAAAGCCGGCAGATTACGCAGGTATATGGGTTCTATGGTGCGTTCGCTAGTGCAGCCCATTGGAGGAGGCTTATTCCCCGTGTACAGATGAATGCCAACAGAAGTACGGCAGTGCATTAGTATGGAAAGCGTGCTGTAACGTCTTCGACTACCTAAATCTTGCAGCTGTACGCTCTTATCTTCAAGTGACTATGGGAGTTTCTAACGTCCCCGTCTAGATTATAGACGGAGAGACTCTATGTGTACATGGCGGCTTATCACCGGACATTCGAACATTGGATCAAATCAGAGTACTATCAAGAGCACAGGAGATCCCACATGAGGGTGCTTTCTGCGGTACGTTTGCCAAAGCAAACGAGCCCCACTTGATTTGACTGAGCAGTCTTTCCATCAGATTTGATGTGGTCAGACCCGGATGAGGTCGATAACTGGGCTGTTAGTCCTAGAGGTGCTGGTTGGCTGTTCGGTGCCAGCGTAACACGGGAGGTACGCCTCATTTCATTATTGTGCTCATTCTATTGTCGACATTCAATATGCCGCAGTTCAATCACGTCAATTCTCTGCAACTTATCGCTCGAGCTCACCAGCTTGTACAAGAAGGATACAAGTACATGTTTGATGAGCAACTCGTAACCGTCTGGTCAGCTCCAAATTACTGCTACCGCTGCGGGAACATGGCCAGCATATTGACTGTTAAGGAGGGTGGACAAAGAGAATTTACCGTGTACGATGCAGCGGAGGAGAATGAGAGAGATAAGGACATGCAGAAGAATAGGAAAATGGTGCGTGATAACCTGTCTCTTCTGATTATGCTATCTCATTTTCTTATACAGGGTAATATGCCTTACTTTGTATGATACAACATGCCTAGGCCTCACAATCTCTTGTTCTTTGTCGTGGAAGCTTATATTCATGAAGAGCTAAGGTCTCCAGCGGCGGCGACGATCTTACAAGCCTGTCTATTTTATTGAGGATCCCTGATGGGCGGCCCGGTATGCCGAGCCTGTAAACGATCTCGAACTTAAAGTTCTCTGATACCTTAACGAACGACGGACAGTCACCATAATATATACTGATACAAGACGCTTTGTATTTTTTTGACAGACCCCTTCAGGCCTCACGGATTTAGTGAGGCGATCTCCAACAACCACTCTCCATATTTGAAAGATTCGAACTGTACACCCACCATTACTCCGATAGCCTAAGACAGTATCTGTCAGCGGCGTCACTCAGTTTTCAACAATCAACTCGCGACCGAGGGATGGGTTTTGTTACAAAGCGGTCCGGTAAGTTCATCAAGAATGTCATCCAAGGAACGATACTGACGCAATCGTCGCCACTATGTATCAGCGGATACGCTGACATATAAATAACGTCTACATTCACACAAGTGCACACGGAACTCCTTGTTCTTTCCCTCCATCTTGCAGCTCAGACGCGTACCCACTCAGACCTAAACGCACAAAATGTCTGCTCCCGAGAAGAAAGTTGGCTATGGTCAGTAGTAAGAGCTATAACGCATTTATTTGACTTGACACGGGGATTTACAGTTCGATTGGGCAAGTCTGGCCTCAAAGTCTCTAAGATAATCTTGGGCACCATGCAGTATGGTCACAAGGGCTGGCAAGAGTGGGTTATCGATGACGAGGAGGAGGCCGCTAAGCATATTAGATATGCGTAAGTACAAGTTTCAAAATCAAGAAATATAGCCGTGAAATTGAACTCGATTCTTGCTAGTTACGACGCCGGAATTCAATCCTTCGATACCGCCAATGTAGGTAATTCAGAGCGTAATTCGAATAACATGAATAACCCTGCTTCTAGGTATACTCGAATGGCTACTCTGAGGTTATTCTTGGAAAAGCTATCAAGAAGCTCAATCTCCCTCGTGAGGAACTCGTGATCATGACGAAGGTATGTATCAGATCCTATCATAGCTCGCCCTCCCAAAGAACGGCGTTAAATAAACAATCGTTCTCAGCTGTTCGGAGCAGTCGCCCCAGATTATGGTACTAACATCATGAGGTCGGGGAAGCCTCCTGTGGACTTCGGCATCATCAACCAGCATGGTTTGAACCGCAAGGTATTCAAGTCTTGGTTGATGTCATCACCCTTCATCGACTGAGGCGTTTTGCAGCATATCTTTGAGTCTGTGAAGCGTAGCTTGGAACGTCTTCAGCTCGACTACATTGACCTGTTGCAATGTAGGTGGCCCCATAGATAACACTTAAGAGGTATGCATTTAACACTCACATAACGCATAGGCCATCGTTTCGACTACAACACTCCGATTGAAGAGACGGTGAGCAACAACATTCTGCGATGAGATAGCTCAATCGTCAACCCCGAAACGCAGATGCAAGCCCTTCATGATGTCGTGAAGGCGGGATACGTTCGTTACATTGGAATGAGCTCGTGCTATGCCTATCAATGTCGGTATATTCCAACTTTCTTTGCACTTCAAATCTTTCTTATATCAAACTTGCAGTCCACCAGATGCAAAGTTAGTCGTCTCGATTCGACGAAAATTCCGGCTGGGATGTCTGGTTCTGATACCGCGTCCCCACAGACTACGCTATCCAGAACAACCTCACACCATTTATCTCGATGCAAAACCATTACAGCTTAATCTACCGCGAGGAGGAACGTGAGATGTTCCCAACCTTGAAGGTTTGATCCTCAATACCTTTGTCATGAAGGGAGTTCTCATGTAGTATAGCTCTTCGGTGTTGGTTCAATTCCTTGGTCACCTCTTGGCCGTGGTCTACTCACTCGTCCTCTGAGCCAGAGCACGACACGTGGACAGACCGACTTGTAGGGAGCTTTAGCCTGACCGAAGCATTCAATATTGTTGATTTCTTTGATAGCTTTTTGCAGGCGTACAAGGGCTCATCCAATGCCGCCATCATTGACAGGTTAGCTATTTGATCTACAAAACTATCCAAGGCTTACATATCCATGAATTTGACAACAGGGTCGAAGAAATCGCTAAGAAGAAGGGCATCAGCATGGCTCAAGTTGCGATTGCTTGGACCTTGGCTAAGGACGGAGTGACTGCACCTATTGTAGGCACGACGAGCTTGAGCAACTTGGAAGATATCATCAGTATGTTTCTCACAACGTTGATGGACAGAGTGGAACTGACTTTTCGTATGTGAATTTCACAGAGGGTGCGCATGTGACATTGACGGAGGAAGAGATCAAGTATCTTGAGGAGCCTTATCAACCGCAAGCGATCATTGGCCATTCTTAAACAAACTCGGAACAAATGGAGATGCTCGAGTTTGGTAGAGTACTGCCTCGACAGCATGTACTTGTAAGCTATGCAAAGATGGACTTTCAAGTACTCTGTATTGTCCATTGGAGTATGCCAGAGTTACATCTCAGATCCATTTGCGCCCAACCTTCCCCATCTTTGCATGTCTATGTATGAGTACAATACAGCTCACTGGGGCATTTTCCACTTTATGCATATGTTTCTCTATTTCGTGCCAAATTGAAAGAAGTTAGAAGGCAAATATGAGGAGCCCTTGTGAGTTAGATATTGAAATAAATAATTGTGCATAAGGATGCAAGTCAGAACATTTGACCTCGTTGAGCTCTGAGGCAGATGGATGAGGTATTTGAGCTATCTTAAATTGAGAAAGCCAAGTGCTGGCACTAAAGCATGGCATGGGTCTCTCAAGGTCACTCAATAAAAATGCCCTGAATGCTATATGCAGTGTAGGCCTTAGAACCTACTAAAAAGTAGGGTAGAATATGAAGTTAAAGAAATACATCCTTTAGAAGCTAAGCCAAGCTGGCACCTTACACCTCAAAGTATGATACATATATTATCTGCTCAATACTGTTATTGGATGTTATAAACATAGGACTTTCTGAATATCAGATACTGTATAGACCTAACTACTTGCAACCATCTTCTGACCTTATTGATGATGTTGAAAAATATAAAGTCAAAGCAATAGTCATACACTGCAAGATTGGAGGTCATTTGAAGTACCTTATAAAATAAAAAAGATATAGTGACTCACAAGATTCTTTTAATATTTGTCAAATTCTGCTTTCATGAGCAATATTTTTTGAATAAGAAGGAGTATCAAAATGCAGCTAGATGAGCCTAAAAGAACAGTGTCTTGACTTCAATTGTTACTCTGAATTATATGATTTGGTCTAGAATTGGTAGAAGTAGTGTCTATTGAAATTCAACTATCTTTGTCAATTCTGAACTACTTCTACCAATTCTAAACCAAATCATATACAGTGGCGGCCAAAAATACTGTCAGTGGTAGGCGCCGGCGCTTTTCTCATGCACTGGAAACTTTTGAGTAAAACTTTCGCTATAGTGACTATGTAGAACTTTGCAGCATAGTATGTAGTATACATGGTCAAAAAATGAGAGTGAAAAAAAATGAACTTGGAGAGATTTTTGAATAAGAGTGCAAAAAGGGCATGGGAACTTACATCTCTGGTGAGGCATACCCTGACTTCAAGTCATGTTCTTTCCACACATATGAAGCTTCAACCAAAAGGATTTGTGTTATTATTTAGTACTTGGTATATAGTCCCTTAGCATCCTGGAGTGCCTTCAGTCTATGAGGAATAGAGTGGTATAAAGCCCGAATCTCCTCAACATCTATCTTCTCCCATTCCTCCTTCAATGCCTCCCACAACTCATCCAAATTCTGGGGGAAAATGTGACAGTGATGAAGTCTGCAGTCCAGGGTATTCCATACATTCTCAATGATGTTCATATCAGGGGAGGAGGCTGGCCAAGGTAGGACTTTGATGTTGTTATCCCTGAACCACTTGCATGAAAGTTTCAATTTGTGCTTGGGATTATTGTCCTGCTGGAAGACATAGCTCCTGCACCTGATCCCATAGTCCTTCAGAGTGCCCAGAAATGATTTGGAGAGGATTTGGGTGAACTGAACTGAATCCATATTCCCTGTAATGCGATGAAGCCTTCCAGTGCCATTCCAAGAAATACATCCCCACACCATCACACTCCTCCCTCCATGTTTGACCTGACCAGTCACATTACATGGAAGATACTCCTCTCCTGGCCTCTTCCTACAATACCTGCGACCATCTGAGCCAATCAAATTGAACTTGGACTCATCTGAAAAGATCACCTGTTTTCACATCCAGAACAACCATTTGACTGCCAAACCAACCCAGACTTTGTGCTGCTTCACATGCCATTTGGTAAGCAAAGGCTTCCTTCGGCATACACATTCATTTAGACCAAGTCTGGCTAGGACTCGCCTAATGGTACGGGAGCTGGCATTGGGAAAAAGCTGACAATGAATATCTTCAGCATCGTGCCCATTGCCATGAGTGATGAAATGAGCAGCTCGATGCTCTAAACGGGGCCCAACAATTTGTGGTCAGCCAGGATGGGGGACCTTGAAATATGGGTCAGAGTTTTGGGCCATTCTGGCAATGCACCGATAGATGGTACACTCAGAAAGTTCCACCACAGCTGCAATTTTGTCTGCTCTCTTTCCTTGGCCATGAAGCAGCCAGATATGGGCATTTTTGGTAGGAGTACATTTTGTCATAGTAGATGAGAAGTCTCTCTAAGCCCAGAGAGCAGAAATAATGAAGTTGCTGTGTGTGGTGGTGGTGGAATGAGAGAAGAAACATGCCGGGTGGGCAAGGTGGAGGTATGACATCAGAGGGTTCCCACACTTTTTTGCACTCTTATTCAAAAATCTCTCCAAGTTCATTTTTTTTCACTCTCATTTTTTGACCATGTATACTACATACTATGCTGCAAAGTTCTACATAGTCACTATAGCGAAAGTTTTACTCAAAAGTTTCCGGTGCATGAGAAAAGCGCCGGCGCCTACCACTAACAGTATTTTTGGCCGCCACTGTAATTCAGAGTAATAATTGGAGTCAAGACACTGTTCTTTCAGGCTCATCTAGCTGCATTTTGATACTCCTTCTTAAAAATATATTGCTCATGACAGCAAAATTTAACAAATATTGAAAGAATTTGATGAGTCACTATATAGCTAGGCAGAGAAGAAGATCATTCAATAAGATAAAAGAAAAGAGTATGGTATAATAAGAGTACAGTTAGTAAGCTTATCTGAAGTACCAAGATATGCTAAGTAACTTCATATATAGAAAAAGAAAAATATAAGAGAAAAAAGTGAATAAAAAGAAAAAGATTGTTAATATAGAAAGAAAAAAAAGGAATAAAAAAGTTTATGCAACTAGTTGTAACAGTATCTATTTCTATTATAAAATATAATCTACACTTCACCTCTTTTATCTATTGCACAAATATCATAGTATGCATGTCCAATATATAAAATGCCTTTCTCTGCTAGTCTAGGAAATAGCTGAAACCAGTTGACATCTTTATCTGCAAAAGACAAGCTAACAAGTTTGAGACTAGATGCATTTATAGCCAATAAGCTTGATTCAAGCTGCTGACAGTCTTCTTTACTACTAGATGGTGCATAAAGATTTACAGTTATTGGCATCTTTGAATGCACAGATGAAAGTAATGCTAAAACAAATGAAAGCCTTTTCTTGTTTGCTATTAGACTTAGATATTGCAAGCATAAATTATGCTGAAAATTAATAGCTATCAAAGTAGTCAGAATAAAATCAGACAATAAAGATGTGATACATTTCTCACCTTCAACATTTTCAGGCAATCTGATGTGGCATTTTGACAATGATGATTCTAAGCTTGACAGAATTTGATTGATTGCTGACACATACTCAGTTTCAAGATGTTCTTGATATAATAACTGAATATTAAGAAGTTCAAGGCTGGAGAGATAACCACTATTAAATAACCCCTGCAACAATAATAAATCTGGTGTTTCCAGTTGCAGTGATTTCAAGCTAGATCTGGGCTGTTTTTTGTCCATAGTAATTGTGGCAATACTTGAAATTGTAGAAGATATGTAAATTTCAAAAAGTATCAGATGCTGCAATTTAGAATATGAATATAACATTCTTTGAAGTTGCTTCATTGAAAGTGTGCTATTAACTAGACTTAGAGTATATATTGGCAGAAAAGCCAAACCTCTGAAGAAGTCTAGATGAACCCAGGCAAGATTAAGCCTATGTATAGTAAGATGGGTGATATTATTGAATCTAATAGGAAAGAGTGGCATGGACCAATTTCTTTCATTAATCTTTTCTTTTTTTTCTGAAAAATCAATGGCAAGACTCTTCAAATATGCAGAGTATTTCTTCTTCTGATGTGCATATGTTTTCCACAGATGACTAGCTTGTTGAGCTCTGTTAGCATTCAGATCAATACATCTGTAGAGAAAGGGCAATGCATATGAATGCCAGGCATGACAAGTGAGACAACATGCAGCTAAAGTGATCTGCTATATACATGAAAACCATATTAGAACTTTGTATCTTCATTCAATAACAGAGATACGTATTCAACTCACTCTTTCTTTTGAATACCAAGAAGTAAGACTGAGTGCATGGACCCAGTATATGACTTCAAATTGTATCTCCAAGGGCAGCAATGGAAGCTTGACTTTTCCACTCTTGACTCTTTTTTTTTCCTTCCGTCTCTGTTGTCTCCTGCTTCGCATAGTTAAATTTCACTAAAAGCAGCTCAGAATAGTGAGGCAAGTGCAGTGGTTGAAAGGGAAAGGTACGTGGGGCCAATCCATCCCACCATTCTTTATATACACTTCATTGACAACCCTAGGACGCCGATATATGCACCGCGGCGCATTCACAGCCCCGGAGTCATCTAATCACAGAGGCACGGTATTAGGGTCCAGTCGAGTGCGGAAAGCAGTCCTCAGATTAGCGAGCGATAAGCGCATGGGGATGCAGCATGTTGGCAAAGACGCAGAAGGGTACATATAAAGCACGAAACTGATTGAAGACAATGGCAGTATATTTGGGCCAGGTATCTTAATATCTACAGTCCTCGACGATGAAATCAATAGCGATGACAGTGCACATTGTTGATTCTCCGCCCGTTACTCTCCCGTCGAGAGTCCGGAAAGCACGGCAGAATAGTATGATCATGCGGTCAGATCCAGCCAGCTCCTAATGAAATGTGCGGGCAGTCCTCATGCAAGAGAAGTACGGTCTAGGTGCCGACCAACCCACATACCCAAGCCAATGGGATGAGGCCCTACCTGTATCAGAGAACCCAAAGACGCATAACTCGTGGATATTGGTAGAACAGGGACGAGAGGAAGAGGCGGTGAGGGCGAAAATGACCGTGCATCGACTTACCAGTAGCCTAAGATCCTCTACACCACATCTATCGTCAAAGCCAAACTCCCGCCGTTTCAGCGCCGCCCGTCCAACCCTGCAACACAAGGTTTCATCGCCTACAGGTTCACTCATGTTGCCCGTAACCTAAGGCATGGGTTGGGGGCGTGGTGAATGGGATGGCTACGGATGAATGCTTCGATTGTCGAATCGAATGGGCGTAGGACAGACGGGATGCAGAAACGAGATGAAGATATGTCTCTGGGAGGGACACGGAGATCGTACAGTCTAAGTCGCCGAGAAGCGTGAGAGGCCCTTGAGCGAGGACCATCCTTGGGGCGTACGTTGTCGATAGCAGATGAAGTCGAAGCATAGAGCGAAGATCCCCAAGAAGTCGAGCCGTCGAATGTTTGAGTATAAGGACCAGCCGGAGAGCGGCGATATACGAGAGGCTAGTACAACTCTGCATGAAGAGAAACGAGAAAGCCAGCCGTGAGGGGATAAGGACATAATGTGACTTAAACTTTGAAGCCCTGCAGAGTCAATGATAATACTGGGATAATCAGTTTACAGGAAGGAAAGACTCACCTAGCCCCATGCAAAAACAAGCTCACTACTCATGCAGAGCAGTCCCATGTGAGACTCGTGTCGTCCCTAGGTAGGCCGTTCCTCTTTCGATCGTGCCCAGGTGAGTAGAGAAAATGGCATGCTCTCAGGAAGAGTCGGATTGTGGCCAGGGAAGTATGAACGAACCAGGAAAGCACCAGAGACAACTTTACTGCAGAAGCGGCGTTGGCGGCATACTCAGCGTGAAAGGATGAAATACTCGCCTAGCCCTTCCAAGACCACCTTCGCTAGATCTACGTCACCCTAGCTGGAGGTGTAGAGCAGTCGAACGCGAGACTGAACGTTATCGTCCCAAGGTAAGCCGTCCCTCTTTCGATGATGCCAAGGCGAGCACAGGAGACGAAATGCTCTGGAAAAGGATTAAATCGTGGCCAGGAAGAAATGGACACGCCGGTAAGCAACAGAAAGACAACTCTGCCGCGCCGTTGGACTTGACGAAGGTGTGCATGAAAGCACAGGACAAACTAAAGGTGGTTGCCAGCCAATGGGAATCAAGCAAGCAACCCACCGATCAATCGATCTCGCTGCCAGTCCTTGGTCTGAGAGATAATCGCATTCCTTTATCTGATAACATTTGTGGTATTTGAGGTAATCTAATCTTCAAAAGGTTCATTATGCACACTCATGCCGCCAACAACCACGAGCGTGCCATAACAATTCTATACGCTACAGAGACAGGGAACGCGCAAGACTTGGCAGAACGTCTTGCACATCATTGTCGTCGGCTACAGTTCACACCAACAGTGTTTAGCATCGATGCATATTCTCCCGTATGTGACGGTGTTTAGTTCAAACGGAAACTGTCGTAACTTGTCGGTCTTCACAGGAAGAGCTCATCTCAGAGACACTCATGGTCTTTATCATCTCAACCGCTGGATCCGGGAAGGAGCCTCGTACCATGAGCACCTTTTGGAATATGCTTCTGCGGTCAGACCTACCTTCAGATCTGTTTGAAGACCTCGATTACGCCGTCTTCGGTCTTGGTGACTCGACGTACGAGAAATTCTGTTGGCCTGCCAAACTACTTTCTCGCCGCCTGGCGAGCCTCGGCGCTCGAGAGATCTTACCCCGAGGTGAGGGCGACGAGCAACACCACCTAGGGTTTGAGGTTTCTGTTCTTCGGTTAGTATTAGGCTCACATATCTGAATAGATCTGACGGGGCTTTCGGCCCTTGGCTCTTGAAGCTGTCTAAAGTGCTTTTGCATCTGCATCCTCTGCCTGAAGGGACAGAGGTACCTCCCGGTGACACTCTTCCTCCACCTCGTGTGACCTTGACGCCGGGGGTACCAGCGGAAGACATTCCTGAGCCTCTATTCAAGGATAAACGGTATCATCTTGCAACGATCAAGCAGAACGATCGGATGACTGCTCCAGATTGGTACCAAGATGTTCGACACCTTGAGTTCGAATTCGATGAGGATGTCTAGTGAGTCTAAATGGGTGCTCAAGCATAGCGTCTGAACTGATGACTGCCCAGCTATGAGCCCGGAGACGTAGCCGTGATACATCCACATGTTCCTGCAGTAGACGTGGAGTCTTTTCTCAGCTCCATGGGCTACGCGAATATCGCAGACGAACCATTTACTATAGAACACAACTTCCCAGGTAAATGTCAAGTCTTTACTTTGGAAATAACCTTGCTTAGCATCAACAGATCAGTCGCTTCCCGATCATCTCCCTGAAACGGCCACTTTGCGCCAGTTATTCACTAGGTATTTGGATATTACCGCCGTGCCAAAACGATCCTTTTTCTCGACGCTGCGGCATTTCACTACGGATGAGCTTGAACGAGAGAAACTTGACGAATTTCTCTCAGAAGAGGGTGCTGTACGTTCCATCCTAGAGCCTTCTCCGATGATGTTAATCATAGCTTTGAGTATAGGATGATCTGTATGACTACGCCCAACGCGTTCGGAGAACAATCCGCGAAGTGATGGAGGAGTTTCGAAGCGCGAAAGTGCCCAAGGAATATGTCTTCGATCTTTTTCCTCATCTACGACCCAGGGAATTCTCGATTGCAAGTTCCGTACTGGTAAGCCAATAAACCTTTCTTCACTCCGCCATAAGAAGAAACCTCTGATGAAACGAAGCGTAATCCTCGTCGGGCGGAGCTATGCGTCGCGATTGTTCAATACCGCACGAAATTGAGGATACCAAGGAGAGGCGTCGCTACTACATATCTGGCAGCTCTTCAACCCGGTGAATACCTCCATCATTTCAACCTGTCGTCTTTGAAACTGATATAGATCTCTACGTAGGTGACAAAATACCCGTAGGCATCAAGAAAGGCGGTTTGATCACCTTGCCGAAGGATGTTCATACACCAGTCATCTGCATTGGACCAGGGACAGGCATCGCACCCGCCCGAGCCATCATCGAAGAACGGACTCGTCAGGGCTCGAAAGGTACGTTTTGTTGCCTCAGTGTGTTATACACTCATATTGATGGCCTGCCAAAGAGAACACTCTATACCAAGGTTGCCGGTCTGTCTCCAAGGACCAACATTATCGCGCCGAGTTTGAAGCTTTGGCCTCGGAAGGCAAGCTTGTATATCGCGTCGCGCCTTCACGCGATAGCCCTGAGGGCGTCAAGAGAACGTACGTTCAAGACTTGATTGCGGAAGACGCTAAAAGGATATGGGAGCTTGTAGGGGAAAGTGGTGCATGGGTGTACATCTCAGGGTACGTATTAAAGTTCCAGCTTGGAAGTGACGGGAACGCTAACGCTTTGGAATTTTGGATAACAGGTCATCAAATAAGATGCCTGCAGGCGTGAAAGCTGCGATACGTGATGCCATTAGAGAGTATGGAGGGAAGAGTGAGGATGAGGCAGCAGAATATGTCGCGACGATGGAACGTGAGGGTAGATTGATAGAGGACTGTTGGAGTTAGAAGCGAACGTGTATTGTACATAGACTGTCCAGGATCCAAAGTACAAAACAAATCATAAGGATCGTGAGTAAGTAGAAAGAACCAGTGCATACAGCACAAGATAGATGGGAAAGAGATTGCTCTATAGAACAACTAGCGTCGTAGATCATGTCCGTTAGTATAATCATTATGTCGCTGCACAACATGAGATAGAAGGTCGTCAAGGTACCATTGCCGAATCGAGTTTGCTCAAGTATGCATCTGGAAACAGTTGTTACACATTCCCTTCGGTTTGAACGGATTCTGCTTGAAGTTAGAACACCCTCCGCTCCTAGACCCAGCAAACGTGCCGTCCCTCGGCGAGTCAAAGGGTGAGTACGTCAATCCATCCGCACCGACATCATTACCTGGAGCAGTAGTATGAACGAGGTTTATGAACGACGAAGCTCCGCTAGACAACGATAGTGACGAGTGTGAGTGCAACGTGCCCGGTCTATGAGGAAGAGCAGGGATAGGAGGTGGAGTAGAACTCGCAGACGGAGCGTTGCTGAGGTTCCGACGTGGTGGGGGAGGTGGGGGAGCCTTCTTCGGAGTAATATCAACGGGTCTTCGCGGGGGCACAGGCGGAGCCGCATGTACGATCCTATCCTTCATAATATCCTGAGCAGATGGAGTGGCTACCAAATTATTCCGCTCATCATCGTAGGAATCCAAATCGCTGCTCCCAGTGGTGAAACTATCCGCATCAGAGCGTTCTTGACCAATATTGTAGCGATGCTGATGCAACGGACTCCGACTTGAAGCAATGAACTGATCACTGAATGGATGATGGTCGTCTTCCTCCAGATCACTCACGCTTGGGTCCTCGAAACCAAAGCCGAAACGCGTTCCAGAGTTCACTGCCATTGGGATAGTTGCTGAGACGCCAAGAGCAGACTCGTCATCACTATGTGGAGAATCAGCATGATCGAGGTTCGTCAAAGGCTCCGGACGACGACTGAACGCTGGCTGCAAATTTGCGGTGGTGGGTAGCGATAGCGAGCTTGAGGAGCTATCCTTTTCTGGCAACGGGCGGGTGTAGGAGGACGGGAACAGGCCTTTCTTCCCACTGCCGTTTTTCAATTCGCCCATCCACCAACCATCTACAACTTCGTTTGTGACGATAATCTGGTCTCCCGCTTTGAATGAAAGCTCGTCTGGAGATGAGGCAGTGAAGTCATACATGGCCACAACCACCCTAGGTTTGGGCTTCACGCTATGCAAGGCTTGCAGAGACGAAGTAATTCGAGGGGAAGACGACACAGGAGAGGCTTGAGTTGACGAAGAGCGTTGGACGAGACGTGTAGAGATCTTTGGCGAGGGAGTGGGAGTCGAGGGCGAACTCTTGCTCTTTACCGGCTTCGGCGGCATAACAGAAGGCAACGGTACACTGGTCGTTCTCCTCACCGTACCCCCGTCCTCATCGTCATCGCTCCCCGCTCTACGAGCATTATCTTCGTCGGATACATCGTCTTGGTCCTCCATAAGCGCAGAGAACTTCTCCTTCTCCTTCTTCGACCGTCCAATAGAGGAGATAGAGCTGACTTTGCTTGAAGCCCAGCCTGCAACAGTCAGGCGTTTGGATTTTTCCGCCTTCTTTTCTTTCTCTTTCTCCTTCTCCGACTTTTCAAGTTCACTATCATCGACATCGCCTTTGCTCGCAGCCGTAGCCGAACTATCAGACCTTTTTCTCTCAGCTCTCGATTGAGGACGCGAAGGCGCCCTGCTGCCTGCATCGGACTTGCGACGCGTGAAGGACTTGGCACGAGCACGGAAGCCTCCGGATTTCTCCTTCTCTTGTTCAGCGTCTTCCCCGTCTTCATCAGAGGCCGGCTCTGACGCGAACGAACGTGAATGATGCAACTTGGTCGAGGATGAACGTGAAATTGAAGCCGGCGCAGGAGGCTTTTGGTGAAGTCGATGTTGCTGCTCAAGCTCAGACATGGTCGTTCTATGGCAAATAAGCTCGCGGGTCAGTCATGAACCAATATTAGATACGTACTCGTCGACCCAACCATCCTTCACCTCCTTCAAGACGTCCGTGTATTGCTTGATGAATGTCATTTCGAGATGCAACAGATCCGTCAAAGAGCGTAGTTGGTCAATTTCGTTCTCTTGGATGACAGACATTCGAAGGCGGACGTCGCTCAATGTTTCCTCGCTACTTGATCTTAGCACTAATGGGAAACGGGAGGCAAGGAAGTACTCACTATCTTGACTTTGCCTCTTCATACTCTTCTTCCGCATCTTTCAATTCCCTGTCTTTCTTGGAGTTTGCGACAGCTTTGTTACTCTTCAACTTCTCGAGCTTGCTGTACGCGGCGTCGAGGCTCAACCTGAAAATAGTGATAGTTAGCAAAGGAGAGCACGGTGTGAAAGGAAGGCAGATTCTACCGTCTGCTATCGAGTTTCTTCCTTTGGTGCTGATACTCCTTTATCTCGTCCTCATATCTCTGAATCGAGTCGATAAAACTATCCTCGAATGAAATGGTGAACGTCTCTTGCAGCGTCGCAATTTTACAGTGTGCCTTCCCGAGGTTCACTAACGATGATCCTATACGACATGTATCAGTCAACTCGACAAACGACTGTTACAGTATAGCGTACCGAACGCAGATTCGTCACCAAACTCCTCTCCATGCTGCATCATCACAATACCAAGAGCATCGATGGGGAGAAGCTTCCCTTCCTGAGGGAGTGCTTCAGAGTCTCTCTTCTTGCTCAGTGCATGTTTGTAGTCTTCAGAGGTCACATGAAGTCTAAGGTAGAATGCTAGTAAAGGCTTATATAAAAATATATCTTTGAACATGTCACTCACTTCGACAGGCCCTGCCTACGAAGGTCTATGTCCCTTTCCAACTCCTTGAACTCATCAGAAATAGCAGTCTTGTCTCGCGATGAAATAACTTCGCCTGCCCACTGTATCATGAGTTCGCAACAGTGCAAACTACAGATAGTCAAATTTCGTACCTGGCGTAGTTTTCCTAGCTTGAGAGTATTTCATATAAGCCGAAAGTAATTTGAACTGGATGTATTAACATGTACCTGTTTGCTGGCCATGAAATCACCAACGTGGGCTATGCTCTGATCTCGTTATTTCGTCACTTTAAGCCTTCGACTGAGTTTTGAAAGCTAGAAGGCTTTCAATGTCGATCGTATGGGGATAAAGAAGTCGTTAAGGAATACTTGAAAGTGAACGATGGAAACGGAATGAAACGTGCGGTGGCTGGGGGAGATTCATCGGGAGGCAATTGCCATATATACTCATACGCTCCAGAGTAGATAGGACTCAGCCTGTTCCGCCCGTTTTCTAAATTCTGGATATGCATTTGTCCGCAATAGCAACTTGACGATGACTTGCTTAAACAATTTCTACATTGTCGTGATGGTTGTGGAAGAGGACCATTAGGTTACGTGGCCTATATTGAAGTCGAAATACTCGTTGCAGACATGTGATGAAGTCTGGTATGTCAGTCATCTACGGTGCTTCGGTGCGTTCCCGTCACTGAAGTCGGTCTCATATTTGGTATGGTACGATTCTAAACTCTTTACATACGCCAAGGATTATCCCCGATGAACCGATGGACTAGGTCTTCTCCCGGCCCAAGGTGTCGAATCTCCCTTGATTCCTTCTCGAGAGATCGTGAGGCGCACGGCCGTCCCCTCAGAGTCCTTCCTACATCGTCGGCATCTTCGGCGGGGCTGGAACATTGTAAGTTTACCTTTTACCTCATCAGCACACTGATTGCCCCCTGGCAACCATCGTGACGGATGCTATAGGCGATTCTACCAAGTCCATGGAAACACCTTATCGTACACACAGGCAGGGAAGAGCCGTTTGGGCGTGGGGACAAGGTACAAGGATACCAGCAGGAGGATACCAGCAGGACGAGCCGGCAGTTCCCTTGAAGACTGGCCAAGACTTGATCTGAAGCTTCTGGGAGGGGCCTTTAGTCTCAGCTTTGACCCTTTTGTTGCCTTTGACCGAAACCCGCCTTTTGGTGTGCCACCCCCTTTGACCTTACGCATGTGGCCACTATCCATTCACATATATGGGTCTTCCACTTTTCGCCATCTGCATCACCTCAAGATTGCCCCCCCTCCCACCCCCCCCCCCCCCAATCCCCTCCTCCTCCTCCTCTATCCGACACAATGCTTCGATTCGTCTACGATTTTCTAGACGCCCAACCATTTTGGACGTCCCCAACTTCACTGCTGCCGCAGCTTGCGGAAAAGATCCTCGAGGAAGCTTGGTGGTCCGACCCAGATGAGGAATTTGTAGGACGCTGGATATTCTACAAGACCGCTCTCTTGGTTTGCAAAGATTGGTATATCATCATGAACGAGACAGTGCTGAAGAACATTGTGATTGTCACACTGGAGGACTTCGAACACTATCGTCGACTCATACAACAAGTTACCAAGCGTCATCTCGGCATCGTTCCTCTCTTTTCAAAGGCGAGAATTCGTGTGTATTGGAAGAACCTAGTTTTCGTTTCCGGATTTCTCCCCGATTGTGGGTCGGCCGATCTGGTCTTTACATCGCCGCTGCCCCGCGCAGTATTCGAAGAGAACCGACTCCTGCGATGCCTGTCGGTGTTCCGTTCTCTGGAGTCAGTGTCCTTCCTCTGGAATTCCGGCGACTACATGATCGAGAGACAGCATCATGCGTTGCGACGCCGATATCCTACAGAAGAACTGATACATTTCAAAAATAATCTCCCTCCCCTTGACAAGCTGGTTTATTTGGACTTTAGTAACCTCAGACCAGCTGACCGTATGAGTGGCGGTATGACGACAGTATGTCGTCTGGCATATCTGCTGAAGGTGCACTTCCAGAGCGTCACCCACATGTCCTTTTGCCAACCCGAACCTCTCGTTCACTTTCATAATATATTTCCCAAGCTCCACACTCTGACCATATGCCTGCTTCCTCATCAACATTGGAATCGTAACGCCGGCGTCCCGACATCAGATCTGATTCAATGGGCAATCGAGCCCGCCTTGGCAGCCGGGTTATTCAGGGTTGCACAGGGAGTTCAGAGGCGAATGATTATTCGGACCGGAATCAAGACGCCGCGAAGTTATGAAGAAATAGCAAAGAAATGTGAGGCGTTGGGGATTGTTATGGAGCGGGAGATTGTTCCGGGCTTTTAACATTCTAGTTGTAAATTTTCAACTACCACGTCTAGCCTTCATTATTGACGTATTGCATTTTGTTTCATGATCATGATACTCGCCAAGGTATATTCAAGTCAGAGAGCCGAGGCACATACAAGCCAAGTACAGTAAGTAGCACGAGACACAGAGTATAGTGTTAAGAGAACGTTCTCTGAAAACGCTGGAACCTGTTTTCGGATTGATATCAAGATTGGAGACAGTGAAAAGTAAGCTAGAAAGTCTCAAAGAAATACAACCTTTCTGCATCATTTACTGAGAGGATAAACCTGAAGCACGTATCTGTTCCCATGGAAGTTTGAGCTGTACCTGAATCTACGTTTAGTAGGCCCGTACAATTATCCAGAGACACAATTAAACGCACCTGCGAAGTCGCCTCACGAAGAGCCTTTGCTGTGTCTTGACAATACCTCTCAATAGTGCTCGAAGGAAAGCTCCCATTACCCGAAAGGCCAATTCCCATCCGAAGCATACATGCTTCCGTCACTTCTGCCACATCTCGACTTAGATCTCCGCTCCACCAACGACTGACACCCTGGACCCTCCTCTTATCCAGTTCAGGAAGCTTGCTTCTCGACACTTTCCTCACTGCGGCTCGGTATTCGAAGCAATACTTAAGGAGAGGATAGTAATAGTCGGCCAACACGTCTTCCATTTCAGGTGGGGTCGCTCCGAGCGTCGAGGGATAATATCGAGTATTTTCTTGAGCGCAGCGTGTAGCACAGTAACGTACATCTTTCTCCTTTCCCAGTATCACTGAGACGAGATATGCTTGTAATGGGGTTTTTTCAGCTAGTCGTTTCAGTATCTGAGAAGACATGTCGATGATCTTGGATATTTGCAGTGTGAAGGCAGCTTGGAGCAGGGCTGACGCCTTCGACAATTGATCATCTGGAAGCACGGCACATCCAGATGGATGCACAAAGGCGAGGAGAAGCGTGAGGATAGAAGTAGGTTGTCCTATCTCCATGACAGGCAGCGTGTCTCGCTGGGTCAAATTTAACGCTGCTGCAAGTGCGTCCTTGACCTTTTTCTCCAGAATGGGCGAGGAGAGGGACAGGATGGCACTGTGAACCGGAAAATCACCACCCTCCGTAGAGCGGACAATAAGGTCTGCATTCACGTAGGGTGGCGGTACAGTGCCATTCTGGTCCTGCTCTGCGTCTGACCGGGTATGAGAAGGTGGATGAATAAAGGCCGCGACGGGAGCCCCAAGGATGAATCGAACAAGTCTGTGGTATGCACCAGCAGAGATATTCGGTGTGAAACTGCGATCGGCCGCAGTATACTCCCAGACGTAATTCTCTGCATCGTCAACATCAGCAGCTTTGACCCATTGATAGCCTGTCTTGAAGCGAAGCGCCGCTTCGCTGGCAACCTGCTCGAATCCACATCTGACCGCGAGACCGTAGACACCCAAAGAATATTCTCTGGTCTTTGGCAATTGTTCGACTAAGGTGTCCATGATATCGGCTGCATCATACTTATCCGCAAACCGTATCAGGCGCTCTGACATTTCAAGGGACTCGAAAGCAGGCATCCGACCGGGATAGCCATACATCATGAGGCGACGTACAGTGACGTGGTCTTCCACAATATCAATGATGGGCAACGTGCTTTCTGCTGAGTCGTCTGAAGTAGGAGGGCTCTGAGGTAACTGAAACATTGATTGAAAATATGGGGAAATGTGAGCCAGAATGTCGCTATGAAGCGGAATAAGTGTAAGATCGCCACATCGAAAGACGATATTGGGTGGACTCTTGTCAAATGGGGACTGCGGCCGGACCTGGTGGCGGAAGAGGCTTGATTGCAGGACACTCATCGCCAGGGGGTATCTATCAGAGAAGTATAGTGAAGAAGGGGGCAGAGTAGAGAGCGTTGCATATACTCGAGTATAGCGCAAACCTGTGTAAGCTTCAGCTTCGAGTTTCGAGTCAGAATTCGCAACGTTGGAAGAATACAACGACACGATCAAGACAACAGAACGTGATCCAGCAAAATGAGGTGGAGACTCTACTCGCCTGAATCAAAGACACCGCAATCGAGCCTCCTGACTGCAATTTAGTAGACGATCTATAGTTATGACTCGTGTTTCCTATTCCTTGTAACAACGAAGAATACGACCCAGCCGGCAAGGCAAGATTGCAGTCAGAAAGAGAGAACGCCCAGGCGCCTATACGATACGTAATTAGCATTTCTGAGGCTACTATGCGAGGAAACATATCCTTGGTTTATATCCGATGGTTGACAAAACATTCAATACAAATGATGTACAACAGGTCAGAAAAGACAAAGACCTACAGGATCACTCTACTCAGTGCCTTGAATTCTTCTGCATTCTATCTATATGCTGGACCCTTGGAGAGACGTTCCTGCCAATTTATCAGCTTGTCATGTTTGTCTACATTGGTGCATCAGTGTATACCTTATTTCAATGCAGACAGTCTTCTGTTTCTCATGTTTGAACACTGTTCTTATTTAAAGATCCAATTCCATAGCCTATATCTGATCCATTGGTAGATAGAATATAGTGGCCCACTTAATCATTATAGATCTACTTATTAAGATCAATATTTGAGACAAGAAGATGATAGTTGAATGTAGTTGGATGTTAATCTGCTCAAGATCTGGTACTTTAATCTTCAGAAGTGCTTTTCTCTCAATCAAGTAAGTTAGATAATTCAAAAATATGTCTTCAATATCTTCAATATGATACTGATAGTGTTTCTCAGCATTAAGAGGTATTACATCAGATTGATTTAGATGTAAATTATATTACATTCTTCTTCAGTTTTCTTATTCATTATTGTCATATTGACTTCTGCCTTCTATAGACTTCTTAGTTTCAAGGCTGCTATAAGACCAAAATTTTGCAGTAACTAGGCACTAACTAGTAAGATATGAGAAGCACTTATAAATATCTTATTTACAAAGCAAAGACTTTCTAATAGTTGACCTAGAAATAATTTTATCTCTAGTATATTTTATAATGTGGCAGCTAAGAGTATCATTTTGTATATTTGCATTATTATAGGGAAGATATTACAAATAGCATTTATGAGTGCAATTTAGAAGTATTAAGAGCCTGGCAATCATATTCAAAGTGTGAATATCATAGAAGTGAAGTAGAAAGTTATGCAAAATACTCACTGTACATATATGCCTCATACAGGTCAGCCAGAGGCTATCAAATTGTAAAGTATTATTGATCTAAAATCACATAATTCAAAGCAAGATACTGACAACTGTATAGAATTGATAAATTATACAGCATATAAAAAAGCAAGAAATAATAATCTACATGTACTAACATTATTTAACAGACCTAGTAAGAAACTTTATGGCTATCTCCTCATCTTCTATATCTACCCATTCATATTCTCCAGGACTTTCAGCAGATGTCTGGCTGAAGTGACTTGTCTCTAAACTAGATATTCTCAGAACTGTTTTCAACACTTCTACCAGTTCATCCCTTAATCTTTTGAGAAATTCTGAAGGTGCATGCTGAGGAGGATACCAAGGAAAAATTGTCATATGACTTCCTAAAAGTTGGAATTCTGGATATGCTTTCTTGGCTTGCATCTCCTGGCAGAATTGATAAAATTTCCAGCAGCACCAGCAGCATTTCTTTTCAACACCAATAGGCAGAATTATAGTCTGAGATAGCAAGCATCAGTTAATGACAAGTTGCAAAGTTAAGCATTGCACATACTGAAAAGGCCTCTGATAATGCAAGAGTAACATTGGTGTCAAGATGGAGAGTGTCTTGAGATTGAAGTAATGATGAACCAGAATGAAGGAGACAAGCAAGAGACATCAATCCAGTCTCTGCATGCAAGACTGTAGTAATGGCCCTCTCATCTCCTATTTTCTTATTTTGCACCAGCCTATCAAACTGATCTGAGACAGTAGCATCATCCATACCCTCAGTCTTGAGACTCTCAATGATGGAGTGTTGTATGGTTTTACAGCATGCAGACATTGCTGAATGTGCAATAGCAGGCTTGGGCAGATTAACATAGTATGCTTCAAGGTCATATGGGAGGTGACCTGGCCTGGTAAGAGACCATATGGCAGCATTCCAAGCTATGATTGTCTTGAGATATCGCAGAAGCTGGTGCCCAGGTGACTCATTGAATTCAGCATATGCTGCACAACAAGGTCATATAAGATGGCTTTGTATATAGTATATATAACAGCAATGACTTACTATTAGTTGCAGCCTCATCAGGATCGTCATAGGTATTGTCCATCGTTTCATCAGCTACGTAGATTCCTAGACAAATTCTCTTAGTTCGCTGACCCAATACATAGAGCTTCGACAAAAGAGATATTACCAGCTGTGGCTTCAATACCCTGAGTCAACTCTGCCCGTCGTCTTGCAATATCCAACACCGACGAAAGTCCTTCATCCACTAGCAAATGATCGAGCAACTTCGAACGGATGATGGCATGCACTACATCTAGACCCAGGATCAGGGCAACGAAGTCACTCCGAGTGGAAATCTCTGTTCCAGGAACCATAGCTGCTGTGAGAACCGTTGAAGCCTCATAGTACGCCTCAACAAAAGCCCGGATCCAGATGCCAACATTCTCCTTCGTGACAAGGTAACGCCAGCCTCCAGCGATCTTGTCATGACAGATATTGTAACGCTTCTTCAGCCGTCCAACTGGCCCTGACACACGTAGCTCGATTGTAAAGGGAAATGAGATTTGCAACTTCTCGACGGGATAGTCACCGATAATGTCTATTGGATGGGTGCCCCATATTTTCGTGCCGAGTGACATTCGAAGAGCCAGTTTGGGATACACTCGGCGGAAGACAAGTCCTTTGAATCCAGCCAAGTATACGCCTGACAGCGTTCCATCCCTGAAGGCTCTCAGTACGGCTAGAACATCTTCATAGTATTTCCCAGGCCTATGTGTGGCATACTTTCAGATCGAGCCTCCGTTCAGAAGACAAATTCATACGCACGGTCGAGTGTACCAGTTCTCAAGAACATCTTGAGCATTGGAGGTAGGTGTCACAGCCTTCACTTGTATAATCTCGGTGGGATCATCGAGATACGCATTGCAAGTGAACACGACCCTTGTAATGTTGCGGTTTGGCAAATGAGCCACAGTCGCCGCAAGCACAGACGCGGCCGAAATCTGATTCCCTGTATCAGGCGTCCGAGAAGTTCCAGTAGTAAGAAGTGTGACGATATGCTGCGCAGCGCTCAGATTCCTATTGACATGCTTGGAGGGAACTATAGGAATCCCTGGGCCCTTGATCCCCGATAGTATCCATGTGTATACGGCTATATCTCGACGAAGTTCGTCTTCAGAGGCTGAAGCAGATGACATGCACAAAGCCGTTTTGCGATCGGAAAGATTCTGGTCCCGGGTTATCAGTCTATATATGAAGTAACGATTGTCTCCGAGAGTATACTAGAAGCTGGAACTTGAAGCGATTTCTGGCATTCTGCAGACCCGACGTAGCCTACTTAGTCGGGCGCTTCACATCGCGGAGGAGCACATAAGGAGCGCCTATCACACACACGACCGTGACCTCTGACCTACATATCCTGTCCAACTTCAAGACCAATCATGGAGGCGCAGAAACCACCAATGAAGTATGTGTCGATGAATTGTACGACTTTTAAAGTCGATTCTAAAATATGTGTAGAAAGCGCAAGCTTACCGACAAGAATCTACCCTCCACCATTCTCTCGTCCCCAGCGTACTCAGTGGACTCTCGAATGTACCAAGACTTGCTCCAGATGGAACGGAGGCTTGATTGGACTATGACTAGGAAGCGGGCTGAGGTCCAGGATGCGCTGAGTCGAACCATGACTGTGCGTTACACATACAATATTGAAGACATCCGCCACTAATGACCCCTTGCAGACCGCACGTACGCTGCGAATATTTCTTAGCCATACGGTCTCCGGGCAGATATGGCAACAAGGCGGAGATTCTTCTGCCACACCTGCGCCTGAGTCGGGAAGTAATATTAACCCCGAGACGGGTGAGGGCATTCCTGCGTGGCAGTTCAAGGTTGAGGGGAGACTCCTCGAGGTGTGTTCTTAGTGTTTCTGCCGAGTTGAAGGGATCTGACAGAGGCATGCACGACGTTGTCATACGTCCACAGATACCAAATCAACGCGCGAAAGACCGTGCACCCTTGCGCAAATTCTCAACATTCATCAAATCCATGGTGGTCGAGCTAGACAGAGACCCGGCCCAGTACCCCGAGGGGAACATCGTTGAAGTATGTTCGTTTTTATCACGTCTGAATGGTGAATTGACCGGTGTCTCTCTAGTTCTCTCGCTCCTCAGCGGCCAACACACTGGATGGTTTCACGATCCGGCGACGTGGTGACACGCTTACTAAAATCCGAGTAGTAATACATCTCGAACAACAACCTGAAGTGTACAAAGTGAACCCCGAACTAGGTATCCACTCTTAGTTCCATCACTACTAAATCAATACTGACTTCGCGTAGCCAGTATCCTCGGCATTAAGGAAGACACAAGGGTAGGCATCCAACAAGCCCTATGGAATTACATCAAACTCGAAGGTCTACAAGACAAAGTAGACCGCAAGACGATACATGCTGATGCGAAGCTTAAACCGGTATGCCCAGTTTCTCGTTCACATTCATGTTGAGTTATTCCTCACCACGCCGGAGTAGATATTCGGTCAAGACAGCATTCCCTTCACCCTACTTCCCGAGCGTCTTATGCGCCAACTTCAACCGCCCGACCCGATTATCCTTCACTACACCCTGAATCCGGCTCAACCGCCGCCTGAGAAGCCTCAGGCATACGACATAGAAGTTAAGATTGACGATGCTGCCATGAGGGCGAGAATGAACCATGTGACTGTTGCTGTTGCGCAAGAGAGTGCGAAGGAACTCAATCGCATGGATGACGAGGTTCGTATCTCGTTCATCTCCTAAACAAAAGTTTCTTTCTCAGTGCGAGATCTGAACTAACCGTGCATCTCCTCACAGATTTCTCTCCTCACTCAATCACTCACCCAATCGCATCTCAAAGCCACTTTCCTGAACTCCTTCGCTGCCGATCCTCAAGGCTTCATTCAAACCTGGCTTGAGTCTCAATCCCGCGACCTCGAAGCGATATTGGCTAATGGTCAGAGCGAGGGTGCATTGAGGATGGATGATTTGAGGAGGAGCGAGTATTTCAGGTTGCCTTGGGTCGACGAGGCTGTTGCTATTCAAGAGGGTATGCGGAAAGCTGCTCTGGCTGCTCGACCGCCTGGCACCTAAGTTATTCCACGGAGTTATTGCGTGTTGTCATGTCACTTACTCGATTATGCGTTGTTGTATTCTACCTATACTTGTGAGCTCGCGTGTTATCTCACTTATTTCGTATATTTCGCGATCGTAGTATGAAAAAAGGGTGATGAGGCCGACTATGGAGCTCTGAAAGTGATCCTCCAGGTTGACATAAACCAGGTGATCTTTTCATTGCAGACAAGTGTTCAAAAATCCACGACGCACATTTTGGGATTGGTATGGAGGCTTCACTCGTCGCAGACTATAATGCATCTTTACGACACCATCAAACGTGCAAGATCCAAAGAGTCACTGATGATAATGATACTCCATATTGTATGTAAGAAGTCCGACAATTCGTATAAACTCCAGCCTGAAGTCAACCTGAATGTCCGTGCATGAACGTCCGTACTCCGAATTGAGCCACATACAGCAACCGAACCAGGTCATGCGAATAGCATGAATGCTCCAGCAAGTGCACCCAAGGGCACGCTGCATCTCGCCCACAAGCCCCCAGCCATAGTGGTCCCAGTACCAGTGTTACCAAAGTCGTCACCGGTATTGCCAGTGTTGATATTATCCGAACCGCCGTTGTTAGTCGTATTGGAGTTAGAAGACGAGCCAGAAGATGGGGCAGCTGAAGGGCGGGAGGCTGAAGAGACTATGACCGCGACTGTAGTGACACCACAAGAGTCTACGAACGTGGACGAAGGAGCGGCAGTCGGTGCTACCGAGCTAATAGTGATGGTACCATCAGGGACCGGTGTTGAGTTTGGCGACAACGTTGTTGAGAGATTAGTGGGGCTTGCGGTCGTACTTGCTTCGACGGAAGAGCTGGCTATGTCGTCTTGCCTAGCGACCAGAAGGCTGCTTGTCGCCCCGGAGGTGGGCACAAGAGAGCCACTGATCGTCACAGTGACGACGCTGCCACTTGAGACCGCGACACAACTCGGGACTGATGAAGGAGTGACGCTGACTACGACCGTGGTCTGAACGCCAGTAAATGTGGAGATTTCGGACGGATTGGACGCGAATATAGTTGAGGTGATTCCGGTAGATATGGATGGCTCACTTTATTCAGTATCCGTGAGCCACATATTTCAGAGGGAAACAGTGTTAACATTATACTCACGCCGGAATCGCTACGACGTAAGCGGCCGCCAGGAGTAGGGAGAGTAAAGTTGATGTCGAGGGTATCATGACGAAAATGTGAAAAAGAAAGGATGAGAAGGAGCGTACAGGCTGTTACGCAGAAAATTAAAGTGGCCTTCTTGTATACGCAAAATCCAAGTTACCATCGTAGGTACGATCTGTCAAGCCTTCATGGGGTAAGATGTCCGTTGAGATCTTACCGCTGAAGATGAATCTAGACAAAACCATGTTGCAATGCAACACGCCAAACGCAAACAGCGCGATGTTGTACATCCGACCCCAAGATACGGCGAAGACAGGCCATTCCCGACTCCAAGTCGGACTGAGGAAAAGAAGGCTCGTCAATGCATGAAAGTTAGATCACCAGTTCGCCTCCGCCCACAGTATGCGACGATGGGGCTGCAAACGCAACAACGCTGAGATATCATTCCCGCTAGGAAATGGATCAACATGATTGTGAACGTTGTGTTCGTCGGTAAAGAGACTATTGCGGGTCCAGACCTGGCCACAACGTCTTCAGTAGGGAAGAGATCGGTATAGGAGAGAAGGTCAAGTCGAGGAATGGAACAATCGCGGATCCCGGGGGTATCAGCACAGCCCGAAATGGATCAGTAATGACAGTAGGCTTGTTAGCGATACACAAATCTCTTAACAAAACTTCGAACAAGTGGCCAGAATTTCAAAAAAATGTGACGAAAGTTGTATAAGAGACTTACTCAGTTTATGGGCAATGTGCACCAACATGAATTTGAAGCTATGGTGAACAGCTCACTTCTCTTTGAAAGGAATCTCGGCACTACGTGGTAATCTCAGTTAGTGTTCATGTACAACTCATGAATGAGCTATTCAATGAGGCTTTGTAGAGATGCAGCTGGCGTCCGGAGTCCTGCAGACCACCTTCGCTGCGTTTATTCCTCCGAGGAGGGCCCGGTGACACGTACGGCACCTGGAGTGTATGATGCCGTGCAGGGGTGGAACGTTATCCAGGGGCGCTGTTAGCACTTTTGCCTTTCGCAAGTAGGGGCAAAACGTCCGTAAACTGTCATCTGAATCGCGGCGACGGTCATTGGAAACGCGGCTCGCGGTCACCATCTTGAAAGCGTGTCAGAGACGGATGGATGCTCAAGGAGGGGATGAGCTGCATCTTCGAGGATGCATATGAGGGCGAAGAATACAATGCTCACAGCCAAAGAAAAGGACATGACATGTGCCAAGTGCCTTAGGATATGAGTTGGCGGACGAGTGCGTAAGGCGGTTTGGAAAAGGTTTCTATTATCACAGGATTGGGGAGACATCTGTTGCGAGCTGACCGGAGAAATCGAGAAAGACATACCACTGGTCTCCAAGCCAGTCGCAAACGTATTTGAGGTACCGCGAGGTGGGTCCAGTTATTAGAATAACGATAACTTTAGTGTATTAGGATAATCGTTCATTACCTGTAGCTAACATACATATAAGCGATTCGAATGAGCTTGAGTGAAAAGATAAAGATTCAAAGCTTTGAAGAATTTGGTCAAAATGTGCCTTCTTGGGCGCTAAAAAAAAGTCCGTGCAACGAGGAATGTAAGCTCAAATAATGGTTACAACTATCTAACGTCCATACTATTCTACGTGAGAATTCCGATGACTAGAATGAACGTCGGTTGAACCTGACAATGGATGCCTTCTCGAAACCGCTCATGCAAATAACATGAGTCCCCCAGCAAATGCCCCCAATGCCACTCCACACCTAGCCCACATGCCCTCAATGGTAGTGCTTCCGGAACTAGTGTTTCCAGTATCGCCACCGTTATTACCAGTGGTGGTATTGTTCCCGCCCGACCCACCATTGTTATTCGTGCTTGAACCAGAGGATTGAGGAGACGGCGTGATGGAAACACTGGGAGAGCCTGAGAGTGTGGCCGTAACCGTGATTGTCGTGACGCAAAGATCAACGGAAGAAGGTGAAGGAACGGGGCTTGGTGTTATGGAAACGATAGTGGTGGGGATGTCAGAAACACTGAGTGTTGACTCTGGTGTAGGGGTTGTCGAAAGAATGGGACTGTCAGTGGTTGCTTCCGATGGAGCGCTACTGGGAGACGAAGTCTCAGAGACGTCCTGTCTTGCGACAAGAGAACTACTTGAAAACTCGCTGCTCAGAGAGGAAGTGGTGGAGAGAGACGTAGAAAAGCTGCTGGAAGTCGTGCTGGCAACAACGGATGATGGGGTTGATGATACAAAACCAGTAATTGTCACAGTGACGGTACTACTGCTAGATTCCGCTGGACAGCTCGGAATTGAGGGCGGAGAGACAGTGGCTGGTGCCGAGGACGGAGTCACAGTAGCTGGTAGCGAGGTCTGGATTGTGAAGATGGGAGCCTCGGAAGATGGATCGGAAGATGGACTGGATATAGCACTGCTAGAAAGTATGGTCGTAGATATGGATGATTCACTGTAATTGGTCCTGGTGAGCCACAAAGACTCACAGGAAGCAAAGTTGTACTCACGCCGGAGCTGCACCGACACAGGCAGCTGCTAAAAGCAAAGAGAGCAAAGCCGAAATCGAAGGCATCGTCGGAGGGATGCGGAGAGAAGTACGAAGAGGTGTAAGAGGTGTTTTGCGGCAAGCTCGAAAGGACCGCCTTATATGTGCAGAACGTCGGCGACTGTGGATACCGCATGTATGCGCAGCCATCATGGAGAGCAACGCCCGATGTGAATCCCAAAAGGCAAAACGACTTGCATCATAGGGCACTGAAATCCGCGTGCAAAGTGCGCGCCTTGTCCACTCTATCGAAAAAGCACAGAGATACGGCAAAGACAGACCGCTACAGTGGGAGAGGCCGCACTGCCTTCCCCGAGTCTAGTCTACCTGTGAAATTGGAGGGTTATGTTGGGGGAAAACCTTGAGGATCTGTTCTCCGAGTTAGCCAGAGAAATGCTTCCAATGATATGTGACTATCTGAGATGGAAATCAAGGACCGCACTGACTGTGTTGACATGTTCACAGTGCACAAGTTAACGGGCGCTGCTGTCTAATTTGCCAACATTACTATTGCCGCAACAATTGATGATGCCAAATGACTGATCGATCGGCCGCCAGTACCGACCTAAGTTACTTCAAGTTGAAGACGAGCTTGTTCAAATTCTGGCATAATACTCTGAATCATGCGATATACCGGATTGCATGGGATGTGTATGTACCAAAAAGTTAAGGCTCCAATGGTACGATTAGCATGAAGTTCTATCTCATGAGGATCGCTGATATTCGCCCTCAGGAACTTGAAGCGCAATTGTACCCTTCGGAGCTGGCTGAACCCATCTTGAACGTTGGATGCTAGGTTCAATAATCTGACTTCCGCAAGGGCTACAGGAGTAGTATATATATATATTCATCCTTTAAATTCAATCTCATCGTACTCCAACGGTAGATGCTACACGAATTCATAGCCTGTTTCAAGAGTTCATATACGCAACAAGAACACCGGCCCTGCCATAGAAAGTGACTATACAAGTGCCTTGCTAGACCCTCTGACTACGACTCCTCTGCTGGTACTACTCCCCGGAGATACTGCGCCCGTGCTCATAAGCACTGATGCAACACTTGTAATATGACTTACCGGAGAAGTGGAACTCGTAAATGCTGCCGAAGAGCCAGCGGTAAAGGTGGACGTGCTGATGAATGTAGTGGTACTGTTTATGACTCAAGCTGTATTACTGAATAGTGATATGGAGGACAATGGTCGTGATGTTATGCCAGTGCTCCCGGAGCTACAAGAAAGCGGATCAGAGGGATAAACATTTTCCATCGCAGAGAGGATACCCACGAAGAGGGTGCTGATAAAGTTGGACCTCCCCTGGTTGTGAATCTAGGTGTTGAGCCTGTCTGTTTTGACTGTCTAGTTATGGTTCGCTTTGTGTGCTCGGCGTGAACAAGGAAATGAGCACGATAAACATCAGTATCAACGAAGTTAATTTCATGCTGTATGTTAATGCGATGAAGGGTATAGTTTACGGGAAACAGCAAACCAGGTTTCGAAGGCGTACATTCCATTTATCAGAGGTTGGAACCTACTCCAATTGACAGAACCTTGTATGCGACTATAGCCACCGTCTCCTTAAAGCATGCACAGTATCAAGGAATATGCATGGGCTTTCATACTGACCAAGAAGCAATGTTAGAAGATCCAGCACATAGCCAGATAGGAGGCACGGGGTTTTATCAAGGAAAAGAGCGCTAGATTTCCTGGTACCGATGTAAGCATATCGAACGATCGTGGTAGACAAACGTGCAGTCCATATGTCCGCCAATACAGAATCCAACGTCCTAGAATAAGGTCTTAGAAAACGCAAGCCAAAGATCCTACCCCACATCAAAACGACCATCTACCAACCCGTCCCCACCCCACATGAAAGCAAACAAACCCTAATCGTCTAAGGTCTCAATAACCTCTTACGCGGAGGCGTTGCTGGAAAGTGTACTTGTTACAGGTGTCGCTGCAGCGCTTGAGATAGGGAGCGAAGCCGAAGGGGCAGCGCTCGATATACTGAGCGAAGGGGATGCAACAGCACTAGAAACACTGAGTGATGGGGCTGAGGCAGCGCTGGAGACACTAAGCGAAGGGGATGCAACAGCGCTGGAGACACTGAGCGAGGGTGAAGCGGAAGCGATGGCCGAGGATTCACTTGGGAGCGAGGAGGCGACGGCGGAGGATGCACTGGGGAACGACGAAGCGGCCGCAGAGGACGCACTAGGGAAGGAAGACTGGACTCCACTACCGGCGACGGAAGTAACAGCAGTGCTGTTGGGGAGAGCACCCGTTGGCGTTACTGTCACCGTAACGTAGGAAGTGAAGCAGGGTGCTGAGCCATTTTGAGCAACACTGGTGGCAGGGACGGATGATGCGTTGCTGGCGGCGCTGGTGACGGCACTCGCGAACGACGAAGAGATGGCACTGCTTAATGGGAAGGAAACAACAGAAGAAGCTACGCTGCTGCTGTTGGCGGTGGATGTCGCCACGCTGCTGTTAACGGGGATGGAGACGACGGAAGTGGTGCCACTGCTGTTTGTAGGGAATGACCTAGCGGAGGATACGACTCCGCTCGCGGCAGCCGAAGAAAAGACAGCAGAACTCGCAGAGTCGCCGATGCTCGTAAAGATTTGAGGACTGAGATATACATAGGGTTATGCCTTGAAAGACCATGGATGAAGAGAACGACTCACGCAGGGACAGCTGCAGCAGTGTTAATGAGCACGGCAAGCGTGGCGAAAGCAATGGTAAACTGCATTGTGAAAGACTGTAAGACCTGCTGTGTTGTAAGAAGAAGAGATGAGTTAGAATTTGTTGCTGCGTAAAGATTGGTGCGCACTCTTTATATACATTCTGGGGTCTCAAATGGCGCCAATACTTCCCGCAGACTACGTAGAGCTATACTTCGGCGTTAGAAAGACATTTTATTTTCGAGTGACCAAGCGACAAAGCGCAGCACGGAGTATGGTAACCGTATGTGTACCAGTACGATGGTTGGAGTTGTCCATCAATGCTTTGAAGCCGCGGGAAGCCGAAGGTCTCGCGAACGTTACCGAGGCCCAAGGAGCTGTTGTACCTTCAAAGGCGGTAGCGAGACGCCGTGCCGAGGCTCCAATAACACCCCAATGGGCTGATAATATCAACCGGGGTGGAGTAGAATCCTAGTCAACCATATCAGTGCGTCGCATTCCGCAGCAGAAGCAGATGTTGATAGCAGTTAAGAGTTTCTTCGAAGACATCAGAGACTCATATCACTGTAGAATATCTTTTGTTAGCGAAACGAATATAAGGAAGAAGCGGCCTGTGGTTGAAGGAGCTGCTGGAGAGCATGCAAGAGGGTCGCGAGCATTTTGCAATGATCGCCATCAAACACGATCGGCGGACCCCCTGTCGTCACTGGTCAGCGTGGCGCTGGAAGAAAAAAGCGTAAAACGAGGGGAAGAACAGCAATTTACTAGTTGCCAGGGTGTTCGAACAGCAAGACTATTTTCCGATAGATACCGGGTGTACCCTTTACGAAGTAAGATCATGACCCGAAAATAATGGGGCTACCAAAAAGTCCACGATATGGCGGGCTAAAATCCGAAGTTTAATTGAATATGCAATCAAAGAATTGACCTTGCTTTGAAGAGTGCTTACTACCCGTTTTGATGATGAATATGTCAAATGCCGACTTGCAACGATCCTGCAATAGAGATGTCTCACTAGGAACGTGTGCAAGGCACCGTCCTCCTGCAAATCTTCACGATGGCGCGAGTTGACCGTGTGCCCAACCTGAACCGCAAGACAGTAAAGATCAGCAGGAAGAGAGACGGGCTCAGCTGTCCTCCAGATTGACAAGGAGAAGCTTCGACAACCCTCGTGGCATGGGTATGAAGACCGAATAGGATTCAATGACCCAACAAGATCGTCGTGGGCGCTTTTGGACTCAATTCTGCACCGTGGCGGATTGCCAAGTACGTAGCGATCGATTCAGCAGTACATCGGTCTCCCGAATGGTCGGAGGTAACGGAAGTTCTTGCTGACAAGATGACCTATGGACATCAAAAGCCTCCTGGGAAGATTTGAGGCAATTGAATTTGGGCCACAGGGAACGTAACGCACGCGGCATGAATGTTGTCAGCGAAAGACACCCGACGTTAGCCTGACATAAGTAACCATGTTCACTGTTTCTTGTCTTCCAGTCAAAGCATGCTTCAGGATTTTTATTTCCAGAGCTGCCGGTGCTTACCCACTCCTTGACTATAGATATTATCAAGGCAGAACGAGTCAAATCTCGCCAAGCAAGAAATTAGTACATATTGCCATCATGACCACAGATACAAAATACGTTAGATAGTCAGAAACTAGTAAAGAACAGAAAAGCGACGAACTCTCCATCCTCGATGAATCGTAAGAATCCAGACCCCCAACACTAACATCGGACTCTGAATCACTGTGTAACCTCCTGAGGTTTCTTGCCCTTCCCTGTCACAGTGAGACTCTTGTGAATGAATGGCAGTACACCTGACGACGGAAAAGTCAATGAGTGAGTGGAATCTATATAGGTCACTGGGATGTAAACGTACCTCCTCCAGCAATTGTCGCTCGGACAAGTGTGTCGAGTTCCTCATCACCTCGGATAGCAAGTTGCAAATGTCGCGGCGTTATACGCTTCACACGCAGGTCTTTGGAAGCATTACCTAGACATAGCCGTTGATGAATCATCATTACAATCGAGCTGGAATTCAGCTACCAGGAGATCCACGTACCCGCCAGTTCAAGCACCTCTGCAGTTAGGTATTCAAGAATCGCAGACGTGTATACTGCTGCTTTTGCACCGATTCGGACATTATGTTGTGTTCGTTGCTTCAAGTAACGGTGTATACGTCCTACAGGGAACTAAAGAATGGATTGAGCATGCTTGCCGAGCGCCACTTCAAGCACCAAGCAAGATGAACGCAAGCACTGGGAGAAATATATCTCCATCGCACTTCTGCCAGGTGTAAAGGGATTATAATCCATAGGTAAGGACTGACCTGAAGGCCGGCGCGCTGACTCCTTGTCTGCAGTGTTCTCTGTGCTGGTGCTGGTGCATCTTGTGTCTGCGCTTGTGAAGCACCTCCTTTTGACTTTCCCGACTTTGACGGTGAAGGCATATTTTTTGACTAAACATTCCAATCATGTCGGTTAAATTTCAAACTGGACCAAATTAATTCGCATACTTAGGGGTTCTTTGAAAGTGTGTCAGTTAACTTTATACGCAGCGCTTATAGCTAGCTCACAATTGACAGAGATAGAACTAGTGGAAAATATGTCGGGGAAGTGTTTGGGAAGGAATAAACGCGAAAGTGGCTGAAGTCTGTGGAAGATGATGATTGTTCGGAGACAAGAAGCGGAACCCACGCTTTCACATCGCGCGCGCGAGATCAACGGGTTTACATGCATCACGTGCGTGACGCGTCGCGCGTTCTCCGCGTGGGTTCGAGTCCTCCCCGTGCCTTCTCCATTTTTGGAGGGTTTTGGCGCGTACAGCGCGAGGCCCCTCCAACTGCATCTTCCGCCTCTTCCAACGCTTTTCTGTGTACTCAGCTGGGCAAATAATGCCCTCATACTCTCTGGGCGCCGTAAAGCTGTGCTCTTCAGTGAATATGCACAAGCAAGGTTCCGAAAGATTTCTCCAAAGTTATACAACTTGGAAATAACGCATAGGTATAAATGTATAGGGTAGCTAGATTCTAAGGTACGGAAGGGCGAATGAAAAGGTGCACTAACTACACCAGGGAATACAGATACTCGAATAAGCAGTGATGGTAAGTAATGGGTATCCTGGGTATTATCAGGTATTATCGTGTCCTTGCGGACATATCGAAGTCACACTACGATTTTCTTCGGAAACGATCCCTCCAAGATAACTTGGAAGAAGCAGGATAAGTGGTTGCGCCAGCCATGCGATCACGACGGCGACCAAAGCAGACAGTGCACCCTGCGAGGCAAAGAAGGATGAAAGACACGAAAGTCATCCAGAAAGCTTCAAGCACAGTAAACATCAGCACACCGAATGATGACGGAAAAAGGAAGACATACCGGGAGCGGTATCCGTATTAGTATCCACACCGTCTAGCTTATGCATTTGATGCTTCACGAATGCGAACAGCGCAATATCAATCGCGAAGGCAATCAACGTAAGCAAGGCGGCCAGGAAAGCGGTAAGCGAGGAAAGCAGCGTCATCGTTACATGGGTGGAGAAGGATAGGATAAGCGCTATGAATGTCACTCCGGTAGCTGCAAAGGCTGCTATTCAGCACCCTTGAATAAGCGTGAAATTGTGTACATACCAACGGGATGAACGGCAAGTCCACGAGTCCACGATGGTCCAACAGTAACCCAGCTGTCGCGAGCTTGGTCGGCATAGACCGTGGTTTGATATCCATGACCTAGCGGCACTCAGCAGGCGAAACAAAGTCAACTGTCCGCGAAACTCACCAGCGGGACTGCAGACACGGTCACCAGAATCGTTGTACCAACAATATGACCTTCGCCGAGAGTTGAGCAATGGCTCATTGCAGGATAGACAACCCTAACTCACCAGATCCCATACTGAATGTATCAAGATTCCTCCGTCAGACCGATCATGTTTGGAAACAGCACTGCTTGAGATCACTCACGCGTAACTCCGTCACTGTTCCTCCAGTGTTTCCAGTTGAAGGAGCTCCAGATTTATAGTGAACACGGGCAAAGTCGAGCGCGGTCAAGTATGGCAGTGAAATGGAGACCAGAAAGAGCAGGACAAATGCACAAAACAGGAATATGACACCGGGGATGTGGAATACGCGCGCCATGTTAGAGTTTGTCAAATCGTCTTGCCAGAGTTCGACAAAAAATAACACCAGGACGCTACAACACAAAGATACAAGGTGAGTGCAGGGAAGAAGAGACGAAGATTGACAACGAGGCTTCTTTTTGGAGTGGGGTAAATAGTCGTCATTGAATCTCCGACAGATGGAAAACTTATATTCAACACCCCCACCTTAGGGGGTTTCTAGATGTACCATATATGGCCGCTATTTATTTGTTTCGGGCAAATACGTCGGTGGCGGGAAATTTCCCGAGCTCGCGCCTTCTGCTTTCGCTCGACCATCTCGAGTGCAATATTCAGTTGTGCTCTATTGCTATCCTCCGGGTCGGGTCGTCTGGAACACTCTCTTCATATTGATTGCGCTTGACGCTTCAAAAACTCGACGTTGGTCAAGGAGGAACGCCGGTCATCTGCCCATCGCATAAAATTTGAAAGGCATGATTCCTCTCACAAAACGCAGCACTCGTAGACTCGAGACGACTTTGGTGTCGTATTCAAGACAAAGTCTTCCTCGACCTGCCCGTCTATACTCCTCTCCTTCAAAAAGTGCACATGCGCCAGCTTTCGCTACTTCGGTGCCTCAGCCGGAAGCTCCACTCCCTTACCTTCCGCCAAACCTCGAGCGAGAATTCTCCAAGACCAAGGAGATGGCGACCTTTCTACACGAACGACAATCATATACCATTCTGCCGACACCTGCGCCAGCCGACAGCTCCGATACTAATACCATGATATTCCCGGACACGGCCCTTCAGAATATGGTGTCGATCATTGAAGCCTGCGTGCACAATTTGTATGATGTTCCTCGAGCCAAGACAGTATTTGAAGGCTTGCGCAGACGCCACAGATGTGACCCATTGCTTCATGGCGGACTGTACAATCTTCTTCTGGATGCGTACATCGAGATGGCGTCGGTCAAAGAGGTTGAAAAGCGGTCGCACTGGGTAGAGGATGCATGTGCACTATTCGAGGTGATGGAAAACGGCAAGGACAAAGTGACACCTACAGCGAACACGTATGCGATTATGCTTCGCGCTTGGGTACTCTTCAACCCGAGTTCGCACCGACTCGTGGCGAGCACAGTGGACATGCCTACGCCGATTATGCTGCTGCGAGCGATGATTGACCGTCAGATTCCGGTGGCATTGGTCGTGGCGGACCGCGCTATCAGAACGACCAAGGAAGCGTCAGAGGCCATCAAGATGCTATCGAAGGCGGCAGTGGATATGAATTTGGGAAAGGTGGTGAATGAGCTTGGTATGGCTGAGGCGCTTGGTAGCAGAGCTCCCGACCCATTAGACAACGTGCCAGAGGCAACGCCCGTTACGCGAGCCAAAGTACGTACATCTGGTCCTCTTTATTATCTACGTGCTAATGATCCACTTCAGAAGCAGCAACAGATGCAAGTTACCCATGCTCAAGACGGGTCTGTGACCGACTTTGGTGTTTCAGAAACCGCAGTAGAGGTCGAGCACGAAGTACCGTTCAATCTGGCGAACCTTCGAAAGCATCTGGCACAGGTCATTCTCGCACGACGTGTGCTTCCGGAAGATGTTGCAGCTCGTCAGAAGCTTTTAGAGGAGTCCGTCTACGACGTCGCTGTGGAACGGTTGAAGCACCAAGCAGAGCTGTTCGATGAAATTGGGCTGACGAACAAGGGACTCGGCAACAACGATCTACGCAAGTGGATGTGGGAATGGCATCAGAAGCTGAAAGTGCGACTGAAGGCAGAGATTGCGACGTTGGCAGTGGAGGAAAGCAAACTTTCCGACGGGCGGGGTATTCGTCTCTCGCCGTTCCTCACCCTCTTGAAGCCTGAGAAACTTTCACTGATCACGATCTTGGAACTCATGCATCTGCAAGGTGGAGCCGGTGCTAGCAAAGTCATGAAGATAGCTCGTGCGCTGCTTTCGGTCGGAAGGGCTGTCGAGATAGAGTACAAGGCGGAGATGTGCAAGAAGAACAATATCACGATGCCCAGCAATCCTGCTCGTGGAGGTGACCATGGTTACTTCTCGCGACTTGGCTATCGTGACTTACACGCCCGTCGTGTGGCGGCAGCCAAGTATATGGAGGACGCAGAGGAGTGGACGTCGGATTGGTCGCAGATTATCCGTGTTAAAGTTGGCGCGTTCTTGGTCGATTTGCTGATGGACGTTGGGACTGTCGTGCGCACTGCAGTGGATAGGCGGACGGGTGAAACCGTTTCTGAGGAACAGCCTGCCTTTGTCCACTCGTACGAGTATCAACGGGGTCACAAACTTGGGGTCATCAAGTTGAATTCTATCGTCGCGGAACGAATCGCCAAAGACACCGTACGAGAAACATTGCATCCTCGTCACTTGCCCATGTTAGTAAAGCCTAAGCCGTGGTTGGGTCATGATGAAGGTGGTTACTTGTACAACAAGAGTACGTTCCTTCGAGCACTTTCCATATGTAATGTTTCGTCTGACCTTTCTATCTAGCTTCGGTAATGCGTTATAAGGAATCCACCGAACAGCAAATATATCTGCGCCAAGCCTCCAATCTCGGCAACGTAGAGCTTGTATATGCTGCTTTGGACGTGTTAAGCACCACGCCATGGAAAATTAATCGTGACGTGTTCGAGGTTGTTCTGAAAGTTTGGAACTCGGGAGAGCGGTTCCATAAACTGCCCCCTGCCGTCTATGATCAGCCTGAACCCCAGAAACCAGAGGATTTCGACTTTGATCCTAAGGCGAAGGCTATCTACATCACAAGACAAAGAGCGTGGTACAATGACAAGGCGAACAACCATTCGGACAGATGTAACGTCAACTACAAAGTTGAAATTGCTCGTACGGTATGCGACTCGATTTCCTTCTCGTTTCAGCATTGGCACTAATCTACCTCGATTACTAGTTCTTGGGAGACACATTCTACCTTCCCCACAATGTCGATTTCCGTGGTCGTGCTTATCCAATTCCGCCCCATCTGAACCACATCGGTGACGATCTTAGTCGTGGTCTCCTCAAGTTCGGAGAGTCAAAGCCGTTGGGCGAACGAGGTTTGCGGTGGCTCAAGATTCACTTGTCCAACTTGTACGGATTCGATAAGGCGAGCTTCAACGACCGTGTTGCCTTCGTCGATCAACATCTGGCAGATATTTACGATAGTGCGGAGAAGCCACTGGAAGGTCGTCGATGGTGGACTACCGCTGACGACGCTTGGCAATGTCTGGCTGCTTGCATTGAGCTCCGTAACGCATTGGAGTCCGGTGACCCCCACGCATTCGAATCAAGTTTGCCGGTCCATCAGGATGGAACTTGTAACGGTCTCCAGCACTACGCTGCCCTCGGTGGTGACGATCGAGGTGCCCGACAAGTTAACTTGGACGTCACAGACAAGCCTTCTGATGTCTACACTTACGTCGCCAACATGGTTGAGGAGCAGCTTGTGAAGGATATTGAGAAGGGCAATCCTATGGCCCAACTCCTTTCCGGGAAGATTGCCCGTAAGGTCGTTAAGCAAACTGTGAGTTTTTGCATGCTTTTCTGCTTCACTTTTCTTGTCTAATAAGTATGGGTATAGGTCATGACGACCGTATATGGCGTGACGTTCATCGGTGCTCGTGAACAGATCGAGAAGCAGCTGAAGGATCGTCTTGACATTCCCGTCGAGGAATGCTGGCTTGCCGCTAATTACCTTGCTAAACTCGTAAGTACTGACCTCACATAACTTTCTGGCGCATCGTCTCTGAGCACATGTTTAAGGTATTGCACTGTATCGGAGACTTGTTCTCGGCGGCAAAGGACATCCAGAACTGGCTCAACACATGTGCACGTCTCATAGCCAAGTCCATCCCTCCTGAACGGCTTTCGGATACCTTGCGGCCGACACCCCCCTCACAAAAGGGACGTCCTGCTCCGGAGCAAACTTTATATGCCAGAATGAGGAAGGAGCAAATGACTTCTGTTATTTGGACTACACCCCTGGGTCTTCCTATTGTTCAGCCTTACCGACAGGAGAAGCGCAAGCAAATCATGACTTCACTGCAGAGCGTCTTCATCTCCGATCCTAACTCACCAGCTATGGTCAACTCTCAGAAACAGGCGTCTGCGTTCCCTCCAAACTTTGTTCATAGCTTGGACGCAACCCACATGATGCTTACGGCACTGGAGTGCAGGGTACGTTCCTCGTTGGCTGCTGAAATCATCGTATGGTACTAACTTTCTCTGATATTTCAGACTCGGAACATTACTTTCGCGTCTGTGCACGATTCTTACTGGACGCACGCTGCCTCAGTCGATGACATGTCTGTCATCATTCGCGAGACCTTCATTGGGTTGCATTCATCGAACGTCCTTCAGCGGCTGCATGAAGAGTTCTGTGAACGATACAAGGGCTATAAAGTCCCTCTCCCCTCCATCCGTACTATGATCCCGAAACTTCCCCGGACTGCCAATATTCTCCAGATTTCGGACGACAAGGAGTCCCGCACTCTTGATGAACAAGCTGTTGAGGATCTCCGTCTGAAGGCTGGGGGTCTGCCAATCGAGGAGGAGCCCGAGGAGGTAGAGGAAGACCAGGGTGAAGAGGAAGACGAAGAGGAAAAACCCAAGAAGAAGAAGGCTAAACGAGGCGGCAAGCGTGTAGTCTCTTCAGAGCTTAACCTGGACGACAAGTTTGTCAACCTCACGGATCTTCTGCCGCCTGTGCCTAAGAAGGGTATCTTTGACGTTGATAGAGTCAAGAATTCGCTTTACTTCTTCTCATAGAGAACCACTTTTGCGTCCTTCCTTTTGACTATGGTTATTCTCATTGCACTTCGTCACGCTATTGCCTTTTCCCCTCCATTGCGCGTCGGGTTCACAAGGTACTATTCATGCTCTCGATATCAGGCAACCCTTCGTCGTTCGTATGCTCCTCCTACCACTAATTAGTCGCACTCCTCACATCGTACACCATGTAGTTTATATGTTCATATATTGCATAGAATAGCATCACTACTCTTGGAACTTACAGTTGTGTGCTTATGGATTAGCTGCGTCAATCCCCCATTGTCGAACACCTCAAGCTTAAGTGGGATGTCGACATTCAGGAAACTCACTGGGCACAGCGGTGTTTAACACTAACCAGGCTTATGACAAGCGGAATCTATAGCAGAACGTCTAATAGATATCATTTTGACTCGACGATTGATACAAATCTCGTTTAGTGGTGACCCTCTGCCTGGGGCACATCCGCCTCGAGAGTCTCCAGGAAAGCCTCTGCACCGGTAACACCTTGCTCGGAAACAGCGGCAACCTTGGGCTCTGCAGCAGCAACAACAGGCTCTGACGCATCGTACGCGGCGAGCTCAGATGCAAGATCGGCCGGGACAGTGGGTGCCTTGGGCGTAGGAGGCAAACTGTAGGCCTTAACAACACCGACGTGGGCGTCCTTAGCCTGTAAACGGTACTTGAATATTCATCAAAAAGATCGGAGTCATACGCCAACGAACCACGGGAGGAGCTTTGTAGGATTTGAGCTCCTTCAGGTAAAGCTCCTGGACGAAATCTGGATATTTGCACATCGTCAGGACGAGAATTCAAGCAATGGGTACGAGGCTCATACCACGCCTGGCGACGGCGGAAGTGGAGAAAGCGCATTTACGCGAGACTGCGCGAGCCTGAATGTGTCTCTCTTCAATATATTGCGTCCAGAACATGCAAAAAATAAAACATACCGCGCCCGAGGCCTGCCTGAGGATTGTCGACGACATGGAGGAGGAACAGAAACTGTGACGTGACGTGACGACGCAAGTCCAGTCACGCTTGTGTCCGGACAAGCCGGGGCCGCCCGAATGACGGTGAGCCTGCCGAACCTGCGAGCAAGTCGACCACACTATCTACAGCTTTGCTCACGACTACCACCATGCTTGCTCGTATTACTTTGAACTCTGCGCGTCGTATTCCTCGAGTTGTGCCCTCGGCGCAACGATTCTACGTGATGGAGGGTACTTTCCAGTACGTCGAAAGCCTTTGTTTAATATGTGGTACTCATGAGTATACTCCTAAACAGAAAGAAGGAGAGGGCGCACGAAGGTTGCTTGATACTTTTTCTGACTGGATCTCAGTAATTTATATATTGCTAGAACAATATGCTTGGGAGCACGAGAAAGAGCAGCTTACGAAACTGAAAAAACAGGTATGGTACACATTTGACCAATTGTATCCTGTACTGATGATGCTTCAAGATTGAGGAGAAGAAGGCTGAGTTGGTTAGTTCTCAGCGTTGCCGCACTCTTGTTTCTTGCTCAAACGCATTCATAGGCGAGATTGGAGGCTGAGCACGCTAAGCAAGAGGCTAAGGCCAATTCCAAGGCCAACCAGAAGGCGTAAATATTCTCAATCAAACTTCAGCGTGAGTAGTTTCTCAGCATGATCGCTGCGGAGGTTGCTCATCTTGATTCTCGATCTAGTGCAGCTCGATTCATTATTATCTTGTCACATCCTGGACATGTAGCGAACTTCATTGAATGTTTATCTTGCATGACTTTTGGCTCTTTATAGCAAGCAGATGTGCACCATCGCGGAATAGACATCCCTGCATACATTGCACACGTCTTCGGAAATGATTTTGTTTGAAGATATAACGACGATTTACCCTGTCGCATCTTCACTCCGAGTTCTTTACATTTCGATGCTACAAACTCCTGAGAAAATACCCATGACATCGATACACGTGACCGCTTCACGGCTATTTCGGGATAACGGTTGTGAGGATGTCGTCAGACTGCCTCATCCTGCACGATATATAAAGCCTTCGGTGAGCATCAATAGGAACCCCTTCGTTCTCATCCTCCTTATCTACTGCCGTTTCGTGAACACCATGAGTGCAACACAGAAGAGCGCGCTCAACATTGTCATGGTATGTTTGAGCTCATACCTAAGACGCCTCAGACTGTTCATGCATGTCCAGGGTGCCATGACGTTCGGAGAGCCTGGGAAAGAGGGTGAGATTGCTAGAAGTCATTCAGAATCATCAATATCTTGTTCACCTTGAGGTCTCGCTCGTCAGGAGCTCGCGTCCATGAGTTGAAAGATATCGAAGCCATCTTAGATGTCTTCCAAGCCCATGGGCACTCTGAAATTGATACAGCTCGTGTGTATACCGGCGGGACTTCTGAGCAACTCCTCGGAAAGATTGATTGGAAGAAACGCGGGTTGAAGTTGGAGACGAAGTTATACCCTAACGCTGTATGTGATTTGCGTGCAATCTGGACGAAGAGGAAGGCATTAGTTCTGATATAGAAATAACCATTTGTAGGCACACGCAAGACTTCAAGTTCCGGGTGCGACCCTGATTTCGCATTCGCGTGAAGTGAGATCACTCCTGGAGCTGGGGTTGAGATGCTAAAGCTGATTTCTTCGTAGGATCTTCGGAAGCAGCTGGACATCTCGCTCAAGGCATTGAACGCTGAGTACGGCCTGTTCCCTTCATTATTCTCCATCCCAAATTCACTTTCCCCCTGTTTCAGGCAACTAGAGATATGGTACCTCCACGCTCCCGATCGGACGGTTCCTTATGAGGTCACGCTCAAAGCTGTCGACGAACTTTACAAAGAGGGCAAGTTCAGACGGTTTGGAATCAGTAACTATGCAGCGTGCGTATATCCCTTCTTTGCCCGAACTCTGGATACTAATGATTATGTTAGGTGGGAAGTCGCTGAGATCGTAGGGATCTGCAAGGCGAATGGTTACATTCAACCTACGGTCTATCAGGGTATCTACAATGCTGTTCATAGGTGTGAATCGTACCTTCCATTGTCTTCCTGGCGGGACCGATGCTGAACCCTGTCCCTAGGAATGTGGAACCAGAGTTATTCCCGTGTCTCAGGAAGTTCGGGATCAGTTTCTATGAGTTTAACCCTCGTAACTCTCCTTCCATCATTCTTGATGTGGCACTAAAGAGTGACTGACTCCGTTGGATGTTCCTAGTGGGTGGCGGGCTTTTCACTGGCCGCTACAGCTCTCTGGACGACAAAGTCGAGCCGGGATCTCGTTTCGATCCTGAGAAGAACCAGGGAAAGGTGTGTTCCTTCCCATCTATACACCCTTCACACAGTCTCATGTTACACGTCCATATTTCGCAGAACTACCGCCAGAGGTCTGTCCTACTATCTTTTCCAAGCGTGTTGTATTGATATTTCAACATGGCGCACAGATACTGGAACGAACACTACTTCAAAGCCCTCGCCCTCATCCAAGCTGTCGCTGACAAAAACAGCCTGACGCCGGCTGAAATTGCTCTTCGTTGGATCTCCCACCACAGCCTTTTGAAACGCGAATTTGGCGACGCGATAATTATTGGAGCTTCCAGCTTGGAGCATATCGAACAGAACTTGGTGGACCTGGAGAAGGGCCCTTTACGTGAGTACTCCGTCCCGCCATAATGAGCCCAGTGTATTGATCTTGCTTCATTGTAGCTGAAGAGGTCCTCAAGGTGTTGGATGATGCTTGGGACTCGGTGAAGCCTTATGCAACAAAGTACTGGCATTGAATAAGTGGAACGAAGTCATTATGTTGGATTATAATTGTATATCGTTCAGCTTGGACTATCGCTTCGCATGGGGGAACTCGACATGTGGAGATAAAATGTATTTCTCAAGTTCGAAAGACTTGCACTATAAAGTAGCAACATTCTACTAACACCATTAAAGCTGCATCTGCCCAACTTAGTCGTTGCGACTACAATTGCCACCATACACATCGAAGTAAGGCCTGAAAACGAACGGAAGTCAGCTTAGTGTATCAATGTTTAAACAAAGACAGAACCCTCAGGGTGTCAAATTATGGAGCCCGCCCTCACTCGAAGTGAGGTATACTCCTTGAAGAAATTCAAGAAAGAAAAACATCATCGGGAAGGAAGCGCGGAAGTGTCAACTCACCAGTATCGTCAGACCCAATGCTCTGTCAAACGAAGAACAGCGAACTGTCCGAATGCAAGGAAAAAATACACCTTTTGACCACGCCGACAAAGAGTAAGCCCCATTCTGTAGACGTGTCCTCCAAAAAGGAAACACGCAACCGCATAACTATGTCTATGAGCAACAATGACCGACCCGCAGAGCGACATATCCGAGCAACGAGAACGCTCATATCTTCGCGTCCTCGCGCCTTCACCGAACATGCACTTCACGAATGTCAGTCGCAGAGCTGGCTTGGCGGAGCTGTACCCCTCATTCAAGGATGGAGATACGAGCAGTACGTCCAAGCCGACCGTCGTCCCTTTCCACCTTGCTTAACGATGGACGTTTTCCACGAGGAAGGAGGAGGTCATGTCTCTGCATCTCCGGGGACTTTTCCCACAGCTGAGAGAGAAGAGCGAGGTGCTCTTTGTGCGGAAGCTGCGATAGCGGTTCTTTTGTCGGCGTGGTGGTAGAGAAGAAGAAATTTTTGATTATGTCAGCTATATAGTTTGCTCGATCGTATTGATTGATCGCATCAGTTCGCTTCTCCAACAATGGCAATTCTCGCAACTAACTTCAGACCCTCAACAACAATACCATCGGTCGCAGGATAGTAAGGGCAACCCCTGCAAGAATGGCTATAACCACTTTCAAACTTTCCAACCCAGGCGCGTCGAAGGCAGCAAGTTTCTATCGGCTTAAGGTTCGGGGTCATTGGTGGCGTAAGTGATCTTAGTTGGAGAACCTCGAAAGATGAAGAAGGCTTGAATACGGAAAACACTCGCTAGTCGAGGACATACTCCACACGATGCTTCCTCGCTAAAGTGAACTGCAGGATTTGGACAGACTCGGCCGCGGTCGGTTGCGTAGAAATGAAGTCCAGGATAATCAGAAAGCGATCGCGCGTGAACAATCAACGAGGCATGTTTCGAGTGTTTCAGAGAGCAAAAAGACGAATCGTCTTGACTGAAAGTCAACAATGAAATTCGGAGACATAGAATCGCAAGATCTGAGCGAGAGATTCGGCCACAATTCGGGTACAACGGGCATCGATGAGAAGACGGCATCAATGTGAGTCCCCACTCGTCGCTGAAAATGGGGGCCAGTTGGAGCAATGCTCGCAAGATGCACGAGGGTGAATTTATTCCGTCTATCTAGAGATCCTGTAAGAGGCTGGACAATCATGGTCAGGTTGGTTTTGTTGGGCGGTACCATGTATCAGTATCAGATTCAGTTCGTACCGTGGGTGGGGCTTACCCAAAGATCCTCAGGCTGGGAAGGCTGCAAACCGCAGACGAACTTTTAACAGGAGGTTAGCTTCTTAAAGCTCGACAAAGACGCCTTACAATCAGATAGCATAGAGCGCGCCGGCGTCCTTCATGCTTCTTGCAAACAACGAGTCACCCACGGTATAAACTGCAAAATCCTTTAGAAACCCCTCGATAACGTTGTTTCTTGACAGGTTCTTACTACTGAAGAAGCACGGGACGCGGATGTCTTCCGTTGCTCAGGCTCCCTTTGACGACACCGACGACACCGACATCGTTCTCCGTTCTTCTGATAAGGTGGACTTCTATGTGGTCCGGGTTATACTCTGTCTGGCTTCTCCTTTCTTCAAGACGCTCTTCAGCTTGAAGCAGCCCTCTAGAACCCCTCATCCAGATGACACAACAACTGCGGAAGGTATCCCTGTCATTGAGGTACCTGAGAATGCTCAGACGCTAGATCATCTCCTTCGCATCTGCTATCCCATCTTGGATCCTGTCGTTGCGGACATCGTAGAAGTCGGCAATGTGCTTGAATCAGCGTTGAAGTATGATATGGAGCAACCCATTAAGCTCATGAAAAAGGCGCTGCGTGACGCGTTCAATGTCGAGCCATTGCAGGTCTTCGCAGTAGCTTGCCGTCTTGGTCTAGAAGGCCAAGCTATCTCAGCCGCTAAGTCCTTCCGAGCCGCTGCTATCCTTAAACATGACACCCTATCCGGTAAATTTCCTGCCCACGAATGGGCTCAGACACCAGCCGCACTCGCATATGTGCCCAATATGAATGCCATTTCTGCGGGTGCATTCTATAGGCTGATACATTATGTGCGGTGGGGTGGGGCAACGACGTTTTGTGAGCCGGACACGGGTGTGATCCCTGCACGGCCACTCAATGATTTGGACGACCTTACTCCTCCCCCTCCTTCATTCAGTCAACCAGATTCCGACCTCATCGTTCGTTCCTCTGACAATGTGGATCTTCACGTTCATACCCTCGTATTATCATTGGCTTCCCCCATTCTACACAAACGCATCTCAGACCTGGATGTCCACTCACGCTCCTCCACATCTCCCGTCCTTGCACTCGATGAACCGGCTGCTGTTCTTGTTCCTCTCTTGCAGCTATGTTACCCTATAGATGATCCGGAGGTCAAGGATTCTCGAAGCGCATCAACGCTCCTAGCCGTCGCTTCAAAATATAAAATGCCAAGAGCGATGTCGTTCGTGCAACGGAGCCTCCGCTCATGTTCAGACATTGACCCATTCCGCATGTTCTTTACTGCTGTGGCTCATGGCTGGAACTCGGAAGCAGAATACTTCGCCTCTCGCCTGATCCACTTCGTCATCGAAGATGTTTACGTTCCAGAAATGGAATCTGTTCCCGCCAACGTCTATCACGGACTACTAAAATATCACTTCGAGTGTCAGAAACGGATGAAGAAGACCACATATAGCAACGTTGGTGCGTATCCGCGCTTGCGCGCCCTCGAGAGTGGGTGTGTGGTCAGAAGAAGCATCTTCCGCGATTCATCAGAGATGATCTTTGCGCCCATTGTCGCGAGAGCAATGGCGTTTGATAAGGCTGCGCACGACAGGACTCCCCATGACAGTAGGACGCCGCGACACATCGATATCACACCTCTCATCAATGAGAGTAAGATGCTGGAGTTGGAGATCGAAAATGCACTAGCAGATGTGAGTAACCCTCTTTTGTTGCCCGGGTGACCTCACAGTCTAACACTCGTGATAGGTAAAATTGGACGTGTCTCTTTCTCCTAGTTAAATTCGCGGACCACTGTTGCCAGCTTACCACACGCATCCTACTTTAGTATATGTTTTGGATGCTTTGCTTACCTCTACTTTGAATAAGCCTATGTAAATACTTCACAATCGATCGCTACCAAAAGTTAAACGTTAAAGGGCTTGCCTTTTGTGGAAGAAAGCATTCGGAAGCGGGTTCTTATCCTAACAGAGAACTAGTTTTCTTTTTTGCTTCATCGGGCGGCACACACTTTGCTTTCTCCCGTCATAGAGGGAGAGGCTGACTTTGGTTGATTTGCTGCATGCTTGGCCATTTCCTATCATTTGGCTTGATTGGAAAGAGATTCACTACTACTTCATCAAGACCAAGTCCTCTGGTTCTGCAACGTACCCAACGACGGTACACCTCATCATTACTCTATGTCGACAAAGGCGCGGTGGTCGTGAACAAGCCACCCGGTTTAGTGTGCCAATTGGGGCATAACGAGGAGTCTAGGACTCAGAGGAAACCAAATGAGGGCGATTTCGAGACCCTTTTGAATGGTGAGTTAGACTTTGGTCACTGGGGTGTTTACAATCTAACAGATATACTTCTTCAAGAGATTCAAGATACGTTGAGTTTGCCAGAGCGACCATACCCTCTTCATAGGCTTGACAAGGTGGATATTACCTGGCATATACTATTGAGTGTATCTGACTTTATCCTTTGATAGTCCACTACGGGAACGCTTGCCCTCGCTCTCAATCGTCAAACGGCTCGAGACCTTTCGCAACAATTTCAAGCACATAATCTGGACAAAACCTACCTTGCGATTGTTCGCGGCGGGGAGCGCTCTTTTCGTGAGCTCAAAGGCGTCATCACGAACTACCTCCGATGCGAAAGTGATGGATCGGTATCCGTTACAAAGAAACCAGAGCAGAAATCGAAGAAAGATAGGCACAGGTGGATTAGCCCTGCTGAGACTGAATGGGAACTGGTGGCATCTTCTGTGCGTCTGAGTTTGCTCTTCATATTCGTGATGCAAAACTGAAGATGCGCTATTCTTTACAAAGCCTTCTGTGCCGCTCTCGCTGATGAAGCTCACGTTGCGAACCGGCCTGAAACATCAACTACGTGTACACATGGCGCAGGTACTTCAAGGTATGTCATTCTCAGTACGCTCTCTGCGAGGTCTGCTAATAATAGCTTGTAGCTCCAATTCTTGGCGATACGCGGCACGCAAGTTCAAAGATATCTGAGAAGATCACTAGCGTTGTCCAGATACCTCCGGATTATCTTTACCTTCACGCCTCCAGTCTATCTTTTAGCGTAAGTGTGATTGGTGATTATCATTTCGAATCAATTGACTGAACTTCCCTTCCAATAACCTAGCGTTACTTCCCAAAGCAGACCCGAGTGAAGGTCGTGGCCCCACTCCCTGGTTACTTCACAAAACTCTGCGCAAAGGTTGGCATACATATTCCGAGTGAATTCACCAAGGATGGGGTTTGGAAGGACAGCGTCGAAGTGAAGAATGTCGTCAAAGACTTCTTGGGTCAAGAACAAGTTGACGTATCACCTCCGATGACGGAAATGGTTCCAGAAACCCCTCCAACTGCCGAAGGTTGACTGGACGACCTGCTTCAATTCGGCGCACTGCATGCAGCCATTTCCGCCGCGACGGAGTCATCAGCTGATCCGGTCGCCATAGGACTGGTTGGACCTTGCAAGAACTGTTGCATCCCTTAACCAGCAATCCGTTGCGTTGCCGTCAACATAGAAGGCTCTATCTGCCATCCCATCGTGCATCATCGGAAATTAGACTTCAAGAACTGCCTGCCCTCAGCATATTGCTCATAGAAAGGTCTCAGACCTGACTTCTATACAGAAGAACATACTTCTACGCGCGTGAATACACCGACTTTTCCAGTATTTCTTGTGTGATTTCTAGCAAGAACGCGCCAGCGCTAAGAAGCTGCCTGTCCACGATCTTCAACTCAGGTATACAACGTTCCTGTTAGCAAATGTCCGCATCACAGTCTAGTATGCTTAACCGAACGCCTTCATAAGGTATGTCTGGCTCTTCCCTTTGTCCGGTCACAACGTGATCGATAAGCGAATATTATCGTCATGCAGGTAACTTATAAAGGGAGGCCACCCGATGGTCCAGACAAACCTTTACCTGTGCCACTCAATAACATTTCTTCTAGACCTATTTACTTTACTTTTCCTCCCCGCCCTCCTCATTTCGTATTCCCTCTAATACTTCAGTCAACCTCGTCCATCTCTCGCCTTCCACATATTCAGCCGTTCACGACGTCATGACCTCCAACATGTTGAGCGTATTCAAGAAGCCCGTTGACCTCGAAGAGATCTATAAGACGTGGGTGGACCCTCCCTTTTACCGGGGTAAACCCCGTCGAGATGGACCTGTAGACCAGTGGCTCCTTCTGGTCAAGACGGAATGCAAGGCGAAGAAGATTCCGAAGAGCATGTGGCATCTCGTAGCGGAACATTTCCTGCAAGCGAGAGCCAAGAAACGGTTTGATGCCGTTAAGACTGTGATGGATAATATGTATCAGGGCGCCTACACGTGGAATTGGAAGCGTTTCAAGATTGCGATGCGCAATATGCAGTGTAGGTTTCTCTTTGGCATGTCTAAATGTTCAATAACATTGACGGCTGGTTGTCTTTCAAGGGGAGTTGGATTCGGGCGCGGTGCAGACGTTCTTTGTCCGTACTCTGGAGACGGGTGTCTCGTGGATCTTTGGCCCCTCGAAGGGAAAAGAGGAGGAAATCGTCGTTATTGAGAAGTGCGATCAGCCTTTTTTGATGAGGGCACTCAGATCCGTCACAAATTCTTCCATGGTATCCTCGATCAAGGACGCGGCCAAGGACAGTAAAGCCGCGACTAAGGATGCCAAATCAGCGACCAAGGACGTGAAGTCTACAACCAAGGATGCGAAGTCATCTCCTAAGGATAGCAAGACCGTGTCTAAAGATAGCAAGGTCGTGCCCAAAAACAGCAAGTCACTGTCGAAGGATTGGCAGCTTGTCCCGAAGGAGACCAAGAAAGAAAGCAAGAAATCATCTACAGACGTCTTGGCCGCGGCTAAACCGTCCACTATCATATGGAAGGTCCCGCAGGTCAACAAGGACATTTCAAGGCTTCTGCTCCAGAAACAAGGAGAGAAGGATTTAAGTAGGTTCTAGGTTCTTTGGTGCCGAACTTTGCGTTCGCGCTAATAGTCATCGATTTCGCAGTTCTCAGCCATAGCCAGGTGCCCATCTGGCTGCTCGAAGCCTGTAACTATCTTGATACCATGACGTCGGAGCATAAGGGGACCATGTCCATCATTGCCGCTGTCCTCATCACTGTCGGGAGTGTTCCAGCATTACCCGCTGTTCAAGCCGGTGCTGCAGGCGCGCTCCTTGCTAGCTCGACCGCTCAGGTGATTGGTAGCACGCTTGCCGGGGTGGGGGCCTGGCTTGGTATGCAGGCAGAGGCCCGTGAGGCGAGCTCTGCATCCCGCAAGTAGTCGTGTGCCGTTTATCAAGTTTACGATGATTCACGAAGGATAATGTGCTGCGATGGGGACCAAATTGAGTCTTCGGTCGCTACGAACGTCGTCGTTATGCTATCTGTTCCAATTGTACCAACTGCGCCACTTTCGTTATATTCTCTCACTTCTCGTATGTAATTGGCTGTATCAGTGTATCGTGTATAACACTCGTAGTAATCGAATGGTGCAGGGGAGATTATACTTTCGCCGTATAGAGGGCGCCTAATTTGATCGCGTTCTGTAGTTGTGCTCTCAAGTTTCCTCCATTCTCGACTCCAACTTATCCTGTCGTGCCGCTTCGTCAGTACTCGTGTATTCCACTGAGGGTATCGTCGGTCGCTTTGGGCTCTCTGTTGTCGATTAGGAAGATCACACTTACTCGGGGGTCCAGAACAACATTACCATGGCTGCGTTCCGAGCACCTCCACGGAAAGGAGAGAACTTCGAGCTCAGCGCAGACCTGAATAGTGAATACAAGGAGAAGCGGAAGGATGCAATCAAAAGAGTTATCGCTAACATGACTGTCCAAAAGGGTACGTTTCAGTATCTAATGAAGGCATACATTGCTTACGGAGTCTCTGTAGACGTCAGCGGACTGTTTCCCGATGTATTGAAGAACATGCAGACAGATGACCTTGAACAGAAGAAACTGGTCTACCTATATCTCATGAACTATGCCAAAACTCAACCGGAGCTGGTTATCCTTGCTGTCAATACGTTCGTGAAGGACACCGATGACCCCAATCCACTCGTCCGTGCGCTGGCGATCCGCACAATGGGTTGTTTACGAGCGGAGAAGATTATCGACTATCTATGTGATCCTCTGCAGAAATGTCTGCGGGATGAGAACCCTTACGTTCGCAAGACGGCAGCCCTCTGCGTTGCAAAGTTGTACGACCTCAAGCCGGAGTTGGTGATTGAGAATGGATTTCTTGAGACGTTGCAAGAGATGATCGCTGATAGTAATCCCATGGTAAGTTATGATACCTAATATTCATGAAGATGAGGGATTTTCATAACATCCAGGTCGTTGCGAACACTGTAGCTGCTCTGACCGATATCCATATTGCTGCGGCTGCGGCTGGTTCAAACACCGAGGTGTTTGTTATCACAAGTGCTGTACTCAACAAACTTCTCATTGCACTGAACGAATGCTCTGAATGGGGTCGCGTTGCAATCCTGAACGCATTGGGTCGTTACGAGACACATGATGATAGGGAGAGTGAGCATATATGCGAACGTGTCGTACCTCAGTTCCAACACGCAAACGCCAGCGTTGTACTTTCCGCTATCAAGGTATGCCCGTCAATTGGTGCAGAGTCTCTGGTCGATCGTTTGATGGCACCCTCCTCAGGTTATCATGATTCATATGCGAAGCGTCCGTTCGGAAACGCTCACGAAACAGCTGGTTCGCAAGATGGCCCCACCATTGGTGACATTGCTATCTAACCCTCCAGAAGTGCAATGGGTGGCTCTCCGTGATATCAACCTTCTGCTTCAGAAACGTCCAGACATTCTCTCAAATGAGATGAGAGTGTTTTTCTGCAAGTACAATGATCCACTGTACGTGAAGGTCGAGAAGCTGGATATCATGGTCAGGCTAGCTGGACCGAACAATGTCGATGCTTTGCTTAGCGAGCTCAAAGAGTGCGTATATATTATTTCTATTGTACCACTCATGGAACTGACGTGCTTGGTGTAGATACGCTTCGGAAGTTGATGTCGACTTCGTTCGCCGGAGTATCAAAGCTATCGGTCAGACTGCAATTAAGATCGATGAAGCTGCAGAGCGATGTGTCAACGTCCTCATGGAGCTTATTGGTACCCGGGTTAGCTATGTCGTCCAGGAGGGCGTGGTTGTCATGAAGGTGAATACCGTACACCATCAATTACTCTCCCTGCGATATATATTCACGTCGTTCACGTAGGACATTTTCCGAAAGTATCCCTCAACATACGAAGGTGTCATTCCAACCCTGTGCGCCAATCTTGACGAGCTGGACGAACCCGAAGCAAAGGCTTCGCTCATCTGGATTATTGGTGAATACGCTAACAAAATCGATAATGCCGATGAACTTCTTGGCATTTTCGTTGACTCTTTTACTGAGGAATCATACCCTGTCTGTTCAGCTTCCATGTCCATCCTCACTCATGCACTGACCAGACGATTGGTATAGGTACAATTACAAACTCTTACGGCTGTCGTGAAACTCTTCCTCCGAAAGCCCGATACTTCACAAGGTCTTGTCCAACGTATACTTAACACTGCGACAAAGGATTGCGATTCGCCAGATGTCCGGGATCGTGCTTACATTTACTGGAGGTTACTTTCGACAGATCCAGGTGCCGCAAAGGTGTGTTGGCTTATGGATTGTGACTACTCAAAGTGCTCATACACGTGCTATTAGGCCGTTGTCCTAGCGCATAGACCACCAATTAGCCTACCTCGTACAACTGTTTCGCCAGCTCTGCTGGAAGAGCTGCTAGGCGAGATACCCAGTCTTGCTAGTGTGTATCACAAGCCAGAGGAAACTTTCGTCGGTCGAGGCCGTATCGGTGCAGATGCTATACCCAAGGGCGGATCTGAGTAAGCGGACTCACCAAGCTGTAATATGATTGGACTGACTTGTATCTCCAGGCTTGCCGACGATCGTGCAACGGCTCAGAAAGCTTTCCAGACCGTTGCTGCTGGCCAGCAAGCCGAGAACCTGCTCAACTTCGACGACCCTACCTCCAACGATGGACAGCAGCCAACCGGTCTTGCCGCAACAACCGTACTCACCTCGACGCCTGCAGCTACGAACTTGCTTTCGGGGACATCAAGCAACCCGCTGGACGACCTGGTATCGATATTTGGCAATACGGGTATCGGGACCAATGCGGCACCACCACCTACACCTGGCCAGCCACAGACACATCTCAACGCTTTCGGTGGCTTGTCTTTCGGTGGACAACCCATGTCACCAGCTCCTCCGATGACACCCTCGGTCCTGCAGGCGGTGTCACCGCCTCCGCAGCAGCAACAACAACAAGGGGCACAAGATGACCTATTGGGATTGTTTTAGAGGTCGTGTAATGTATGGTAGTCAGCCGTTTTGTTGTGTTTTATTTTATTTTATTGGATTTTACTTGTACTAGTCACGTTGAGAAGCACTCTTGAGTGAGAGGCGAGCATGCAGAAGTTTCACTCCATTCCCCAATTCTTATTTGGTCTCAAAAATTCTGCAGTAGTGGGAACTTCGTTGGCTATTGCAGAAGGGCCATAATTGGGCTGGAAGTCTGGTAATCTAAGTGAACTAGAGATGCTGTATCGTGCCTGTTGTCCAATGTGAGCATTTGATGGTTTGCAACACAGCGAAATGTCCACAAATAGTAGCATTGCTTCCTGGTAGGTATGAAAGCGTGTTCCCTGATGTCATCGATGTTTTAAGGATGTGGCGGCTACCGTAGTTGTGTACAGGATTCTCTTGGCAGTTGGAGTAGAACCCAACTTCTGATGAACTTTGGGGCTATTGCAGTCTGGAAATCGGACCTCATAGAGGAACGGACAAAAGCAAATGGAGCCTGAAATTACATGAGAGAATTGTCGCAGATAAGTTATGAAGCCGAGCTCTCACGATTGACTGCAAAATCATTCGTGAGTATTCCTTTCACGAGTTTCATTCAATTGAGAAACTGACTTCATGTTTTGTTCATTTCACGATTCTAGATTTGCGGGCAGGTAAATGAGAGTACTAGTGAGCAGGCTACTCGAAAGAACACTCAAGGTATCCAGTCGGTCTCCTAAACCCGTGGTTTACCTTCGACTTAGCGTTTAGAATGGACAAGAGCCTGAGGACTCACTGACACAGTGTTGCCGAGTCGCATCCTGAATATCAGTAGAGTATACAGAAGTAATATTTCGAGCTGTATCCGCAGTTTATCGCTAAACTGCGGAGGCCGAGCCATATACTTAGAGAAGAAAGACACGCCGACGATAATGCATAGGAGACTCGAATACAGCGCCTGGTGCATAGCTAATGTGTTCGTCGTAACCTGGTGTACTTCGAAGTCATGGGCAGGAGTGACGGGCTTCGGACGCGGTCATGGCCAGGCAGCATAAACCTGTTATCAGATGTCACTACAGTATCCATTGATAGTAATAACGTAATTGTCCGAGATGGTATGCAGGAAGGCATCTGAGGAGACTTACACAGGATATAAATCAGAGGCAAGTTTCGTCCAGGTTCGAAGTTCGGTTTGGCCGCGAGCTGCAAGAAAGGAACGTTGTAGGCGCCCAATTTAGATATACCCAACTTTCTTTCCTCCTTTCACCATCCTCAATTTTGAATGCATCATTCTCTCCTTAGTTCGTAATTATTCATTGAAAATATGTCAGCCTCTACACCGATTACTGTGAGGAAAGCTTCACGGCTACTCGCTGCACTTGATGGGCCCGAAGTGCCTCTTGCACCGGTCACTCCGCAGTTGTATGCGGGTGGTGTAAAACGGGCCTTTGACGATGAAGACAACGCTCCTATCATGCCTGGCGGAATAAAGGACTTTATGGGGAGCAATAAGAGAAGAGCCACTGGTTTGGGGCTGGACCGAGCGAACATCCTCGCGACACCCGGTTCTTCGGGTTCTGCAGCAGGTAAGCTCTAAAGTCGCGTCTAAAATCGTCGTCAACGTGTCGTTGATCGCGTTTCGTCCAACCGTTCTAGTGGATGTTGAAATGATGTCCCAGTTGTTAGGCAGAACGCCTTCGACTTCTCAGACAAGAGCACCGGGAGCACTTGGTGCAAGCGGTCTGTCATTTAGGATCAACTATGACCAGGAGACCAGTGTGAAGCCGATTGATATTGGGGGAGCAGACCAAAATTTGCGGTGAGCCAAGTGCAAAATCGGTGCCATAGTCATTTAATGTGCGGCTCGTAGAATGGCGGAGTTCGTGACGAGAACAATAGATAATTCTTCTCATGGCCTTACCGTTCAGAAAGCTATGGAGAACCTTGGGCTCCGAGAGTAGGTTCCTATTCCTTACGGCCGCCATTTCGAGGTGGTCTGAACTTGAGGATTTTTTCTATAGCAAGAAAGATCTAATACCCGGTATGGAAGTTCGCCTGCTTCCTCACCAGATAATTGGCGTTAGCTGGATGATTGACCAAGAATGCAAGTCGCGCAATAGGGGCGGAATACTCGCGTAAGTGACTCGGGATGTTTTGCGTTAGTTTTTAGTTCACAAGTTCTAATTTTAGTGACGATATGGGGTTGGGTGTGTATCCGGCTTCATCATTAAAAGCATTGAGTACGTGTGCTAAATGTCTATGCTAAATGTCTACAGGTAAAACTGTCCAGATGATCGCAACGATGGTCATCAACCAACCAAAGGAGGAAGACAAGGCGCGAACCACACTCATCATAGTTCCCGCCGCTTTGCTTCTCCAATGGAAAGAAGAATTGGATAGCAAGACGAACGAAATCTTCAATGTGCATATTCAACATGGTAAAGACAAGCTCAAGTCAGTCTCGGCTTTGCAATCCAAAGACGTACGTACCTCCCACCTGAGCGACTCTTGCGAAGTTGATACTCTGGATTTGAGTTGTTCATCTGATAATTCCTCACAGGCCATCATTACTACATACCAGACGCTCAACATGGACTTTGGAGTACCCGATGATATCAATCCTGATGAAGAAATGGAATGGCTAGCCGAGAATGGGTAATCTATCTTACCTGTGTGTGCGTCGTACTGGAGACAAACTTGACTTCAATTTCTAGAGGCGTTTTAGCGCGGATGAAATGGTACCGCATAATCACGGACGAAGCGCAATTCATCAGGAACAGGCAAGTTCCTTTTAGAAGACTGACGAGTGGGAAACTAAGTGCGAATGCAGGGCGACACGTTCGAGCAAGGCCGTCGCGATGCTTCGCGCCAGGTACCGATGGTGTTTGACTGGTACTCCTGTAACAAACACACTGTATGCACATTCAAAACAATCACTACATTCGTCTAACAATTGTTCCTCAGTGCCGATATCTACGGTCTCCTTCGATTTGGTCATTTCCGACCATGGAAGTGAGTGTGATTTGCCGATAGGGCGATCTGCGATTAGACTGACTTTGATCGTTTAAGCGATTGGGGTGATTTCAATGAATACATCGCTAAGACGCAACTGGAGGATGCACCACTTGCTGGTAAACCGCTCGCAGCAGGAATACAGTGCGGTATATTGATTTCTCGCTTGCTTTAGGACTGCGAGCCCAAGAAGTTCTGAAACCCCTTCTTCTGCGGAGGACGAAGAATTCTGAATTGGTTCGTGGCGTCACTACAGTAAACATGTTTCGCACCTGACAATGCCATGATGCAAAACAGGAAGGACGTCCCCTCCTTGAACTGCCGCCCAAAGACATCGAACTGGTCAAAGTTGATTTCTCAGACGAGGAGCGCGAGGTACTTCAACTGCATGATATGGCTAAGTCACGATCACTGAGGATGATGTCAGGTTTATGATGCCTTCGAGAAACGAGCGCAAATTCGGATCAACAAGTATATTCGCGAGAGAACCATAGTCAAAAAGTAAGTGTGGTCTTGATATTGAAACGCGGCTCTGTTGAAACTGTATAGCGCTACCGCCGTCTTAGTATTGATCCTCCGTCTGCGTCAACTCTGTTGCCATCCCTATCTGATTCTAGTAGGTGGCACTGTCTCCCCCATAGGCTTGTTGAATGCCGAACATCTTTTGCTGCACTTCAGAGCCAAACCGATGGTTTCGAAGATCCTACTCTCATGCTCAGCGGTGAAGCCGAGAAGGAGCTCGCTCGAGCAAGCAAAGTCATGGGTGCAAAATGGGTCCATCAAGTACGTGCATCTGATAAGATCGCACGGTTCGTACATAACCATTCTGCAGGTCAAGCAGCGCTTCCTTGAGCGTGCAAAGACGAGCAAGTTCGACTGGGACGACGAAATGGATGCTGACGAAGCTACGTGTCCAAATTGTGGCGACTGTGCGTCATCGCATTCGCTGCGTGCACCATTCTTTCAAGGTATATTGATGACATTCTTAGTGTTCGTTAACGATAGTGGAAGAGTACTAGGATGTGGCCACGAGATTTGCTTTGGTGAGTGTTCCCGGAATCCCGAAAGAGACACTCACCTCATGTTCTATCAACCAGACTGCTCGCTCGATCTGAGCAATGCTCCACCCGCTCACGATGGTATCTTGTACGTTCGTGCTGTAGATCTCTTGCGGCCATCAAGCTCAGTATCATGTACAGCGGCCAAGGTGACGAGCAGGCGAACCTCCGGATTGAGAAAGACTTCGAAGCTGCAGTAGCCAAAGGCCTTCGTCCTTGCCCGACTTGTAAGAAGATGAACGACATGAGAGCCTCACACGTCTTTAAGTCCTCTGCATTCGAACCTTCGGAGGAAGAGTTCAAAAGTGCGACGAAACGTGCTCCATCTCGTGTAACGCCTTCGCGACAAGCTTCCAGCTCAGGTCCGGCGAGGAAGAGTCCAGCTCCCAAGGTGCATACCATAGAGGATATTATGGACTTGAGTAGTTCTTCCGACGAAGAACTCCCAGACGTTTCAACCTTGTTGATGCGACGTTCTTCGTCGCCTAAAGCCAAGGTCAAGAAGAATGTGATTGTCAGTGACGATGAAGACAACGTAAGTCGGCGTGGTGCGCTTTGAATGATCTTTGGTTCCTGATGTAATGCACTCACAGGATGGCCTCGATCTCACTATTGACAAACATCGGAAGAAGGCTGCAGAACAGAAGAAGGGAAAGGCGTACACAGGAAATCATTCTACTGGAGAGTTGAATCAAGCCCTCGTGAAGACGTGGCGGAAGGGCGACAGCGATATGGAACCTAGTGCAAAGATGATGGCCCTTGTTCACTACCTGAAGGAGTGGGATTCTACAGGAGACAAGACTATTGTCTATTCCCAGTGTAAGCGTTATGCCGTCCTTACCAGGTGGACGAATCTGACACACCCCATAGGGACGTCCATGTTGGACCTGATTGAGACGCTCTTCTCACGATATGGCATTCAGAACTTAAGATACGATGGTAAGATGAATCGAGAGGCTCGTGAGGCGGTTCTGGCGCGGTTCAGAAAATCCGGTGGTCCTAGGGTCATGTTGATCAGGTTCGCAGAATGTCTACAAGCACTTACCCGTGGAAGACCGGCTGATGCTCTACGCATAGTACGAAATGCGGTGGAGTTGGGCTGAACCTAGTCTCTGCGAACCGAGTGATTAAGTAAGGACATGTTTTCTCGTATCTTATGCGACTGACGAAGTTAATAGTATGGATCTGTCGTGGAACTATGCATCAGAGTCTCAAGCATACGATCGTGTGCATCGTCTTGGCCAGGAGAAAGACGTAACCGTCAAACGATTAGTTGTTCGCAACACTATTGAAGATCGGTATGCATTTACGAGTTCTACTTTTGTTTAAGTGATGATGTTCTGATAATGCGCATTTAGTATGCTGCAGCTTCAGGAAACGAAGACTGGATTAGCTGAAGCAGCGCTCGGTGAGGGGAACGGTATCAAGTTGCATAAGCTGAGCGTGAAACAACTTAAGGCGGTGAGTTTGTTAGTATATCCGATTTGCGAGTTCATACTGATTGATATACGCAAGTTGTTCGGTATGAACCACAACAACGGTAACGGTACTCCAGGTGGAAGCCAGTGATCTGATGTGTAAGATATTTGTATGCTATAAGCTGGGCTAATTAGTTGATAGGTGAGGGCGTCCCTCACTATTCACTTCAACCTGCTCATGCTATTCAGCTTTATAATGTATATACCACGCCGATGGACCTTGTTGTGCCAATAGATTATACCGTCATGCTATTTCAGCTTTTCCACCCTTCTGCTCAGTTCTCTCCAAGTCGCGTTCTCAAGCGTCAACTAACGCCTGACCTGCCGTTGCAGCGTAGGTAACACCATGGACCGCCACTAAGGTACGTCTTGAGCTCACAACTACCAACCTACTCCTTGCGTCTATCTCTGTAGCACCCCTTACATGACAAAAACTGCTTTATCTGTGAATTTTGCTCGATACAATCTCGGCCAGCTGGCACCATCACTAGCCTGAATTCAAGATCTTAGTCAGAACTCGATCCCGCATTTGCCTCTCGGGTGAGAATAGTCCGTCGTAGGTGGTACATAGATACCGTGTGCCTCCTCACCAATAAAACCATAAAACCACACCGCTCATTTTTCAGCCCGCAAGTATTCAAGGATGCGCCAACCCATTAGTCCTTCTCTGTTCAGCTTGCTTGCTTGCGCTGTGCGTGCCCAGCTTCCTGCTCCTGCGTACGTCATTTGAACACATATGCACTTCACTTTCCCTGACATGAGTTGGTTCGTAGGAATATTTCGCTTTGAACGTCATTCTTGGACACAAGTGCTGTTCCTCGCTCGACCTAATCCCAACCTGTAGTGCCGGTACACCAGAAGCCACCATCACATTTGTCGTCTCAGGTACTTCAACAGTGACGGTGTGGGCTCCCAACGGACTGCAATGACCTTTGTGGACAACACTCCCACAACCATTGGGAACGTGTCCTTGAGCACTTTCCCTTCTTCCCACCACAATGTCGCATGTCATTCCTCCCTACGTGGTCGTTGTTACTACCACGATTTTCCCCAATGGCGCGGTCGTCCCTACTGTTTCGAGTACTTTCGTCGGGTCCAATACTTCCTACAATGCAACTACCGTCTCTTTGCCTGCGGCTGGTATCTCAGCTGCGGATCTCTCTTCTCAAAGTGGGGATGCAGGTGCTAGAATGCGCGCCTTTGCTGCAGTACCGTTCTGGGGGGCGGGGATGTAGTTGTTATGGCGGGAATAGGGTCAGTCTTTTTGTTCTAACTCGGTCCATGACTATAACTGCAAAACATTATGCACTCGGCGGAGACTACGGTTAAACAGATGCTCCTCTGATTTGACTATACCTACTTCCTAGCCAATCATTCTCACGGAACACTGTTTTCTCACATCTTACGTTGTCAATAACCCAGTTAAATATCAATGTCAATGAAGGTAACGTCGTAATGAAGTTATGTTACATTGCAGAGGGTATGAGACTGGATGCACGAATTGACCTAGTACTGTACATATGATTGGGAAGTGAGGCCTCTACGAGATCGTAATCCTCTTTGGTGCCTGCTCCGGTGTCCTTTTGGGGAACGTCACTGTCAACACGCCGTTGTCGAATGACGCTTTGATATCCTCAGTCTGCAAATAGACATCGTAAGCGTTATCGCCAAAACACCTGAAGCCGTGCATAGTACATACCTTAACGCCCTGAGGGACAGAGATAGAACGAGAGAATTTGCCGGCTCTTCGCTCACGAACGACATAGCCTGCCTCATCGCGCTCAGTTGACTGCTTAGACTCCCCTGAGACGGTGAGGAGATTGTTGGTCACATCGAGGTTGATGTCTTCCTTCTTCACGCCTGGGAGTTCGAATATCCCAGTAACGATGTTTTGTTTCTCGTCCTCATGAACGTCCATCCTAACGGAAGGATGGTCAGCCTAAGTGTCGAGAAGCAGGTTAATGGATACGTACCTTGGCCTCAAGGTGGTAGGGAGCAGTCTCTGGAGTTGTTTGGGTTCATCGCTGCGAGCAGTGAACGCTTCATCGAAGAGACGGTCGAAGTCGGACAGCGAGTAGAACGGCTCGTAGACGTGGAAGTGTGCCATTTCGAGATTGTGGAACGGTGATTGTTTTGTTTGAAAATATGGCTTAAATGTGGTATGAAGGCAACTCACGACTCAACGGACCCCTTATTTTATACAACCGTCTTGCATCATACTAACTCCTATGACACTCGAGTGACCAAAGATATGATGCTAGCACTAGGCCATGCCACCTTCACAGACCATCGAGAATAGTCTCACTATGGCGCTTACATCCATTTTTGGCATCACTCCTATGGCGAGAACCTTCGAGTAGCCAATGGACTTGCCCAGAAGAAATAAGAAAGCGGGCGAACGGTCACTTGGCCTTCTGTATGCATGTTTGCAGCATTCCGTTGTGCGGTTGCGTAAGAAGTCACGCGCCTAAGGACGTCATGTCGAGGTCATAACTGGTCCTGAGCAATGTTATAAAGGTCGAGGGATCCCCTAACAGCAGCCAGTCAACACAGTCTTCGACTTCACAACGACACACCTTGACGTCTAGCCCTTAAATTCAAAATGACACTCTTGTTCAATGAGCCATTCTTCACTCTTGATGATTTCGATCAGCTCTTCGATGAGGCATTCTCTACCAGAGAGGAGGGCGGCGCAAGTAGAAACAAACAAGTTCAACGTCGTGGAACGCGTGCGCGAGAAACGCTCTTGAGACCAAGGTATGTTTCGGTGTGGTCAATCTAAGCTTCATGTACTTAACCCCTGATTGCCAGGCTTGACCTTCACGTCGACGACAAGTCGAATGCCGTTACGGCTATCTTTGAACTTCCTGGCCTCAAAAAGGAGGACGTTAATATTGAAGTGCTTAACGAGTTGCTCACCGTATCTGGAGAATCCAAGCAGGAGACCAGCCGTGAAGAGAGTGGATACTCCTTACGCGAGAGAACATATGGGAAGTTCTCTCGATCGCTGAGGCTTCCTAGGGGAGTCAAGGTATGTACAGCTGTGAAATCTCCGGCCCATACGAGTTCGTTGACGTGCATTGCAGGAAACTGAAGTGAAGGCGTCATTGGAGAATGGTGTCCTTACGGTGACTTTCCCGAGGACCTCAGCAGAAGAAGCTCCCAAGAAAATCAAGGTCGATTAAAGGACTTGGACTGGCTGTATCCCTGTAACATTATTAGAATCAATGCCGATTAGCCCATTCTACCGCACATGTTGTGAGTTTACATGAGTGGTGTAGTTTGTTGGCCAGTATGGAGGAATGCGCCTAGTATTATTTAAACTCAGCCTCGAGTTTGCCGACGTCGCGACCATGTAAACGCCTGCGAAGGTTAGTGCTGAACTTTTTCAAACGTTCACTGTTCTGTTCAAAGCTCCCAGTTCGTGGTTGCGGCCACCAACTGTCTTGAGAGTCCTGTCCTCCGTGGTGCGATTCCAGTATCCTATATCAGCCATGAATCAACGCACGACGTCTGGGACTAGATGCTTCGCCGCGTCTAAGTCGTCAAGTGACCCTGTCAACTTGGACATTGATCACTGCGGATGTTACACCACAGAGACTGCGATCTTGTCTAGTTTTCAATATAAGACGGAGTTGACGCATCTTCCTCGATAGTTCCGTATTAATCTGTCTTTCACCGCGAATAGTGAGTATACTGCCTCCTTCGAAGCCAATCTCATAGGACTACAACAGTTGGCGAACTGTAATGTTCCTCCTCACTATCGCAAGTCTGGTGACGGGCCTACTAACTTGGTTTGGTATCCAAAACTACGACGACTCTCATGTGTCCCTCGTGACGGACCGGAAGGTCATCACGGCTGAGCTATCTGCGTTCATCGAGGATGTCATACAGAAAAACAACATATCTGGACTCACCCTTGGTGCGGTTCATTCGAACGGACAAGTCGAACATTCTGCATGGGGCCGAAAAACGGAGGATGGTCTAGACATGACAACCGACGTGAGTTCCTTGAAATCTAACACTTTGTGCTCTCACCTTGTTTCAATGGCTTCGATAGACCTTGTTCAATCTCGCCTCCGTATCCAAGGCGTTCCTGTCTGCAACAGTTGGCATCTTGATCGACGATTTTGCCACCGGTCGAAATGTTACACCTTTGCCTGCTTCCATAAATCGTTTCGACTGGAACACGAAAGTCGCTGATCTCCTGCCTGATGATTGGCAACTCATGGATGAATGGGCTCATGCCAAAGCTAACGTGAGGGACATTCTGTCTCACGTATCAGGACTTCCGAGGCAGGTCTGAATGCGCTAAAGTGTTTCCGCATTTCTTGAATTGATTTGTATATGATTTTGCTTCTTGATAGACATGACTATTCCGTGAAGCGTACCGACTCTACTTTGGACATCATTCAACGGATGCGATATTTGAGGCCGGCGTTCGAGCTTAGACAACGTTGGTCATACAACAACTTGGTTGGCATTCTTTTCATCCCGCTTTCTGCCGTAGTCGATTCTTACGTCTGATGACATAGATGTACATGCTCGGTTCTCACCTTGTTTCAAAATATTCCGGTATGCCTTACACGGAATACATCAAGACGCGCATATTCGACCCACTCAACATGAAGTCGACCACGTTTTCAGAATCAGTAGCTTCTCGCGACGGGAAACTGACGCAAACGTGGACCAGGTTTGGTCGAAGAATACCGTTCTGGTTCTCCGATGACATGGTTGAATTAAACTCTGGACCTGGAGGCGTCATTTCGAGCGTAGTTGACATGGTAAGATCTTCACTTCTTCTCCCAGTTCATGATCTGACGGCGCCGAAAGACGCAATGGTTAAAGGCCCTCCTTCATGCCGGCGTCAACCCAGATACTAATGTCACCGTTATACCCAAGTCGGCTTTCGACGAAGTGACTACAGCCCATGCGATCGTCTCGGGGAAGGCATCTGTGCCCTACGTATCCCTCTCGGGTTATGGAATGGGCTGGTCTCGTCAGTCATATAAGGGACACGAGGTATATTTTCCAAAGCCCTATTGGGGGAAACATTCGAATTTACTCGTTATAGGTGATCTCGCACTCTGGCGGTATCCCCGGATTCTCGACTCTGGTTGTATTCTTACCCTCTGATGATCTCGGCCTTGTTGTGCTCGCCAATGCAGATCAAAAGGACAAACAGACTACGAAAATCGTGTACCGGGCCTTTGAAGATTTCCTGGGACTGGAGCGATCGCAACCAGAGGATGCACCTCCAAGACCTGAATCGTATGTCACTGTGCATCTCTTCTTCGTGTTCAGTAGGCTCATGTCTGCACAGATCTGCTCTGGTTACTCACGAGATTTCTAACGGCGAGCTAGAAGTATACGCCGGGACGTACTACAATGCAGGCTACGGCAGTGGCAACCTAACTCTCTGCGCTCCTACCTCACGCTCTTCACACTGCCAGCAAATCTTGCACGACTTCTCACATTTCACAAACGAGAGCTCGCCTCCTTCGCTCTATGCCGCTGTTCCCACTATCTGGTCATCGCACGCCCGTTTTCGATATGTCGGGAATGATACATTCAAACTCGTCATCACGTATCTTTTCCCTGAAGGGTATGGAAAGGACACATCACCGTTTGAAACGTACGAAAGCGGTGAGGCCGAGGGAACTGCGAGATTCGTTGTGAGCAACAAAGAGACGACTAGGACGAAATCTGTCGAGGGATTTGGCTTGTTCGATATGGTTGGAGAAGTGACGGAAAGACAGAGGAAGGGTGGAACTATTGAAGACACGGCGGAAGTTTGGTTTGAGAGGGTAGAATAAGTTGCTCGCCAGCAACTATGATTCACCCTCATTTGTAACAGTAAGTCATATGTTATAGTTACTCGACTGGGATGCGTAAAGTATATGACGCTCAGATCTATGTAGATTTCCGGGACGAAGATATTTTCTGGGTTCAAGTTTGACCGGCCGAGGATGTCATTGTCGTGATTATCTGTGTTTCTCCGATTTCCTTTCTATCGTCCCTTGACCGCCACTACGCACATTGATCGCTTGACGAATAGGTAAATCGCCCGGTACATTTTCAGGCTGTTGAGAGGAAGTTCAAGTATTCTCGGGTGCGTTAACACTCAGGCGCAGACGATAAGCCGCCACGATCTACTCTATCAGAGGAACGCTCTCTCATTCAGAGGTTACCGACTGACATTCAAGCAATCCAGATCATCGTTTGAAGCAAATTGCAACGTATCTATTGTCCGCATTGAATCGACGATTCGTAGTCTTTCCAAATGCGTACAATGTCTTCCCCCAAAAGCAACGCCTTGGAAGATGACGTAGGTGACATCATGACCTCAGGCCACAAGCCTCCTCTCCACTGGGCACAGGCACAAGCAGCTCTTCCGCCCCACCATAGGTCCACCCAGGACTTCAGATATGTATATAAGCGGTCCTTCAGCATTCCAGCAGATCCAGAACCTGATATCCGATACCCCCAGACCTCGATACCATTAATATCAAACAAATCCCACTGCAAGTCTCTCAAGCACTTTCACGACTACCATACCCACAATATGTCCGACAACAAATTCAACTTCGCCGGTACCAACCCCTTCGCTGTCCAACAACCTCCCGAGCACCACATTCATCGTGACTCCGAGCCTCTTCCAGGCGCAGGAGGTGTACCGGGTGCTGCACCAGACTACGATGCTACTCAAGCCGTCACCAACGAGTCGCGCGAATGGCAGCCGAATCATGAGAAGGGGTTCGGTGCTGGTAGCGAGACGGGGGCGGTAGTTGGTGGTGGTCAGCATAGTGCTGATCCTGATGACGCGCCGTTTAGAGAGCAGGGGCGGGATGCGTTCATTGAGGCGCGACCTCTTGACGTTAAACCCACCGAGCGAGGTAAGTATACATTATATTCATTCAGTGTCGATGTTACCAATGGCGTTCGTGAAGGCGGTGTTGCTATTGGTGGACAAGACGATTTACCGGAAGGTCATGCCAAGTTCGCGGATAAAGTGATCGGCAAGACTCAGAAGGTAATGCTTTTCTCGTTTATCCTCGCTGGACTTGCTTGCTCACAATACTACAACACAGGTTGCTGGCAAGGTAATGAATAAACCGGAACTTCACGAGAAGGGTGAGCTTCGCGAGGCTGGAGGCAAGGAAGCCGTCCTTGGCCAAGCGCAAGCTCCCCATGACTAGCTTTATTCACCCAAAGATATGCCGCCTAGTACCGTAGTGTACGTGTATTGTAGTCTCGTACGTTTTCCGTAGTTGTATCATTGAATGGACTACTCAGTGTATTACACAGAGTTGGCGATGCCATGAACTTCCTGCCTGACCCGGCGATATGTATCGTACGTCAACCGTTGATGAGGAGCCTCTCAGGACAGAAAATGCCCCCACTGCATACGGTATCTATGAACACCTTGACGCGGTACTTAAAATACATTCGGTACTGCAACGATCACAGGAACTACCGCACACTGGATTGGACGTCTGGTGGCGTGTTAACGTTGATTCTGAGGCAAGACGACCACCAGTCTGTTATCTCCAACGCTGTGAAGAAATAGGGCCGTTGGGGGCTAGGGGGAGGATCGGTCACCCATGTGCATGCACAGCGACAAAGAAGGAAAAGTTGACATTGGGGGAATGGTTGAATTGACGCAGACCATGCACAGGCGACGAGAGACGGTGCAAGGAGTGATCGGCGATCGGTCAGTTACTCGCCGGATTCCCATGAGCAACCCCGAGTTTGTCCTCTGCTTTCATGCACACCTTCCTCAGGTCCAACGGCGCTGCAGGGTTGTCCTTCTGAAGCTTCCCGGCCCATCCATGGCTCCCTGGCCACCATCTGATCTTCTTGAGAGCTTCCCTCTCCCTCTGTTCCCCCGGGCACGATCGAAAGAGAGAGGGCCTAGCTTGGGACAGTAACTGTCTCGCATTTGAGTGCTCTACATGGCTAGCTAGAGCGCGGTCTACTAGGGATGCTTTCGGATGGGGCTAGGTGAGTATCTTCTTCGTTTATACTGAGTATTCGAGGTATTACCGTTGACTAGGACTCGCAACTCTTCGAGTCACACTGCGTTCTTGTTTCTTTTCATGCAGATTGTACTGGCCTCTCGTCTATTGCGACGGCCCGGGCGCTGGTCTTCACAGTAAAATATCTGACGGCTCAACTTCTCGGAGGTCTTGCCTCCATACTTCAACTTTATTCGCTATCGACAGAGCCCTCGTGATGATACTCGTACAAGGGGTCTCCCACACTTCTTGGTGATTTAGACTCTACGATTCCCATCTTCAGCTTCTCCCTGTCTATCTCAGAAGACTTTTGTCTCATTTCTGTATTCCGTGTGTCCTACACCCATCCAATTCGGCCATCGAAGTGCTCGTCTGCAGCCATCCTATTGACCTATGCCTTAGCTTACGGGCAACACGAGTGACCCTGTAGGCGATGGAGACACGCGTTGCAGGGTTGGACCGATGGGGCTGAAACGGCGGGAAGGCGAGGGTTCGGATTTGACGATAGATGGGTTGTGAAGGATCTTAGGTTCCTGGTAAGTCAATGCACGGTCATTCTCGCCCTCACTCGCCCTCACTGCCTCTCCTTCTTGTCCCTGTTTTACGAATAGCTGTGTGTATTTGGGTTTACTGATACAGGTTAGGGCCACATGTTCTACGCAGGGATCCGATCGGCATGGGTATATGGGTTCGGGTATATGGGTTCGGGTATATGGGTTCGTCAGCGCCTCGACTGTACTTCTTTTGCATGAGGACGGGACACATTTTGTTAGGAGCTGGCTCTGACAGCAAGCACGTAGTATTTTGCCATGCTCTCCGGACTCCAGACTGGAGAGTAATGGATGGCGAATAAACAACATGTATTCCAATTGCTGTTGATCTCACCATCGAGGACTGTAGATATTACAACAATTGCCCGAAATATACCGCCATTGCCTTCAATCGCCTTCGTGCATCATGTATGCGCTTCTTCCGCGTCTTTGCCAACACTTCTCGCTCGCCACTCTGAAGACTGCCTTCCACACTCGACTGAACCCTAATACCATGCCTCTTTCATGTAATTGTTCCAGGGCTGTGAATGCACGGCAGTGCATGTGAGGCGTGTATATCGGCATCCTAGGGTTGTCAATCAGCTATATATGAAGAATGGGCGGGTGAATTGGCCCTGCATACCTTCCCCTTTCAACCACCCACTTATCCTCACTATTCTGAGTTGCCTTCACTGAAAGTGTGACCATGCGAAGCAGGAGACAACAGAGACTAAAAGAAAAAAAGAGAGTCAAGAGAATCAAGGCAAGAAAGAGAGTAGAGGGTAGAAAAGTCAAACAGCTTCCTTGGCTGCCCTTGGAGATACAATATGAAGTTATATACTGGGTCTATGCAGATCCTGATAGATTTTTGTTAACATTTGCAGGAGTGAGTTGAACATGTATTTCTGCCATTGAAAAAGACAAAGTTTTGACATGTTTTGTGTATATATAGCAAAGCACCTTAGCTGCATGTTGTCTCACTTGCCATGCATGGCATTCATATGCACTGCCCTTTCTCTACAGACATGTTGAACTGAATACTGGAATAACTCAACAAGCTAGCCAGCTATGGAAAACATATACATATCATCAAAAGACACACTCTGCATATTTGAAGTGCCTTGATATTCGATCTTCAAAGTTGCTGATTAGAATTGCTAATAGTGGCTGGTCTATACCACTATTTTCTATCAGATTTAATAATATCACCCATCTTTCTATGTCAGGTTTTGATCTTGCCTGGGTTCATGTTGACTTTTTCAGAGGCCTGGCTATTCTGCCAATACATACTTTGATTCTAGATGATATCACACTTTTAATTAAGCAGTTTCAAAGAGTGTTACATTCACATTCTAAATTGCAGCATCTGGCACTTGGAAATATCAACATATCTTCTAGAATTTCAAGCACTGCCACAACTAATATAGAAAAAAAGCAGTTCAGATCTAGCTTGAAATCACTGCAACTGATAGATCTAGATTTATCACTGTTGCAGTGGTTGTATGATAGAGACTATATTTCTAGTCTTGAACTTCTTCATATCAGGTCATATAATAATAATGAATTCAGAACTGAGCATGTATCAGCAATCAATCAAATTCTTTCAAGCTCTAGATTATCATTATCAAAATGCTTGCTTGAAAATGCTGAAGATGAGAATTGTATAATATCTTTATTTTCTAATTTAATTCTGACTACTTTGATAGCTATTGATTTTCAGCATAATTCATGCTTGCAATATCTAAGTCTATATGCAAAAAAAGAAAAGCTTCCATTTGTATTAGCATCTCTTTCATCTGTGCATTCAAAGATGCCAGTAACTGTAAATCTTGATGAGCCATCTAGTGATAAAGAAGACTGCCAATAGCTTGAGTTCAGCTTATTAGCTATGAATATAGCTAGTCTCAAACTTGTTAGCTTGTCTAGAGCAGATAAAGATGTCAACTGGTTTTAGCTATTTTCTAAGCTAGTAGAGAAAGGCATTTTGTGTATTGGAGATGAGTATTATAATATTTGGAAAATAGATAAAATAGATGAAGATTAGATTATATTTTATAATAAGATCAGATATAGTCTCATTTAGATATATAGATTACTTACAATAGTAATTTTATATGCATAGTTCTCTATAGAAATACTTCCATCTTATAAAGTAAGTGTAATTTTTACTTACAATTATTTTAGCTATACTTTCATATAAATACACATATATGAGACTATCTATTATTGTCATTTCTTATTCTCTCATCTTCATCTTTGTATAACACTAATCATACTATGAGTTGCATAAATTGTATGAGTATCATATATATAATAAAATAGATGGCTAAATTAGCTTCTTGATATATTGAATGAGCCAGCGACACTACAGTGAATATTTTTCCATATACTTTGTCATTATTTTGATTCAGTCACATTTATTTTCAGATAAGTAGAATAGAAATATATAGAAAAAGTGAGAAAGATAAGTGTGAGTGAGCAAACATATAGCATATGTAGACTACCTATAAGCCCTTTATATACTAAAATAGAGGTCAAAAATTTACTTACAATTTTATACTACAATTTTTATTCTCTAAGTTAGTAGATGACTAAGACTTCCTCACTCAGCTATCCTACAATGACATACTATAGTTTTACGACTGTAGCAGATGTCACAGGTCACTGAGACCAAATTGTCTGCTATTTACCCTATCTGTCACAGCTCACAAGGGGTCTGTCTGCCGTGTGACAGGATTTTCATGAATGCTCCATTTTTGCCATTTTTCTTTGCCTGCAGCGCAGAGTAGGGTGAAAGAAATATTTTATGTAGCTAGAATACATGCTAATCATCATAATGAGCCCAAACAGCATTATCATTGGCAAAACAGTAATGTGAGCATCGATAGTGGCCATTTTCGTTCAGCCAAAAGACAGATGCCAAAGTATCGAGAATGCCAAGCAGATGGTGTCACACCTCACACAAGGGCTGTCCGGCTGTTTCCAGGCTACACTTCATGTCACAAAAATTTTGCCGTCTGCTACAGTTGTAAAACTACAGTACTTCTCATAGATTCTCCTTAATAATAGATAGCCATGTAGAAGATCTCAGTACTTTAGATTCAAACTCTTACCATCATCAACTAATCTCAAAGATCATAATAAGATCAGTCAATGGCAGTAGGGCAAGAAGCCATAATCAAGTGCCCTCTAAAATATTACTTCACTTCTTGAGTCACTTATTTTTGTGGTGTCGTATTCTACATACCCACAAGACCAGTCAACATTGACTGCTTGATCAGTATGAAATCTAGGTGCCTTTGTTTTCATGGTTAAGAATAGTGCATGTCATGCAGACGAGTCGGACATTTGGCACATGACCTGAGAGGTACCTAATTCTCCTGAGCGTGCGCACAATTATCTTCGACACCCTCTAAACTTCGAAACCTTGCTCAACTCACATCGAGAACCAGCAAATACCGACAATCTGGATAAAGATGTTACAAGCGTGATATCAATCTCGTGAGGTGTTCAAGACACTCCCTTACGGTCTATTGGGTGCCAACAATTGAACAAACCGGTTAGTACACTGTACTCCATTTACTAAGGCGAAGTCTGAAAGATACCTATAGGAGGAGCTGGACTTCGGTCGACTAATTGATGCACCTGACGGTATGAAATTCGTACAATTCGGAAAGCGTCGTCGTGATCGAAGTTCCAGTAACGTTGGCCAATTTCCTCGTTACGTTTGTCTAGTTCTAATTCACCACCTTAAGAGTCTCCTCGACATGGAATGTATCAAGTACGGAGGGAAAGGTTCATATCCTGGAAATGTTCCATTACTCATATTTGACTTCCCGCAGAACCACTTGAACAAAACTTCCACGCGCCATTCATGACCGCAACACCGATAGGCAGTATCATGAAGATAGTGTTATTGTACAGTGTCCTCTCGATCGCACGCGTCTACAAATGTTGTTCGTCTGCGTAGGGGTGCTGAAACTCGTAACAACTTATTGCGCCGTGAGGCTGCCGGATTTCCATCTGCGAATCGGCGCAGTCGAGTGAGTGATATACCATGTTCATATCCGAAATTGAACTCACAGTTGATAGTAAGTAGCAATAAACGGGACGGAGAACCCTATTCCCGTAAACGCAAGGAACTTTGCCGTGAACGCAGCCTTCTTGTTCTTATCGTACGTGAAGGGCAGATGGGGCTAGTAGTAAGGCAGCTTAGTTCAATGCGAATACGGCAACAAGGTGGTGGATGAAACTTACACGGTGATGTTCTTCGTGTGCGAACCTGACCTGGCGAGGGGTTGATCGCATGACACCACTACGGCGCATCACAGCGAGGGAATTTCGTGAGAGGAAAGACATTATCGTCGGTTTGTTCTCGATGACAGTCTCAGGTCAGGTTGTATCGAAAGACAACAGTCGCCGTCGTAGGGTGTTGTTCGAATACAGGGGCCTGAGAGAGCCAACCCCTTAAGTATCAAACCTTACCCGGCATTACAAGGCCAGGTCGGCACCAGAACGACTTCAATATAAACCAGAAGACACGAGACCAAAGTGGCGAAGCCGAAAGTCACACAATGGAACGTAGCTGTGCGGGATTGTGTCTAGACTGGAACCAGGCTTGCCGTGGGCGGAGCGACTTGCGATAGTATCCAAACACATCAGTGGTTTCTTGACAACATATCTGACATTCTGCGACGTTTCTGACAGATATTCTCGTAGGAAGGAATTTCTGAGCGACACTGGGAGTCGAAAAACATCAAAATCCAAAGTACTGTTCAAAGTGGAATGGTCGCCGGCCATTCCCATCGCTCATGATCATAATCACTTCCCATAGTGAGTAGTGCCGTTCGATCATACTGTACTGTCAAGAGCACCTTACTTCGAACCTTTCAGGCTATAGACTTGCATGTACTAAGTACATCTGTATATCTGGTCCAAGACATCGCACTCATCGGGTAGATATACACGTCCGGATCGAGATGCCCCAAATGTTCGTGCAAAGTGCTCAGTCGTTTATCGGAATGCTCTCATGAGGTACGCGTTGTGTAGCTCTTCCCCCCGTTAAAGATTGTATCGCCATGGGCCAGGTGGCGGGAGTGGCTGCGAACTTTGAAAGCAACATGTTGGATACGTGATAAACATCCTTTGTTTCGATATAGGTCCTCCACACCGTGCGCTATGCTATGCACTATCTGCCAGGATCGTTGTGCCTTTCTGAATTCTCTCCGCATCCAGTAAGTATACTTCGTCTCGATATAATCTGGATACCCGAGTCGTTGACAGAGCAGAGGGCTACGACACGCCTTTTTCCTCTAATCCCATCCAATGACACCTTCTGGGAAGAGAACACCGTGGCTATCTGGCGTATATCTACCGTCCTTTCTCAAAGTCAATATCTCCTTGTCGCTCCTTGCCCCTATGACTCTGTGAGGTGTTCGAGCCTACTAGGCTAAAATACTGTGATGAATTTCATATAAAATGCTTAAGTATGGCTACCTGGCGCAATGGTAGCGCGTTTGGCTTCGATTGCCGACGGTACCAAAAGGTTGCAGGTTCGAGTCCTGCGGTGGTCACTGCTTTTTTCCTGTTTCGATGCAACCTTTCAATTCCAGAGTTCATACCATGCACGCCTCAGCGTAGGTGCCTGAGGCCCAGGGTGCGGATTCCGGCCATGCATGCATACAATCACACAATTGATGGTCTAATCTTCGCAAGTACAGTCGGCGGAAACTATTATTAGCTGTACGTAGAGTCTAGAATAGAGTGCATATAGTCCACGGAATTGATATAAAATCTCTAGAATATGGGTATAAAGTCAAGAACGGGGATATAGTAAGTAGCCACAGCTACGGCCACTGAAATAAAAAGAGGAGTGCATCCAACAATCGCCAGAACCAAGAGTCGAAGTCCAGGCAACAGACTAGCGGTCACCGCGGACGTGCGAAGTATATTGCTCGTTGGCAGGAATAGCGGAAGTAACAAAGCGTAGTCCAAATCCTCCGTTGGCGTTACGAACGTTATTCTCCTCGGCAAGCAAGATAGGATCAATCGGTGGCCACGCTTTCGCATTTGCAAGTTCCCCGTAGTCCCCTGCGTCGGTAGAATCGCCATCACTCAATACAGAGGAAGGTGAACGGGGAAGGGGTCGTTGGACTATCGGGCGTAGAGTATATGCGTCTCGACCATTTGCGGGTGAGCCTTCGGAGTACGATTTGCTGAGGGTTGGCATGCTAGGACCAGGACCTCGAGCGCGAGGGAAGGAAGCGTCATTTGAACTAGCCGTGCGGCGCATATAGTTTCGGTCGTGGGTTGCAGAAGCAGGATTGGGTAGTCCAACGAGATCAGAAAGCCAGGAAGAATAGCCGTGACTGTGATTAGCGACAGTAGACAAGGAAGTGCCGGCTTGAATTTGGAGGGGCTTGGAAGTTCCCAGGTGAGCGAGGTGAGGAAGAGTGGGCAGAGGCTGAGGAAACCGCGTTTGGATGCTAGATAATGGCACATCCTTGTTGACGGGAGGCTGCTTGTTCCACGCGATTCGTTTCTTCGATCCAGCTTTTGATCCAGATAGTGGTTGTGGTACTGTCCATTCGAGGGTCTCCGGGATGTCCATCGTCAGCAGTTCCGGGTTGTACAGCTCCGAGGATTGGGCTTCTTCATTCTTTCCCTTTGGTATTATGCCCCAGCAGCCAGCTTTCTTCAACGTGCAGGTAGGGCAGGCCTTCACGAATCTGGCTACGACTTCCTTTGGGATCCATGAGAAGTGTGCACGAACGGTAGCAGTGGTACGATCGCGTCCTCCGTGACCGCAGAGCTGGTGGCAGTAGCACAAAATGTCGTAGATCTGTGTTCTAACAGCCACCGGACGGTTCTCGTGCAAGATCACAGGTTTCACATCCTCGTCCGCTTTGTCGCCATCATCGATAGTAGCCAGCGTGAACATCTTCCTCACCCAATAGCGAAACTGCGAAGTTAAGTGAGAGCCGCGTGGGTCGTGTAGAACGTCCCAGATGTCGTCGAACATTTCCTGAGAAAGCAGAGCTTTGTCTCGCTTACGCACGCTGAGACTACTGATATATTCCTCTTCAAGGCGTTGACATACTGCGAGCGAAGGAAGTCCGCCATTCGGTAGAGGAGGTACGCTTGAGTCTTTCGCCGCGTTGTTCCACAACTGTGTTTGCTTGGAGCGAACAGGATCGTTTTCATCGTGATGTACCGCTGGTTCGTACGACACATTCTGAGTCTCCGACATTCTTGCCATGTAGAGCCACCAAGAGAGATACACCAAGGAGTAGATGCAAGAAGCTGAGGGAAGAGCGTTGAAACGTTGAAGCTTTGAATGCGTGATAACGTTGCTCAAGACGGGGAGTTGAACTTGGATAGCTAAACCTGGGATGATTAAGACTGACCGGGAGTCTGGTTGAATTAGACTCGCTTAGTCAGCTGCACGTTTCCCCAAGTCCGCCACCCAAATCCAGGCGCTGTAACCATCTTGCTCGTCGTCGTCGCCGACGACGAGGACATAAATAACGGCTGTGTGCCAGTCGGGCCCGCCTAACTGTAAGTAACGACGCAGCTCTCTGTGTTTGAACAGCTATCTTACGGCTTCCTCTTGCGTGTACTCCCGTTTCCAACCCAGCAGTCCTTATAGAATCTCCTGCGAGGTTCCAACAGCGATTGCCACCGCACTCACTATGGACTCTTTCCAATCCAACTTACAAGTACCAGAAATCTCTGCGGGTCCTTCACGATCGCAGACTCACAACAGGCCAGTGTCTGTACAGCCTACGACCAATTCAACTTCACCCTCTGCCTCTTCACGGAAACGAGCCTCTCATTCCGTCGTGACGGGGCAGCAAGAGCAAGAGCCACAGCCTACATACCGTGACGTGTACTCGCATCCCGCAGCACTCGAATATGCAGCAGCGCACCCAAGGAGAACGATCCCTAAGTTTGGTCCATATCTGCTTTTGCAGACCCTCGGAGAGGGTGAGTTCGGCAAGGTGAAACTCGGACTCCATATGCAGTGGGGGGAAGAGGTAGCGGTTAAATTAATAAGACGAGGCAACATCGACACGTCAGTGCGAATGTCAAAGGTCGAGCGCGAGATCGAAGTGCTGCGGGTATGTTCAACGCCCTTCGTTCGTCGTCTTGCAGCCAACAGCTCGTTTTTAGATGTTGAAACATCCCAATATTGTCCGACTGTACGACGTTATTGAGACGGACAAGTACATCGGTATCATTCTGGAGTATGCGTCTGGTGGGGAGCTGTTCGACCACATATTGGCGCACCGCTACCTGCGGGAGAAAGATGCATGCAAGCTCTTCTCACAGCTGCTGTCGGGAGTGTGGTACATCCATCAAAAGAAGATCGTTCATCGGGACCTGAAGCTCGAAAATCTGCTGCTTGACCGGAACCGCAATGTCATCATCACTGATTTTGGTTTCGCGAACCGATTTGAACATCGTGCAGACGATCTCATGCAGACGAGCTGCGGCTCGCCGTGCTACGCTGCTCCAGAGCTCGTTATCTCAGACGGCCTTTACGTCGGCTCCGCAGTCGACATCTGGTCGTGCGGTGTCATCCTGTATGCGATGTTGGCGGGTTATCTTCCGTTTGATGATGACCCCGCCAATCCAGATGGTGACAACATAAATCTTCTTTACAAGTACATTGTCAACACTCCTCTTTCCTTCCCCGAGTACATCTCTGCTGACGCTCGCGAACTGCTTTCGCTGATGTTGGTTCCCGACCCACAAACCCGCGCCGATCTACCAACTATCATGGCTCACCGCTGGCTAGCACCATATGCTCATATATTTACCAAGAGCGTGGAAGATGTGGAACGTACTGCTATGGAGCAGCACCACCAGAAACGTCTCGCGTACCAGAGGCAGATGAGGCAAAATGCCGACCAGTCCGTCAGCAGGGTCTCGCGAAGGACCGAAACTTACTCCAGCGGTGTCTCTCCCGTCTCCCCCAGGAGTCATCGTCATGCTCAACCTGAATACCTCTATGAGACGTCGGCTGAGCACTCTGCATATTCAGCCACTAATTCCTCGCGCAGAGGCGTCGCGTCAGCTATTGTGATGCCAACAGCGCCTCCCGTTACATTGGACGATGATCCCTTTGCGCCTACGCCTACTCAAGAGGTCGCAGTGCCTATGGTTTCGTCGCCTCCCAATGATCTTGGTATGGTCACTGAGGTGTCTCGCGACGGGAAGTCCGAGAGGAATGGCATTAAACCTGCCATCCAGCCTGTCAAGACTTCTCCGGACCATAAACGGCAGAAGGATGGCTTCCGGCACACTATCCAGGTTGAGGTGCCAGAAGCCGATAGTCAACCACAGTCATCAGGTGCTACTCCCACTCAGAATGGTACTCCAAAGAGAACTCCTTCAACTCGCACGCCGGAGCGCAATGGTGTTACGCCTACTCCGGAACGCAAAAGCTCAATCTCTGCCAAGCCGCTGCCCTCTACACCATCTGTCGGTCGCAAACGTTCCCATGAAGATGTCTCTACCACGAAATTGCTCGCGTATTCCCCACCGGCACCGGAGGCTCCAGCACCAGTCGTTTCAATCGAAGTCACAAGCCCGCCTGCCACCCCTGCTGCAGTGGACGACAAGCCTTCCGGTCACGAACAAACGGCATCTGGTTCAATCGGTTCCGGATCCTCCAGAAGGAGCACTCGTCATCGCAAGGGCTTGTCAATCGACAAGATCAACATCACGAAGATCTTTAGTAACGGAAACAACGAATCGCAGACGAATGGAAAAGTTGACCGTGCACCTTCTCAGCGATCGAACTCTGGTCGGAACCAATCCAACGACACTATCACTACTGCCACCGCCAAAGATGGCACAATTGGCAGACGTCCGACTACTTTGCAAGTCCCTCCATCGTCTGCTGGCGCTGCTATTGCTGTCTCCAACATGGAAACTCCTGCCAAGTCAGGCGCTCTCGCACCTCCTGAGAGCAGCAAGAAGAGCAGGCGGAACACTTTGACAGTCATGGTCGAGCCCTTCAGGAAGCAATTGACCCGTGGCAGCAAGACCGTGGAGACTCCTGTTAAAGAGCATCCTCATCATCTGGAGAAGGAGCATACTGTGGAAGCGGACAGAGAGAAGGAAACCGCCGTTCATACCAAGGATATGTTACCTCCCACTACACCTACCTTTGCCAAGACTCGACCGACTATCGGGCGACGCAGCGCTGTACCTGCGTCTACGGCCAAGGCCAGCGGTGTGATGAACTGGTTCAGGTCAAAGAGCAAGGGCAGACCTATTGTCGACGAACCTGTCGAGAAACCTCTCCCGGTACCTCAACCCGATTCCAGTCAGACTCAGCTCACGGGTGCTGCGTCATCATCCAGCAGTGTCAACAATGCTGCATCACTCATTACGCCGACGTCAGAGAATCGTCGGTCTCCTATGTTCTCTGGTCATCCTCAGCGATCCGCATCTGCGTCTGCACATGCCGAGACGTCCTTCAGTCTTACGGACCGTGTACTCGGCAAGCGCGCACTTCCCAAGGGTGTTATCGGTCGCCACCACGGTCCTGTCGATCCTACTACGATCACTAGTGGTTCACCACCTGAGGTCATGAAGCATGTTATAGCCGTATTGGAGAGCATGGGCATGGAAGTATCCATTGAAACTGACTTCAAGTATCGGTGCGTCAGGCCGAAACGGAAGAGAACTGCTACTGGTCTTGGGTTGAAGGAAGGCGGAAGTAGTCTGGCTGCCTTCAGCTTGATGGGATCTGCAGCATCCAATGGGGTGAGTATGTCTGCAACGGGTGACTTTCTCGTGCTAAGTGATTCCGTTCTCCAGGTCGACAGGCGTGGTTTGCCCGCACCTTCCCAGTCGTTCGGTGGTGGAGGTATGCTTAGAGGCCTTCTCATGCGTCGACAATCTTCCCAGGCTGGGCCTGCTACCTCACCTGCAATTGAGAATGATCCTGAAGCCGTGCTCGCCGCTGCTGTCCCTGGAGATGGCAAGGAGATTCTTTATGGCGACTCTCAACAAGACCAAGGAGATGAAGTCCGGTTCTCTGTGGAGCTGACCCGGTTAGATCGCTTGGATGATACCTACAGTCTTGATATCCGAAGGTTGAAGGGTAACTTGAGGAGCTACAAGTTCCTATACGACACACTTAGAGAGTACGTTTCCAACTGCGACGGCCTCGATGACTTCAAGATGCTGACGATTTTGGTTTCTAGACGCGCCGATCTCCAACGGTAGATTGCTGCTTCAACTTGTGTCCTCGACCTATTTTCACCGTTTCTTCCTTAATTACATTGTTCTCATATCATCGCTCTCCATCCAGTCTCGTCGCTCACTATTATACCATCCGCATCTGTTTGTTCGGATACGGGACTCGGTTGTAATTATTTGGTTGGTTCCTATATCCCCTCACTTGTTTCCAACATGCGGTCCCATCTTCTATTTTGTCTTTAGTACTATAGTTCATGTTCATTCGCTCATTCCTCTAAAAATCGTTCTATTTGGACAGTCTAGCATCTCGCTTTCGCTTCACATCTGGAGGGTTCTACAAGTTCCTGGTTCTTGAGGAAAGAGTGCATCATAAATTTCATGTCTCACGTATTCCATCCACATTAACTCGCATTTCAATACATCTTGTTTCTTATACCGTACATTCAGCAGTCTGCGGATCTCTACATGTTATAGTAACATCCAATGAGACCGCTTTTTATCTTCCAGTTTCCTGAACTGAGACTTTAAACGTGCAGTTCAGCTTTGCTGCCCTTCTGAAGTGTAGCCTGGAGCTCTTCGTCGGTCAAGGCGGGTCGCACCCAATCCTTGAGGAACTTGTCGACCTGTTCGGGTGCGCGACCATAGAATGTCTTGGGATCCAATAGCTGCTCGATTTGGTCCTTGATGGGGTCGAAGTAGGGGTCTTTCTTAACCCGCTCAATGAGATCGTTCTCCAGACCAAGCTGTTTGACTTGATAGGCAGCCTCATGCGAGAGAACCTAGGGGGACAAATCGATCAATACTTCGAATATTTGACTCGCGGCAGAACGAAAGAAGTGAGACGTACTCGGATCTTTTCATGTGCTTCCTGTCTGTCGCCACCGTTCTTGACAATAGCCATGATCAGGTTCTCAGTGGCCATGAAGGGAAGCTCTTGTGAAAGTCGACGGGCGATAACCTTAGGATAGACAACGAGACCCTCAGAAACGTTTTGAAGAGTGGTTAGGACAATATCGGCCGTGAGGAAAGCTTCGGGAATGGTGATTCGGCGGTTCGCACTATGAAATTGGGATGAGCATGCCGCGCTGGGTAACTGCTATGTGGGACAAGAGACGGACCTGTCATCGAGGGTCCGCTCGAACCATTGGATACTAGCGGTCATGAGCGCGTTCTGCTGCAAGGTCATTAGATGCCTGGCCAAGCTGCAGATGCGTTCTGAACGCATGGGGTTACGCTTGTACGCCATCGCAGAAGAGCCAATCTGAGTTGACTCAAAGGGCTCCTCTACTTCCTAGATTACAATTATGTCAGTGGATCCACAATGGGAATACGAAGAGCTAAAACGTGTTTACCTTGAGGTTGGCCAGGAGTCGCAAGTCAGTGGCAATCTTGTGAGCGGTCGCTCCAAAGCTAGAGAGAGGTGACAGGGTGTCGATGTCGATCTTCCTTGAGTATGTCTGGGAAGTGACAGGGTAGGCGTAACTAAAGCCAGACAGAGAGGTCACGAGTCTGTCTAGTTCCTCCACCTAAAGATAATGCTAAGTCAGCATGTGTATCTAATACCCAAGGAAGGCGTGGTCTGCCGTTTGCCTTTTCATGATCGCCGTCGAACAACGCGAGGAAACTCGCTTGAGTGCCAGTAGTTCCTTTGACACCACGGAAACCAAGGTCGGACCTTGCACGTTGGAGGTTTCGCAAATCCCACAGGAGTTCCTACCACATCAACATTTCAGCATGAGCATAAGACGAAAGGTTGTTACAGATAAACCTGGATCCAGAGCGTCGCGCGCTTGCCAACAGTGGTCACTTGGGCCGGTTGGAAGTGAGTAAATCCGAGAGTAGGCAGGTCGCGGTATTGTGCAGCGAAGCTCGAGAAACGGTCGATGACTACGGCAAGCTTACGAATGAGGAGAGTCAACCCTTCCCGCATGAAGATTAGATCCGCATTGCTATGATGACTTGAGCACGGAGGGGACTCTAAGCGAGACATACAACTTACTCAGTGACATAGCAAGATGTGGCTCCCAAGCTACAGTGCCACGAAGGTTAGCACGATATAGGATAAATAGCGCACACAGCGACATACTGAATGATACCAGCGGCGGCTGGTGCAACCTGTCCAAAAGTGTGAACATGTGCCATCACGTCATGACGCCGCTTCTTCTCTTCCTCTGCTGCGATCTCAAATTGTTTCGCATCCAGGTTCTGACAGAATGAACCAGGTCATTCAATACAATGCTCATTCAGACATCGTGAACGCATACGAGGTTCGCCTTCATCTGCTCAACCGCTTCATCAGAGATGTTCAAGCCAAGCTGCTTCTCCGCAACGGCTAGATTGAGCCAAAGCTGCCGCCATGTGGAAAAGCGTCTCTATAGTGATGACAGGTAAATTCATCAATGGTATTCTGCAATCCTACTGGGGGCGTACCGCAGGCGAGAAAAGTTGAGCCATTTCTTTGCTTGCATAGCGGCTTCACAAATGTTTCAGAGCATATTACCTCTCCAGGATGAAGAGCACGATACCTCGAAAGAGGCGTCTGATATGTTTCGAAGTTCTCCATTTTTGAGAATGACTCCTGTCACGAAGGAGGAGTTCAAGAGCCAAAGGTGTTTCCTACCCGAATCACAAAAATGTGACGGAGATATGGTGTTTATCTCCGTTATTTACACGTATTTACCTATACTCGCAATTGACCCATTTTGGACATGCAATTGTTCGATGTTAGTTTCAACGAGTACCACAGCTACAGTACAGTATGTCATCGTCGGTGTGCTGCTTTTTTATCTTGACAGGATGTTTGGTCTCACGAAACAGACCTTTTAAAGATTCAGTGGAATTATAAGTTGGAAAGACTGCGGGTGAGTAGCATAGTTCTAGTAGTCTACCGCTGTCTTTTAAACTGGAGCGGGCAGACACTCGGATCGCACATTTCTACTTGCTGTTATCTTCCTGGAGTGCATCTGGTGGGGGAAGTGTCGGCGATAAGATATGACCGAGCGGAATGCCAACGGTTAGAAGGCTCCAATCGCCGTCGAATCGGACTCTTCGTTCTTCCAACCTAAAAAGAACCAAGGAGCTAAGTAATGATCTGGCCATGTGAATCCTTTATCATGTACTAGAGGGACTTACTCAACATTCTTCTCGTGATCTATGTCGAACATTATTGTGGGCAACTCTAGACCAGTATCACTGATATCAAGCCTATAAAATGTCAACGTCATCATTCGTGCAGTAGTAGGCTAGAATGTAACTCTCGAACCTTATCGGGTTTCCGTTTGTGACATAGATCATTATGGAAACGAGCATAACCACAAGAAGGTAGAAGTGCATGTAGATGATGTACAAATGTTTTGTGTCGAAGGGAATCGAATAGAAAACCGAGTCAGGATTTCTTGCAAGTGTCAAAAAGGTGGTAGCCCCAAGATTGACTGATGTTAATGGCTATCCAGCAATAACAGCATCAATATGTGATACCACGTTGTCGAACAGATGTAATACTCACTATCCAGCACCGTCAGATACGTATGGAATGAACTTGGATTCGAGTCTACGAAAACCAAGTCCCGCGAGTTTCGAAGATTATCAACACACCTTTATACATTGACTCCAGGAACAAACACTTAATCTCGTATAAAATTTCGTGAGAGATCATGCCGCAAGCACCAGGCCGCAGCAGTATATTCACACCAATAAAATGACAACCTGTGTCTCCAATCACTTTGTAATTGATATTGGCACTGTCATAGTACTGCATTCCTTCAGGTAGCTTTTGTGGCATCGAGCATTGAACGAAAAATACCAATACCGGAAGAAAACCTAGATGGCCGTCAATTTTCTGGTTCCTCACTTCTTCCATTGTCATCTGCCGTAGGGTCATCGGTAACTATGGGTGAGATGAAATCTCCAAACGTTCCGGTTTCGCCACCATGAAGTCTTTCCCATAAAGCGTAGTCTGGGTATGACCAGTCTCCTGAGAATCTAACGACGTAAAGGGTTTTATTAGTTGACTGGAATTGAGAGCTCGACAAAGAAATAATATCGGACCTTGATGCTATTCGTCCAGGCACACGCTGAAACGTCAGAGTGGAGAGCCTATCCGCTAAGGAAGACATCAGATCGTCTGTTTTACGAGTCGGTTTCTCAGAACTGCGAAGTAATGTTATTTAGTGATATTGACAGCCATATAACGAAAACAAATCCTCTTACCTGAATGGATACCCCAAGACGAGACTTGTCGCAAGAAGTAGGTGGAAGACTATCGAAAGGATACAACGCATGATGACGAATTCGGACTTGAAGCTTCTCAATGATAACAAAAGGAAGTTGGATGAAGAGGCTGGAGAGATGATCGATTGGCGACATTTATGGAACGAGCTAAAATTGTAACGTACCGGCCTGCACCTTGGAATCCAGGGAGAAGATATAGCGGAAAAACCTTCTGGAGAACAACGCCTCACCTTCGAGTAGTACATATAGGCTACGCAATAGACGAGCATGCTTATTTGTTGGGGAAACAGGTGAGATGGCGTCGGCGTGTCGGTGGGGCGTGTATCAATGTCGTGATGAGTTTGTTTGTGGTGTCCATCGCAAATATGGGAATATGATTCAAACGAACGCCAGCGTAACGGGTCTGTCAAAAGTGACATATACCTGTTGTCGGGAGCGCCACTATCTCATACTTAGTATGTAGATTTATCGACCTTACGTGTTTCAAGTCGACGTTTCTTCGATGTCGAGTTGTAAAACGAGCTGTCACATTACTCGAGTAGACATGAGTGGTTAGACATAAAAGGCTTTTCGCTGACCTTTCCATTAAACCGAGTCAACACCATGCTAAACACCACGACAACATTCGCAACGCCATGCAACACTAAGATTTTCGCCGTCAGCCCCGCATCCAAGCAAAGTGGTTCGTTTGCCAAAAACGGGATAGTACTTACATGTACGTCTGTTGCCTCTGGAGGATAAACCCCAAAGTGAATCTCCTTTCTGAGGCATAGTCACCCACACTCGAGTTTTTTTTCATCGACGAGGGATGCCACATCCTCTTTAAGCGACACGTATCACTTTATATTGAACATAAACCTGGAGGAATCGGGATGTCGGCCTAGAAACATTCGTTTCAGTCCGAACCATCTAAGTCACTTTAGTCAGGATCGTTTGCAAATGAATCATGTGCGCAACGCAAATCATCATCCCGCAAGGTCCTGGCCGAACAGTCAACTGTTCTACGACCTTTCCCCGCGATTATGGTCGCAAGAGGCATGGCATGGCATTGCCTGTCAATACTGAAGTATTTGTGTAGACATCCAACGAGAATGAAGGACGTACTAGTCTAGCTTCCTCAGTAGCTCTAACAGGTTCAGCGAATATTCGTGTACATTGTCACCTGCGAGTCGAACTCGACGGTCACAATTTCGTGCCAAGTATAAAGCAAAGAGAGCGGTGAGATTTTGTAGGAAATCACCAAGAAATCACAAACAGTTGTTGAACGTTTATATTGACTCTCTAGACCCAGTGTGCGCAACGTTCAAAAGGCTCAAAACACTCAAGTCTCTAGGTTGGCGGAATATGCCGAAAATATAAGAATAGACCAGAAAGGATAGGACGGGCTGTTGGTCATAGGAAAAACCAGTTATATATACGGACTCAAGAGGCACATAGAGAGTACAGTGAAAAAGCTGTAGAGTAAGGGACTTCAGCACCAAATGCGATCCAAATGTGAATCCGAATTCGGCTCATAGACCGGCGACTTCACCATCTGCATCTCATAGATTGGGGGCTTCGAACGCTCCAGGGCCACTATGGCCATGAACGTTCGTAAAATCACCTTGACCAATGTTTGCAGGTCCTTTGAATCTGGCGATACTACTGTTTGAGCTCATATAATGTTCTGCTGCAATGCACACACCTTCGAACGTTTTCAGGCAATGTCCGTAATGACAAGCCCCGAGTCGACAACTCCGGGGGTCGCTGGAACTCAGTTAGAGCCTCGAGGACACTGGCAAGGTCCCGTACTTGAGGTGGACGTTGGAAGCTAATGCCCGATAAATCTACACTCGATATATTTGAACTCCCCCGGAACCTCGGGTGACTGCGATTACATATTTTCAAACTTAGCATATCATGCATGCATACCAGTCACAAATAAACAACTCACACGACGGGTGCTGCTACTATGAGCTGAATCATTCCTAGGAGCCCGACAATGGCAAAAATATGCGAAAGCATTTTGGTATCGAAGTGGAGAGAAGGAGTGACTCGAAGTGTAAGATAGCTAAAGGGTATTGATGAGCGACGTCTTTGGGGAGAGACACTATTGACTCACCGGCCTGCGCTTGTAAGAGAGGTAGAGGATCTGAGAGGTTCGACCTGGAGGAGACTTGAGCCATTCGGCCGTTATATCATCTCGAGCTACTATCTGATTTTCCGGACAGAACTCTAACAGCGTATATTGAACAGCCGAGCACTTGTTCATCGAGAATGCATCATTGTTGTGCGATCGAAGGGGTTACGCCGGGAAAGATCTGCTGCCGACGTCGTACTTGGTGATGATCTGTGCCAAGAATACATATCGCTTTGCCAACCCGACGGTCAACTCGGAAAAAATGACACCCATCTTTCAATGTTGGTTCAATGGGATCTGCATCCTGTAATACTAGGTTCAGGTGTTCTTCGATGAAGATCCCAGCAGTCAAGCGTGCGAAGTTCATACACAATTGGTCATCGAGGCGCAGTCCCAAGAAACGAAGGTGCATCAAAGATGTCTAGATGCGATCCATAAACACAAGACCTATTAGGCTGTGATGTATCGTTGAAACCAAATCTAAGGGGGGACAGGGTTTGAGGCGCTGTTAGACAGTTGGGAGTTAGGCAAATATCTGCGAGAACCCGGTGGCCATACGCACGAGATGGGAACATTGATACAGCTGTCGCCGGGGATTATGATCATAGCGGAGCGCATTGCAGGGGTCATTTTCTCGGCCATGTTGAATGTTCACAATCTTCAAAGTAGCTAAGGGTATCTTTGACGCAGAACGAAGTAGATACACGAGCTAACATTTCTTGAAGATAAAACTGTCAGCTTTGGTCCCTCTTCGATTCCGTAACCAATATTCCGTTACGACCCAAGTCGGCTGGTATAGACTGGAAAGGATGGATGTGATAAAAGTCGTCCGGGAAACTTAGGCCTGAATTGATAAATCTAGCAGACATCAATTGAGACATGTTGCAATTCCACGAGTAAAATGCATACCTCGCAATCTGGGCAGGGTGGTTCTGGGCCGACAAAACAGAAAACTCATCGGCAATATCATATACATTCTTAGTGACGTGGCTATCAGATTCGTCTATTTGGTCAGCTCAGTCCAGTAATGATAAAGTCGATGAAACAAACCTGACCAAAAGCCGAAAACAGATGTAGCTACAAGCAAGGAGAAAACAGGAACCAACTTGTGGTACATGGTCGGTCCTGGCAGTATAGCAACGCTACGACCAGAGAAAGTATCAAGGTGAAAGAATGAATTCAAGCGCATATCGTAAGTCATGTCTATGGCGAAGACGGCACAATAAATCATACCTCACCGACAGGCGCCTGATTCGACTTAATGTATCGTGAAGTATGAATTTGAACCCTGACAGATTCCGTGCAGTCATTTTTCTAATTCATAGCGGACGGAGGCGGCGAGAGAAGGATAACCATCCTTAACTAAAAAGAGCCTGGTCCCTGGTGAAACACGGATTCAACACTACGTGAGAGTCGCGGAATAACAGATAGGTTTGTGAATGGCGGGTGAAGCCAGAGTCCACGATGATCTAGAGCTCCGCTGCAGCTTGTCGCCTGAGGACAGCAGTATCCCGAAACATCAATACAACGCCCCTTTTAAGGAGGTTTGGATAGTGTCGCCGCTCAAAGTATGGAGGCCAATGCAGCCCGGTTCGCAGCTTAGGCCAGTATTCGAAGGTAGCCACCGCAGAGATAGAGTCGCAACAGCTCGATGCGTATAACTCAAATGACGGTAGGGGAAACCATGGTAGCAGTGGTGTATCGATGGGACGCACCAGCCCAAAGCGCAATTTGAGTTCTGACGAGCTTAAGATCATCTGAAACTCAAGCTCAAGCTAGCGAGGATGAGAAAGATATGAGGCAATTGAACATGTCCTAAGCTGATTCAAAGACGAGTTCCTCTGGTGACGGGTGCTGGCGAAGAGTTGGAAGTACAGTCTGAGCGCCTGGCGCCTATTAAATTGTCGGAAAAATATAAAATAGATCAGAAGGGGTTATAACCCCCACTCTCTGGTTAACTTGGGTTATAATGGCATCACAAGTCAAAATGTTACTTAAAACAGGTTACAATGACCGTTACAAGAGCTTATAATGAGCTTATAAGCCGTTGTAATGCTGTTCCGGACTCTCCGGTTATAAGGGATTTAAATATTTTTCCGACAATTAACCCACTCAAACCAGAACGTTCATCATGGATCATGTCTCAGCCGCTGCCACCGCGATCCCAAATCGCGACCCAATTACCCAATGTCATTAGCGCATATGATGTTTGCTTGCAGTTCGAGAAGTTCGCCTCGACTCAACAAGACCCTCGATTCATCATTTCTGCTCGTGTGTTGGGCTATCTACTCCTCCATGCACCTTCAGATCGGGCACTGGCGGAGGTTGTAGCTACAATCCACTCCTGCAGCCAAGACCACAGTACTCTCTATGCATTGGGAGAGGCCTTTGTTACTTGGTTCATACGTGCATGTGAGTACGTTGCTTCACCCGCATGGGCTCGAGTTCATTCACCACCAGTTAGGAAATATAAAGGGAGGACCCCCCCTCAGCTCCGAGCACCCCAGTCGCCCATCCTTTGATAGAGGCCGATTCTTGCTGAAGGTTTCGATTCAAGAGGCACCAAAAGATCATAGCACCGCAAAGGCACAAGTTATGTTCACGAGTATTTCTGTATTCGGTTTGACATTCTGATGCATCAATCTCTGTAGGCCCTCCTACGCGATGGTTACAGATGTCTTGTTTCGGGAAAGTACGACGCATTGGCCAGAGAAGCACTCGAACTTCCTTTGGAAGAGATCCTCAACTTTGGCCCTGCCGTTTTCACGGAATGCGCTCATATTGTTCCCGCCTCCACGTATTTTAACGTTAATACTGGCAACTCGAGTAAAGATCCCAATAAAGTAAGACACCCACATAACATTGGGCACAAGTTGTTCGCTGATCTGATCAATTTTAGAAAGATTACGCAGCATCAGTTTTAGCTGTCCTAAAGCATTTCGGCTACGACGTTGACAAGTTAAATGGTGCCAGCGTACACTCGTTATTCAACATGATGACCCTAGCGCACGATACGCACGATTTGTTTGATCAATTGAGACTGTGGTTGGAAGCAACAGTGAGTGCTTCGTAGCGCGGGGACTCGTTTATCTTCACTAATAGCTTTACCAGGATACTCCGAATTGCTATCGTGTTCAAGTGGTCGATCCAATGTTTATTATTCCAGGGAGACAGCTAGTGACATTTAGTACACATGATACAGAGCACCTTCCACTTCCTTCTGCGGACCTCCTAGCATTGCATGCGGCCTGTGCAAAAGTTGCCCATCTTTCGGGTGCGGCTGAATACCTCGACGAGTTGGATCGTCATCTGGAGACATCGAAAGTATTGGCGTTTGATGGAGGCTCAGCCGAAGTTTTGCACTTTGCGATTACACGCCTCGCGGGAGAAGGAATGGACGTTGGGGCGTAATATTTTCATTTCTTGGCTTTAGTACGGTGTCTTTCGAACCGCATTGACAGGCAGAGAAGTTGACTTCGGCCCGTGACCCTCACGATAAAACCCTAGACTTTTCAGCTCCTCGACATCGGAAGGTGAGAGGATTCCCGAGAACCTTGGACTATAGACAAGCAGTTAGACTTGTCTGTGTGCGCATAGTTGAATGGACAACCAACATGACGGGATTTCCAGAGACCAAGCACACCGTAGACAACAGAACGGCGAATGAAACTACTGACATGCGCATTGTAAAAATAGGGCGATGGTCCAAACAAGGATGGATAGAGAATGTAGCTGTAATACGAACATCAGTCAATATCTCTGAGAGCACACTAACGCATGGTGACCCACCGTCCTGCGCGAGTGAATCTGAAATATGAAAAGGAATGTTCACTGTAGGCATTTCCCCCCTGACATGCTTGTCTTATACCCGACAAAAATGCCCGATAATCAGCCAACCTGTGACAACAAGCGCTAGTGAAAGCTTTTCATCGCGAACGACGACGATATCATCATCATCATCATGGTCATCATCATCAATGTGACTCGGAAGATGGTCAGCGGATCTACAATGTCAGGGCTTCTTGATTACCAGTATGGCTCTAGGCCTGCTGGTTGCTTCACCGGGGCTTGAGAATAGAGTCGGTAATGTGCCGCCAGCCGAAAAATGGATGACAACAACAGATATATCATTCACAGCTCTCAGGGAAAGGAGATGTCGACACTGGTAATAACTCACTAAAGTCCGAACGCTGCTATGTATCCATATCACAATGTTGAACAACGTCGCCGTACGCCCGTTGCAGGGAAGGTCGATGATCAAGAAGAGGACAGCAGCAAACAGCCACCCTGGCGATACAAGCTTATACATATTCAACAGGATCAAACAGCCAACATGTAAGTTTGAATTTACTCACTATGGGTTAAGTTTTGCCGCTGCTGTACACAGGATCGACTAGAGATCCTGACGAGAAAGAGCTCGACTTCCTATCAAGATGCACATCGAACCAGTTATGCGCATGTTGTCGGACGTCCAAATTCGACGAAGATGGTGTAGTCTACGACTCTACATGACTCCGAGTTTCCGCCCCGGAACCTGTTTAGGGAGCGGTCAACTTAATGTAAGCATGCAGAGCAGGGATATCGCACACCTGGCGTTGATTTCCTGGACTGTCGTAAGTACAGTGCAACCACGCGTTGCTCAGGAAGTCCTGTCAATTGATATTTCGATGATTGAGCTGTGCCTACCGTTCAGATGATTCAACGGTCATGATTTTGGTTCGTTAAGCACTGCCTCCCTAGTCCAAGAAACAAAGCGGCTTTGAAAGCAACAGATGTTTACAGCCATTACCCTACAAATAACCCGTCCGATGTATGTGACCAAAAAAGGAAAACAAATACAGCAATAGATACTTCCCGGCTGTCCCAACTCCACGCCGCGATCTATTCGCTCAATCCGTAGAAGCAGCCAAATAGCCCTATACATGGTGTCAGCGACATATATTTGTGCATGAGGAACGGCATACCTCTCTCTCAGAAAGAAACTCTAGATAAGTCAAAGCACAGGCAATGTAGAAGCTCGGTTCGACCCCGAGCGACCTTGCAAGAGCGGTGTCTAGTTCGATGACACCGGTGATTGACCTAGCAGTCCATACAGGCGTTTGGTCGTGAAACGATAACACTGGAACTGGCGTCGTAATAGGCGCATGAGCGTTCTCCGGCGAATTTGTCGGAAGCGGAGGGGGCATGGGTGAGATGGTGAAGGAATACGACTGCGTAGGAGCATGGCTTTTTATTGTGGACACTAATCGGGTGAAGAAGGATGTCTTCTGAGCATGTGCGGGTACGTGTGGAGTGCTGTGAGGTGTGATAAGGAAATGCGTAATACTTCCTGTGACGAACTGAGATGTAGGTCGTGGTCGTGGGAACGATACCGAGGGCGAGGGCGAGGGAAGCTGTTGCAGTCTAGCTTCGATGGCTTGAAGGGAGATGGGTCGAATTGTAGGCGAAGTAACGGATGGTGTTGGGGGGTAGGAATGTTGCTCCTTTTGAGCGTCACGTTCCGTCAATGTAGCGTCAGAATCCACTGATTGCTTCGAACTCGAAGCGGACGCGTTGGTTCCGACGCTATGCGATGAGGGTGAGCCGGTACGACATGCAAAGGTCAGAGCGGAATCTGTGTAGTAAGGCGAAGATTGTGGAAGGCCCGATAGAGGAATGAATACACCTGGCGGGAAGGATGGTGCACGAAGTCGAATATACCAGCCACGATCAGGGCGGTGAATTGTCCAGAGAAGCGTTGAGGATGCATTATCCTAGATTACATTATATGAAGGCAGTATTTCCGGGAGTCCAGGTGACACATACCACAATGTGTTCAACGATCTCGTCTTCTGCCAAGAATCTTTCCTTCAACAAACCTGCTAAGTTAAATAGATGGAACATGATCGAGGTACAACCTGCCTTGTACCAAAGTACTTTATCCGAGCCTTCCTCAAGGACGTTTACTTTCATGTCTGACAAGACATCAGAGCTAGATACAATAAAAGGTGCATTTCAGCCTCTTGCATGACATGACGTTTTTGGGATCGGCTTGCCTTTGAACAACGTATCGAGCGATTGTGACCTCCGCACTTCCTCCATCATGGCTACTCATCTGTATGAATTTCAAGCATTCAAAGTTGGTTGGTACAGTAGATTTAGGAGATGAAAGCTGCTATCAAGCTGCGAAATCTGGACATAAAGAGGAATATTGTCGTGACGGGCGCTACCATGTGCTTCATTCTACTTCATGACCACCGCCATGGATGTTGGACTTAAGGACGTCCATGTATTGATCACAGGTGCGTAATGTTTTTGTTTTCTATATCAACGAGTTCAAACTTCATGCTACTGCTCGATTTTTAGGAGCAGCTGGTGGGATCGGTCTTGAAACTACTCGTTTATATCTCAGTTAGTTCTTTGCTTGCTCTACACCTCATCGATAAAGGCCGGACGTGAAGGCAGAACAGGGCGCAAAGGTTTCAGCTCACTACCGTAGCAAATCATGCCCTCTGGAACCTTTAGTCGTGGAATTTGGCCACGATCGAATCGTTTGCTTGCAAGCGGATCTTAATTGTGAAGACGAAGTTGCCAGAGTATTCAACCAGGCGAATGTCGCGTTTGGGCCAGTTCAGATAGTCATTGTGAATCATGGGTACTGGCCAAACGATGATGTTCCTATCGCCAGGATGACGTTGGAACAATGGAACGCGACGATCTCGACCGATCTAACTTCGCCGTTCCTCGTATCTCGACAGTTTCTCCGCAACTTGGAGGAAGCCAGCGCAGCGGTTAAGGATAAAGCTGCTATTGTCATGATAGGCTCAACTGCTGGAAAATATGGCGAAGCGGGTCATGCTGACTATGCAGCATGCAAAAGTGGTCCGTGAATCATGACCCCATTATTTTTTATTCAAACTAATGTTTCCTCCTTAGCTATGATGTATGGCCTCACGCTGTCCCTGAAGAATGAGATAGTGAAGATCGCTCCGAGAGGCCGTGTCAATGCCATAGCACCGGGATGGGTGTATACTCCTATGGCAGAAGAAGCCTTGAAAGACCCTCGCGTCGTCTATCGATCTCTAGCCACGTCTGTTCTTTTTACTCGTCCACAACTTGACTTGTGCTCACTTTCGTACTATTAGGACTCCCCTTAAGAAATTTGCATTGCCATTGGATGTAGCATGGCAGGTTGTAATGGTTTCCTCTTCAACTGTTTCGGGCCATGTTACTGGCCAAGTGATCATGGTCGAGGGTGGTATGGAAGGGCGGGTGTTGAACGAACTCGAGGATACAGCTTGATGGCTTTACATGGCCTGCTATAAAACGTCTACCTGAGTGTTCAGTCTCGCCGTATGCCTTTTCGTTGCTCGGATGGCTCGTTCGGATCGGTTGTTCTATGTTTAGACACGACTTCCTTGCTATTTCTAAGACGTGTGTTGTAAACTTGAGGCGGGTACTGACTATTTGATTCCCGGAGGACCTTCGTTCATGCTTGCAAGGCTTCGTTTTCAGGTTCCAGCGTTCGACAATTCGTTCTGTCTCGATTCTGACGGAGGAAATATCGGAATGCGTGCCGGGCCCCTCTCAATGTGAAGGGTTAACTGCGGAGGCAAGAGCAACTGACCAGCCCCTCTTCCGTTGCAAGCAAGTGACTCTCACGAATGTTCCTATGTCTCCCGAACAGCTACTTCTTGGTTGGACCGTGCACATGAGAAGCTGTCACGTCGTGTCGTGATGACTTATATACAGCTCCACACACCTCCCTGTCGACATCCCTTTCACCAACCACTCACCTACGCCGCACCCTAGCATCCATGGTACGAATGAGTGCATCTTGTATCGTATACTACCCAGTGGTTGACATTTGTGGACGTGTTGTAGACGAGTCACGACGAACACCGCGAGGCTCATGTCAGGAGTCTGCGCCTCGCGCTGGGCTCTATCCTGTCGCCCGTAAGCAACTAATGGTTGCAGCCCCTCATGATTCTCCCCCGGCTTTTCGACACGCTGTAAATGCCGAGCTCATATCATCGTCTTCAGAAACGTGTTTCGTCGACACGCTCCTCGGCCACTACTTCAGGAACAGCCAGTCCTCTTCACCCTTCGGTCTTCTCGACTCCTTCACTTTCAACCTCATCAGAGGCGCCGCCTACCCCGCACGATCGTCATAACCATCGACCATCACGGGCCCCGATCTCTGTGAGTCTTCGTTTGACAGAAAGGCCAGACCGTCTCGGTCCAGACAACGTTATGATCACACGCGCATCTGAACCTCCCTGTCTGGCGTCATGCACAAAGATGTCGTGCTAAGTTTGACGTTATCGTTGACAGCGCGCCCAGACTGAGTCCAATTTGCCAGTCTTGTCGAAGCCACAAATGCCGTCTCCTCTGGGTTCAGGCGACTCGTCGCCAGAATGTCCAAGCTCCTCTCTTCCTGTCTCTTCCTCTATTCCGGGCGGTGAGATAGAAAACTCTTCCAGTCGAGCAGATTTCATTGGGACCCTGCAGTCAAAGAAGGCGTGGGATGCTTTGATACATGGTTCTTTCGTATGAGATAACACCTCTGCGAGGAATGTTATATATATTAGACGGTGTTCGTGAGTACTTGTGCTTTAGTTCGTTTTGTATCATACCGTTTGTTATAATCCATTAGGTTGGATTTGGGACTATCGCTACTGATGTATGACCCCTGAATGCTTACACTACTCGGGACCTGATGCCCAAGACTGATCTTGCGCTTTGAAGTTGATGCTGACGTTTACCATGATCTTCCTTGGCTATTTACAGACTCTTCACTTTCAAATTCAATCTGTGTGAGACTGTGCCAGCGCGGTGTGAGAAGTTGATTATCAGCTGCTATCAGCCCCACCCGCTGATCGTCATCCTTGTCCAGAAACAAATCCTGTTGTAAAGCATACGACCATCAGTGGTCAGTTAATACCAAAATGATGAAAGTCTCCCTGGGTGTATCGCATCGCGGATCCTGGCGGCCATTTACGTCTCGTTATTGACTGAGCAACTTCATCTCCCCGACCCAGTGTTGTGCCAGTGATTATCCAGTGATTGAGTTATCACAGTAACTTTGTAACCAAGTTACTGTACTGTTTCGCGCATTTGTTCACGGCCTGTAACCTGTGACGGTCCGGTTCCCAGTTCACAGTTCGGAGAGACCTGTGACATCATGTTCATGGCTACTGCCGATTCTGTCAAGGCACTACCAATCCCTTTCTAAAGCTTTGGAGGCACATTGTAAGCTCTCAAATAATGTCAGCAACCTGAAAGAATAGCCGAAAGTAGCCAGAAAGCTGCACTTGTGCGGCCCTTCAAAGCACTGACCCTCGTTTAAGCGCCCGGTCATGCTTCCAAATGTCAGTTCACGATCCTCTGTGACCTGTGACAGACCTGAAAATTCAGTTCATTTTCGAGCCTGTGACCTGTGACGTGAACAAATGCGCGAAACACTACAGTATCACTGGTTGCATCGAGGCCGAATGTCCGAACTCGAAGGAGTTTCGGAGTCCCAGTATCCCAGCACATGAGAACGCATTCACGTGATTAATCAAATTTTGTTAAATTTGTTACAACACGAGTTTTGCTCTTGTAATTGTCAATTCCAAGCTGTGTGTGTTCTGATTGGTTAGTGCTCATGCACATGACTTGGACCCCGGAAATTGTGGAACCAGCCCGAGTTGAGTTCTTGTTGGGTTATGCAGTAACTCAGTAGTAACTAAATCACTTGATGCAACTGGTCGCTAACCGGCACAACACTGCCCCGACCTGTGTATTGAGAGAGGTGCCGGAGGAGCCCGCGAGTCCGGCACCCGAGTCCAGCCGAGCGTTAGCACACCAGCAAAGTTTTTCTCGAGCTTGTTCTTATCCTTGCACCTCGATGTTCACCGTAGAACTGTAAAGCTTCCTTCGTACAGCAGTATATTCAGTATTTTACTTGCTATCTACCTGCTTTTTACATCTCTCCTTCCTACATACAATCATACTCCCACCATTATGGTTCAGAACGACAACATTGCCAATCAAAATGCCGTACCCGGCGCCCTGGGTATCAACCTACTGCAACAAGGTGCTGTACAACCTGCACCTCTCGCACCTCCTGCACCTCCTGCACCTCCTGCACCTCCCGCACCCCCTGCTGCAGAGAACCAGCTACGAGGAGAGCCCATTCTGCCTCCTCCACGCCCTCTCAACCAGCAGCTTCAGGACGACGCGCGCAGAACGCTGCTGCTACAGAGCATCGCAGATGCACAAAAAGAACTTGACGGGCTCAATGGCCAGCAGCCAGCAGCCGCACGCATGCCCTTCGTACCGGCCTTCGTCGATCAAGCCGACGTAGACTGCACTAGAGAGATCGCTGCGGCCCTGCTCGGGGAAAACCCATTGACGAAACCCAATCGAGCGAAGAAAATAGCTGGCTTCAAAGCAAACGCTTTGCACTCCGGTAAGTCCCGCTTGAGTCTTCCCTCCAAACGTAGTCTTTTGGTGATTAGCACCCACTGCACTTGCATGTCCTGCCATAGTAATACACATGCAATCATATGTTTCACATCTACTCTCGCACTTGTACTCGTTTCACACCTACTCTCGCACTCGTACTCATCCCACCCGTACTCGCACTCATTTCACCTGCATGCTCGCACCCGTTCACAATCCTGGGACCTCGTTCTCCCCTACCTTCGCATTCATATTCATGCTCGCATCCATTTCCTACGTGACTCGTTGTTGCCCCGCACTCGCACCCAATGCAATTCCGTTTGAATGCTCTGCATTCCACCCACTCGCAAACGACTTGGTGTATTCAGTCACCCTTAATCTGTTCCATCTCAATCTCGTCACCGTGCTCTCGTCCTTCTGACTCACGCGCACCCGTTCCTGTATCGTACAGCGCCAGCCCCGCCACGAGCTGATCGTGGTATAGCCACCTTCAACTATGTCCCGTTAACAGCACTCACCAAGTCACGACGCGTTGAGGCAGCCTTCTCCGACGACGATCTCATCTGGACTACCAAAGGCCTCAGTGCCGCTAAACAACTCGATCGTACCGGTGAAGGATCCATATCTGAACTTGATTGGATGAATGCCTCGGACTATATGGTCAAGCTGGTCCTGAAGCATCATGGCGAGGAGCTAGCTGAGGATTTCAAGCTACATTTCAGCAATGTCTGAGTCATAGCTCAGACCCATCCCTGGCCCGTTGCAGTACAGTATGACATCAAGCAACGAGAGTGCCTCATTCTCGATGGCCGCCATGACCTCGCACCGCTCGATGAAGTTGCACTGTCGCTCTCCGTGAGCAGACATGTCTCTGAACAGCTCGATTTTCTTCAAAGGACTCAAGCTTACACGCAGATCAACAGATCACCTGTCAAATGTACCTACCGACCCGATTCGCCGCCCCCTTCACTGTCAAAGCGCTCCCGTTTACCCCCCGTCACATCGACGGGGGGCCATTGCTTTCGCTGTGGTAAAACCGGACACCTTCCCGCCGCCTGTTCAGAAACGGTCACCGTTGCCGGCAAACCCGTTGCTGCCATCTCTGCAAAATCAAACAGCAAGAATGCCCTCCTTGCACCAAACGGAAGTCCATTCTGCTTCACGTTTGCATGGGGAGGAGCCTGCCCCTTTGACGGAAAGGGGAAAGGATGCATCAACCACCACGGCTGCAGCGTCTGCCTCGACACCAGTCATGGTGCCGCAAAGTGTTCCTACCTCGCTTGATCCTCGCAACGTCACGACGCCCATCCAGGTTGACAAAGTGGAAGCCTTGTTACAAGAGCTGGGCATTGCAGAGGATTGGCGTCATGTCCTAGAGGGACTACGCAACGGTTTTGATGTTGGTGTCAAAGACACACCCCCACGCTCCTTTATGTTTGAAAATCATGCATCGGCCTCGCTGGTTTGTACGTTTACTTACCGCCACATATGTATGAGCATATGCTGACATATAGTATGGATAGGACGAGGAATTCATCGACTCATACATTGCTGGAGAGCAAGCTGCAGGGCGATACTCACAGGGCTTTGCCCCCGACGACCTAGAGGGTATTATAGGATTCTTTCGCACGTCACCCTTAGGGCTAGTGCCCAAACCTCATTCCGACCATCTGCGGATGGTGCAGGACATGTCATACCCTCACAACAATGTATGCCATAAATCCCCCTAGTGTTTGTAGTCTCGAATAACATTTGCACTTTCATGTGTAGCCCGAAATACCATCTGTAAATGCCGGCGTAGACTCCGACAACTTTCCCACAGAATGGGGGACCTTCGACAGCACCAGCAAGATGATTCTAGGACTGCCAGCTGGGTGCAAAGCAGCTGCGTTCGATATATCCTCAGCATATCGGATCACGCCAGTACGCCCAGACCAACAGCATGCATTGTGCGTCTATTGGAAAGGCAAAGTATACCTAGACCGAGCGGTAGCATTTGGACTGTCCTCCAGTGCTGGAGTCTTTGGCGCAGTAGCCGACATGCTTGTTGCCATTTATCGTGCGAGTGGTTTCGGACCACTTCGGAAATGGGTAGACGATTTTCTTGTCATTCGCCTACCACACCAGACATGGTCAGAGGATGACTTCCTCCAAGTAACCGAGACCCTTGGTGTCCCTTGGAGCCATGCCAAAATGAGACCGCTATCATCGTGCCAACGCTACATAGGCTTCGACTGGGACCTGGAGCGCAAAGTTGTATCTCTACCAGAGGAGAAACTCAGTGCGACACGCTCTCTACTATCCCTTTGGCGATCACCCGGCAGCAAGTTCACCATGAAGGAAGCCGCCAGCCTGCATGGCAAATTGGTGCACACTGCAACAATCTTTCCACTTTTACGACCCTTTCTTCGCTCTGCTTCACGCTTTGCCAGCTCTTTCAAATCACACCGCGCACGCCTACGACCACCAACACCCCTTCGTGCAGACCTAGGCTGGCTGGAACACCTCTTACCCCTACTACCCAACGAGCTACCTCTATCTGTACCAACGCCATTAGACCTAGGTTGGTGGGGAGATGCAAGTACTTCCTTTGGTATCGGCATCGTAGTAGGTCCCTACTGGGCAGCATGGAAGTGGGCAAAGGGATTTCATGTCGGCCCAAAACAGATTCACGACATTGGTTGGGCAGAAGCTGTAGCAGTCGAGTTAGGCCTACGAATGCTGATACACCATGGTATGCTCGCTCAAGTGCCACCCTCAACAGCCCGACTTCTAGTGCGATCCGACAACAATGGGGTTGTCCACGTAGTAAACAAGGGCCGGTCACGAAGCGAAACAACAAATGCTACCTTGAAGGATACCTACTCCCTGTTGGCACAACACCACCTGTCACTCGAAGCGTGCTACATCCCGAGCCGTCTGAATGTCACCGATGCCCTCTCACGCGGCGACGTTGCAGCATTCCTAGAAGGCTTCCCAACAGCATCCATACACAGCGATGTACCACTCCCATCATCGCTCATCAGCAAACTGTCATCACTGTGATGGCAGCTTCCGCGGTCCGAATAACGCCTTCAGCAACCATTCCAGGTGCTGGAGAAATTGAGCGGCTGGGCCGACTACAACCCCTACCATCACTACTGCGACCGAACTGCCGCGCGAACGAACGCCTGTTTCTCTGGAAAGGGATCAATACCCCACCATCACCCGTAATCCAGTCCAACATCCTCCAACACCTGGCCGATGTAGCCTCGCGAGCATCACTAAAAGATGCCGGCAACTATGGGGCAGGCCTTCGAAAATTCCACCTTTTCTGTGATATCTTCTCTGTCACTGAAGGTGACCGCCTGCCAGCCTCCTTTGCCCTGCTACACTCCTTCGTCCTGTGGGCAGTTGCAGACCCGGACCCCTTAGAGCCAGTATTCGCAGATGGAACCCCGTTCGAGCCAGTCTCTGTCCAAGTGGGCCTAAAATATCTCTCCGCTATCTGAGCTTGGCATTTAGCACAAGGATGGCCACCACCACTGTCCGACAGTGACATGGACCAAATACAGTGGTCGACGCGGGGCCTCGAGAGGATCCAAGCCGGCCGTCGCTCACGTCCACCGAGACCGCCAGTGACACTCCATATGCTAGCAACTCTGCACCGTGTGTTAAAGTTAGATAACCCTTTTGAAGCCTGCATATGGGCTGTTGCAGCATGCGCTTTCTGGGGTTGCATGCGCTTCGGCGAGGTGACAGTAAAAACAAGAACAGCCTTCTCCGAACGGCTTCACCTGAAGCGAAGTGATGCTTTCTTTGGGTACGACTTGGATAACAAGCCTTATGCACGCCTGGACCTACCATCTGCTAAGACAGCAAAACCAGGGGAAATACAACATGTTTTCCTTGCACCGCAAAATTCTCTATGTGCCCTGCAAGCATTGCAGAACCTTTTCCGAGTAGTTCCAGCTACAAGCCGTGATCCCCTGTTTTCCTGGCGTGACAAGCAAGGAGTCATCAGACCAATGGTCCGCGACGTAGCGCTATCATTCATCAATTCTATCTTTCGCGCGTCAGGATGGGGCACTACCTTCGGCCATTCCTTTCGCATTGGCGGTGCTTCTTTTTATCTTTCCCAGAAGGTCGATCCAGAGATTGTCCGTCTCATAGGAAGGTGGCGATCACTCGCATATGAAACTTACATCCGAGCCTTTGAACAGGTAAACTCACGACACACAGCCAACCTCGCTGGTAATTATGGTTACTAAAGCTGCTTCGACTGTTGGTTGGGCAAGCGCCAAGAGCAGCCGCGGGACGCCTCAGCAGCTGTGGGTTTGGGTAGGCGGCTTGACCTTGGCTGCGTCCATGCTCAGCTAGCGCTGAACCCACCCAACCTTTCTAATTGACTACACTTTGCGAAACGCGCGAAGACGAAGCTGGATTGAGAGAGGTGCCGGAGGAGCCCGCGAGTCCGGCACCCGAGTCCAGCCGAGCGTTAGCGCACCAGCAAAGTTTTTCTCTCGCTTGTTCTTATCCTTGCACCTCGACGTTCACCGTAGAACTGTAAAGCTTCCTTCGTACAGCAGTATATTCAGTATTTTACTTGCTATCTACCTGCTTTTTCCACACCCGCCCGCCCTAGATACACAGACATTGTGTGAAAGAATATAGTTTCGATTGAGTAGTCAACAAATCGTGGCCAATCGGTCAAGCCCACCCACCCGGCGGCTTGACCTTGGCTGCGTCCATGCTCAGCTAGCGCTGAACCCACCCAACCTTTCTAATTGACTACACTTTGCGAAACGCGCGAAGACGAAGCTGGACCCGAATATTCGCAGGAGAACTGGACCAATTTCTGACTAGTCCGCGCATAGCACGCTCAAGCCAGGTACGATTCTTCCCTCATATGAGCCATCAAAGATTATGGTCGGACAATTTGAAGTTCCAGCGCTGTACCAAGGATTTGAGCATTATATAAGTAGCTGTTGTTCAGAGAGGGTTGCCTCCCTAATCACCGTGTGATCATCCAACTCTTGTAATCCGCAGGCGTGCTGGACATTGCCGGTCAGTATCGTTCTATTTCAGCCCTAGCACATCGACTCACGTATTTGTTCATGGCAGATACTTTGAAAACTTAACGACTAACTGCTGAGTTGATCTCGCATTTGACTTCTTCATGATCACTATTCGGGCTATCACGATGCTCTGTTTGGGTCTCCTTGTTTTTATCCAGTACTGCCTCGCGGTGCCTATCTCGTAAGTGTCAGCATTCCGACAGCCTTGCTTCTTAACCAACATGCTTCTAACAGATTGTCGCGAGGAGGCAATAATGTCTTCCCAGATCGAAGGGAAGAGAGGTATGTGGCACATTCCGCCATGGTAATCACTGATACTCAGCTTTCATTTCTCCCCGGGTAGCTTGCTGCTGGACCGCCGGTTATTCTTCGACATAGGCACACTCCGTGGCAACCTCGAGAATATTTTCTTTGGTAACCTTGGTGTTGGGGGCTTCAAGAACTTCCAGGCTCCTGTTGGACGAACGGGGAACGCATCACCCAGTCGTACATCGGAGGCCATATCGATAACGACCTCCCCAGTGCCGACATCTTCATCATCCAGTGCAGGTGTACGAAGTGGTGGTCCTGATTCTGAGGATGTAGCATGATTTCTCACGCTTGTACATTCGCGAATTGTGTTGCGAAGGGAATTGTTCACGCAAAACCGAGCATTGCGAAAATATCTGATCAGCTCACAGACTTTCGGACAGTATGCTTCGCACATACAAAGTTCAGCTTCTTGGCGTGAAGGTGTTGTTCAGTCCTGACCGAGCACTGTTGCTGTGCAGCAAGTGGTTTAATTGTCACACACCTTGCACATGGTGACTGCGAGCGTCGTTCGGAAATTCTCATTTCAATTCTTCATTTGTGTTTCATTTTTATCACTCTTAGGACAGATTTCAATATCGCCTTCATTGCGCCGTTCTTGATGTTTCGACCCAGTAAGACTAGTAAGTGTAACCATCTCATCTTCAAGAAAATATCATCTGATACAGTACTGAAACAATTATCCGAGTCAGTGATCATCATGCATATCCAAGTCGTCATCAATTGTCAAGTCAATTACGTCGTCGGACCCTCGTTCTTGTCTGGCTTTCGCTTGACCAGAAGGGAGTCCATCTTTGAGTTCTCGCTGACCGGTAGTCAGATGATTTTCCTGAGAGTGAACGGGATACTCACGAGCAGAGCAATTCTTCCCTCCTATTAAGAAGATAAACGTGAGATGGTATATGTATGTTGTTATCGATATGACATACCGAAACAATCCTTTGTTCCTCCTCACGTTGAATCATTTTCTCCTAGAACAGATAATTGCATTGGAGCCAGAACCAACGTGAGCGAAAGGAATGGGCTTACGATATTCTCCAGACTGACAAATGATCCTTTTGTGTTGACGGTGTCGATGTTCATATTTTGCGTGGGAGTCTGCTGAAGTAGTGGTGGTTTCCTATTTTCATCCTTCGCCATAGCGACGAATTTTGCCTTCTTCCTATATATAAATAGTCAGTGATACATCAGTTAACCGCGCTGCTGAAATATACCTTGAGTCAATCACGACAGAAACCGACATCTTGGAAACCTTTCCGGAAGCGCCAGCGGTTGCAACGTTTACTCGTCCCTGTCCAGGAGACCGCTTCAAGTTTTCCTCTGCTCTGTGAGGAAGAGCCCTAACTGAATCAGGAGGATCGTCCCTTGTAGCACCTTTTGACATCTTTTCTGTCCCAGCCTTTGGGCGCGTCAATGACAACTTTAGTTTAGTGTCTTTGGCTATGGATTTCGCAAGGTCACGGTTACGATCGCTAACGGTCTTGAGCCCACAATTTGATACTCACGATCTTGCTTGGCTCCGGAGAAGACGCAGGTTTTAGCGTCCCTTCGGGATTTATAACATCGTGGGTTCGAAATCGGACCCGACCAACACAAGTATTGAGCCGTCTTGAAGCCCTTTACACAACGGTCGCACTGTTCACTGGATGTCAATGGATGTTGACCGGATTTATATAACGTGAAATAACATACCGCATCTTTTCTCATGACAAAACATTCCGGCGGACGCCTGAATTCTAGGAATGAAGGCGTCGACAGTGAGATATCCTCATCTTTTACCTTCCGCTTCAGACTAACAAAAGCTTGAGGATTGTCATCTACATCTTCCCTGTGTTCCACATTTCGACGGTCCTGAACAGAGGCGCCGTCCAATTGCTTGAATGCTGGCTCGTCATCGTAATGGAGCTCCGAATCGTCGACAGCGTTTGGGCCCCGAGAAATAGGACTTTCTATTGAGTGGTCTGACTCTTTCCGAAGAGAATTGGAATGTTCCTCTGCATCTTCCAGGAGCTCCATCATATGTCATCACCATCCAACAGTCTTGTATATACCTCTTCATAACGGGCTTTCTCGTCGGCTTCTCTCCTAGCCAGATCGGCAGCCAGGTCAGGCAGAAAATCAGAAATCCAAGGGTGCCAATGCGGTTGTGCCACGTCGGGAGAGAATTCTCTTCACTTGGGCAGACCAATCTTTGAGAGAGCTGGAATCGACTTCAAGCTTACGAGCAAGAGCCTGAAACCTCATGTCAGCAAACTTCATGAATTGAGAACCCGTGAAAGTTATGTACTCACAAGCTTCTTGATAATATTCTTTCCCCAATTCTCAAGCGTGTCTGTACCAGAGACGTCCTCCTTGAGAGGTATATTCTTTAAAGCAGCTTCAATATGCTCCATTAGCTTTGCCACAAGCATGTCTCGTTTAAGTCGATGATGGCCGCTCATGCTCATCATAAAGCTATAGAGGTACAGTATGAGCGAGATATAAAAGAGCAGACAAGCAGATGTTCTGTTGTTTGGTGTCAAATCTAATGGTGAGCAAGGTACGTACGTATCAGTGACTTAAACTGTATTACACCCTCGGCTCCATTGCCAGCCCTGAATTTAATTTTCGAATTTGATCAGAAGCGCTCCACATGCGTTCAATCTAATGAGCAGTATGATGATAATTACCAGGGATGTCGTAGCTTTTCATCCAAACTCCAACGCTTTCTGGCCAGCTAGCTGGTGTAGAGATGCCGTTCGACGAAAGGCAGATCCATTAGCTCCGGGAATACTAGTATATGATAAATCAACCGAAGATTGCTCGCAAAGGACAACCCATCGCGAAATATTCACTGGCAGCAACGGACTCGGAGCTAGACAAGCCCGACTTCTAGGGATCACATTCTTAGTGTCTTTAGCTACTTTGTTCGATATCTTCATCAACTTCAAGGTTGCAAGTGAGGTCGGTAACTGCTGGCTCCTTTGGCCGACGTTTCGACTTGTTCTGAGTCATCCATAGATTGTCCTTCATTTTGCGCTGCAACGTAACCGTTCAGAATAGCCTAGAAACTCAGTACCGGTGATATGTACAAACCAGCAAAGCAATTCTTCTGTCCTGAGCACGCATGAGAACGAAAGTCAAAAGCAAAGACCACTTAAGAAATTTGAGACACACAGAGAACATCTTGTTTTTGCGTTCACTCTGTATCATTATCTCCTATAACAATTTCCTCGCTATCAATGTTTGTCATATGTATCGATATCGAAGACTCTGCTTACGATCTCCTCCAACCCGATAGATCTAGCCCTCACACTGGTACTGCCTCGTGACCTGGGAGCATTTGACGGTCCAGGAGTAGAGAGCCGTTGTCGATTTGTTGGTGGCTCCTGGTACGATTCCTTGCCTTTGCCCTTGTTCCTAATGTTTGTATGAAGGACCATTGGAGATGTTGACGATTGACGTCGTTTGATAGGTCTTGGTGGAGATGACGATAGGATCCGGGATTCCCTCATGTCGAGCCTCCTTGCTCGGTCTTGCGCCTCTCCCGAAGATCCTCCCCGGCCATTCAGAAGAACGCCTGATGGCATCGGTCATTGATTTCTTGCTCTAAACCAGCACGAACTATCACTGACTTTCTTTGTAGCTGAATATTGCAGTTATGATCAGCGGAGAGAGATATCTCAGTTGGAATGCCGATATTCTCAAAACCTCAAGTTGGAAATCATCAAGAGCCTCATCACCCAAACTATAAAGCCGTAGTGATTCTAAGTTTCATTGACCAGACAGAATACTATGTGAACGTACTGGGCATAGTGAGTCTGGATGGCAACAACTTTTGGATCGCGATCTGCTGGGTTCTTAGTGATGAATATATGCGGTCGTGGTCGGCGATTTGGAGCCAAGAGTTTCTTGTCGATAAGATAGACTGTCGCCACGATTTATCCTTCTTGTATGCGTACTGTCGACCTAGGCATGTTCGCATCTCCCCTGAGGCCTAGATTAAATCATATGAGAAAAATGGATTGGATTGCTTGGGTTCTGGAGATGCCCCATGTCCAGTCGAAACAAGAGTCACCCATATCTGTGCGCCTGCACCACATGAATGGCATCACATCGCCGTCGCCATTTTGCCAAGCTTTACAGGTTACTCCTGATTCACGTCGAGGTAAGAGAAAATGGTCGTACTGGATGGAAAGGGCAAGAAATTCATCAAGCTCAGTACACCCATAGCTCGCTGAACGCACCTGAGTGCCATCCATGCAAATTCTTACGTAGACATCCTCTTTCCGACCTGAGCTTTGACTTCTCCTTACGAGCTTTATGTAGAACGGCTGGCAGTCGTCAGAAGAGAAACGGCATGGGTATAGTTGGTGATATGTGCGTACCTCAAGCAGCGATAGGCACCTGGCCCTAGGTAGTACCTCGCACGCTTTGCTCATGGCCTGATATCTTATCACTTTCTAGAAACATGTCGAAGACCTTCATAGACACGCGAAGTGCAAGTTGTCTACCATGGAAGCTGCACGTCGTCTATACAACTTGAACCCATGGCACTCATATCTTCCGTTCCTCGGAAACTGGCTTCATGGATACTGTACTCGAAGTAAGTAACCAAGAGGAAACAAAAAGACGTCAGATAGCCAGATGATTCCTTACGGGGGAGAGATGACTTACAAACAGCCGATATCGGTTTCGATGGTAAGGATTACTTAGATCTTATTATGAAGTGATTATAAAGCTTTCACACTTTGGACTTCAGGCAGATCGGGAAAGCAGCTCATGAAAATTCCATTCACCATCCTGCTTAGTATACATGTAGCTAGATTCAGCACGAAGAAAATTACGTGGATGAGGGCGAAGCTCGAGCGATAGTAAAAGTGAACCAACACACCTTCCGAACTTAGATACTCATAATGGGCGCTACCCGGTATCCGGGCGGAGATCCAATCGGCGGATGGCCTACCTCGGCTCTTGCCGGCGGATGACCAAATCGCCGCCTCACCTCAAGTTGAACTTCAGTTTCGTTCTAGCGGACATTATACTCTCTCCTTCTCTCGCTTTATCCTGCTCTTTTCCGCTCTGCGCTCTACCTGCTTTCTAATACTCGGATATATACTACCATGGTACGCGATCTACTTCAGTATAATGTTCTAGAGGCCTTTGGGAGTGTCCGACTAATGAAGGGATGTTGTTTGTTTTATAGAGTGTCTCACCTGCGGTCATGCGCCGACTTATGCGCGAATTGGCAGAGATGCAGACGAATCCACCAGAAGGCATTCGGGTGGTCAGCAGTGAGGATAACATGTTGGACGTGACTGGAATCATTGAGGGACCTGGTACGTTTCATACGCGCCATGTCAATGCAACCCTATATTGACGCGTCCGAACTGGTGAAACTTCAGAGGGAACACCATATGCTGGTGGTTACTTCAAGGTCAAGTTCAAGTTCACCGAAGAGTTCCCAGCGGCACCTCCGAAATGTCCGCAATCTCGCTATTCTATTGTCTGTGGTCTATGCGGGGCTGACCTACTTCTTGTTGCTTGCAGGTTGGTTCGCTACAAAGATCTTCCATCCAAACGTCTCTTCAGCAGGCGAAATTTGTGTCAATACCCTTAAGAAAGACTGGCAGTCATCATATGGCATTGGACATATATTAGTGACTGTGAAATGCCTGCTAATCTACCCCAACCCTGAGTCTGCTCTTGATGAGGAGGCGGGCAAGTTACTTCTGGAAGACTATAACAGCTATTGTGATCGAGCGAAATTGATCACTAGCGTACATGCGACGCCAAAGGTTTGTCGTTCAGTCAGTTTTATAGGTGGCTTGTGAGTTTGAACGTTATCTTATCATATTCAGACTCGACCACCAGAATTCGACACTCCCGCCTTGTCGCACTCAGCCTCAGATTCAATTCCATCCACAAAACCAACAGCGTCAAAACCACCACCGACAGACCCAATCGTGCCTTTCCTCACACCATCCATGCTAAAAACGCTTCCAGTCGCTACACCACCCGTCTCTTCAACTCCTCTTCAATTCTCTGCATCCAACACGCTCTCGAATTCCGACTCAGCCTCCTCACTCTCATCCGAGAAGAGCGCAACACGTCTCACGTCGCCATCACCACTGGGTCCTGGAGACTCGACCTCGAACGTTGCTGCGAACACAAATAGTACCAGAGTTGCCGTGACAGCGTCTAGTAAAGCTGTCAAGCGTGGCGCGGCACCTGGTGGTGGAGGGATGGAGAAACGTAAAAAGGCTTTGAAGCGGCTATAACGCAAGGCCTATGGTTTTTGCTCCAATCGTCAGTTTTGGTGCTTGGGGATGATTGTTCTGTCTACCTCGTTAGGGGTATATATGTGTATCGGTGTTGGAACATTTGTCAATACTATCCTGGTAGGTTTCATGTATCCGTGGATCTTTTGTACCGTGCTTTGCTGTCCTGTTTTTCTGCTTCGTCATCTGTATAATTACACATCGCTTTTCTGTCTTTAGTTGCCTTCATCCTTCCCCTTGTCACGGTCACGATAAGTCACACGCATGCTGCAGTGTGACAAGCGCTCTGAGAATCACAAGCCTCATCCCCAAAAGGTCGAGAAATTATTGCTGGCTGAAAACGTGTCATCGTTGCCCACCATCGTCATTGTTCTTGTTTTCCTCGCGGTTGTGGAGGTGTGTTGAGAGATGGCTAGCTTGTTCTCCGCTATTGACTGGTCCAAGCAATCGCTTTGGATATCTGTCTTCTCCATCGCGTTCAACCCAACCGCTTGGAATATCGTGGCGAGGAATGGTACGCGACAACAATCCTTCAGCCGAAATGTTTGTTCGACTTGCCCAACGATATCTCTTTTTTTCACTCTGTAGAGTACCGGAACAAGACAATTACACGTCTATTTGGTGGGAACGCGAGATATGGCTGTTACTTCCTTGCTATCTGCATCTTCTTTGCAGGTATCATTCGTGATACCTTGTAAGTCCCCTTCAAACCGCCACCTTAACGTCCTTTGCCGCATCCCATGTCTTCGACACACTCAACCTCACTAAACCTTTTTGCTCCAGGTACGAGCGTGCCCTGAACGAACAGCCAAGGCAACAGATCCTCCCCCAGCCCTACGCTACCGTCGTACCAGCAATCCTCTTTCTTCTAGGTCAAACATTCGTGCTTACCTCAACATGGGCTTTGGGCGTCACCGGAACGTTCCTTGGAGATTATTTTGGTATCCTTATGGACCATCGGGTTGAAGGGTTCCCATTCAATGTCCTGAGGGACCCGATGTACGTGGGCAGTACCATGTGCTTTGCCGCTGGTGCACTATGGTAAGTCTTGTGTAGTTTTAGTGGCTTGAATGGCGAGGGTGGACGTTGATTTTTTTTCGGTTTGCAGGTATGAGCGACCTGTGGGATTGCTTATCACCCTTTACGTGTATATCGTATACGTTATTGCTCTCCGCTTCGAAGGGTACGAGCTTTCCCGCTACCCTATATCTTACCTTGGCTCACTCCCTTTTTCCCCCAGTCCTTTCACGGACATGATCTACTCAAAACGTGCTGCTCAAACTTCCGAGTCGAAGAAGGAGCTATGAAATCTCTTTCGTGTCCTCAGCTCGTTCACCCCCCTCAACCACTGACATTCAAAACACTCATGCCTAGAACGATCTTGATGATCCTCACGCACATCACACAGACTCTCATCAGTCCACACACCCATAGAGACTACCACCCACACTATCACTAGTACCGAGTATATTAGAGGTTTCAACTCCATCTAATATGTATATATTCTAGAAATTGTAGAGTGGTGTGTATGGTATTCATTTGATTTGACCCGTACATCTTGTATTTTCTTTCCCGCCTTCAAGCTCAAGGGTGGTCATGAAGTTGAATTTGGAAGGGGCCCAAATTGATACTTGCTAACGACATTCTCCCACAGTTCCCTACAGTCGACTTTGGCATCCAGTCTAGCAGCCAGGAGGAACGCGCCGCTCAGCTTCCTACATAGCAAAAACAATCATCAGCATCAGTATCAATACTTTACGTCCAACTGATTACAATAATAAGATGCACACACCTATTTAAACTGTACGTCTCCCGAGGTGGAGGTGTCAGTCGATGCTTCAACATAACCGGAATCTGCGCCCTAATCTCAGCCGTGATCTCAGCCCACGTCGATCCGGGACCAAACGTGAATGGTTGCGGCGTGGTTGGTTTGAATGGAGTTGCGAGAAGTGACATGCTCTTGACGTGGGCATCGAGCATTATCTATCATAAGCGAAAGCGATAGTTTCAGTGTATGCGTTCAGAGTGAAGAGAGGATGAGGGAAGTATGTATGTATATATGTGTGTGTGTACGCACATCGTTCTCTTGGCCTGTAAGGTAACCGAGCTTCAGGCTCCATTCGATACAGGCGTTACGATCTTCGGATGCGGCTGCTTGGAGGAGATGAAGCCAGTTGTCCATGAATTCTTTCGAGTATTCGCGTGTTGCGCCGAAGTCGACTAACTCGATCTGAAAGACAAGAAACCAGAGATTTTAGTATCAGGAAATCGACATAGGGAATAAGGAAAGAAGGAAACTAACTTGACGAGTTCGTGCATTCCAGAGGAAGTTTGTCCAGTTCGGATCCGTTTGCATCACTCGGAATGCAAACAGCTCCTTCAAGCAGAGGTCGATGATCCGACTAGCAATCTACGTAGGGTAGCCATCGTATAAGTCCACGGTCCAACTTTGCAAGGGCATGATACAAACGCACGTCGTCACGATCTTGTTGAGATAATCTGTTAATCACACGTCCTCCAACCGTAACACCCTCGACACGTTCCATGACCAGGACATTATCAGTACTCCCCTCCCATACCCAGGGAACTTTGAACCACGGGTCTGAACCAAGAAAAGATGGCTGGCCGAATTTACGCAAAAAGGATGCTTCACGAGTGTAATTACACTCATCCGCTAACTCCGACTTCATCACCTATCCGATAGAACAATCATGTCTCTAAGTGACCGACAGAGAGAAACCGTGAATCGAGAAACACATACCTCGATAGTGCGATCCAGGAACAGGCCCTTGGGCAACAAGCTTCCTGCCGTTAGCAGCAACTTGACGTAGCCCAAATCACTCTCAATAGAATTCACGATGTTGGGAAACTGAATTTTCACGGCTACGGGTTCGTCCTTGCCCGTAGGCGAAGACGAAGCGGCGAGAGTGGCGGAGTGGACTTGACCGATTGAGGCTGCGGCGAATGGGACACGGTCAAACGACGCAAAATGTGAGGCCCATGAGGGTCCTAGAGAAGTGCGCATAACTTCCTATGAGCCAACGACACAAAGTGTGAGCGAGAATATCCGAAACCATACAGAAAAGAGGGGCAGGGGGCGCTACTGCCTACCTCCATCTGCCAGTCCGGCATGTAATGTGCACTGTCCTGTACCCTCCGAAAGATGTCTTCTATTTCAGGCGGTAGCACATGGCTATCTTTCGCCTACAAGTTTCAGTCCATGAGATTCACTAATACTCTGGGGACGATGCGTACCTTGGATACTCATGAATTGCCCAAGCTTCAGAGCAGCACCACGCATTTGTGTAAGTTTCGACACAAGGCGTTTGATGTTACCCTCTGTCATCATGAGAGACGAAGATGCCTGGCCGTCTGAAGACGATGTTGAGCGGCGTATCAGCTCGGAGGCTGCGCCATATCCTAATGAGGCGGCTAGACCTGTAATGAACTGGAGTCAATGTATGCAGCGAGTCCTAAAGATGTCATAGACGTACCTCCATAGTGAAATAGACGACCGAGACGTGATGAGGGTACTTTTGACGACTGTAACTTCCTTGCAGGACGAGGTTCCAGGTTTATAGACTAAGACAGCGGAAACCGTCAGTTATTAAATGTTAAGAAGCAGACGCAGAAAAGCCCAGATGTCTACCTCGGAACTATTTAGCAGTCCGGCCGATGCTTCCTCGCTGGGAGTTTGACTTACACGCCCAAGAGGGGTGGGAATGTCCTCGGAAGTCAATACGGAAGCGGACGAATCTTGTAGCGTCTGGCAAAGGTAGCGTCCAGGTGAGAACAATGGCGTATGGACATTGCATGAGAATTGTATGGAACACACTCACCTCAACATCTAGCGAATCAGAAGATGGCCGAATATTCCCTCTACCATCAGACAACTCTGACTCAATGTGAGATAGTTGAACTGACTCTCCGCCAAGCCCACTTGGACCAAGTGCTTCAGACGTTAATCCAGGGCTCGCGGAGGACGCTGCTTGATCAACAATGGTGTCGGGCAGTGGTGGAAATGTTGCATCGTAACGTGCGAAAGGTATCGAAGGGACGACAAGGTGTGGTAGATACAGGGTATTTCTCGATTCTTGAAGTATACCCTGAACATCTAGCTCCTCGGCTTCAAGTCCATCGCGAACATAGGACATATAATCAGTAGATGGGGTCGCCTTCAATATCGCATCTTCCGGTACAGGTTCCTCCACTCTTCTCCACTTTCTAGGATGAGACGTTTCCGCTGCAACAACTGTTCTTGCAGCTAACTGAGTAGCTTTGATTTGGGCCGCATGAGAAAGTATGTCAAGGACGGAATGAGCGACACAAAACCAGTTGAAAGCTGGTCCTGGTGGCATTCGACGTCTTGAGTACCGGGAGTTTGGAGAACGATTATCTGAATAGGTTCCGTACAAGACCCTGACAAAGTGGTAGGGACTTTGCAAAGCCTTGAGGAACTGGACCTGGAGAGACGCGTCAATAGACGCCCGACACACTTGACGCGTCCGAGTCGAATTCGTCCTTTCCCGGTTCTGACTATTGATTTCTCCCACTCATCCTGCTTCATAGCCAATCTTAGTACTGTCCTCATAGACCATGAAACATGTTCTCCCGTACGTCGGCATTTTGAGCTGATTGTACCATCGACAGTAACACAACCCACACTAATACTGTACAGTTTACGCATGAGAATCAAGACTTCTTCTAGAGATCGTAGGCTAGTCTTAGCACAAATGACATTCAACAAAATACCTAAGGAACACGAAGCGATGTAGATATCATAGCGCTTGATCAAGGACCCACTGGCATTGCGAGAATGGTGCAGTAACTTGCTATTCGTCGAAACGCCGTGCAAGGCTTTTGGTCTGAGTACTTTATTTGTGTTTCTTTCCTTTCAATTTGCTGAGAGGTAAAAATGGCACTTTAATACCACTGGACAAGCCACTGTTGCCGAATCTCAAATGTTGGAAGAAGTTGAATGCCCCATTGCCGAACGAAAAGGGTGACGCGCTTCACAAGATATTCAACCCTTGGCACGATTAAATTGAATATTGTGGACCTAGCCGCGACGCTCAATGGAACCTGACGATAGCGTTCGAGCGACAGCTTGAGGAGAAGATGACGCAACGGATTCCAATACTCCTACGTGTGCCGGAGACAAACTTGAAAGGTATCAAATCAGCTTTGGAAAAAAACTGTCCCGTTCGATGAAAAGAAACTCACCGTAGAGGAATAACAAGTGCACAAATAACTCTAATAGCAGACAGGAACGTGATCAGTAGGTGAAAGGCAACTCGCATGCTAAGCAACACAAGTAGCGAGGAACAAATGCTATTTGTAATTAGGCTGTATATCAAAAGGAATATTATAGGCGTGCTTGTACTTACGAGGTCGTGACGATGTAAGTGGGATGATCAGGGAACCCGCCCTAGAGATCCTTTTCCGCGATGTTGACCCTTTATATAGAGATGATAAGATCCACCGGGAGAGGCGCATTATCAATTGCAGCAGCACATGGAGTGCATACGGGGTCTAAACTTCATAGATACTTGGAATGGTTACACCATCTGTCAAATCCTTGATAAGTACGGGAGTCGGTTATCTTCACGACCTCCGGCGAACGAGATTTCTTAGTGGCGCTTTCGTCAATAACCCAGTGAAGACAGTGGACAAGAACTCACGTAGACCCTCGAAGGACGGCTCTCTATAATTCAAGATCTTCATTGCCTGCGGCGTACTGTTGTATTTCTTAACATCGCAAAGTCAATATATATGTTGTAGCCCCAAAGTCAGAAGGTTTTACATGCCAGATGTTGAATTGCGGTAGAATGATCTTGCGTAGGAAGCTGGTATTCAGGATCATAACATTCTGTTCAGACGCGGACGTTGATTGGACACTCTGAACGATAGATCAATTCAGGTATCTCGGTGCATGCATAGGTTCTGCACAACATTGATGAAAGGTGAAATTGGGAAGTAAATGGCGTAGAGCACACACCTTTGTTGACCTTCTAGGATACCGCTATGACTACCTGAGAGTCGATGAATGCCTTACCTTCTTGAACTAGAGACGATACGGGGCATTCGACATGGAAGGTATTGAGAAGCCGCAACGAAGGACGACGACCCTGCCCTGTTTTCCATTATGGCATTGGCTTGTTAATCGCACCTGCCCGAGAGCCTCTCGGACTTTTATAGGGTCGGATCGACATCAAGACTTTTGGAATTCATTCTAAACGTCTATTACAGCTGAAAGTGAGGTTGAGTAAGTAACTGTTACAATTGAGAACATCGCATACCTGAGCTACATCTGAGTCCGGCCTTCCACCCTGCAGTCGAAGATCTACACATTCAGCTCGACCTAAGCCATTACACCGCCCAGACTCACCGTTCGAGTGTTCATCCGATAGCAGGGTTGAGTAAGTTCTCTGGGAGACCAAACTGCTCAGTGCTTTCCAACTTTGCCGGCGCCTTTATTCGTCTGAGCCTTTGGACTAGGTTTTCCACCTGTATCTCCCGTACTTGGATTCTAGGTATCATCTTTTCCACTTTGCTTCTGCGAATTGGCGACCGGCTTCTTCAAACCGTTATCCTGACTCTTCGCCTGACTAGCAGGTTTCTGACTCGAGTTGTCGCTTTGGCTGTCGACCTGGTTGCCATCCTTCTGTGCAGGTCCGGATATTTTCTGGGCATTGGTGCCAAGGTCTGGAATCTCGACACCAGCAGAGAAGGCTGTGTTGCCAAATCCAAGAATCCTCATCAGACCACTTGAGAGGGGCGAGAGCCTATAAAACGGGTTGAGGACAACTTGAAGTAAGATCTTATATGTTGTGACTTGTGACTTACCTTCTGCGATTATACGGCAATGGAAGCTTAGAATTCGCCCTCAATAATGCACTCATGGTCAGGTTCTCCTCACGCCCTAAAAAAGCGATTGGTCTACGATGTGACGTGCCATCACGAGGGGGCTTCTAGAGTAAAATATAATGCAGAACTCACAGATGACACTTCTGCGGTGATAAGCACAGTGGCTTCCCATTTGTACCAACTTGGGCGACGGCAGGGTTCACGCTAAAATATTGCTCATCAGTCCGTGGGTTGAGAAGAGTATGAGTTATTGCTCACCCAAGGGGTAGCGCAATGCTACCAGGAGATAGACAGAAGCACAACAAGGTCGAAATTAACACAATGCAAGAAAAGTACATATCGACTCGTAATGGAAATGACGGAAGCTGGAAACCTGTAGCAGAGCGCATCAGTATTGGCACGAGATTCGATACACTGTAATTACCGCGTCGTGTCGAGTGTAGTGAACAGTGAGGAGCCGGCCCTGTATGTTCAACGTCAAAAGGCACCCATTCTTTATACGTCAACTATTCATAGCAATGAAGATCAGCTCGTCGTTCGCCGGAGACATCAACAACCTATATCATAGCCTTGCTTCCCAACTTGTTCGAGTGTGTCATCTATCAACCAACCGACTGGAGAGCAAAAGACGTTTGTTAGCAACCCTCCGAAGAATCAACGTCCTTATCAGCACTCTGTCAAGAATCTTCATTGGATGTTCAACTGTTCAACTGTTTACAATTACAGAGCGGCTTGGAGCATCATCTCACAGCGAGGCAACTGACGCAATACTCATATCGCATTGGTATAAACACACATAGACTCCCTATGACGCCGACAAAGAATCAGTAGCAGTGGTACTTGGAGAAACTGAATCCATACCGCACCCAATGCCGAACGGTACGATCGAATGAAACGCATCAGAGATCGCAGTAATGCCCTGCGTACAACATCGAATTTAATCTGGCCAATCGAACCCATCATGTATCCGTCGCCAAGGATCTAATTAGACATCGAAAGATCGAAACGATGTTGAATGACGAGTGCAGCAAGCAGGCGTGCTGGGTGTTACCACCAATGCCTTTCAGGGTCAGTTCGATGGACCAGATAGTGAAGAGTAGCCGATACCATCACGAAGTCGTTCCCTGACTCAACCATAGTAATGAGTCAACAGACAGAGTGCGGATGATTTATACAGCGCATTAAAATCTCCACTCCAGCTTAAAGCGTCAATGTTGAGTTTGAAAGAGTGAGAAGACCGGACCAGAGTCTGAGGCGTGTTTGCAGCGAGACTGGGTGCCGAGATGCTGGGGTCGAAGAAAAAGCAGCATCACGAGAAGCACCAATGGACAAATAGAAGCCAGCCGCTCACCCATGCCCAATCCGCGCAAGGAAGAACGAGGCGGCATATCAGACTAATCGCAACATATCAAGGGGTGCACAGAAGTGCATCAGTAAGACGTAAAGCAAAGTATAATACACAATCCATCTGCATAGAACGAGAGTGAGTAATCAAGCAACCAACTGTAAGAGGATGATAACAGAACCTAGTAATATAGCACATATGACAAGAACTACTTTTTCTTCTTCGGCTTCTTCTTCTTCACCCCACCGCTAGGCGTTGCGACGGGTGCCTGCGGTGCCGTGCTCGCCTGAACAGGGTGGTCTGCACTCGCCTCTGGTGCGTGAGTCGGTGCCGTTGGTCGTCTATTTTGCATCTTCTGCATCAGCGAGAGGTTCAGAGCCTCGAAGCGGTTCAAGAACACTGATGAATGAGTCTTGAACTTCAGACACTGATGCAAATATTTGTGAGCTCGCTGCCTGAACATCGGAGTGTCTAAATACATACTGTCGTGTTATCTGTGATTTTGAGGACTAGTTTGCCCTCTGACGACCTCCATTTCACGCAATAGCGTGTCTAACGATTGTGAAGGGCTTGTATGAGCGATTCTGCTGATCCTCGACATGAATACACACCGTGTTAGGGGATTTTTCATAGAGGGCCTCCGCTGCTTCCTGAAATTCCTGCCAGGATGAAATGTACACCATGGCAGGAGAAAGGCAGCACACTCCGTGACAACTTTCCAAGGAGGTGTCACCAGAGTTGTCACGCTCTTTTCGGCGTTATCGGCCCGGATTCTCACAGTTAAGATTCGCTCGAGTCAGTGTAAGTATGTGGTCAAGGACTTCAACGGCTTTAGAACGCTTCACAGCAACCTTGTCTCTTCGCTCACCATTACCTTCGTCGGAGAGCAGCAAAACATATAGACAGTCTCTTCAAAATGAGTGCCGCAGCGTCAGAGAAGGTTCAGAAGAAACGTGCGCATAAGCGAAACAATCATCGCTTGGCCGAGCTAACAACGGTCTCTACTCATTTCAGCCTTGCCTTTCATCGCCAACTTCACCGCTGGAGCTATCGCGGGAGTGTCAGAAATTCTCACGTTCTACCCTCTCGGTGCGTACTACTCCATAATGCGGGAGAGATGCCTTTCTGAATACTTTAAACATGCATAGATGTTGTGAGTGAACCTGCTTCACACCATGCCCGTGTTCATTCACAAATACAGACACATGAATACGTTAGGTGAAAACGCGTATGCAACTAGAGACCGGGAAGTCGAAGAATGGTCTTGTCGGTACCTTTCGTTCGATCATTCGTGAAGAAGGGTATATATTCTATGCTATCCGGTCACACGACTACATTGGCACTAACTGTATGCCGTTTTTCTTGTTTGCAGTTTCGGAAGACTGTACAGAGGTAATTCCCACTTCAGCTTACTGTGATAACAACGATCCCAATTTCTTATAGGTCTTGTACCCCCACTCTTGCTCGAGGCACCCAAGCGCGCAACCAAATTGTGCGTTCATCCGGATAACGCTACGCTTCTAGTAAATCCCTGACCATAAACAGCGCCGCAAATGATTTCTGGGGGAAAAAGTACCTCAAGCTTACTGGTCAATCCAAGATGGACCAGAAGCTTGCTATCCTGACTGGTAGCAGTGCGGGTGCTACCGAAAGTTTCGTCGTCGTACCTTTCGAACTTGTCAAGATTAAGCAAGTCTAACTTTTGTTGCTTACTTTTCTCTCAAGCAAATCTGACCTCTTTCTAGGTTGCAGGATAAGTCCAGCACGTTCGCAGGCCCTATGGACGTTCTTAAACAAATCATTAAAAAGGATGGCCTTCTCGGTACGCTTATGTGCTCAGTTCAAGTCAGCTGTGTCATATCTGACATTGACGTGGGTGCTAGGGCTGTATGTTGGAATGGAATCAACGTTCTGGCGTCACCTCTGGTGGAACGCCGGTTACTTTGGATGTATATTCAAAGTGCGAGAATTATTGCCCAAACCTGAGGTAGGTTTCCGGTGATGACTCATAAAGCTTTCCCAAGACGTGCTGAGGATGTTTTCAGACAAAGAAGGCAAGGTTGCTAAATGATTTGATGGCTGGTTCGGTCGGTGGTTTCGTCGGAACGGCTGTGAATACTCCGTACGTTGCAATCCATCTACATGCTATCTTGTCATGACTAATTTGTGTGTTACAGATTCGACGTGCGTGCTCATTCGCTGACAAGGCAATGTTTTCAGAAACCTCAGCGTTCCTTGTTAATATTATAGGTCGTGAAATCACGTATTCAAGGCGCAACCAAGGCTCCAGGAGTCGTACCCAAGTATAACTGGACATACCCTGCGTACGATCTTGCTTTTCAGTTGATGATCTCGTGTCTCATACTCACTTAATTATCCAGCTTGGTCACCATCTTCCGGGAAGAAGGTCCAACAGCTCTTTACAAAGGATTCCTCCCCAAGGTGCTTCGATTGGCACCTGGTGGAGGTGTTCTCTTACTTGTAGTCGAGTTCACTTTGGGTGTGTTCCGTAAAGGTGAGTTTCCTGATGCTCTACAGCATATGGACAGCATTGATGTGCGTGTGTAGCTCTGGGTCCTCCATATATCTAGACTGCTTAGGAAAGGTAGACGTAGATTGACTTTTCTAATACCGGCATAAATTAGAGGGGGTAGGTGGTGGCATAAAAGTACGTTGTACTCTCGTTGTACCTTAGATGTATTTATTATGCATTGGACTCTTCAATGGCGGACTAGTACAGCATCGAGCCGTTGTACCTAGTTCCCATCTATTAAAGCATGGTATATAAAGTATGCGAATTAGTCCATTGTCAAACCTTCTTCAGTTCTCCTTCTTGGCCTTTGCATTGGATACATGCATCGTAGTTCCCGCCATGAGGATTTCTCCAATCGCGCATATACCCGCAGACCAGACGAGTAAAAGGGAGCTGACACAAAAGAAGCTGATTGATTGCCCAATTTCCAGCCATGACCCTGACGAATACGTGGATTCATTTCATGGCCACCAACGCCCAGACAACAGAACTTACCGGTATCTGTGACTTTGAAGAAGAATGTCATCGTCATTACTATCAACCCTAATCATCAACTGAGGATCTTCAAGATACGTATGTGCACATACCGTCTGTAAGCGTCAGCGCCACAAGGAAAAGGCTGAAGGGCGGCAGGTGAAGTCGAGCGTTGAGTAATGCGAAGAATGCAGAGAGAATAATATAAGGAGCGATGATCTTGAATATCTTTAAAGTTGAGAGGAAGGGGTTGTCAGTGGACTGTGCGTTGACATTGTCCTAACGACCTACGAGTAACGTGGCCATCAGGAAGGGGCTGAATATTGGAACCAGCCTGTACACTGGTTCAAGATAGAATGAACTAGCAAGGAAATAAGTCATCAAATGAGTGACGAGTATAACCGAATAAATTTGAGATACACACGATATCGAGGCCACACTGGGTCGAATATAATCAGCATTCCATACATCTCAATATAGCAGTATGTTGATCTCACTTTCCAGTTCCGAAGAACGCAACCTGCACAAAGAACAAGAAAAAGACCGCAATCCTCATGTCATCCGCTTGCGGGCGATATGCTTCTATCGTAGAAGCCAGCCCTACTTCAGACTTGTTGTCCTCCTCCTTCAAAATCATTCGGTGGCGATAGGCACGGAGGACGGTCTCAACTTCAGTCCACACGAACAACGTAGTAGCGTAACTGCAATAGAAGAGGCCTTCGCTGCTGATCGAAAGAATGACAAAGCAAACTGAGAACCCGAGGAATAATGTTGTGATCCGTGCTTCTGGTGTCGGCTTCTCAATGCGTAGAAGGAAAGGGAATCCGGATGCAATGACTGGTGTTAGACGCGTCAGTGATTGAAGCAACGCGAAGAAGTAAAGGAATACCGAGGATGGTCCAGCCAGCTATCTGGTTCAATAAAGGAAGACCGAGCTTCTGGCGCAGCCTTAGAGCCGTGCTTGCAGTTACGATCATGCTCGAGATGAGCAATCCACACTATGATCGTAAGTCAGTGGATAAACAACTCGCGTTGCGAAACAATGAGTATACCTGAACCCCAACTGCTCTCTGGAAGGATATGCGCTGAGTCCGCGGCAGTTGACGCCACTCACGCGACGCGCGAACTGCGCCGTAGAACCCAGCAACCAGCATACACACGCCACCGGCCAAGCTTCGGAACATAGACTATAAACATCCAGGAATCTTCATGAAGAGAGAAGGGCGTACACGGTAGGTATGCTTTCTTTTTTGTTCACATCAAGCAACGGGAAGATTGCTGTTGCGAGGCATGAGATCGTCCAGCTTCTGTGCAGGAGTTTATTCCGTGCCTGTACTTCATTTGGCCAGAAAAACAGAGGCCACGCAAGCCCCATAATCAGGAAGCCAATACTCCAGATAGATCGATGTGTATATGCCAACTAGAGATTCCTTGAGTATCCAAGTCAACTTTGTGCGACTTCTAATACCTACCACCATGCCTTCAAGTGTCACCACGACCAATCCACCCCGGACGAAAAGACCTGAAAGATGCGTAGTCGAGACAAGCTTTCGTAATTGATCCACATTGCTACCGAACCGGCGTATCGCTTGATGCCAAAAGTATACGGGGAAGATAATGTAAAGGTAGAACGACCCGCGGGATTTCTGGAGAATGAACAATGTCCAAAAGGCACACAGAGTAACAGCGGCCACCAGGTCTATTGCTTGCAATCTAGAAGTAATACCCGTGGAAGAGGGTGGGACGAGGATGGTGGAAGCACCATAGGCTATCCACCCGAGATACGCGACAACGACAATTGCACCGATAAGAGTGCGATCATATCTGAATACATCAGTAATGAGGACACGGGTAGTTATCAACGAGGACGGGACTTACGTCTGCAGGTATCGAAGACCTTCAAGAGTGTGTTTGATCAGTTTGGACGAAGCTTGACGGGCATCATCATACTGTTGCCTTTTGATTAAATGTTCAATTTCCGATAGCTTCATTTGCCCGGAAAGGTATGTTTCACCGTCAGAAAAATAAGGATATGGCTTGTAGAACAGAGTATGTTCTCTTTTCCGCGCTGGAGCATACAGTAATTAGCAGCCCAATGCAAAGGGAAAAAATGGAACTGACCGTGCTTGACACGATAGTGTGACAAGAGCACCCTCGCATTCACCAAAGCAGCTTCGGCTTGCGTTTTCCCACCGTCGACATCCAGCAAATACCCAGGTCGTGTGTGATCCACGTCGGGAACAACACCGACCGAGTTCACAGGCCAATCAATACCAATCAAGGTAGACATTAATGCTGCCACATCTGCTTGTTCTACATCCCTTCTCAAAAGGCGAGTGAGATCCCAAGGTGCAGAATAGTCATCGTGTGATGAGGGGTTGGAATCAGGCAGCGGACCGCGAATGCCCTTCCCCCAGGCTATGAGAGGGGTCTGTGTATTGTCAGGGTCTGAAAAAACATGGATTGAGAATGATGCAAATAGAAGCTGAAGCTGAAACACTCGCCCCCATCTCCATGATTCCCTATTCTCGACATACCATGATCTGCGGTGAACACGAACGCAGTCTCGGAGTCTTCGTAAAACTCGGAGAATGATTGCTCTGTCTGTCGAACGATGTTATCAACAACTTGAATGTTGTTCATATACTCCTGCGAGAAAGCGTGCTAAATTAATTCAACTGACTGGAAAAGACGCATTCCTTTACCCTTGAAAATGGCCGGTACGAGTGACCAGTAGTATCTAACCCAAGGAGGTGGAGAAAGAAAACTGTCTTCTCCGCCCGCATTTGGGCATTCAAAGCCATACTGGTAGATGCGTTGTGAAAAAGGTCCCGGACGTGATTCAAAACCCATGTGTCTAACGCTGTGGCGTCTACACGATGTCAACTTAAAAATGAGCGAAACAAAGACAAGTATTACCTTTGGTGAAGTCTTCTTCATCTTCGTGGAACATCCACATATCGACTTTCCCTGGCGTTGCGCCCTGCGCAAACATCGGGAGGATATCCGGAGACCCGAACGAGTACGTGTGGCTGGATCGATTGAATACGGAGTCAAAATCAACCTTAGAGCCAATGTTCAGTTAGATTCACTATGATGCTCGTTGAACGAACCGGATTTGTTTTCCATCCCTAACAAGAAAGGCTTTAGCGAAGATAACATTGCAAAACAATAGATATATTCATTACTTTAGTTACAGCGGATACGTCCTCGTACATGCCACCTGTGGTCCCGTATACCCATCATTATGGTACATGTATTTCAGAACCACGTAACCTCATACCAATCAAAGCCACATGTCCCGGGCGACTTTCGGTAGGCACATGGGTATGAGAAACACCAAAAGCACCCCGCCTCTCCACCACAGAGCGCAAATGCGGAGCCACAGTCTCTGGAGAGCCAGGTATCGTAGGAAATGGCTGCTTAGATAGCAGCAGGTCCGCACGCAATCCATCAGCTACCCTTGAATGTAAACCTCTGTTACGAACATCGTAAGGGAGTGACGGACCAACAATCAAGACCAACCGCTTGGCCGGACCACGGTCAAGACCATAGCTTTGCATGCCATTTACCACAGGGCTTGTGAAGTAGCAGTCAAAGACGGTGCCTATATAAACCAGATGGAATATGAGACCTATGAGAAGAAGACGCAACACCGGTCGATCCTTCTTGGTGCCATGCGACATCGTGGCGTCCTCCACGACCAGCAGAGTCTTTGGAAATAAAGTATGGTTTTCGAAAAACCAGAAGGTATCAGCAAGTGATTCTATACGTTACACAACATCATATACGCTGATGGTGGTCACGGTGGTCGAAGGCTTAAGCAGTGTTGTCAGGCGTCTACGCTATTCAACTCTTCTTTTGAGTTTATGACCGGTTTTCTCACTCCCGAGTTGAGTCCAGTCGCGACCCACACGATTCCTGCCTGCTTTTGATCCCTCTCGTTCACAAGCCATTTGTCGAAGTTCAAGTTGAGTAAAATCTGAATTACGACGACGTGCTGAATATATGGAGTTATGTAGGTCGTGACTAGTATGGTTCACACATTGAAACAGGTCGAACACCGCTAAGATGTTACTATGATTAATATTTTTCATGGGTATTGTCGATCATTACACCATCCTTTATGTATAGGTAGTGCCGTACAATGTCAGGTGTGTTGTCCACCGTCCTCGCCTGCAATATATAATTGTCGTAAAACGGTCCGGCTGCTCAAAGTCTCGATCCTTCTGATCGAGGTACGTTGACGGGCCCCAATTTCGATTCTGGTTGTGCAACCTGAATCCCTTTACTTTACATGCTTGCTTCTAGTCTGAACAAGGTCATGCAATCATAGACGGGCCGCCGCGCATGATCTCATGATCGCCATCCTTTGTCACATCTACCGTTCATGGCTGTGCGAGTTGTACGTATATAACTCGTTCAGAGGGCAGCGGCTCAGCACACCCCACTGTGCATGATGTCGACCCTCAAGCGTGTATCATCTCTGTTGTGCCTTGCTACTTTCGTCTTGGGCTCTGCGCCAGGCGGACCTTGGGATTCCTTCAGCTTCGCTCCCGAAAGCAGGACAGTATGGCCCCGAGCCATAAGAGAAACTGAAGGCACCGTTATAAACGCAAAAAATCTTCTTACCAAAACGGCAGCAGCGACAATTTCTGGAAATCAGGCATATGTGGCTCTCGATTTTGGCATTGAAGTGAGACCTTTTGACTTTCAGCTATAAGATTCACTTCTTGACGCCCTGAACAGGTTGGGGGACTCATCTCAATGAATATAGACTCGGTGACATCGTCTTCGGTACTAGCTCTTTCGTTCACCGAGTCACCAATGTTCATCAGACCCTTCGCGTCTGACGATTCCGCCATGTCGGCATCTAACACGACTTACGATGGAATCCTTCCTATTTAATCTCCACTCACGACGGGTGTCTGGAACCAGCCTTCGCCTACCCTCCGAGGTGGTTTTCGATTCTTGACTATTGTTTCGACGGCAGCGGGTTCTGTGTCTATTTCGAACGTATCGTGTGCGATCTCATTTGCACCGCACGTTGAAAATCTACGCGATTATACCGGTTATTTCTATGCCAAAGATTCCGTCTTTCATGACAAGGATTTCTTGACAAAGGTAAGGCTGCACCCGCTTGCATGTCTTGCCCAGGAATGAAGCCGATGAATTTCACAGATTTGGTATGCTGGAGCATATACGATACAAACGAACACAATTTCGCTCAATTCGGGACGTCAAATACCTGTTCATCCATCCCCAGGTAGGAATTTCGTTTTTTTTCCCCGCCGCGCGCTCGTTAACGACTGGGCTAGGTTGGCAGAATGATGCGACTGTTGGAGTCGCCGGTCCTATTATCGTAGATGGAGCCAAACGCGATCGGTAAGAAGTTAACATACGTTATCGACAGCCGAAGCGCGTTGACTAATTTTCTGTCCCTTAGAGCTGTATGGCCAGGTACGTAGAAATAAGTCTACTGTTCTACCATTTCTGGATTTTTATCACGTTCAGGTGACATGGGGGTCGCGGTTCCAACCCAATTCGTCTCTACAAACGATCTGATCCCCGCAAGGAATGCTCTGTCAACGATGTTTGCAGAAATCGACCCTCGGACTGGTGCTTTACCCGAATCAGGCCCGCCTTTGAGCCAGACAGGCAGTGATACCTATCACGCGTGGACACTCATTGGCACATATAATTACTACCTGTACTCCGGGGATATTGCGTGGATACAAAATGTCTGGGCAAATTATACCAAGGCGGTCGCCTTCCTGGAAAGAAAGGTCGATTCGTCAGGCCTGATGAACGTGACTGGCTTGAGGGATTGGGCAAGGCAAGGAGGTGGTGGGCATAACGCGGAAGGGAACGCTCTGCTGTATCGGGTATGCAGACGGCCTTCTTACCAAGTTCAGGTCTTACTGAGAGCCCTTTGCTTCAAATTCAGGTCCTGGTCACCGGCGCAGAGCTCGCAACGTCCGTGAATAGTACATCACTTGCGTCTGCTTGGGCTCGGAACGCTACTGCGCTTAAATCAAAGTACAACGAAGTCTTCTGGTTGTCAAGCGAAGGGATGTACCGAGACAACGAAACGACAACACTGTGCCCTCAAGATGCCAACTCGATGGCAGTGTTGTTCAATCTGACGACCTCCGCTTCTCAAGCGTCTTCTATCAGTTCTGGTTTGATGAAGAACTGGAATGAGTTGGGCGCTGTCGCCCCGGAATTGCCAGACACCATATCACCCTTCATTGGATCTTTAGAAGTAAGTCGTTGATCCTTGCCCATCCTGAGTTTACTGATGGATGTTGGTTGTTAGCTGCAAGCTCATTTTGCGTCAGGGAACGATGATCGAGCAATGGACCTTCTAAGACGGGAATGGGGTTACATGCTCTATACCAACCTGAGCGTTCAGTCCACTTTGCTCGAAGGGTTCACTGCGAATGGTTCATTAAAGTGAGTGGAATCTTTAGATTCACTCTCAGCCTTCCATCCGCTCGTTCTGATGCAACCCGCTCTAGTTATCGTTCATACCGTGGCTACAATTACGACCCTGCGTATACAAGCCACGCTCATGGATGGAGTTCAGGGCCAACGTCTGCGCTGACGTTCTATGTACTCGGTCTCACCGTAACGTCTACTCAAGGACAGACCTGGTCGTTCGACCCTCACACCTCCGGATTAAATGCAGCACAAGGCGGGTTCGAAACACCTCTTGGTTGGTTCGGAGCGAACTGGGTGCTGTCCGATAATGGAGGGATGTTCAGCGCGAAGCTCGATGTCCCAAGTGGTACCACTGGTCTAATTCGTTCACCTGTCAACGGAACGACATTAGTGGATGGAAAGCGAGCAAAGAAAGATCTGGAGGGATTCGTTCACTTGCAAGGAGGGAAACATATCATCCAAGTTGGATAGCATGTCCCAAGAAGCCCTTGGAATGAGGACAGAGACACAAACTGATAAATATACAGTATATTATATCTGCAAACACGATCTATACTACGTTGTACATCGATCACCCTACCCATGTATAGACTGTATAAAACACGCGAAACAAAGTTCTGGTTGAGAGGAAGAGTGAGATGGATGATAGATAGTGGATATATGAACGTGAACGGATCGTCAAGGGTCATGACGAGGACAGTGGCTAGAATACATAAGATAGAATCCAAGTGGAGGGTATGCTGGATGTATGCTGACTAGATTGCCGAGATTTGAGAATGCCAGGGTATGGAGATGATGAGAGGAACAAGCCCGAGAAAATGCTGTGCAAAACAAAAACGACAAGATGAGAATGCGAGATGCGTCCGTGCGAGATGGATGTAGGTGTAGACTGTAGGTGTCCGTGCCAATCAGAGGAGAAAATGCTTGTCGGCGTGGCTTGCTCATTAGATCTTGAGCTCTCGGAACCCTCTAACGTCCAGCCGCCCAGTCCCGTTCTTCTGCCACTCCTCCGCACCTGAGGACGTGCCTTGCTTGGACCTGAATCGGCCACCAGGAATGACGATCTTGCCTGCGCTGACCTTCGTGCTATGAGCCCTAGGCTTCGGCAGCCCAAGTCGTTTCCTCTCTCTTCGCGTGAGACGTCGATCGGGTTCAGGCGGAGGAGATGGGGAAGGAGAAGACATTGGCGAGAGTGAACTCGTGGACGAAGGTGAACCCGGATTGGATGCTGTCAAATCAGGGGTGTCGACATCCTCGAAGTCATCCTCCGGTGTTTGCGGACCCGAAACCGACAATGTATTGGCGAATGGGGCTCGAGTGGCGCTGCGTGGTCTCTTCGCTGCACTCTGCGAACCATCGGAAGACGCCGAAGATTCGTCAAACGACCGCTTCGGTGAGCGATACGATCGAGGAAGTCCAGAATCCGGCATTGGATAGGGTAGTGAAGCGGGAAGAGATTCAGGTGACGGAGAACGTGACGGAGGAAGAGGGATCTGCGAAGGTGTAGAAGGCAGTGCAGTCACTTCGTCGATCTTGACTATAGGCGGTTTCGACAATGAGGGTTGAATGCGGGTCCGCTTTGGCTCCTTCCCCTTCGAAGCTGGCTTCTTTGGCGGAGATGGAGGATGGTCGTGGTGATCTGGCGATGACATTTCATGCACGTTGGGCAGGCCGGCATGCGGACCACGAAGATTGCGAATCGATGAAAAGTGTTCCCAATCATGATATCTATGGGCAGATAAGTGACTGTGAACAACAACAAAAAACAGGATTACCAACGTACGCTACGTAGACGGTACCTTGAGGCGTGGTTGATTCGTCGTCAGAGTCTGGCGCAGGAGTCTGCACAGCAGGTTTCTCCTCTAGACGCTTCTGGTTGCGTTTGAGCTTACGTCGTTCACGCTCGTTGATGATAGCGGCAGAAGGGTCGACTTCAGGCAGGCCCAGAGAAGTCAACGAGGGTGCAGGTGCATCGGACGGTTCGGCACCTGCATCCCACTCTATCACATAAACAAGACCAGGTTGAATGACCTTGACATTACGTCTTGTCAAATGCGCAAAAGCGGATAATTCAAGGTGTCCGCCGTAAGTACCTGGTTCATGGGAAAAGAGTAAATCAGCGTTCGTCGAACTAGTCACGAGGAAAACAGCGCAATAAATGAAAGCAAAAACTGGAACAGACTTTTGGCTCTTTGGGAAAATCGTTAATAACAAATGACGAACAAGCAGAGCATGTCAGGACCATCCCACGGACGCCCGCTGTCATCCTACACATGACCATAGTCTGTCTCGAATTAATTTACGTCAAAGTGGAAATCACAACTAGCCAGCCAGCCGTTGGTCGCATTCCAATTATGTATCTAATGGTTGACTTCCGGAGTGTCTGGACAACCATCGTCATAGACAGCACCGAAGTCTGCGATAGATCACGATGTTTCGAGCGCAACGCACACGCCGAAGCTAAATGAGCAACGCGACCACGAACTCACCAGGTTGCCGCATACATTGAAGATGAACATCAAGTCCACGGTCGTCGTCTACGAAAGGTGCATACCGCTCTTTGTGTGCTTCTATCCAATTACAGAGCGCATGACGAAGTTTGAGATGATAAGTATCGGTGCCATATAGCTGGTCGGACAATGCGCGAAATAGGCAATTGCCGTCACCTAGCGTGGGCGCGGCATAAAGCCCAAGCCCTCGTAATTGCTCAGTGAGCTGTTGCGTGTTCTCCCCAACGTCGGTGAGTGGCTTGAACGCGATCGTTAGCACATGGCGGACATCAACTTAGATCGAGAGACGACATACCCTGCCTTTGCTCCTCGTTGTACGTGGTCGCACTGCGGGTGACGAGCAGCTCTGTCGTCAGCCAAAGCAAGGTTACTGTCTGCCTCTTTCGTGATACTCACCCTGCTGAGCTGGCCTTGCGCTCCTGCGCTTGGTATGGCCCATTCTCGAGGAGGAAAAATAGTTTGAAGAGGATGATGGGGGAAGGAAAGTGGGAGCGAACTCGGCCTACATCCGGGGTCTCCAATTCGGGTCGGACTTCGGACACCGGCCCATATTTGGAAGTCTTTGTCTGGACTCAACAGCACTCCCGTGCTTTGAACGTAAAGCTTGACGATAGCCTCACTGCAATATGATGCATTCTCTACCGTTATTTGGCAGCCAGGTAGTCGCGAGATGCATCACTTGAGCCTCTTACGATGCACAACCCTGACAGATGTTCTGCCGCTTTCACCCTTCATTCTGTCCGTCCACATCATCTGTCCATCATTAAAGCGGCTGGTGTGGGCTAGGTTAGTCTCTCAAGGCGGCAGAGTAGTAACTCAGAGTAGCCAGAGACGCAACCTTTGTGCCTCAGGATATCTCTGCCTGACGGCTCGGTGTGACTCGTTGGAAACATCTTCTCCCATTCAATCCTTCTGGCGACGATGATCTCCTCATTCACAGGTTCAAGCCGACATCGGGTGGTCCGCACACTGCAACAAGCATGGAGAGTAGCTCATCTGAGCAGGTCGATTCCGATGAATTTATTCATTGACCAATGACACGCAACAATCCCAACTTCATGACCAGTCAATCGAGCATAACAACAATATTTTGACATACAACCCGCCACCACCCCTACGAACACTCCTCGGGCTGCCCGAAAGAGACGGATATGACCCGAGCCCGTCGTCATTCAAGATACTATATATATAGTGCTTAAGGTCGCCGAGGATTCGCCAACAAGTTGACCTTGTCCCCGTTCGTAAGTAGGTCAGCTTTGTCGTCGCGAATGTAGCTTACTCGCTTACCTCGCAGGTTTCTTTAGCTTTTCACACTCCTTTCAACGACCTTTCTTTTGTTGCGACCATGATTCTGGTTGTCTACATGCTCCTTTTTATCTTGTTGACAAGTTGTTCCATTGTTTCGTCTTCCCCGATTCCGTAAGCCCGAGATAGCTTTCTGCAGGGGTTGACAACTCAGGTCTTCCGACCAAGCAGGTTGTTCTCCACGTCGGGTTCCCTGTTCATCGGGCAGTCCGATATTCTCAACGTATCGTGGGTACCTCCTCCAATGATACAGTTCTTACTACAAGTGTTAATAAACGACAACAGGACGCACGACCGGAAGGTTCAGCCTTTCAAAAGCATCATACCATCTCAGGCGAACAGCACTGGTGTAGTCGAGTCGGGACGTCAAGCTAATACCATTGATAACACCGAGCTCCCCGTTTCCCCGCTTCTGTGAGTGTCCTGTTTTGTTTTGACGCAATGTGCCGCTTAACGCATGTTCTGCGTTCGGCAGAGGAAAGCGATTTCTTGGTGGCGGAGATCTCATCAATTTGGCCAGACCTCTTGCTCTGCTCCAATTCGGTTCGACAGGAGTCAGCATCGGCCCAAATAGAGGAAAGGGCGGAAAAGGAAGATAGACCTCCAGACCGTCAGAGCCGCCGTAGATCTGAGTCTACTGCTTAAGGAAGATGCTGTAATGGATCTTGTTATTCCATGCAGGATCGAATAGCTTTTGTGAAGACCATCCGTATCTAAAGGATATAAGACATAGATTTGAAATAGTTGTAGGTGGACATTTATTTACAGAAATCAGCACAGCTCGTTGAGTGCCACTTGCCATTGGCCAGCATGAATGATCCTCTGATACAATTTGCAGGATGCCTGTACTGGCACCCAAAGATTCACTGACCAATTCACGACCAGTTAACTCAGCATAACAACAATCTTTTATTGACATGCAATCCGCCACCGCCCCTATGGATGCATCTCTGGTTGCCCAATTGCCAATTCTCAAGAGATAGATATGACCCCAGCACAGCGTCGTTCGAGATATTATATATAGTGCGCAAGACCTCCCCGGATTCGCTAACGAGTTGATCTCGTTCCCGTTTGTACGTGGGTCGGCTGTTGTCTTCGCGAATGCAGCTCACCAGCTTACCTCGCAGTTTTCTTTCACTTTTCACAATCTTTTAAACCACTTTCCTTTTGTCATGACCATCATTTTGGCCGTTCATACTCTCTTTTTCATCCTGTTGACAAGTTGTTCCATTGTTTCGCCTGCTCCAATTCCGTAAGCCCGAGTTAGCATTCCGCAGGCGTTGACAACTCATAGGTCTTCCGGCCAAGCAGGTTGTTCTCTAAATCTGGTTCTGCGCCCATCAAAGAGTCCGATGTGGTCAATGTTCCTAAGTACTTCATCCAATGATACAATTATTAGTGCAAGTACTAATGGACGACGAAAGAACGCACAACCGGACGGTCCATCCTTTCGAAAGCATCATACCATCTCAGGCGAACAGTACTAGCGTAGTCGAGTCGGGGTGTCAAGATAATGCCGCTGATGACAGCGAGCTTCCTGTTGTCCCTTCTCTGTGAGTGTCCCATCTTTGTTTTGATTCAGTGCATCATTCATCGCATGTTCCACATTCGGCAGAGGAAAGAGGTTTTCTGGTGGGGGAGGAAATCGCTTCAATTTTCCCCAAACGTTTCACCAGTTTCACCAGTTTCAGCCTGGTTCGGCAGGGACCAACTTCGGCCTGGAGATCCCAAAGGGAGGAAAGCATAGACACTGATACCATTCAGAACGTCAATGCTGCCCTGAGCACAATAATCAAGAAAGATGCTGTAATGGATGCTCTTGTCGCAAGCAGGATCGAATACGATTTGTGAAGTGCGTTCGTAAGGTTGGCCGAGGATATAAGACGCGGGTTCGTAACAGCTGTCGGAGGACATTTACGGAAAGGAATCAGCTATGTAGGATCGCTGTTTGAAATGCGCCATTACCCAGCATCAATGATCCTCTGTTACAACTTTCAGGATGCCCGTACTGACCTATTGATCGTTATCGCTTCAACAACAGATCGTCATCAAGGGCAGTGCCTCTGGCGTATAATTCAGTGATCGCGGTTTGAACGCAACCTCTGCTACGATAGCTGAACGGTATTGGATACATGATTAACGCACGATTATGGTAGTCCAGTATGTTGGCCGCTGCAGCTGGCAGCTCGGAAGAAGGCTATCTTCTAGACAGACGCTGTGAGTTATTAACTTTGAAGCACTACTCTGAGGTACTATCTCATGACTATGCGTTCTCCAACCACACTTTTGTTCTCGCGCAAGCCCTCATTACGGGTGGAAAATATGTTCATGATCAAGGCCTCTAGAAAATCAGTTGAGTTCATCACAGAGAGGCGCGGATTTTGACAGATGGTATGGCATCCACGTGTTGACATGTCTAAAGTTATCTCCGAACTCCTGTTTGAGCTAGTTGTATTCGGGATGATCGCTATGGAGGACGCGCTCGCGTAAGTCGTAGTTATAAAACAGCGGCTGTGGACAGTGCTAGCCTGTAGGGCCGGTTCCTCATTTTTATGGGCTTCATCACGACTTACACAAAGACGAAATTGTATGTATCAACTTGAAGGCTACCCCCACTATACGCATACCTCACATTTCGCTTTAATACAGATACCATCCTCGAAATTCCTATCCGTCGATTCCGCGCTATGGTTGCCTGTGACTTGTTGTTTGGCCTTATCACGCTCTTGTTGTCTCATATTCCAGTCCAGGCTTTGGTACTACCCGCCAAGTATGTATTGCACAATGTCAATTATGCGTTCGTCATCCAGTAACATTCATTTATCCGTCCTAGCCAGCACCCGACATTTATAGGCATACGTGACGATGTGAGCCGTACAACGCGCGATTTACCACGACTAGAATCAGAGCTCTACTATTACCACCTTCCACGATCTGCTTTGGCCCTCCCCAATGATCGTCAAGAGTATGTAAAATCATTTGCTCGGAAAGCACATGGATGTGCTCACCTAGCCTCCCAGTTTGCGTATACTCTCCATTGAGCAATCGTTAGGATCAAGACATCAGGACACGTCCGGAAGCGATAAAATACATCCACCAAGCAAGTCGACGGCTGACGGCCGTAGCCTAACCAATAGCCGTCGTCAGTACGTGTACATCTTCCTGCGACCTAGTCATTCACCGATAATTTTCAATAGACTCCCTACATCCTCGTTGAACAAAGGGACAGCGGATTTTCTGAAACGTCTGAAATTTGGTCAAAGTTCACTGTCTAGTGGCGTTCAGGTACTTACGTTCGCACTGAATCAGCAACAAGGCCAATCAACCACGAATAAACCGGGGACTCAGAAACAAATTGCGCAGAAATCTAAGCAAAGCCTACGGAAAGCGGCTGGAAGGGGACGAAAATCTCAAAGACACGGTAGGCAAGGGTGAAAGTTTTGAGAACAGGAATGGTGGTGGTAGCGACGTTTCGGATAATTTCAGCGAGCGCATGTGAAGCAGAGCTGCTGTATTCGGCTGATGGGCTTGGACCACGGAGCGATTCGTAGAGAAACAAGTTTCATACCGGTAGTGACGATCTTATGAGCATGGACGGTGCTCATTTTGTTGTGTGTGCCGTTTACGATGGCGGAGGGCTTTACCCTCTGTACACCGCGGTTTCTTCGATTACATTCCAAATAGTCGTTCTGCCGATGACATCAGCTCCCGTGGTCGTTGCGTGAAAATCAACCGCTAACTTTTGTCCAATTTCAAAGCTTCCTCAAGTTGCACACGGCGTTGCGCGTTCCTTAGGGCGTTCCAGCCCATATGTATGTTCACTTTGTGATTCCCCTTGATGACTTCTGTTGCTGTGAGCCAAGTAAGGAGAACTAAAAGATCGGATGCGACGGCGATTTAACAAGTGAACAGGATCAGATCAAACGTGCTGACCGACATACAGCTGACGGCCATCTCAGAGTAGATGAACTTGAATTGAAATAACAGAGTTAACTCACATGGTCCAAGTGCGTCGATTATTAATCTCGTCGTAAGCTTTGAAAGATCGGAAGTTTATGATCGTCACAAACTTCGTCAGGCTGTTGAAGTTGTACTGCCTCTAGCTAGTGTAAGCGTTCGTATATCACTGAACAAGATCAGCACATAACATTGATGATAGGCCCAAACACACTCGAAACAAAGATAGGAGCGAGGAAAGACCATCTCTTGCCACATTCTGCTTGTACTACCCGAAGACACGAGGATGCTAGTGGCGAAATGAGTATTATGGAAGGGATGGACTTGCCAGCTATCGTATTCAAACACATCATGTCCAAAATGTAATCCGCTTCTACGGGATACATTCAACCACTGTCCAGTGGGAAGCTATCGTAGATCAACTCAAGATTGAATTACGGTGATTTAAATCAGAGAGCTTACCGCAGAACATGATTGTACTGACTTGGTAAAAGACCAATAGAGTGTAATCCGTCTCTGGGTACTTTTGATGGCGATCTGCTAAGGAGAGATGTGAACAAGATGAGATGTCACGTCCGAATCGGCACTTACAGATACGAATATGCACTGATTCATTCAGCACTCACCCTACATGCGCTGTAAGTACAGCAACGATGCAGCCCTCCATAGAGTACGGCCAGTTGCCATAGATACATGCTGTTGAACGTGTTCGACTGAAGTCACTTGCCATATTCTGATAAACCGTGTCCTTCCGACCGGCACGGAAAACGTTCTGATCGTGTTCAATCAGACATACTGTCAAGCAAGGTCAATACATCTAGCAAGGCAACATTCTGCGTCGCGACTACTGTATCGTTCAAAATTATAACAATTAGTCACGTCACGGACTGAGGTTGTAGTGTTAAAAAAATGTAATGTAACGTCACGCAAAGGGTCCAATTGTAATGTGAAAACCAAATCGTCACGCAAGTAAGCTGTATGAAGTTCAGGAACTGTGCATATTACTGAAGCAAAAACTTCGCTTCGCTGCTCCTCATATTCCTCTGGGGCTACTTTCTTGAAATGATTCTGGATATCCATAGTGATGAAGCTGATAAAGTAAATATATAGGGAAGTTCCAACAGTATACAAATCTACTCAATGGTCTACCATATGTACTGAGAGCTCCGATCAACTGGTTAAGTATCTATCCGGACAACATTGATATAAGTTTGGGGCAACCGTCGGGATTACCTTTTTGTACGCACACCGTCACGCTCTTAGCAATGTTGTAATGGTCACGTCACGCTCACGCCAAATTGTTATGGAGCCTACCAGGTTGTTAGCGTCACGGCGTCACGGTAGGTTGTTATCATTTTGAACAGTACAGTACCTGTAGCCTGTACAACTGGGATATGCATCAACGGCGTGTGATCGGTTGTACAAGCTACTGCAAGTTGTTTTTGAGCTCTGTCTTCGAGCGAGACAGGATTTTAACAATCAAGGGGACGAGCCGGACCGTACGTACAGGCAACTGTCAAAAACGCTGAAGGCTTTCAAAGGTGCCCCGTGAGACGTCCTGAGAATTCAAAGTGGGCCGATGAAACCCCACTGAGTGTGGGAGGCTGGTATAATCACAATCCAGACCCGCATGTATCCACCTGCTGGCAACGATTTCCCAAGAGCTAGTCAGGACAATCCTTGTAATAGTAGCATTGATGATAATCCACCCCAAGAATTCCAGTATGGTATCAGTCACTCCATAAGTACAACGAAAGATTAAAAACGTCCAAGCAAAGAACGCAGGGTACTTTTTGCGAGAGATTCCATTAGTTAATCACCGAAAAACATGAGCGAAAAACGGAAAACGTACCTCAGCAGTATAGGTATAACAACATGTGGATATCGTCAAAATCACAGCGCTCCGTTAATTGCCGCGATAACCCCAGGCGTCGGCGCGGCAACAGCGACACCACCTGCTCCAATCGCACCGCCTTCTGAGCCCTCTGAACCAGCTGAAGATGTTGTTGGGGCAGAAGAGGTAGATACAGCGGAAGCTGAAGATGCAGATGCAGCAATCCCTCCTCCCTGCTGAGGTCCTGCGCCTTGTTGAGGCCCAGCACCTTGGTCACTCCCCTCCGAAGGTGAATCACCTGATGTAGAGTTTCCGTTGTCGCTATTCTGCGAATTGTCGGATTTGTGTCTGTTTGAGAGGGTACCGCCCACTGCCCCTCCAATGATAGCTGCCACACAGGCGATGGCGACTAGGGCAAAGATAATGATCCATTTTCGTGTCTTGTACCAAGGCTTTGGAGATGAGTAGAATGCAGGAGTCTCTTTTGTTCGACCCTCCTCCGCATAGTCCTCGTTAGGTGCGAGAGCGGGTGGTATGGGTGAGGAACTCCCTGATTTCGGAGCCTCTCTCGAGTTATCCAAGAGGTCGACGTTGTACCCTTCCTGTGAACAATCATTTAACCATTAGCGCCCAGTCTAGATCGAAAAGACGAGTTCACGACTTGCCTGCTTCTCCGCACGGGTGGCGGCCGGCGCACTCGCCAGGAGGCGTTCGTCGTAGTTGGACATAGTGGTGGAAGACGAGGGGAAAGGCGGGATGGATGGCCACTGCTGTCGTGCAGAGCGCTCCCCGTCAATATTGGGCACCGCCAACAAGGGCCTAAATTCGTCCTGACAGCGTGTCAAACATAGTCAAACAATAAGTACAGGCGCTGCCAATCAATATTTTCACCTTTTGTTGCTGGTAACGTCCGCCGTATCCTACGATTTTATTCGAGTTCGTATGGGATGAAGGATACATGGAAGGGTAGCAAAAACATCGCTTTCCGGGTCGCTCAGGTTTTATTCATGTAGTCAAGCAATGCGGCACTGTCGGGCGCCATGCGTGATGGAAAGCGCTGCTGCTTCATCCTTGTCTCAACTGTCAGGCCGCAAGGACCGTAGGGCATCATGGATCGAGGTCGCTCGCATCTTTGCAGGTACATAGTGCGGTATGGATATCAAGGGTGTTGCCCGGAAGCACTTGGGTAACGGTGTAGCCACTAAACCAAGTGTCGATAAATACTCATTTTATTAATTACGGTCTCAATACGGCATAGTGATGATTAAGTCGCTGTTTCTGCTTGCCTAAATGAGAACTTTTTGGTCCATACAAATATGTTCTGTTGGGTGAGCAGCTCACAAAACTTTTTACTGCCAATAAGCAAGAATGTTACACTCGTAATCATGTAACAGTGACCGTCCTCCTGCTACCTTCAAAGATACGTCATAACATCATAATTCTGCTGAATGCAATATTGTACGTATCCCTGTTTCTGTTGAGGAGTGCAAAACGACCCAAGACAAGGCATAGGAAAACGCTCGTTCGTTCTTACTTGGCTGCCATTCTGGGAAGGCCTAGCTGATGGAATCGATCGGTCCAATTTGAAAGCAAATCGGCTCCAAAGGCGAACTATTTCTCACAGCTCCCTGTTCTCCTCGCAGCAGGACGTGTGTTGACTGCGGGTCCTTCTCTTCTGATATAAAGTCACGAATCCGCAGTTCATCTTAACCCGAGAATAAACGCTATCTGACACCTTTGTCGCCTCTTGTCAGACGTCCATTGGTCAAATCTTGCATCCCAACTCCCCGTCTTCCGAGGCTCCTTCCGCTTTTATCGCCTTGCCCGGCATTTATTTACATTCCTCGTTGCAGCTTTATACCTGACCATGATCATCCTTGACGAGAAGATGGCCCTCCCTCCTCCCCCTCCGTATGCGTTCCCAGAGCCTGTCAGTCCTCCCCCGTTTCCTTTACAGTCTAGGATCGCACCCACGTTGGCGACGTTGCCTCCACATCTGCTGCTGCGGATAGTGTATGAGACGTTCAGCCAGACCTCTTCGATTGAACGACAGAGAAAGACTCTGTATTGGTTAAATCTCAACTTGCGGAGAGTCTGTCGTGCGATATATGTTGGTGCGTATCTGCTCCACAGGCCTTCTTATAGACCCTCTTTCATTGAAGACGTTGGATCTCTGTGCACCCTCTGAACGAGCAATGTGACTGCTATATGTCCTCTCGAAGAGCAGAGGGCCATCGAATATCGAATGATTTCAGAGAACACTCAGAGGTACTGACAACGAATTGTGGTTTCCTCTGACGACGTAATAGTCTTGGCATTCAGGTTTATCTGGGCATCAGCTCGTGTCCGGAGTGAACAAGTATTCTCTAGGTGTGGTTCATGAGAATCCATTCTATTCACGGCTTTCATGCATGGACGCACCATGGGAGTTCACTCTTGCATCTTTCCTATTAGGATTGCGCTCACCGATGAGGTTACTAGGCCCAATTGAGCCTAGAGTGCCTGCTATTCGTAGCTGTGACCGCAGTTAGGGTTCACCGACGAGACCTCAGTAGTTCTATGACCGAAATATGATAGAGCTGTGCTCAGACAGATCCACTCTTCATCAGTACCTGTTTCAAGTGCATTCAACCAGTTATACTGACATATGTGCCTACAGCATGCATGCACGTCCTCCGCTCGACCTTCCTACCTGCTTACACAGCACATATCCGCCCTCCCTATACCTCTGACCCATTCCCCCTAACATCGCCCACATCCTCGGTACCATCTTCTTCGATCCTTCCGTCATTCTCCGCTTTCCCCACAGACACCACCCTTTCACCTGTACTTTCTCTTCAACGCGAAACGCGAGTCCTCGATCTTTTCATCGCACTCAAAGTTCGAGAAGACGTCTGGCTGGATGATAGCGAACTTCATCTCGAACGCGATGAGAGTTTCAGGGATTTGTTCGATTTGATGCAGCCGAGAAGCAGGTTGGAAGACTTGGTGAGAGTTTATGGAGTTAGAGAGGGAGTGGTTAGTGTCCCGGGAGCAAGTGCTTCTCCGGTTACCACAGTCAAAGCAAGGAGCAGTTTGAAAGGACAACTAAACAGCGCCGTAATGACTGGTGCTGGATCGAGTGCGGCAGGCGGGCCTTCGAGGAAGCAAGACTTTCTTCCCTCGATTCCCTTTGCTTCGTTATCGGTATCATTCTCGTCACGTCGAGTGGGTCTCGTACTCACGACTCGCGAACGAAAGAAGACAATTGTGGAAGTGGAACGGACGAGAGGCGAACGGTTGGAAGTGGCTGCTAGAAAGTTAGCGCAGGAATTGAAGATGTGGATTGCCGCGATGAGTTAGAGACCATAGGGCTATATGCTAATGGCACACGGATATCTTACTGTACTTTTATCTACTGGGACTTTTATGATGAATTCGGATTAACACGCTCGTACTTGGACCCTTCGATTTGCTTCCGCTGCTTGACATTTGCATCCTGAGATCAGTGGGCTAAATCTGCGTATGTTCTTCAAAAAGAACTGTATTAGTACCCCATGGTTGAGTTGGCTACAGCGTCGTTTTCGCTGAAGATGCCGCACTGAAGACGTTCGGGCGGCTGCTATACTGGAAGTGTTCCTGCCATGATCCTGCCTTGACGCTTCGTGTACGAGACTCGCACTCATCAGCGGCATGCACATCCATCCTTTCTGGGGAAAACTTCTTTTTTGCTTCCATCATTCAATGACAATCTGCCCGAGAATCAATCCGATGAGAATTTCCAGCCTGGTGATTTTCCTCCCAATAGATCAGTAAGTTGGTCTGCCTAGGAGAGACAACCGCCACCGAGATCTATTCTGTTGTGATGACGCTGAGGACAAGGATCATGATCTATCATGAATTGAGTCCTGAGCTCAGCCTTTCGCTGAACATCATGGTTCGTCCAGATATCTATCATATGGATGGGGTTCAATGCGCTGATTCTGTTACCGGGGTCCTCCATAGATCCTGCACTCAGAGGGCAGTCCAGGCTCCAAGATCCAATACGAGGATCCTATCGTGATGCTTATATTTGACTCAGGTCGTTCTGTTCATCCTTGAAATATCAACACATGTGGCACTGTATCAGTGGATGCCTCCATCATCGTTATGGGACACGGAATTCTCATTGTGTTGGCATCTGCTTACATCTTCGTTCCTTTTGCTATCATGATGTTTCCAAGATGTATATAAGTCCGGGCTGGCAAACATGACGTCTCTCCAGCGGCGCTCACGTGAATCTGGCATTCATAGTATCAGCATAGTGCGTCCTCGTCATTCTTCCCTCCGCTCCGTAGAGCTGAAGTCGTTTGCGCTGACATATGTATCCCTTCGTCCGCAGTCTAGCAATCAAGTATAACCTACATATGCAGCCATGATGATGACCGGGTTAATGACTGTCTTTGGCCTGGTTGCCGCCTTCTTTCTACCTTCGATGTCACTTTCTATTCCTATCAAGTACGTGTTGTCTCATCGTCACGCATTGTCGTTGGACCCAGGGTGCTAATAACGTTGCAGTAAAGGAAACCCTGTCCAGCCGGTGTTAGTATCCTCCTAGTTTGAGTTGGACCTACAATAATAAGTTGCATAAATTCCAGGAAACCTCGTTTCTTGGATGGGCCCCCATCTCTTTTGAACATTGGTGGCAAACCCAATGGCACGTACGTACAGCCGCTTCTCTAATTATGTTTGCAGATATTCTGACAAGTGCCTTAGTGTCAACGCCTCCACAGTGTCGGCCCTTGAAGAAACGCAATTTGGTGGGCACACCCCAATTCTGCGAAGATCACAAGATGGCACTTCGTCAGAATCAGGGTAAGTTAAAGATAAACAATCGAATGAATGAGTTTCCCTCACATCATTTATTCAGCGGCATCGTACGTGTTCCACGAAAGGTACTCCAGTTGACAAGTGAAGAGCTTCAACGCTTGCGCACAGGAGTCTAGAAACATTGGACGATCTCTCCGAGCGAGGACTGAAACATTATCATGCTAATAATGAGTCTGCTGAATCTTCGGGACTGGCGACTAAATACATGTCTAATTCAGAATGCCTGTCTTGAGGCCACGATAGACACTGATAGACATCTTTCGACGTGATCATCTCCTGATCACGCTCATCAAGTTAATGTCGGCGGATTCCCGCGAGATGAGAGTCCTTGTTGAGGGAAAGGGCTGACTGCGGGGATCTTGTTTCGCGATGAACATGATTACTCACCTTGGGCTCGCCCTATTGTTCCTGTGTTAAGACAACAGGTCTTCATCAAGATTGTGACATTTGAGGTGCGATTCCAGTGCTCGCCGAACAGTGTGCTGTCATGAATTTGTTTTGCCTGACAGTTCAATCTCATCGTCAAAAGTCGTGTATTCTAAAAGACGCTATCTGTCAATTGGAGTTTTCGAGGACGACCCCTTGCAGGTCATTGCATCGAGGAGCCGGTCTCAACTCTATGACTACGTCTCTTCCATCCTAACTTATTCTGAAATACTTTCATATTTCTTGCTTCATAGGCGGTTGTTTCCGCGAAGCCAGAAATGTGATATGTACGGCCATTTTGACGACATCATGGTTGTCTCTATCAGCAGATATAGATGCAACGCTTCCCTGCATCCGAGAGAAAGGCATGTACAATCGTATGGGCGTTGATTATGACGGTGCCAGAAGCCCTGACAGTGAGAGCTTGGGAACGGCAATTGGTGGAAGATATATAAGGACAGATTATGCATACTAATCCTTAGCAGCGCTCACCAATTTCTCACTGTCTGTTATACTGGATATAACTTCCTGCCAAATTGCTCCCGCATTATGACAAGGGTCCCAACGCTAATTGTCCTTGTTTTTGCTTTGGTTTTATCAGCTATGTCCGCACCGCATCACGGCCCCCGCAGTTCCGGGTATAATTCCAGATTGTGAGTTCCATCAAACTCTTCATTGTTTTAGATTTGAGTAAACCTTTGCGATAGCTTTTTTGACACTGCAGGACCCATCATGGCTTTCCTCAAGTGAGTATCCAGCAGTTTATGACATCGACGCGCCTCAGGAACGTCTATTGGCATCATTAGTGGTGGACAAGACGATTGGAGCTTCGTTGGTGGATATCAACCTGGTGTGGGTAGTATCGGCTGACGTGAGTATGCCTAGTGCAACTTTGGCTGTACGCTAGAATATTCATATGAACACTGACGACGGTAAAGTGACGTTACCGAGCTCAAGTTGATCGGGACCATCTAGTTACACGATGGCGATGTAATGATGATAATGGCGCGGTATACATTCAAATCGGGAGCCATGTCAACGGGCACCAGATCTTACCGCAGAGGTGGACCAAGGCGTCCTCATATTCAGACATTTGCCATGCATACTACCCCCGAATACGATATATTGCAATTCACCAAGTGTTAGTTCAATGAGAACTTTCATATCGCAGGCGCCGTGTGGCTTCTATTTTAGTAGGTATATTTCATACCCACTCCAATATATAACAACGCTGCGTTGTCTCTAACAGCCAAGTTGATGGCGATACAATTTCACCTGGTTACATCTGTCCACTCTTCCGATGCGCTCATAATATTACCCTACAGGGGTGAAAATCAGTGATGCATTGTCTATTCCTTGTGTTTAGTTTCTTGATGCATTCTCGCATTCGTCTAGTTAGTCACTACAGTTTCGCCAGGATCAGGTTTTCTCGATGCTTTCCAATTGTATTACCCGCCCACAGAGGATCAGGACACAGGTTGTGATCAAATCATTCTAAGGGGAACAGTACTTAAGCACGGACGTGAGCATTTTGCCTCTTAGCAGCGCTCACAATTACCTGTCAGGCTCCATAGTACTGTGTATAACGGAGTTTAATCAACCTCACCACCATCGTTACACTCTTCAACTCCAAGTTTTCCTCTTGCATCTATCTCACGCATCAATCTACGTCGTTTCTTTCCAGCCTTGCTCACATGTTGGCACAAGCTTCATCAATCTTCCTGCTCGTTTCGACCATATTCGCTTCATCGGTCATTGCCGCGCCCACATTCGCCCATCCTGAGTAAGATTTTGTTGAGGGCCATACATATTTACCAACGAAATATTTTAATTAGCTTTTCAGACGGCCCTGGAGCTATCATCGACTACCTACGGTAAGCATTTTTCGTTGTTTGCCTTTGAGATCCCATACTGAGATGTGTAATATGTAATTTTAGTGGGTATGGTGGTAACGGCAACCCAGGATCATATCAACCTGGGTCAAGCTTCTTTGGCTAGGCTAGGGTATGTTTTCTTGCTCATCGAAATTCGATCGGTTTGTTCCAGGATGAGATTTAATCTAGTTTTCTGTAGCCCTCCCCTTGATAGACGACGGAAATTTACGATGTTTGCCTTAATATACTGTGTAGATGTTTTCTCGATAAGTGATAGCATGTTATGAAACCCTTGGAAGTGTAAACACTAGATTGAAGCTAAGGTCCATCGAGTCAACTTGAGGAATTGCCTTATGAGTCGCTGCGCAAGGGCCGATCGTGATCGCCTTCAAGCGCCGGCCTATTCACGCGGGTAATTTCTTTCTGCCGCTTGCTCTTCGACTCATACAAGGGCGATGACTTCAATCTGTTTCTTGGGAAGCATACCTTTTACGGTCTCGTGCGACCTGCCTTTCTTCTGGCTCTCAAAGCCATACGGTCAGCCGCAGCCGCTGACGTGCTCGATTCTTCCGTCGGTGATGTGGAAGGTCAGTCACGGTGTCATTCATAGATGACAGTCTGATAGGATGTGGATGTAGAACATCGCTTTTCTAGCTTCAACAACAGATTTTCCTTTTGAAGACATCCGTCTTGGCTGTATGCTATGGAAATAGCCCATACCTATACTTCGAAGATCCATTCGACCCCTTGGTCTATGCAAAGCACTGCGTGACATAGGCTGGATTTACAAGACAGGTGCGCATGAGCTTTATAGACGGCTCCAACAGTCTCATCTTGTGAGCGATATCGACGTTGACTGATAGAGAAGAACACTCGCCAAGACCTTCTGTCTACCTGCTCGGTTGCCGAGGTGCTAACGAAGTGCGACCCTCGCTCTTCCCTAGTCGGAGTATTCAAGGATCTTTAAGCTGGTAAGTGAGCAAGTGTTGCGCCGAAGTTGAAGCACCCAATGGCTGTCCTTGCTGAATGGCTTTTGTGAGAGCTGACTTAATGATGCACAAGAATATCGTCACGAGCCCACACTGCTCGACGCGGCTGCAGATTGAGAGTGGTGCTTGATCAGCTGCAGACTCGTAGACTGGCATTCAACGTTAGAACCGCCACTTTTCCGATACATTATTTTCACCCGTCGCTCACGCAACATACTTGGTCAGCGCGTCTCTGAAGTAGTACGGTAAATACGTTTCGTTGTTTGCATTTGGGATCTGATACTGAGATATGTAATATGTAATTGCAGCGGCTATGGCGGCAACGGAAACCTAGGATCATATCAATCAGGATCAGGCTTCTTTGGTTAGGGTAGGTTTCCTTGCTCATCGTAATTTAATTGGGAAGTTCCAGGATGATCTTTAATCTAGTTTGCTGCAGCCTTCCCCTCGATAGGCTCGACGGAAGTTTACAATTGGATATAATTTGGGAGAAGAGGAATTTATGCCTTGATATACTGTACAAATGTTTTCTCGACTAATGATAGCATGTCATAAAGCCCTTGGAAGTGTAAGCACCAGATTGAAGCACCTACCAAGTTCCATCGAGTCAACTTGAAGAATTGCCTTTATAGGTTGCTCCGCGGGGGCCAATCGCTGTCAAGCGCCGGCGTATTCACAATTTCTTTCCGCCGTTTGCTCTTCGACTCATACATAGTACTGCTAAGGGCGATGACTTCAACTCTTTCTTCGGAAGCATACCTTTTACAGTCTCGTGCGACCTGCATTTCTTTTGGCTCTCAAAGCCATACGGTCATTCGCAGCCATTGACGTGCTCGATTCTTCCGTCGGTGACGTAGAAGGTCAGTGTCATTCAAGATGACAATCTAGCTTTAACATTTTATTTCTAGCTTCAATGACTGCTTTTCTTCCGGAAGACACCTATCTTGGCTGTATTCTATGGGAATGGCTGAGACCTATCCTTCCAAGATTCATCGACCCTGCACACGATCCTTGATTGCTCGTTTTACTGGGCTGGACATTACACTGTCTTTCGCAAGCAGTGTTATGAATGATCTCATGGACTTGTTATATCTGATGCGCTCCTCGCATATCGCTACGCTGCAGTCTTCTTTGTTGCGCAGGAAGTGAACCTGTCGCGGAAGTAAGTTACCTGTCGAGGATCTAAGTGTGCAGACGCTCTGGTCAGACTCCGAGCGTCTTTTTCACAGTCCCGAAAGTACAGGCACAGGTTATGTCTCGAGCTGAGGCCATTCCACTAGTGAGCGTGCTATCTGTCACTTTCAGACAGCATTCACTTACCTCTCCCTTCGTCTGATGATTGTTGAGAGACTACCGCATACACCGGCATCTACTCGAACTCGAATAGGTTGCATGAGATATGACAACCGCGGGTGTACAGGGACATTCGCATCACTATTCTCCGTCGTCCCTCTGTTCCCTCAAACTTCATACCCCACTAAGGATCGATGTCACTGGATCCACAATTTTCTCGCAGCAGATAAGTTTTTCGTTCCTGAAGAATCGCGCATATATATATGGTCCTGCGATGATATATCGCGGGTCCCTTCAGGGTTTACACCAAGTCCTTCCTTGAATTATTCTCCCACAAAAATTACTGGAATCTCTGATGGTGAGGACCTATCCGGTTCTTCTGATTATGCCATGCTGACAGGAGGACTGACGCCGTCCAGCTTTCTGATACATTTGTAACTCCTCATCGACATTTCAATGGTTTTGTCTTGCCTCATGTGGTAACTCCCCCTCCCGCATGCCATCCTCCCTCTCAAGTGTCAAAGGGTCAAGAGGATCAGTCACTACGAGGACCTGTTTCGCTATCTTACCAGTCTTCATTTATTACGTTCGATAGATCCACCATCGTTGATTGCTGGATTGACCTGCACCGCGGCGCATCATAGCCATGCAACCACTGCTATGCAACCACTGCTGTTCGGTTGCCCAATGCCACACGCCGAGATCCCGACTGTAGCCAAACAACCCAATTTTTGTGGTACAGGACTCGTCTCTGATGGTCTTTAATCTGAGTACGCCTCAAGGACGTCTTGAATGACAAAAACATAGCCCTAGCCATTCTAGAATCCCACCGTTCCTATCGAAGTTGAGTTCATGGCGATCACGTTCTTTAGATCGAATGGGCAACAGATCCAAGGCGACGTCCGACTTCATGTTGCTGTGCATCCTAGGACTCTGCTAATTCTATTCAACATCTGCCTCGCTTCCGACTATCCCGCACGACAGATACCGACGAGGACGGGCAACGGAAAGCATGAACTTCATTGTGTTCTTTCCTAAGTCGAAACCAAAGCATCGCAACCGCGTCACGGTATTCGCCGAGAATCCAAACGATTCACAGATCTCTATACTATAGCGCTATGGGACGTTTCAGCCACCCAGGCCTGTTAGTCAAGAGACACTGGGAAGCTGCCTATAAATACTTATCATCAATGTTCTCCTGGCAGCGGATACTGTCTCTGACACGCCGATTCTGCCTGGGATTAAGCGCAATGGACAGCTATCGAATATGAATACCGACAGCGACTGCTCTGAAATCGTCGGAGTTGGTGAAGTATGCAATTGTTTTGCATTCGGGTGCCACGGCTCCACTAGCCCCAATGTTCGCTCACCTTGGTTGATGGTTGCTTTGGAGAGTGTTGATCCTTGGACTTCGGGGACCGTATTGTGGAGGATGAGCAGACAGATCAGCAGAATCGGTCAACTGTGAAGGTTGGTCATACTTGTTCGCGTGGTGATGTCGGCGTTGTTGACAAATGGGGTAGGATGAACGGTTCTCGCAGGGATGTATTTTTCTGGACAGCACTGGAATGAAGATCATGACAGTTGAAACCCACTCAAGCGAGGTCATCGGGGACTCGCTAAATCGTGAGCGTACTCGTCGCATGCTGTCGGTGGGCCTTCAAATGAACACTTTTATCCAAGAGGCTCGAGTCAGAGTACAATCCTCGTCTTATCCAATATCACCTTTGGCCGAATTAATTTACCATGAAGGTGAGGAGTGTCTCGTAGACTTTCGGTACCGAGTGCTGGTGTTGCACGACGCATTTTAGAAAGCCCAAAACTGCGCTTGCTGTCACTCGGAAAACATGATCACAGGTAGCGAACGATGAAAATGCATTGGCTTGGATGCCTCTTTCGGTCATAAGGCCTCGATGATGAAGCTCCCGTTGTCGAATCCCAGATGAGCCGTATTTCTCGACTACAGGACTGTTACTGAGCTGCATGCTCGTTCTCGACTGGCTGCTGTGTGAGTGATGGCCTCTTCATGGCCACTCCGCCACCTCACAGCTTTATGACCGTAGTCGCAAATCATTTATCCTGTGATGGGGGATTTCTCTCTAGGCCGGCCACTGCAGATCGCCCGATGCTCATGAAGGTCATGAACAGCAGCGCTTGTCCCTTCCTTGGCTAGCCATCCATATTAATATTGATCGAGTTCAGTATGGCTCGCTGTCCGCGAAGCCACAAGCACGAATAACTAGACCATCTCGCGCTCTCAACACCCAACCCCGATCACTCGCTATCTATACATCGCGACTTGAGTCCGATCCTGCGCCATATTCAATAAACACATCATCTCTCTACCCTCTAGGCATCTGCGTTCAAGGTCTCATAGCGTTCAGTTCCCCCGCGAGAAGTTAAGTAACACCATGTCTCACCCTTCCTCCTTTTGGCCTCATGGTTGACAACACGAATTAGAAAGAAAACAATCATAACTTAAGGTCCAAAGCCAGGACTGCCGAGCCAAATGTTGCGCGTTCCTGTGGCGCGCTCTGACTAGCCTTCAGTTGACGTCAGTGGCGGTAAGGTTCCAGCCGCGGTATCTGCTTACCATTAACCTGTGCTGTCTCGTGGCTCGCACGCGGGAACACTATCAAGACTACAGCCACCAAACAGCCACCACGAACTACACCAATGCCTGCCCCTATCCTCGTGCAGCTGTCCAGTTTGAATTGTCAGCTTCTGACGAGCTGAAACAACAAGCGTATTCGGTCTTGCTCGCGTGGCCGGTAACCCGATCTCCATGTGAGCTGCGCAAGATATGTCACAGGAGATCGTGCTAAGGTTGTATGGGGACGAAACTGAACGGCTTGGATAGGTTCGATAGCACATGGCAGAGTGATCGGAAGAGTGAGTTCAACTGCTTTGAGTATCAATGGTATCCTGGGTGCTACATTGGTGTTTAAATGCGACGTGCGTTGCTCAGAGGCGAAGGCGATTCCGGATTTGCGTCGATTAGTCGAGTTCCCTTTGCGGCATTCCATACCCTGACTTCCCTTCGTTCTCATGCTGGGGAGTCACGGAGAGCCAATCCCTTTCGCCTTTCCGAACTCCATTTGGAGACGGCGCAGCGCTGGACACTCCTCCATAGCCGTTATCACATTTCCGACGCTCCTAAAGACATTTAACGTCCATCCCACAATCCAAGCTCCGTACACTCAACGCATGATTTCGAAGACCCTCATCGTTCCTCCCGTCGAACCCGACGGTCTGCGTCCTCCATTTCGGATTCGCAGTAAGCATTCATGAAAGGAGGTTCCATGTCTCTGGCTCGAGTCTTCACCGATTGGACAAAAGCAGTAGGATGAACTGGTCTGCCGTAACGGCGAAGGTCGAGGAATGCCTTTCCAAGGGGGGTGGCTAATTGTGGAATAGCTGTACACCCTTGCCGCAAGTTATAGATAATCTCATTGGCCCCGGTCTGCACTGCTCGAGGTATAGAGATAGGAGTGCCGGCGGGGAAGCTGGGGATACCGCCGGGATGTTTAAGCCCTTGCCGCTCAGGCTGTCTCCTTTTTCGATCAGTGCAACAATGGACTTCAACGTGGCGTTATGTTTGGCCTTTTGCCGGCCTTCATTGTCGTTATTTTCGAGAGTGAAGAAAATCGGTTGTATCGGCAGGGAGGTGGTGTTTTACTCATATCGATCACCTGAATGTACTGTCTGTTATTTCAGCTCCCGGGCAACAGCGTTGTAACATGCAGCAGCGGTCGTCTCGCAGGAATGCAGCCTCCAAATTCGATTTTCAGGACGGTCCCTCCGACACATCAACCGGGTATTTGGGCCTCTTTCGGACTATCAATTCTGAACGGCTGTAGGTAATTTTCTCAGTGATGATTTGGAAGTCTTTGCGACAGAATAGGATAACTTGTCTCCCCGCCTTGCACGGAGATTTCGAAGACATCCTCCGCGCGGCCTACCTTGAGCGGGATTGAATCTCTTTTCCAACGAAAAAGAACTTCCAGCTAGATATTCCCCCAAATCAGAATGAGGTCGAGGGCGAGACCGAGCATGAGCACGAGAACGACACCGCGAATCAATGTTCTCGAAGTCAAGAAGGCCCCGACTTGGATCCGACTCGAGTGTTCAAAGATCCGTACGTCAGTCGAAGGTTACAGTTGGCAACACAGGCGGTTCCTGGAGTTCAGACGCACCACCGGAATCCATCGATCACTCGAAGACAGCGAGTTTCTCTGATCTGGCTAAGCTCTTGACTGAAGCATAACAACTCAAGGCATCCTGGACAGATGATGTCTTTTTGGACCACCGACTGGTGTCGATCTGTAAGGTCTGGTCAAATTTACGGTCGCTCGAGTGTCTGGACATGAACCACTTTCTACCTTCCATTGTGGTGTTCTATCTGACGATCCCGCTCAGCATTGTGCCTTTCAAATTCGTCGTCCATTGATCACTCTCCTTACCCCTTGGGTTTATCTCCCCTTACTTTCCGACCCCACTGGCAGATCGGAACCGCCCTACGCCCTTCCCGCCTCCAGGATCCGATTCCCCTTCCAGAACTCTTCACTCTTCCCGCTCATAGCTCTACAAAGGCCTATGATCTAGTGCCTTTTCCGAAAGGAAACTTCCCGATCGTAAAGTGCGAACACGATCGGAGGCAAAGCCACGCGAGGAGTTCACTGCTTCAGCGCCTCCTGGTTTCTCTTGCCCATTAGCTACCTATCTGGGCGTCGATTGGAACAGATTTGGGTGAATACTGAAGGGAGCGATGTGATTGGCTGGAAGGTGACGGTCAGTCCACAATCGGTAATCGAGCTTGCGGGGAAATGTTTCAGGTTTAGCCCCTGAGTGCGGTCACTCATCTACTCAATATGAAAGCCTGAATCTCAAATCTCGCGGTTACTTTGCTTAAGCATTGGCTTGGGAGGTTTGTCAATTTCCGACAAAGGGACTTGTGCTTTACTGACAATTATTCGAATCGGAGGTATATGCACACGTGTGCTCATTTGCTCGAGGGTTTGGTGAAAGTCAGCAAAGGGGCTCCTCTGTGTCCTTCCCGAAGTTGTGGATGAGTTGACTCGTTCTGAGTCGATACTCACTCGATCAGGAACGAGCTGTTTATTGGTATTTGAGTTTGACTTTGTCAGCTCGCAACTCATGGGGTCACTAAGCTGAGTCTTTCCTCGGACTCATTGCGTCGTCTTACGCATGTAGACTCAAGTCGTCGAGCTACGTCGTCATATTCACGGGAAAGGACGGCGATAAGCAGTAGCAACCGCAGCAGAGTTCTGCTAATGCCGTCGTGATTATTCACAATACATCCTGATGATTCGGTTCAACTTCCAACTTCAAAGTTTTGCTTGCCCATTATGGATAGCAGTACGTACTGACTCATCCACGCTGCACGAGATATGCTCAACTCCAGTTCCGCTTCCCGTCACCCCAAATCCACTCATCCCTCCCGCCTATTCGTAATTAGACTCGTACTCCTCAACACCAACTTTTCCAGCTCCTCGGCCTTAACCATTTGACCCATCCTACGTTAAAGGTTCAACCGTGGACCTTTCCTTACGGTGAAGTTGTACGCGTGACTACCACCATCGCCAACGGGGACGAAGTCGATTGCCAATCTGATTACTGGATGATCGAACATGTCTACATCTTCCCGCTAGTCCTCGCTCCGCCGGTCCCCCGTGTCTGCGGTCCAAGAGCTGTAAAGCATGTGGCGGTTCATCGTGTTGTAATAAGCTACTTGCGATGTCCTTTGGGTTTACTTACTGTGTCTCAATCTACTGATTGTTTTTCCTTAGTTTTCTTCGGATGTGGATTTTTTGGATAGTGCGCAGGCAGGGTTTCCCTCCGAGCTTTATGTTAAATCTCAGAAAATTGTAGACTTACATATGTCTGAATGGTTCAACTCATGACTTCATTACCGCTAAAGGCATAACGGTAGGCCTTTTCACCAACATCTCTTGTTCACCTCGGCTGCTTCGCGTATAGCTTCTAACTCTCGCCAATAGTACGTCCTATTGTCTCTTCGTTCTCCGCACACTCCCCGCGAGTCGGCTTGCAATAGCGAGACATACCCGACGTCGCTAGGCTAAAGCAATATTTGACGAGGGGCCTACCGTTTTGCTTTCAGTTGTGATTTGTTACGATCTTGTTTCTTTGGGGTGGATTTCCCTCCGAGCTTTCTACCAAACTTGAGAAAATCACAACGCTTTGATTCGGGTTGGCAGACGAAGGTATATGTGTATGTAAATGGTTAACCTCTGGCTCATGGTTTCGTTAATAGTTCTAATGACTCGAATCTTTTCAAGATTCAATAAACTGGCACTTTTCGAGCAATCAGTGAACCTGCGGTATAGTGGGGAGTGACGGGCAGACCACCACGCCGAGATCGCCTACACCATTCTCTCAACTGAAGTGCTCGAGAGGTCCAAGGACTGCCGAGCAGCTCTTTACTTACCTTCACACATCCAATTGTTTACAGAACATCTTCACGCGACTTGACTCCACCGTCCAAGACCCTTTCCCTATCTACACCCGCCTACGCCTCCCCCTCCTTTTCCTGTTCAATATCGCGATCTTATTCTTGTTCCAATCTAGAACTCGAGCTCGCGTTCCGCTCTCTCCATCTTGAAGTAGGTAGCCACCAATCATTTCCCTCGCTGCAGCATATTCCTGCTTGCTGCCGTCTAACATTGTGTATTACACTACAACAGATTTTTAATAATAAAAAACACTGGAGTTCAAAATTAGAAGAAAAGAGGAGACGGGGAAGTCTGGTCATAACACCATGGCGGGGCCGGAACAATCGTTGCAAGCATTCAGTCGTTCCGAAGGCCATAGGAATAACAAGGGCCCTGGTCTCAATGCCTATGGCACAATTAGACCTGCCGCAACGCTTTCGTGTTAGCAATAAAGTGTTGGAAGGTCAGAATGTCTGTGGGCAGTGTGTTCGGTCTAGACTGATTCACCGAAATGAGGACAAAATGATACATTGAGATGAGAAATTATTCAATGGCCAGGCTGTATGTATGTGCACGATGAACTCGACCTCTGTAGTAGTACTTGTGCACCACGAACGACCGGTCGCCGGATGTCCATGATCAATGAAGCTTGAAACTTTGAAGACTCATTCGCTCGGCGGCCATAATTAATATATCTTTCGGCCTTTAGTATTCTAGAGATGTTTGCTATACGGTAGTGCCATGGAGAGAAGACACGTGGATTCCACATGTACGAGTTGAAATGTGTATTGTTCGAATCAGATGAAAGAGGATAATTTATTCGATTGCCAAGGTCGTTGCGATTGAGACACCGAAAGAGCTCGGAGAAGTGAATGGATTCGGATATAGCTATGATGCAAAGCCTGCCTGAGATTAACTAGCGACGGGTTGGACATGTACATGGACTGTACCAGTACTGTCTTTCAACCGGAGTTGCTCAACTACCAGAGTTGCTCAATTTCGCTCCGGGACCTGCTGTAGTTCCATCACTGACCTCAGAACCTGTATATAAAACGTGTACGCTCCGTTTTACTCAACTATGGAGAAACAAATAAGAAAGGTGAAGAGAAAGCAGATGCTGAAGGGACAATTTAAGGTCTACTCCCTAGCGCCACCACATGTTGCAATTATATAGCCAGCATAGCCTCATCTACTTACATCTCACAAACACCTTTGGGATTTGAAGGGAATGCCTATTCAGAATGCTGCTACAAATTATTAGCCCGACATGCGTGGATGTACTGCTGTCGTCGAGGATTGTTGGTCCAAGACCCACCAGATGGCTGAAACTTAAATCTCCGACCGAATATGTAACGCCAAATACTGTACACTGTGGCCACGCTCGTCGGGTCCTGTCGGACGTCGAAAAGAAGTGCGGAGCTCGTGATGCTGCATGATTCGACTGTGGCGCTTTTGAGCAACTCTAGTCCTTTTTACACGCTCATCCGGCATCTCTCTGGCATACATCTGTCTACTCGGCGTTTTACCATATTCTCAATATTTTACAGAGGAGACCCAGGGTTACCTAAGTATCTTTCTTTGACTTCAAATCATCCAACCGTTGTGCGGAAACTGGCGTACAATCAAGCTTGGGCAACTCTGGTGGAAGCACAGTATAGAGCGCAAGAGAGTTCAAACGTTCAAACGTTCACCACCAACTCAAACCGTCATGCCCCCGCGCTCAAAAGATGCTGTGTATAGTGGTTACGCAATGTTCGTCGACGACTTCAAAAAGTTCTTTGTGACTCTGCAGCCAAATCTCGCCAACGAAGCGCTACCCAAATATATCATGGTCTACGACCGTTGGAGACGACGCCTTGACAAGGCTGATCGCTCCAGGGTGCCCAAACTGAGACGTGCGTCCCAATAGATCTACTTTCCTATATTACTTATCTGCTTCAACACTACACTCGTAATTTTCAGTCGTTCCTTTTGAGGGCACAACACCGTCGGGCAGGCCTACTGAAGATAAGGTGGAGAAGGCGTTCTTCCCTACTCGTTACGTGCGGTACACGAACGCCGCGCAATTACGTCGCGATGAAGAGCATCAGAACCTTTGGAAAGATAATGAAGTCGATAGAGCGCTCCTTGCAGAGTTCATTCGCTTCGTGGAATCCCTAGGTGGCAAACTGGATTCGACGAAGGTCCTTGACTTTGGCTGTTTCCGGGACTGTCACCCAGACTTCTTGGGAGATGTGCGTTTTCTAAACTATCTGAGATTCCCACACACTGCTCAACCGTACTTTCAGTTCTGAATACGAAGCCACCGTTGAAACATATCTCCGGGCACGTGTATAATACTCGCCACAATCTTGTTTATAATTTATCACACCCTGTATGGCATCAACAAGCTGTATGTGACTAGGGGCTAGTCCTGGTTGAGAATGCAGGCTGGCGGAGCTAGGAACTATAGAGTAATCCTAAGTCTAAGTACGTAGGCTTGATGTAGGTACGTGTACATCTTGGTCTATCGAAAGCACTGCGTGACATATGCTGGACTTACAAGACAGGTTCTTTTGATTATGCCATGCTGACAGGAGAACTGATGCCGTCCGTTTTCTGATCCAGTCGCATCTCCTCATCGACATCTCAATAGTTTTGTCTTGCTTCATGTGATAACTCCCCCTCCCGCATACCATCCTCCGTCTCAAGTGTCAAAGAGCTAGGAGTATCGCTCACTATGAGGACCTGTTTCGTTACCTTACCAGTTCTCGTTCATCATGTTCGTAGATCCGCTATTGTTGGTTGCGGGATTGACCTGCACCGGGGCGCATCATAGCCATGCAACACATGCTGTTCGGTCCTCCAATACCACACGCCGAGATTCCGGCTGTAGCCAAACAGCCTAATTTGTGTGGTCCAGGACTCATCTCAGAGGGTCATCCATCCGAGTATGACTCAAGAACGTCTTGAATGACAACATAGCCGTTCTGGAATTCCGCTGTTTCTGTCAAAGTTGACTCAACGGTGATCACGTCCTCCGGATCTAATAGGCAAGAGATCCAAGGCGGCGTCCCACTTCATGTCGCTGTGCATCCTAGGATTCTACTAATTCTATTCAACATCTGCCTCGCTTCCGACTATCCCGCACGACAATACCAATAAGGATTGGCAACCGAAAGCATGAACTTTTGTTCTGTTCTTTCCTAGGTCGGAACCAAAGCATTGTAACCATGTGACGGTGTTCGCCGAAAATAAAAACAACTTACAGTTTCCTATGCTATGGTGCTATGGAATGTTTCGACAACCCCGGCCCGTTAGTCGAGAGACACCGGGAAGCTGTTATGAACACCTATCATCAGTGTTCTGCTGGCGGCGGATACTGTCTCTAACATGCTGATTCTACCTGGAATTCGGCGCACTGGCCAGATATTGAATATGGATACCGACAGCGGCTTCTGTGGAACCGTCGGAGTTGGTGAAGTGTGCAATTATTTTGCATTCGGATGCCACAGCCCCACTAGACCCAATGTTCTTTTTCCTTGGTTGATGGTTGCTTTGGAGAGTGTTGATCCTTGGACTTCGGGAGCCGCATTGTGGAGGATGACCAGACAGATGGGCAGCAACGGTCAACCGTGAAGGTCGGTCATGATTGTTCGCGTGGTGACGTCGGCGTTGTTGACAGATGGGGTAGGATGAACGGTTCTCGCAGGAATGTATTTTTCTTGTCAGCGCTCAAATGAAGATCATAACAGTTGAAAATCACTCAAGCGAGATCATCGGAGACCCGCTGAATCGTGAGCGTACTCGTCACATGCTGTCGGTGGACCTTCAAATGGGCATTCCTATGCAACTCTGAGACTCGTCGACGAGGCTCAAGTCAGAGTACAATCCTCGTCTTATCCAATATCATTTTCAGCCGAATAAAGTTGCATCAAGATGAGGAGCGTCTCGTAGACTTTCGGTACCGAGTGCTAGTGTCGCACGAGATATTTGAGAAAGTCCAACGCTGCGCTTGCTGTCGCTCGGAAAACATGATCACAGGTGGGCGACGATGAAAATGCATTGGCTTGGATGTCCCTCTCCGTCGTAAGACCTCGATGACGAAGCTCCCGTTGTCGAATCTCCAGATGGGCCGTGTTTCTCGACTATAGGACTGTTACTGAGCTGCATGCAGCCTAAAATAGGCGCTATGTGAGTGGTGCTTCCTTTGTTGTCCACTTCATCACCTCACAGCTTTATGACTATAGTCGCAAATTATTCATCCTTTCATGGGGGCTTTCTCTCTAGGCCAGCCACTCAGATCACCTGAGGCTCATGAAGATCGTTAAGAACGGTGCTTGTCCCTTCCTTGGATAGCTATGCATATCAAAGGTGATCGAGTTAGGGCTCGCTGTCTGCAAAGCCACAAGCACGAACAACTAGGCCATCTCGCGCTCTCAACCCCCGACCCTAATCATTCACTATGTATCCATCGCGACTTGAACCTGGTCCTGCACGATATTCAATGCACACGTCATATCTCTACCCTCCAGGCATCGCACCCGAGGTCTAAATAGCGGTCAGTTCCCGCGCTCAGAAGTCAAGGAGCCCTCATCCTCCCTCCTTTTGGCTTCATTGTTGGTAACACGAATAAAAGACTCACCTTAACCTTAACCACCACTGCCGGGCCAAATATTGCGCGTTCCTGAGGCAGGCGACTCTGACTATACTGTTCAGTTGACGTCAATGGCGGTAAGGCTACAGCTGCGGCATCTGCTTACCATCAACAAGTCTGACAATTTCGACTCTACTATCTGAGCAGTGGCCTGCTGCGCCTTCTGGGGTTGCTGCCGTCTGGGTGAACTAACCGTCCCCTCCCGGTTTCTTGTCTCGCCGCTACAAATCTCAATTTTTCGATTTCTCGTATTTACAAAATCTCCCCCCTCTCTCGAAGTTCCGTCTTCCGCTCGCAAGCCCTCAGCGAGGACTACCTTGTGGGGTCCTGTCAGTCCGACCTTGAGTCAACGGTGAGTTTCCTAGCAACTGCAATTTTCTCCGCAAACACATGGTAGAATTTATTGTTGACTGTCACAATACCACCGCCATGGTCACATGTTACAAATTGCGTGTACGCTGAATTACAAGTCATCATCCCCATCCTCGTCCTCATCCTCGTCCTCATCCTCGTCCCCTGCCCATACATCCCCATCTGTCTCTACGCTAAGGGTATATATCCGGTTTATCTCTTCCACAAACCTGGGATCAAAGATGGATATCCATCCATACAGATTACGGAACTTATTGCTGTTTGGGTCATTGCAAAGCACACAAGCTTTATTCTTAATCATGGCAATGCCCAAAATCCTCTTTCTCCACCTTTCAGGACCGATGCGATCGAGGTTGTCAGAGACCTGGCGCAGCAAAGCCCAGTTGTCTTCCTCTTTTGATGCAACCTCAATGAGGATGCGGACAACATCCCATTTGTTGTTGTTATCAATGCCACCACGTCCCCAATACTGACAGACAATGAAATCGGGGTATCTCCTCACATCAGTGACGCCCACGCCTGATAACAGAGCTTGAATGTCAGTATTTGAGTAAGGAACAGTTTGAGATCAAGTTTATACCTTGAGAGTCAAAGGAACGGTCTCCCGCGTCTGTGTGAAAAGTGAGAAACTACGCACTGATATACAAACAGATGACCTAGCTTACCGCTATCGGCATCACTGTCATCGGGCTCGCCTGCATCCTCTTCCCTCAGCAAAGCCTGTGGCTTAACTATGAATCGGTTTGGCAGGAACTTGTGACCCTGGAGGTAAGCATTCAAAGGGCCATACACTTGGAACTGGCTCTTCGGTGGGTGGGCCTTCCAGGAGTCAATGCGACGTTGAAGGGGGAGGGGGAGGTTGGCAGCGGGGTCGAATAATTTCTCCATAGCACTTGGAAGATTAGAGAGAGCTGCTTGAGAGCCAGTGCATTTTATCCTACCTCTACAGGGTGGAGAACCTTGTTGATTTTCACCGATGGTCGGTCCGTTGGTTGTTGCTTGAAATATGAAATAGGACAACAATGTCAGGATCTGTCTCGAACAATGAATGACATTCCCTGCACACGGCTTCTGAACGGTGGTGGGTGTACACAGAAGGGGACGTCGCCCATTGTCCTCTTGACTTAGGGCAATGAGCACCATTGTCCCCTTGAGGACAATGGGCAAGGATTGAACTGCCAAGGTGGGCTAACAATGGTCGTATGCGGCGCACTCGAAATATAACAATAACCAAAGTCCAACGCACAATGGCCGGTCAGCAAACCTTCGAGTTATCAAATTTACTTACCCAGTTTGGCCCGGTAGTCACGTGAACACACACAAGCGTACATATGGAGCGCGAGAGAGTTCAAACGTTCAAACATTCACCACCCATCTCAACCCGTCATGGCCCCGCGCTCGAAAGATGCTGTGTACAGTGGCTACGCAATGTTCGTCGACGACTTCAAAAAGTTCTTTGTGACTCTGCAGCCAGATCTCGCCAACGAAGCGCTACCCGAGTATATCATGGCGTACGACTGTTGGAGACGACGCCTCAACAAGGCTGAGCGCTCCAGGGTGCCCAAACTGAGACGTGAGTCCAATAGATCTACTTTCCTGTATCACTTATTTGCTTCAACACTACAATCGTATTTTTCAGTCGTTCCTTTTGAGGGCACAACACCGTCAGGCATGCCTACTGAAGATAAGGTGGAGAAGGCGTTCTTCCCTACTCGTTACGTGCGGTACACGAACGCCGCGCAATTACGTCGCGATGAAGAGCATCAGAACCTTTGGAAAGATAATGAAGTCGATAGAGCGCTTTTTGCAGAGTTCGTTCGCTTCGTGGAATCCCTAGGTGGCAAACTGGATTCGACGAAGGTCCTTGACTTTGGCTGTTTCCGGGACCGTCACCCGGACTTCTTGGGAGATGTGCGTTTTCTAAACTATCTGAGATTCCCACGCACTGCTCAACCGTACTTTCAGTTCTGAACACGAAGCCAGCATTGAAATATACCTTCGACACGTGTATAATAGTCGCCACAAATTTGTTTATAATTTATCACTCCCTGTACAACATCAACAAGGTGTATGTGACTAGTGGCTAGTCCTGCCTGAGAATGCAGGCAGGTGGAGCTAGGAACTATAGAGTAATCATAAGTTTAGGTATGCAGATTCGATGTAGGTACGTGTACATCTTGGTCTATGGAAAGCACCGCGTGACATAGGCTCGACTTACGAGCCAGGTGCCAGCTTTATAGACGGCTCCAACAATCTCATCTTGTGAGCGATATCGACGTTGACTGATACAGAAGAACACTCGCCAAGACCTTCTATCTGCCTGCTCGGTTGCCGAGGTGCCATCGAAGTGCGAACCTCGCTCTTCCCTAGTCGGAGTATTCAAGGACCTTTAAACCCGGTAAGTGAGCAAGAGTTGCGCCGAAGTTGAAGCACCCAATGGCCGTTCGTGCTGAATGGTTTTTGTGAGAGCTAGCTTAATGATGCGCAAGAATATCGTCACGAGCCCACACTGCTCGACGCGGCTGCAGATTGAGAGTGGGGCTTGATCAGCTGCAGACTCGTAGACTGGCGTTCAACGCTAGAACCCTCACTTTTGCTATACATCATGTTCACCCGTCGCTCACGCAATATACTTAACTAGCGTGTCTCTAAAAGCACGATGACCGGCGACCCCGCGTAAGCAATGCCTCAGTCATTTGCTGAATTACATTCAGGAGGCGACACGGGTGCCACAAGGCGTTCCAGCGAGAATAGGATTTTGCGAGTACAATATTACGACATTTCGTGTGACGAATGCCCGATGTGATCTGCCTAAACGGGACCTCTATGCATAAACGACATTGTCATGCCTAAGTAGTGGGATCGTAAGGTGCGGTGGAATATAGCCTGTGTGGAGTAGAAAGAATAGACAACGTCAGTCAGGTTCCGCCCGAAAAAAAAAACGCATGACATGGAGTCAAGAATGGAATGGGGAGAGTCAAAACGAAAGTACGGGTGGTTGAGATGCTAAAAAGCAGGGGGAATGACCCAGAGACGAGTCTCCGGAGTGAGAAATAAGGCACGGCACCTCATCGAGCAGTGAGAGTAACCCACTGGCCGGGATGATGGTGGGAATGTAGAAAGGCACGGAGTCCGTCACGGGGACAAACCTGTATCCGGCGCTCGGTGAGGTAAACAGCGGTGAGAACGGCACCCAACCAAGTGTAGAAAGCCTCACGGACCACAAACGGGGTGCACGGTGAGTGCAAAGCAAGAGCCGTCAACACCAGTCTCGTGAATAGATTGGCATGTCGAAATCCCCGATGCCATGCGTCAGAACAACATTGCAATAGCGTGAAGTGCAGACTATATGTAAACAAGAAAGAATAGACTAACCAATAAGTTGATCAATTAATGTACCGTCGTCCATATGCTCATCTCGATGCAGTATCCTCATCACTTGTCCGTCGTATCTGCCCCTGCTCAGCTTGCAAAACCTCTATTGGCGGAGGTATTGAAGGTGGTACCTCAGAATGGGAAGAAGGTGGCGGGTCAGCCAGCGGTTCAGATAATGTTGAATGTATTTCAGGTGGCGTGACAGGGATAAGCGGTTGGGCGGATGAGGACAAACTCGAGTGAGCCCCTCGCAAACTAGAATTACTAGCCTGGGAAGAGACGACTCTGGTGTAATTCTCCGGAAGAGCAGATCCTCTTGGAGAGGTGTCGTTGCTACTTTGAGCTGTTGCGCTCGAGCGACTAGCCGCCCTCGACGGCAGTGTTGATATTGACGTTAAGGATGGGGGACGAGGAGATGTGGCTTGTGAAGCCACAGGCATCCCGCTCAGACGGGATAGGATGGCCGGCACTGGGGATGCAATGGCTTCGCCGAATGTTGGCGGTGGTGCAAAGTAGCCGTCATCGATTGGTGGAGGAGTAGGAGGTGGTCTATCTGCATAGGATGAATCCCCTGGGTCCCCTGCAGGAACAGGACGATATGTATTCCACGATACTGATGCCAAAGGTGAATGGATCGAGGTTGAAGGAGCCAGCAGTGAATCTGTGGGTTCCGGGGAGTTCGATGGGACATATGGAGGAGGTGCTGTGGGTACAGTGCCAGGGAAGTACCGAGGGATAAACGGGGCCGGCCCTTGCATGGGCGGTCCATCCTCTGACGCATCCGTATGGAACGACTCTCCAATAGATGCGTCTGACCTTCGAGTCCGCGCAGCGCGATACTGACGATCACGACGCTGAGCTGCTCTACGACGACGGTAGAGAGATAGTGCTAGCGAAAGTGATAGGACAGCTAGAAGGCCAACTGAACCTCCAACTGCCCCCGCGAAGGTAGCGACATTATGCGATTTTGTCGAGGTTGAAGTCGACCTAGGAAGAGAGGGCATCGTCACAAAGCGTAAATGAAGTTCACGTCGTGGAGGTGAGTTGTAAATAGGATCGTCGAGCAGAGCAAAGTGGTAACGATGGTCGTGGTGGAGAGAAGTTAAGAGGGCGAGGGAGGGAAGAATCCACGAATTGGCGGCGGACGATAAAGGAACGAATCATATCAGGGGAAGGAGGACCATCGCACGTCGAAGCACACAGGGGGCAAGCAGCGAATAGGAACACAGAATGATCAGCCAATTGAGATCACGCTCCCGAAGTATATGCGGAATTTATACGCACTGTGTTGGACCCGTGCTTGGCGCACTTGAACCTGCTCCAGAAGTACCCGACGAGCCGGGCGCGCTCCAAGTGGTCGACACAGCGTTGTCGGTGTCATTCCCACCGCCGCCGAACCCATCGTCCTGGCTGTAGATAATGTAATCTAGGAGAAAGACTGAATCTGGCCCTACGTTGATTGTGAGAGCGTGGAATCCTTCCGGAAGTCCCGTTCGAGCAAAGATAGGCACTGACTGTTGGAAAGCGGAAGGAGCAGGTGTAGGGGAAACGGGAGATTGGGTTCCGGAATGGCTGAAGTCTCCTGCCGGCTGCGAATCGAGAGTGTACGTGAGATTCACAAAGGTTGGAGTGTTGTTTGCCGCGGCGGGGAAAAGGGGGATCAGACCGAAGACGTATACAGCGGACCCTAGATAGAAAAAACAGGTCTAAGTTAGCATGACGATCTAATCGTCTAATCGCAGAGTTTTGCAATTCTTCGGGCGATTATACATAATTGACCCAATCGCAATACCATTTTAAACTCACCAGTGAAATTGAAGTTCGCCAACACGGGTGTATCAACGAATCCTTCGTCATCGCTGTCAAGTTTTGGGACAAAAAATGGGTTGTCATCCGCATCTTGCTGCCTACGAAACCACTTCTCCCTTTCTCTAACACTTCTCGACGCCCTTTTATCCAGTCCGCCCTTTCCCCTCCCCTTCCCTTTATCCTTGTCCTTTCCGTCATTATCATCATCCCCGTGATTGTCGTCGTCATCATCGTCGTCGTCGTGTTCATGTTCGTCATCGTCCTTGACTTGTGTGGGCGGCGGCGGCGGAGGGGAAGGTGGAGATGGTTTCCCTGATGGTTGATCATCTGTATCATTGGTGGCATTCTCGTTGAGATCATCTGCGTCGAAAGTGGGGATAATGTGAGTCCCGTCATGCCAAGTGCCCTGATACGCCAGGTCGCTACTAGGAGCCAAGCACGTGGCACATTGATTCGCAGAAGAGTGCCATGAGGTTGCAGGGGTATAGACTATCTCGGAAGAAGAGTCATCGACAGTACGATTGACGAGTTCGGCATTAGCGAATACAGCAGAATATGACAGCGCCCAGAATGGATGCCTCCGAGCTACCCAGTACGTAAACCGCGACAAGTCTGGCGACTCAAGTGATAGGAGCGCGACGAAAAGGAGAGGGAATGGAATACAAAATCGTGACCTTCAGAATGTTACGTTTGTTCGCATGGTAGCACTTTGTACGTAACTGAATCTTTGCTCACCTCATGTCGCACATTAACTACTTTAATCCGAAATTCAGCGTCCTCCTTTATGAAGTAACACCAGGAAGTAAGACACCGGTCATGCAATTCGGGCAGAGGCAACGAACTGCAGAGGAGACGCCGAACGAAAGAGGAGAATAGTAGTACTCGACAGAAGTGAATCTGTTGGAGACGGGGTAGAAGAAATGACCTGGAAGGGCTGTGGGAGGTTTAAGAGGAACGGCCGACATACAAGCAAACGAAAATGCAGAGAAGACCCCACGCCTCTGCAACGGCATTCAGCGTGAGGAAGTGCCGTCAGCGCGTGAGCCTCCCAGCGAGGCATTCATATTTCGAACGGATAAGATCGGCGGGTGAGAGATCGTCTGGTGTGGGAGTGAAAGTTTTGACCGGTGCATAGACATCACTTCCTGAAGCATCGGATATGCAGAACCAGGTAGAAGCCGGTAGGAGGGAGGTGGAATACGTATTGCTGTCATGCATCTCCTGTGTGCGATTAGTGGTGCGCCACTGTGGAGAGTCCGGACGACGGAGGAAATAACAAAGAGAGCAGAGTACCGCTCATATTCCACCAGGGAAGTCCGAAAACCAATCAGAATACGCAAAAGCTGGCAATTGAAGCACAGCCAATGAGGCCTTCCTGTGCGGTTCAGGTCAAATAGGATTAGCAGACTCACGGCTAGAAAAGCCCAAACGCTGGAACGCAGTGGATCCTTTGGCTTGGGAACTCTCATGGTGGTATCATTTCAGCCCAACCATGGACTGCGCTTCTCACGAACGCGCTACCATCCATCTGCAGGGGTAATGGCTCCGTTGCTTCGTCTCTCATGTACCCAAAATCGACAGTCGGGACGTAGAAAATGTGGAAGCCGCAATGATAGACATGGTGCTTCGATTTGGTCTTGGTCCACCTAATTCACCATGCGCTATGAGTTTCTCGAGGCATGTCATGACGTTACACAAAAAGCCTGCGCTGGTCGAATCGGCTGTCCTTTGCGAATGTGTTCACATCAGAAAATCAAGGTCGTGTTAGCGTTGAGAGAACATATACGAAATTCGGACGAGCGTATGAATTAAGATAGAGTTGAGACAAAGTCAGTGATTCTGCCAAGAATCCGCAGCTGAAAGAGAGAGCCATAAAGGATAAAAGCCTACGCCAATGGTGAGAGTTATCATCACCATTGCGGTCGCTGTCGTAAACGTCGTGGAGGATGGAGGACCCAGTCGACAAGCTGGGCTCGGTCCAGACGAGGATTATTCAATAATTTCTGTTATAACTTACTATCAGGAGGCGTAAATTATGAGACAAATCATAATGTAACTTAGTAATCGCGCGCGGCGATTATGCTGTCGGATTGACAGAGCTAAATATAGACTTCAAGCCTCACTTTCTATACTCGCCACCATCTTGACTTCAGTTGCTTCTACACTTTTCTCGAGACAGTAACACGGCTTCGTTCTCATTTGCGCCAGCTTTTGATTATTTTGGTTTGCCCTTCACACTAACTTTGAATCAAGAACTAGGTATAGCGGGAGAAAGCACCCAAAGTCGGTGATATCCTGACCTCTGTTGACTCCCAGGAGTCTGACATTCTCCAGGAGCCCGCATGTGTATAGAGAACGCTGCGTGGCTTTTCGTGCCTATATTCCGACCGTAAGCGACAACTCTGCTTGTTTCCGGACCTCTGGTCATTGAAGGAGAGGCGCGCTCGTGCCTCGAATACTCCCACTGGATCTCGACTCTTGGGCACCATCCAGTCATTCCAACTCCATCCTTACGTGACATCTTGCTCAGTCTTTCCACGCCTGTCACACTATATACCTCTGGCCTTCGATGGGCGTCCTCAAACGATTTACGAAGGCCGTTGATGGGACAATTCCAGTCCCGGCTTTGCTTTATGAAGACGAGGATCTACTTGCGTCGCAGGAGGGTGTAGGCATATACGATGGGTAGGTCCGTCATTTGTTCGGTTTATTCAAGATGGATGTGTTGGAGGCGCCTGTATGCTCTGTCAGCGCACACGCTTCCTGATTGTGGATCACTGCTGCGCTCCACTGCTGCATACATCTCGATCAGGGCATACTTCACATTGCCCTGGTCCTTAACCAATGGTGCATATGCCAAGCCCGCATTTCTATAAGTCTATTTCTCTCGCTATATGCGTGCGTCTGACGCTATAACGGGCATTCTTTCTCATCTGTCAGTGCTATCCAGCAGAGCTCTGCCAAGGGCGGCTGTGTGCTAGGATGAAATGTATTTTGCGCGACCACAGCTGAATTTACGCTTTACAGAACAGAGAAGTCTCCGAAACATCAGAACGGCACAATCTACACCACAACGCATCGTCTGTTTTACATTGACCATTCTCATGCTCGTTCACGTTCATTCGCACTTGACCTTTCGCATGTATCTCGCACTGATTACTACGCGGGATTGTTCACCAGTTCTCCGAAAATCATGTTGTATCTCCATGCCAACTCTACTTCACGATCGTCAAATATTTCTGGAGCAGAGTTGGAAACATGGGAGTGCGAAGTATGTAGCTACAAGAATCCGCCAGGATTGAGTCCGGCTGCGTCGAAAGTCTGCGGACTTTGCGGTGTACCAAGAACTTCAGTGAAGAACAGCTCTATTCATCCTACACCTATACCAACAAGGCTGAAGCAACCGTCTATGTCAACTCATCTATCGACGTCGCTACCTTCATCCACAGCGAACCTTCATACACATACTAGCCCGTCGTCCAGTCCTTCCGGTGATGTTGCGACGGGCCAGGATGGAGAAATTCCTTGCCCAGCTTGCACGTTCTTGAACCATCCCTCGTTACTTACGTGCGAGATCTGTGGTACCACTCTTCCGCGTCCAAACGGTGTCAGTAGACATCTCGCTGCGAGGTCGGCACCATCTTCGAGACCTATCACTCCTTCAGCAGATGATGACAAGGATGAGGATGACGTTGACGATACTAGCGAGGCGTCTCGACTTATACGTCTTAGCTTCCGTAAAGGCGGTGACAAGGCATTTTATGCTGTCCTTCGACGAAGTCTGCTGGGCAAGGCATGGGAGGTCTGTTGATCTTCCTCATCCATCATATTCGATATTGACTACGTTTAGACTAAACATCTGGGTGGTTCGCGGCGCTCTGTGACACAACACACGAATTCTGGTCGAGGAGGTATTAGTGAGTACTTACAGAATATCGTGGTTATATGCGCATATGCTCACATCTTTTGTTTTAATTTACAGACAGCCTCTTGCGCACAGTCGAGAATACAACGGCCAGCAATCAGAGCAACATGGAGAATGCGTTACAGGACCTAGAATCTCTGGCTGTCAAAGCAAGAGAGATGGTTCGCATGGCTGAAGAGCTCAACGAACGGCTTACCGCCGTTACTGCGTCCTCATCCAACAATACAATGACAGGTTCCGCAGTCATTGAACCAGAGGAGGCTACTTTCATTCGATCGTCGCTTTCTCAACTCGGTCTGCAGATGACAAACGCGCCCGTCACGCTCGATATGATACGTGATGAGCGTCGCTGGCATGAAGAACTTGCGAGAGAACTCTCTGGTGTGCTCCAAGGGAACGGATCTTCGTGGAAGCGACCAGGAGACGACGGGGAGCAAACCAGCGGTGGGATGATGCGGAAACGTGGAATCATTGCCTTGGACGAAGTATGGGGTGGGTGGAACCGTGCCCGAGGAGTTGGTGAGTTTGGTCCTTTTACTCCTCATTTTGCTGGACGCTTTTGTACTTTCCCATTCCTGATCCGTTTGTTGAATGCTGATGAATTGTCTCGACCTTTTTACTCTTCTGCTCGTGCCTTATTCTATATTTTCCTTCATGCCTTGCTGACGTTCTCACTTCCGCAGCCCTGATACCCCCGTCGACTTTTCTCTTGGTACTCCCACATTTGCCATCCTACACTTCTCCGCCGATTCACATGCGTACATTTTCATCCTCTGGGCTATCGGTATTGCACACGCCTCCATACACAAAGGCTGCTTTTGCCGCCCGCATGGTTGGACTTCTCACACTCGGTAAGTCATGCTCTGTTAATGTTACTAGTATACACCATGCTGACCATGTTAGCCGGACCGAGAACCACTGTTGAGGTAGCACAAGAAGAACAGCTACCCATTGGGCTCGCACAGGAGATGGTCATCGAAGTGGAAGATGCCGGAGAGATCTGCAGAGACGAGGGTGGAAGTGGCGTGGGTATCTTTGCTGGAAGGGATGGAAGTGGCGAGGTAAGATGGTGGGTCAATATCTTCAAGGGATACGTATGGGATGGTCAAGAAGGGTAGCATATATTTCCTTAAACCTGACGTAAAGAGGATTTCTGGAATTTATTGAACTTAACAAAACTAATTAACTTTTATATCTGATCAGAATTTATTCATTTCAGAATTATAACAGGCCGACTAGCTCAGTTGGTTAGAGCGTGGTGCTAATAATTTCCATGTTTACGCCAAGGTCGTCGGTTCGATCCCGGCGTTGGCCATTTTGGAGTACCATCCACATATTTTGTTCCGGTTGCTCAGTAGGCGATGAGATGGAATGTAAAGGCATGCATAAAACATAAGGTGAACGACATGAATTGAAGCATACTAACGAAAACCGATCTGGGGAGTGAGGGGGAGGAATAATGAGTTCGATGTAGTGACTACTATATGCTATAAAAGAGTTCCAGGGGAAACCGAGACAGAACTATACGACAATTATAAGTACAGACAAACACGTATTGAAACAAGAGAAGAGAGATACCGAAACACGAAGAATAAGAGAGCGACCAAAGCGCCAATAAGTAGTTAACGGAGGGTCAGACAGAGACCAAAGTTTTCGAACGAAGTCAAAAGTAAGAGTGAGTAATTTAGACTCATAGATAGATGAAAGGAATGGTGGGATGTGGGTGGGTGGAGGAACAATTGAGTATGGAGGGTGTAACGTTTTGGATACAGCGCTGGTCGCCCACGTCCCGGAGTTGTAGACTTCGTCCTCGTTGCTGAAGCTATTGTAAATGCGAGGAACGTGGGTATTAGTGGTGTGGAATATGTTGTAGTGTATGAAGTTGTCGAGCCAGAAAAAACGTCGTTTTGGCCTTTAGGATGCTGTACCATAGACGATCGTGAAAGAAAAGAATTGAAGATGAGAGGAGGAAAATGATGCGTCGAGATCCAAGATCCAAGATCCAATATCCAAGCTATCAAAGAGAAGGGAAAAAAAGAGCAAAGCAGAATGAACCACCGGGATAGGTGTTTTGCGTTCCACGATTCTTCACATATGACTTGTGTGGAATCCCGAGAGATACCCTCCATCAGAATACCCACTAACACCAGCGACAGCTTGAGGGTCACCCATACCAAGGTACATATTCTGTACCGCAGCACTCCTCTCAGCCACTCTCGCCATCTCATACGCGCCCGAAGCACCAGTCCCAGCGGTAGCATTGAAATGCATGGGCGAGTCGGTCCGACTGTACATCGGCATGTCCGAATAGCCCTGGACACTGCCTGCGTCTTGGCCAAACCCAGCAGACGAATCGAGCGAGAGCATCTGATGCATTTGATCCTGCAACTGACCACCGGTCGAGCTACTCCTCGAATGACTTGAGCTTCTACCGCCCTGCTGCCCACGATGATGATGAGAATGCGGGTGCGGGTGCGGGTGACCATGAGCGTCGTAATCCAGCGGAAGATTATAATGCAACGGGCTTGACTCGGCTGAATGAGCAACCATCGAGGCGGCATAGGGATGATAGGCAGCAGCGGCTCGTCCATGATCCGAAAGCGCAGCAGAGTATGGACGCCTTGGATTAGTGCTATCGCCATATCGTCCAATGTTGGGAGTGGCGCTCCGATGGCGTCTGATAGGGCCGCCACCCGACGAGGACAAGGACGAAATAGAAGACGATGAGGAGAGCGATGATGGGCCACCTAGTTCGGGAGGGTAGAGAGACGTATGGTCGAACGCCGCTTTGTGAGCAGGAGCGCTGACGGAGAGGTATTGATCCATGGAGGAACTGCCGTAAGATGACGAAGGAGTCATGCGCGCAGACGATCCAGGGACGCTGTTCGCGACGAAATGGGGACTGTTATTTGGAGGAAGAGTTGCCCATTGAACACCTGGCGATTCCGTAATGATCGAAGTGTCGTTGTAGAGGATATCTTGAACGGGGTCCACAACATCCAAATCAGTCGAACTCGAACCTAGAGAGCCGACAGATCCAACAGATGAAGACGTCGCAGCGACAAGCAAACCTTCTTCATCACCCTGGACTTCTTGAACCGAACCCGCAACCTCGACTTCGCACATCTGAACGTCCGAGATATTGCCCATACCATCCAAGAACGGCAAGCTACTATCCACATCAAACACATCCTCGCCAAAGTTCTCGTGTTCAGGCGAACCCGAACCACCAACACCAGATTCGTGGCCGTTAGAACCAGCAGAGTCATCGGAAACCACCCCGTCTGTACGCTCGTGCGTCCTGAGGTGCTGATTGAGATTATCATTCCTCGAAAACTTTTTCCCGCACTTGGAGCATTCAAACGGTCTCTCCATCGTATGTGTCCTTAAATGCCTTTTGAGGTGCTCCATCCGCTTGAACATCCGTCCACAGCTGAACAATGGACAGACGAACGCCTTCGTACGAGGGATAGGCACTGGGTCAGAAACGCCATTACCGGTGTTTCCCCAAGCCATAGACATAGTGTTAGGATCGAAGGAAGATGACGCAGAAGACGAAGGAGCAAGAGGGGGAGTGATCGAAGACGATGGGTCGGTATTGGAACGAGACGGGAAGGTATTCCCACCAGCGAGCAAAGGGAATGTTCGCCTCTGCTCCATAGGTGGTCTCTGAGCCTGACTTTGAGCTTGATAACTCATACTCAACCCAGCCGCAGGATCAGCGGTACCCATCAACGCACTCGGGTGCAAGTTCGTTCGCTACAAAGTCAAAGACAAAAAGGACCAATCAGAATTTGAACGGATGGAGGAAGGGGAAACCGATAACATACCTCAGCTTGAGCAGCCATAGCCCTCCTTTGTCTCTCCTTCTGCGTCGCGATCAGATCCGGATTACTCTGGGGACCAAAATCGCCTCTAGCTTGTGCCATGAACATCTCCGCCGCACTCATCCTAGTCGTATCCCTTCCAAACCTATCGATCTGAGGTTCATTCATCCTCATCGCATACATATTCGCATACTCATCCGCACTCGACAAAGCACCTCCATTGGCATTAGTATAATAAGAGCCCGAGGAAGGATGATGATGAGGAGCATGGGAAAGGTTGTTTGGCTGTGAGAGTGGGGAAGGATGCGAAGGATTGTAGGAAGTACTGAAAGTCGACGGCGAACGACGAGCCTTGGTAACCTTCTTCCTTCGTTGTTTGTACGTCGGGGATCCTTCGAACAGCGAGAACATGGAGAAGAAAGGCGAGTTAACAAGCGCGCTGGGTTTCTTCTTCTCCTCCTTTCCATTCTTGTTATCTTCTGTGCCACTCTCATCACTAGCAGAACCATCCACATCCTTCTCAGAATGACTCGTACCGTCCTCGGACTCGGCGTTCAACGCCTCATCCGCACGTCGAACAGCAGCCTCCAACTCTCCCTCACCCTCGACAGCTCCTTGAGCTTTAGAAAACTGCTCATAGAGCGATCGTTTAGGGTCATATGTGAAGGAAAGAGCAGGCTCGCCGATGACGACGGTTGTAGGTTCCTGACCCATCTTTTCACGCTTAAGGTCACGCTCGAGAGCGTCGAGGAAAAGACGATCATGGGGAACGCTAAACCTGGAATAGGACGGTAAGTCAGCATCGTGGAAATGGAGACGAAAAGGGAACCTACCAGTAGAATACCTTTTGCTTCTTCTGAGTACGGATACACTGGTACTTGAATAACAAGTCCAGGAAGGGAGACTAGAATGGTAGGAAGATTCATAGTCAGCATCATGATCGCATGCATGCATAACCAATGAAAGAAAGTAACAAATGCAACAAAATTGCGCAATGAAGACGTGCAATTAATCGGCCACCGGTTGAAATAACCAAGAGGCCAAGATCGAGCACCGCAACTCGCAACTCAGTACGGCCGCCAGCCCGTCAAGCCAGAGACAACAGTCGTCAGTAACAAAGCAACCCCACACAACCTCCGACGCGAAGACGGACTGAACAATCGCACATGGCACAATCACCTCCGAATCCCCCGTTAACCATCATCATGCCACCGCATCTGGTCCATGCCCCTTCGAAGGTCCAATCAATGTACTCTTCATCATCATCAACCGTCTTCTTCCCCATCTCTCGTGCATCTGCCAAACTCCGATGCGGTGCGATGCCGGAGGGGTAAACGCACAAGCAAGACGCACAGACGCAAAAAATGCAGATCCGCCAGAGAAGGGAATCAACGACGGGAATCAACGAAGGAAAGAAGTGAACAAGGAAAGGGAAATAAATGTGAGAGGCTGCATGAATAAGCACTGAAGCACAAGAGTACCCCAAATGTTGATGAAAGCATGAACGCATGAAGGGACGAAGAGAAGAGAGGCGACGAGAATATAGCCCAGAAACGCCAGAAAATGAATAGGAAAGAAACCTCGAAAACGGCAAGAAGCATCACGTCAAACCAAAGTTCAGTCCAACCCAACTCAATCTCTCGTCAGATGCCCCATGCCCCATGCGTCTTCTGTCCATTAGACGACCACGCCTCTATCCGTCCGTCCGACTGCAAACTGGCAGAATGATGCAGAGGGTGGCGTGTCCGAGATGATGCTGTTGATGGCCTCGAAATGAAGGCACCAACAACGGAATCGGACGAATAGAGAAATGGATCGCACAAAGGCACTGAGGCACTACTACTGAGGCGATGCTACACGCTCGGCAGACCGGAATAGAGATCAAGAATGGGTGAAGCAAAGCAAAAGCCAAGGTACCATGGCTTGTATGCGCCTCAGCGCTTGCCGCCCCAAAATCGCAAATCGCAAGGTATGAAAGCGAAACGAAGAGTAAAGGAGAGAGATAGTGGAACAGAGATGAGGATATCAAGAAACTCACCTTAGGCTCCTCCAAACAAGCATCCACGCCGGGCTTCAAGTTTCGCAAATCGCTGAACACGCCCTCTTCGAATTTCTTCATGTTCCGTACCGGTCGGCCAAACGCTTCAAATCGGAATACTAGGGCGCGCACGATGTCCGTTCCTACGACAAATCAGAGTTAACAATCAATAACCCGAAGTTAAGTTAGAAAGCGGAAGTGATTGCGAGAAACAAGTGGGAAGGGAGAAAAACAACATACCGGTGATATGATATAACCCGCCCCAAAGCACACACGAGACGTACTCGTTGTTGGGAAGGAGGAAGCGGTTCAGAGCGGGGTGGGTCGAGGACGGGTGACCGAGAGGCAGCGAATCTGTTATAAGTAGACGAGATTGCGTTAGAAATCCATCATTCAATCCACGGCACACACATAGACACAACAACGTAAGGGGCAAATTAGAAAGACAGTACGTAGAGTGCTAAGTTTGGCGATTCAGGTTGGGGAAAGAGAACGTAAACTCACCACCGCCAACCACACCTCCAACATCGGTACTCCATCGACTCGGCGCCGTAGCCAAGAAGAACTTCAGCCGATCCAAGTGCGTAAGGAGTTCGCGTTCCTGATGGTTCAAAGGTCGACTTAGACCCGTAAACGATGCGCTGATGCTATCAGCCGAGGACAATTGAGCGCTGAACGAATCTGGGGCGTCGAGTGCGAGAGAAGAGGAAGGATGGGAAGGTATGGACATGGGAAGGGAATTTGACATGGACATGGTGTCGAGCATGGAAGACATGGATGAATCCTGCATTTGAGACATCCCATTCATCTGACTCTGACTGAGAGATGAGAGCGAAGGAGGAGGGATTCTCGATGGATGAGCAGTCTCTTCCTCTGGCTCATGGTGCACGCCATTGGCGTTCGTCTGGATCTGCAACGCCGATCCTCCCTGTTGCGTGAAGGGGGAGGGAGAGAAGCGATGATCCTGCTCCTGGTTCACTTGGTGGGATGGATAGGATGAGTAGAGTGGGTTGGCGTTGCGCATATGTGAATGCGAATGCAAAGACGAGGATGATGGAGTAGAGGTAGATGCAGCGTATGAAGGAATGGAAGCCATGGCGTAGTGATGAGAATGGGCTACTAGCGTGTCCATGGAGGCGATAGCGGTATTATACTTGTAAGGGTAAGTATGAATGTTGATGAGGCGATTCGGCGAGGGAACGTCAGAGAGATGATAACTGGCGAGTTCGTAAAGTATAACTGCGAGAACGAAGAGGATATTAGGGAGATTAGGGTGTAGGGAGAAGGGACCCAGACACAGACGGGGGAAGGAGAGAAAGATGGAAACGATTAGCGAGATGGTGGAAGAAGAGGACAAAAAGGTAAACGCACGTTATGCAGATGGGGGGGCCGGTGATGGGAAAGCACAGAGCTGAAGATAGGATCAACACGAGATCCAACCAGCCAGCAAGCACGAAAGAGCAGGCGTGTTCACAGCACGGTGGGTTAGGACAGGAGGGACTTATATCGGAGGACGGGTTTATAATATACGAAGCAAACGTCCTCGGTCTTTGGAGGACGACCCACAGGCCAGGATTAGAAATAAACAACTGAAATAGGAGCAAGCAACTGCAATCGAGGACGGACGCAGCTTCAGCGCCTCTTGACTGGGCCCGTTATATGCCTCCCGAGGCCCCTGGCTGTCGGCACGTCCCCAGCGTCAATCCAGGCACGTATCTCAATCCTCTCCGCCGGTTCAGTTCACTCGCCCCCTCTCCGCCGTGGTTCGCGATCCCCGGCAGACTCGACGCAGTGGACAAGTCGTCAGAAACAACAGAACACCAGTGCGGGTACAGTCCACGTCCAACAAGTCACTCTCAGGCAGATCCCCCATGCTTCTTTCTGTTCCCAACTCGCACCTCCCGCATATACTTCGTACCTTTTCTGACGCTCTCTTTTCGCTTCACTGACACCAGCGCCGCCTTCGAGTCCTTCTTCTCTGGCACTTTCCGAGTTTCGACCCGCATTCATCCCATGACGACCCTTCCTCGCTCCTGTCAATTCTTGGACATATAGCTCGCTCATAGATGCATCGATGAATCTTCTCGTCATCTCCTCGCTCTCCCACCCTCACATCCGCACCGCCATCCCACCATCTCACCACACAATGCATCGCCTTCAATAATCTCCAATTATCTTGCACTTTTAACGCACTGCCTTTCGGCGTTCAATCCAGCTTACCAGCGCCTCCGAACGCAATTCCAGGCTTGAGTTGCACTGACTTCAAAGTCCCAACCTTCCCAACGTTCTCTTTGTTCTCTCTCGCCCCCCGTCCTCTCTCTCTTTGTGATCCGGCGGCCGATGAATATCCCTAGATCAGGCATTAAGCACTTTCAATCATAGTTATATCCGAATCCATTTACTTCTCCGAGTTCTTTCGGTGTCTCACTGCCAATCGCAACGACCTTGGCAATCGAATAAATTATCCCCTTTCATCTGATTCGAACAATACACATTTCAACTCAACCATGTGTGTTCTTCATCGCACTACATACCCGTATAGCAAACATCTCCAGGATACTAGAGGTCGAAAGATATATTAATTATGGCCGCCGGGCGAATGAGTCTTTAATGCTTCAAGCTTCATTGATCATGGACATCCGGCGACCGGTCTTTCGTGGTGAACAAGTACTACTACGGAGGCCGAGTTCATCGTGCCCCGTGAAGTTGTGTGATTATGATGTCGATGTAGCGCATACATATGTATAATTAATGCGATGTGCAAGATTGTACCGCTTTTTGTGTGTTTGCACATTAGGTTGGGTCAGATGAAAATATGCTTATGGTCGGCAGTGCCAGAGTACTGAGTACCAAAAAATGGCGGAGCGTGTTGAAGTGTGCCTCAGGGCCAAGCACAAGTATTTCAAGAATTATTCGAACTTCACTTACCATGTAGTTTGACCCCGTAAACTTACTGCCATTTCTGGCGCAATAGCCTACTGTGCACCTCCCTCCCGTTTCAACATACCGTCCTACTATGTCTTTCATCAATGACTTAACTCACGACTCAACATGTGCAAGCTTATCAACACTCTTGAAAGAGGTGGAATCGTCAGGACTATTAACAAAGCGGTAAGTTCAATCATTTGCACATGCATAAGTTCACGTAGGAAACGCACCTGAGGGAAGCAAAGAAAGGGAATTCAAAGATCAAAATAGACTACGGCCAGAGGGTGTCGCAATTGGCTTATCACAACACGATCGATTGCCACATAGTTTTGCAGCTTTTCGATCGCACCACAAGGGGGACGGGCGAAAAGGGGGCTGGCGGGAAGGGCTCATAAGCCAAGGGGTGGTCATGGTCGACCGTCCAGTAATCAGATTGGCAATCGAGAATTTTGAGTTCTTCCCCGTCGGTGGTAGTCACGCGTACAACCCCACCATCAGGAAGGGCCACGGTTCAACGTTGAACGTTGAACGTGGGATGAGTCAAAAGATTAAGACCGAGGAGTTGAAAGAGTTGGAGTGGGGGAGTACTGATTCTAATTACGAATGGGGGGGATGGATGAGGGGATTTGGGGTGACGCGAAGCGAAACTGGAGTTGAGCGTATCTCGTGCAGGGTGGATGAGTCAGTATGAAGTTGAATCAAACTGTCAGGATGTATTGTGAATAACAAGATTGAAATGTCATGGTACATACCCACTTCGCGCGAGGACGGCATTAGCAGAACCCTGCTGCGGTTGCTACTGCTTATTGCCGTCCTTTCCCGTGAATATGGCGACGTAGCTCGACGACTCGGGTCCACATGCGTAAGACGACGCAATGAGTCCGAGGAAAGACTCGGCTTAGTGACCCCATGAGTTGCAAGCTTACAAAGTCAAATACCAATAAACACCTCCGTTCCTGATTGAGCGAAGGTCTCGACTCAGAACGAGTCAACCCATCCATAACGTCGCGACACATTCAGAGGAGCCCCTTTGCTGACTTTCACCAAACCCTCGAGCGAATGAGCACACGTGTCCATATACCTCCGAGTCGAATAATTGTCAGTAATTGTAAAGCACAAGTCCCTTCATCGGAAATTGACAAACCTCCCAAGCCAATGTTTAAGCAAAGTAACCGCGAGACTGGAGATTCAGGCTTTCATATTGAGTAGATGAGTGACCGCATTCAGGGGCTAAACCTGAGACATTTCCCCGCAGGCTCGATTACCGATTGTGGACTGACTGCAACCTTCCAGCCAATCACATTACTCCCTTTGTTCTTCACCCAAATCTGTTGCAATCGACGACGCCCAGATAGGTATTTAGCGGGTAAGAGAAACAAGGAGGCGCTGAAGCAGTGAACAGCTCGCGTGGCTTTGCCTCCGATCGTGTTCGCACTTTACGATCGGGGAAGTTTCCTTTCGGAAAAGGCACTAGATCATAGGCCTTTGTAAAGTTATGAGCGGGAAGAGTGAAGAGTTCTGGAAGGGGAATCGGATCCTGGAGGCGGGAAGGGCATGGGGATGTTCCGATTTGGGGTCGGAAAGTAGGGGGAGATAAACCCAAGGGGTAACTAGAGTGATCAATGGACGACGAATTTGAAAGGCATAATGCTGAGCGGGATCGTCAGATAGAACACCCAAGATGAAAGTAGACAGTAACTCATACCTAACTGACTGACTGATCGACTCGCCAAAGAGGAAGTCCAGGAAGATATAATCTACTGAGTATGTTTTTGTTAATATTGCTTCGGCTAGGAGCTTGACTAAAATCAGAAAGCTTACCATCTTCGACTGATCAAAGAATCCAGGTGGTGCCTTCAACTCCGAAGAACGATTCGACTTGACTGTAAACCTTCGACTGACATGCCCATCTTTGGATAGCTGAGTCGGATCGAAACCGGGGCCTTCGAAGACGTACTCACTCAAATCTTGACTTGATGCTGATCACAATGCTTCCCTCAGAAGCTCGCATAACGGATGGCATGTCGAGACGTCTGATACGATGAATACAACACCAAACTTGTACCTGTTGGTGTAAACGATCAGCTCGAACTGACTCCATTTGGAACTGGTCGGAAGGGAGACGATAGAAATGGCAGTAGATTGAACATCCCGGCGGTATCCCCAGTTTCCCCGCCGGCACTCCTATCTCTGAACCTCAAGCAGTGCATACTGCCAGTGGGGTCAACGAGATTATCTATCACTCGCGGCGAGAGTGTACAGCGCATTCCACAATTAGCCATTCCACCTAGAACGGCAATCCTTGACCTCCGCCGTCACGGCAGACCAGTTCACAAAGAGTGTGGCTTGAGCCATAGACATGGAACCTCCTTTCGCACGTGCTTATGGCGAGTCCGGAATGCAGGACGTAGACCGTCGGGTTGGACGGCAAGAACATTGAGGGTCTTTGAAGTCATGAGTTGAGTTTACGGAGCTGGGATTGCGGGATGAACGTTAAATGTCTTTAGGAGTTTCGGAAATGCGATAAGGACCCTGGACAATTACCCAGTCCTGCGCCGTCTCGAGAATGGAGTTCGGAAGGGCGAAAGGGATACGCCCTCCGTGTATCTCAAGACTAAAATTGAGTGTGCGGCAAAGGAGACTATTCGATTCTACGCACGCATTTCGATCACTTTGCCATGTGTCGTTCACGCGCACACACTCTCAACATAATCTCTCTCCTATGACATATCTTGCGCAGCTCTCATCGAGATTGGGTCACCGGCCACGCGAGCAAGGCCGGAAGAAGTTGCGGTTTCAGCTCGTTGGAAGCTGACTCTTCACACTGGACAGCTGCATAAGGATAGGGGCAGGTACTGCCGTCGGTTGAGGTGGCTGTAGTCTCTATAGTGTTTCCGCGTGCAAGCCACGAGACGGCACAGGGTTCAAGTTCATGCAAAAAGTAGATGCCGCCGGTGTAGCCCTATTGCCACTGACGTTGACCGAGAGGCCACCAGGTTCAGGCACGCACAGCGATCGCTCGACGTTCAGTCGTTGCTTTGACATGGCACACGTCCGGCAGACTCACAGTGGTCTGTTTCCATTCTCAACTTCCTTGCTATGCCTATGGGCACTTCCCGGACCAGCCGTTCGTACGCACAGGCGATTGAGTTGTCGCTCGCGGCAGACTGTAAGCCTTGAGAGAATCAGTGAGAATACGAGGTTCATTAATGACGGTGATGGGCAGTTTCATACCTTCTACGTAGCACCAGCAGTTACGAGGGTCCATAGAGTACAGTACCCTTGATTTTATAAGGGGACGCGAATGATGAGTATCGCACGTACTACGGACTCTACAAATGCAAGGTTCAGCACAAATCTATCAACTCAACAGTGATTTCGAAAGCCGCTTACCGGAGTTATATATTGAACATTTATTGAATAGGTGAAATTAGTGATGCCTCTAAAATGTGTAAGTGTAACCGTTTATCCGAGTCGTTGGAGTCACATACCTTCCGCGAATCCAATTGCGTTTCCCGCCCGCTTTCTTTCGTTCAAACGGGCAGTCCACGAATAGGGCATCGACCAGCTCTATAGTGCAAATAAAGGTTACATGAGCAGGTACAAGCAGATTGCGAAGTCAACGCTCACCAGCGGGAACAAGATGACCAGTCGCCAGTGAAGCGCATGCCAGCGAGTCGGTCGAGACAGACAGCGAGAC